AGTAGAGAACCTCAACTGTCCCGACCTCATCCAGGAGTATGAGGTGTCGGAGGGGGGACAAGTGAGTAGACAAAGTAGGGAAAGGAGGAGAGAACAGGAGGAGTAGAGAGAGGAAGAGAGAACAGGAGGAGTAGAGAGAGGAGGATGACGTTGAGAGAAGGAGGAAGGATGACGGGGGCGATGTTGTCAAGGAAGAGGAGGAGTCAGCATGAACCAGACCAGAGCATGCCTCGACGGAGCTCGGCTCTTAAGAGGGGGGTAGTGTCATGGGCCTGGATGCTCAAGAAGCAGGAGGGTCACTGGTTCATATGGATGGAGCACAGGTATCGAAGACCTAGTCGATACCAGTAGAGAGCATGGTCGTAGTGCAGTCTCCATGGAGACCATGGACTCCTATGGATTCACATGCAAAGGAGCACTGAGCCCATATGCGAGGAGGACCAGGCACAGCCACGAGGAGGACCAAGCTCAAAGAGCAGGCGCAGCCATGAGGAGGACCAAGCTCAGATGGTTACCACTCAGGGGCTCGAGAGACAGGAAGTCGACACAGGTCATGAGGAGGAGGAGCAGTGTCGAAGGAGTCGACACAGGTCATGAGGAGGAGGAGCAGTGTCGAAGGAGTCGACACAGGTCATGAGGAGGAGGAGCAGTGTCGAAGGAGTCGACACCACTCAAGAGGCACAGGGGTGCCAAGCAGGAGAGGCCCCTGAGCAGTACTCGATGAAGAAAGTACTCTCTGGAGAGAGAGCAGGAGCAGCATCGCTGGCGATGCTGTGAAGAGGTATATAACCATGCTTTCTCATCATCATAGGTCGAGTGGATCCCCATCCACTCTACTCACCATAACTAGTTATCACTTCAGCATAAAGTATACATTAGTTTCAGTCAGCATAGCAGCAATCTATCAAGGTTGCTCCTCATCGTAGTGTGTGTGTTGTATCACCACTACCTGACGTCCGAAGGCGCCCATAGCAGGTTAGCGGTCCGGATATAGATAGAACCGAAGGCAGTAGTCCACTGCGGTCCGGGGATCACTTCAAGCATCAAGTCAACACACTGGACACTCGTGTTGACGCCACCAACCTTATCACCAACACCATCAACCTCATTATCATCGACGCCACCAACCTTATCACCAACACCATCAACCTCATTATCATCGACATCACCAATCTCATCACCAACACCATCAACCTCATCATCATCAACACTCACACCAGACCTTGGTGTCATCATAACATTGATATTGATCGTGCCGAGCTACCCCTGAACGGAGTGTCCACAGAGGTCAGCCGAAACCTACGATAGTATATACAACGAACACCACCTGCTGTCACTGCACAACTTGATAGTCACCGATACCGAGACAATAGCTGTCACACAGTTTAATAGTCACCGAGTATCTCGACAGACCGACCTGGGTTTCAGGCGCGAGACCCCTGACAAATTGCAGCTGGTTACCACTCAGGGGTTCACAAGATAGGAGTCAAGAGAACAGTCACTGGTTAAGAGGAAGGAGAGCTGTGTCATGGACACCAGCATATAGTTCATGAGGAAGAAGAGCTGTGTCGAGGAGGTCGACACACAGCTCAAGAGGGACAGGAGTAGGGTTACAGGGACTCCTGCATAGCACTCGATGAAGGAGGTACTCTCTGGAGAGAGAGTTGGAGCAGTGGCACTGGCAGCACTGTGAAGAGGTATAAAGCCATACCTTCTCGTCACTAAGTGGTCGAGTGGATCCCCATCCACTCTACTCACCATACAACTAGTCAATACTTTAGAAACATAAGTACTCATTAGTTTTCAGTCAGCATAAGTTGCAATCAATAGATTGCTCCTCATTGAAGCACATGTGTTGTATCACCATTTCCTGATGTCTGAAGGCGGTTCTTAGCAAACCAGCGGTCTGGATTAAGATAGAACTGAAGGCAGTCATCCACTGCAGTCTGGGGATCACTTCAAGTGTTAGTCGACACACTGGACACTCGTGTCAGCGTCATCAATCCATACTCACACCAGACCATTGGTGTCAACATCAAGTTCACTTAGAGTCATATTGTAGTTTGATCGTGCCAAGCTACCTCTGGACAGAGTGTCCACAGTGGTCAGTCGAAATCTGTCATAACATCAATACAACTACAGGTTCCAACGAGAAAAGCAGCAGAGATGGTTCTGTCACATATTTCACTAGGAATCGTAATACCATTAGCGCTGTCGCATAACTCGACAGAATCGGTGATAGTACTGATACTACTACTGATCTCAGGTTTCAGGTGCGCGACCTCTGACACCTTAATGCTATTGCCTTCCAACCATGTTTTTGTCTTCTTCAACATGTGTTTCAGGTCATTGTCTTGCTGAAACATGACATCAGTGTATGCATGCTGAAGCTGCAAATCTGAGATTGTTTTCAAAAGCTTGTCATTCAGGATATCAATGTATTGGTCTGAATTCATTGATCCCAGCACCAAGCATATACCTCTGACCCCTTCCCACATCATACAGCCCCAGATCATGATGGAGCCACTGCCAAACTTGACTGTCAGCCTGACAAGCTTGCTGTTGAAGCTGGCATTCTTAATCCAACAGAACTGCTTCCCATCCAGTCCAAAGAAGTTGATCTTTGTCTTGTCCAACTGTACCACCATCTTCCAATCCTCAACAGTCATGTCCTTGTGCTCATTGGCAAATTTGTGACAGGCTTTGTATTGTCTCTTGAGTAGCTTTGGTTTTTTCACCAACCTCTGTACTTTGTAGTGACAATAATGAAGTGCTTTTCTTACTGTGGTTGGGCAAGCTGTGACTTGGAATGTCTCCTGCAGTGCTTGACATGCTTTCCTGACCATGGAGGTGGAATTGAGCTCAAAATAGTGGTCCAGGAAGCAAACATGACAAGGCTGGAGTTTTCTTGGCTGGCCCCCCTTTGACTTTGGAACATCAGCTGAGGTGCTTTTGCTGATGTGATTCACAGTAGACTTGCTCAAACCAAGTTGCTCAGCAACTGAACAGGTAGATGTCATGGGAATGGATGCGCAGAGGCCAGAAGATCCATCAAATTCATATGAAGGGAGCACAGGGATCAAGGGATCGGGTGGATCGTGGGATTTGAGATGGACTTCACTGAGATCGGTAGTAGTGCCAGTCCTATGACAGATCTCACTGAGATCGGCAAAAGGAAGGATAGTACTATGATGACAAGATTGGCATGAGAGAGGATGGTACTATGGATCACACCGAGATTGGTGATAGAAGAAAGGGTATGGCGGATTCCGCCAGGATCAGTAGTAGGAAAGATCCTATCATGGATTCCGCAGAGATCAGTGGTAAGGATGATAGTGTGGCAAAGCTTCACATGCAAGTAGTGGGACCAAGCACCGCCAAGAGGGGACCTAGCTCAGGAGCATGCAGCTGGTTACCACTCGGGGGCACACAAGATAGGAATAAAGGGGGTCCGTCACCAGTCCAAGGGAGGAGAGCAGTGTAAGAGAAACCGGCAAGGAAGACATAAAGAGGAGGAGCAGTGTCGATGGAGTTGGCACAGCTCAGGAAAGACAGATGGACAGCGCAATGAGGAGGAGGAGCCTCATTGGAGACTCCTGTGAGGTACTCAATACAGAAGGTACTCTCTGGAGAGAGAGCAGAAGCAGTGACGCGGGTGACACTGCGAAGAGGTATAAAAGCCACACCTTCTCATCACTAATGGTCGAGTGGATTCTCATCCACTCTACTCACCATACAACTAGTCAATACTTTAGAAACATAAGTACTCATTAGTTCCCAGTCAGCATAAGTTGCAATCAATAGATTGCTCCTCATCGAAGCACATGTGTGGTATCACCGTTTCCTGACATCCAAAGGTGGTTCTAACAAACCAGCGGTCCAGATATCGATAGAACCAAAGGCAGTCATCCACTGTGGTCTGGGGATCACTTCAAGCATTAGTTGACACACTGGACACTCGTGTCAGTGTCATCAATCCATACTCACACCAGACCATTAGTGTCAACATCAAGTTCACTTAGAGTTGTATCATAGTTTGATTGTGCTGAGCTACCTCTGGACAGAGTGTCCACAGGGTCAGTCGAAATCTGTCATAACATCAATACAACTACAGATTCCAACGAGAAAAGCAGCAGAGATGGTCCTGTCACATATTTCACTAGGAACTGTAATACCATTAGTGCTGTCGCATAACTCGACAGAATCGGTGATAGTACTGATACTACTACTGATCTCAGGTTTCAGGCGCGTGACCGCTGACAGTAGATTCCCCATTTTGGAGGTGAAAGAGTGTTGATTGGCACTTCTCTGGGGTGGTTTTCAGCATGATGGTATAGATATGATGGCATCAGACTGGAAGTGCTGCTGGATTGCTCACAGTCATCTGATTGAGCTGAAACTTTCCATGTCACTACTTTTGATGTATATGAATGTGCCTGCCAAGTTACATTGCAAGTTTCATTGTAGTCAAAAGCCCACAAGGTCAGGAATGGAGTGGTGTTGCTATTTGGGAGCATGCTCCATAAACTGTCCCACAATAAAAAAAATTCTCAGCTCTTCTTCAAAGCACAATTTTCTCAGTCAATGTCAATATCAATTCCACAGTCTTGGAGAGAAGAAGCAGTGCTTTCAGATGATATGAGACAGTGTGGCAATACAACATATGGCTATTGAGCATTAGAGTGATGTATGGTGACATGTAAAATCGTGGGACAGTTTACATGCAAGCTGTATATGTTTCTGTCTTCTAGCAGCAGTGAGATCGTACTCAGATTCTACCCGATCGCCAGTTATCGGGACCAAACTTCAACAACACTGTGCTGTGCTGCCTGATTTTTTATTCACCGCTTGATTTCCACGAACCAAGACACACAGGGAGGCCATCTAGGACTCTACGCTCTTACTCACCATTCACCACCTCCTCGAGCTTGCCTACACGACTGCACACAACCACACCCTCTAGCATACACCCGCTTGCTTCCACAGAAAGACACGGCGGGATGGACCTCTCCAACCTGAGCACCTCACTTCGCGAATCCGAATCGTCGACCTGCAATCGTCGTCAGCAACATCTTCGTTCTGCAGAAGATGACTTGAATGCTTTCTTCCGTTCCTCCGCGCTCGGCTTGACTACCTTGTATCGACACGGGGTTGCAGGGGCAAAAGCGAGTTATGATAAAGGGTATGCACATGCACTAGCGCATGTCTTGGAGTTGTGGCACAAAGATAAAGCCTGGTTGAAGGGGTATTTGCAGCGTAGGATTGAGGCTTTAGAGGCCGATAGGGAGGATGATGAGCTAGACGAACAGACTCGGCCCCAAAAGCAGCAGAAGGCAGCTACAGCTACGCCTGCTGGGCAAGTGAGAGCTGGGGAAAGCAGCACTAGCTCCGGTGCGGCACGCGGGAGCAATAAGCGTTCTCGTTCAAACTTTTCTTCCGAGAGGAATGCAGAGGTGCAAAACATTCCCGTCGGTGGTGAGAGGAGGACGAACAGGATGCCTGCAACATCAGCCGCCGCCTTTTCGTCAGGCTTCAACTTTTCAACTCCCCTAAGCATGCCCGCTCTCGCCCATGCTGCTGGAACAAAGTCGCATACCCGCAACACCTTGCTCGCCAACAACAACACTCGTGCAGACGCAACTCCCAGCTCGGGAGGAGTGATCAAAACCAGCACCCCCACCGCACAACGTCGTCGTTTGCAGAAACTCAAAGGCTTACGTTCCGGCAACACTCGTGATCGAATCATGGAGATCAAACCGCAACCCCAGGAGGATGATATGGTTGACGACCAAGTTCTAGATCAAGATCCAGATAGTGATGCTTGGACTGATGATGATCAAGACTCCGCCGCGGGTGTAGGGGAGAGAGAAGCCAAGGGAACGAGGTTTGTTTGGACCGATCATGCCCGCAAGGCAGAGCAAGGTCTACTGGAGAGGAAAGATAGAAGGAAGAGGAGAAGGACCAAAGCAAATGCGAAGGATGCAATCACAATTCAAAATCTTCCTGAGCAAGACGAGTTAGGAGATAGTAGTAGAGAGAGGCAGAGCGAGGCGTTTGCCTATCACTCTTGAGCAACTTTGCCAAGTCGCACGCTGAGAGGAAACTAACATGATGTCTTAGCATCTCTTACTTGTATTTCCATCGCATATATTCACTTTCGGAACGCTTCCCACCTTCGAGCCTTTATCTTGACTCTGTGTCTTTCTGCGTCCAAGCTCGAGAAGAGAAACAGATCCGAACCTCTCGCAAGTCTCATGAACCCATCGGAATCACACAAGACACAACCGCACAAGCAAACCTGGTCGAAAGAAAAGCATTGTTCATCAGTCCACAGCGACATCACCCTTTCCACTCGAACCGAATCTCCCCCGTCTCCAGCAGCGGATCTTCCATCTCCTCCTCCACCTCCTCCTCCTCCTCCTCCTCCTCCCCGTCCTCGTCTTCGGCAAAACTCTCGTCCTCGCTCAACCTCTGCTGGAGGCTGTTCTTGTTGGCCTGGGCACGATAGAGAAACTGGTGATCTGGATTTGCAAAACTATTGCTCCTACTACCCCCTGTTGCAACGCCAGCGCCGAAGGAGGAGACGTCATCGTCATCGTCGATTCCTTCTGAATCGTAGAATTGTTCGTCTTCGCTTTCGGGTTCGGCAGTTATCGCCGGGCCCATTAGCGGACTGATTGCTCTTCCGTCTGCGGTGGTGGTTGAGGCGGGTGGTGAGGCTGCACGGCGACGCCATGGAGCGGTCCAGGAGGAGGTGGAGGTGGAAGTAGGCATGTCAGTAGGGGTATCCGTGGTTTCCAGTGCAGGTTCTGCTGAGGTAGCACGTTGCAGTCGTCTACTGTGTTCTTCTTCGCTTTCAATTTTGGCTGAGGTGAGCGTGGTGGAACTCTGGATACCTTTTCTACTCAATCCTAGCGATCCTAGACCGAACCTGCTCAGCCTGCCTCCCCCACCTCCTCCGCCCTTCTCTTCTCCAGTCTCCGCACCACCAATACCGGCAGAAGTGTCGTAAGTAAGGCTTCTAACACTTCTCAAGCTCCTTGCACTCCTCGCACTCAAAGCTGGACTAACCGGCGGTGTCCCCAACAGTTCCTCATCCGGTGGCAACTCTATATCCATATCGATCGCTGGTCTCCAATAGTTGAAATCGTTAAACTCCGGTTTCCTTGGTTCTTTTTCTTCCTTCGCCGTTATCGGCGGAAACATCTGATCCACCAAATCAGTCATATGAATATAACTACTTTTATAACCCGCCAACTCCAACAGCTCCATCTTGACCTCTCCGTTGGTGTCAATTGTGAAAATTCGAGAAGAAGGGATATTGACAGAACGATAGGAAAGCGCATCCGTGATTCGGTTACCAAATCCGGCGTAGAAGGGAGTTGGATGGTCTTCTTTCTTCTCCCGTCTTGCGTCTTGTACCTGCAAAGACGCCAACGTTGGACTGGACAGCTTAGAGGGTAGCGAGAGTGGAGCTAAGACTTCTTCGGAGGCGGAACCAGAGGCAGAGGCCGTGGTCGCTCCAGCAGCAGGACCATCTTGCACTCCCGCCCCCTTTTCCACTTTTTCCATCGCTTCCCTCCGGACCTTGTTGGTAATATCACCCCCCGGTTGACTAAGCGCACTTCTCGCATCCGCCCTGAACAATCTCGCAATATCTCTCAAACAGGCCATCTTAAACACCTCCGGTTTCCTCAAAATCACCTCCCTATGCAAACTGGCGATCAACCTATCCGGACTCATGATAACCGGACCATCCGGTAACTGATATCCATTCTGCCTGATCCCCTTGAGGTAATCCCTGGTGCTATCCGCCTGACCTATAGCCCTAGACGTCAGATACATAATCCTGTATCCGTTCCTAGCTATATCGGTGTAGAGTTTTGCTACTCCAATATGTGTCCAATCGCGACCTATCATGGTAAAGACGTGACCGAGGGCGTCGGATTTGGTGATGGTTCCGTCGATATCCGATACGACGATCTTGTGGGATGATTCCCAGAGGAAAATGCGAGCGGAACAGGTAGCGACGCCGGAGTAGGAGGAGGTCACCGAAAAGGTGATTGAGTTGGCTCCTTTGCGTAGGTTCAGGGATTTGAGTTGGTCCGAGGTGAGACGAAGCGTTTTTGCGTATGTTTTGCCGGTGCGTTGTGCAGCAGCGGAGGCGGAGGCAGTGGCGGTGGCGGTAGGGGTAGTGATTCCAAGGGGTTTTGAAGAGGAGGAGGTGGTGTTGGGATCCGTTTGGGAATCGAGAAGCATAGAGTCGGTGCTGGATCTTTCCAAGCGAGCTTCGACGGCTTTGTTGGCCATACTGGGCTTATCGTTGAGTGACACAGTTTCCGCTTGCGAGTCGGCGGCGGCCTTGAGATCAGGAATACTCTTACTACTTCCCTTCCACCATCTTGACCAATAACTACCGCTTCCACCCACATTTACCTCCTCTTCCGCTTCTTCCTCCCCATCCTCCCCTCTACCCGAAAGTGTTCTCCTGTACAAAGAAAGAGTAGCTAGAACAGCACTTGCATTTTCCCAAGTCAAAAATCGATCATGATACCTTATCACCAACCTTTCATCATTCACCACATCTTGATCATGGGCAAACCTTTCAAAGGAAACCCTGTTCTCTCTGAACACGTACTCATCCGCCTCTTCATCCCGTCCGAACCCTTCGGAATAGCATAAACTCAGCTCGAAAGAGTGAGATGAATCCTCTAGCTGCAAGAGGAAAGTGTACGGCTCGGAATCTGAACTCGTCAGCTTGCCCGCTACTTGACCCCCGGCAGTGTGCCTTCGAAGTGCTTCCAGCGCCGTTGCATTCGAAGAAGAAACAAAGGGGCGAGACAAGGGATCGTATCCATCGGTACTAGCAAATCTCGTTCGGCGACGGTCAGAAGGTTGACCAGTGCGGGTGGACGAGGTGGAATCTGACGCGCGAGGATCGGCCCATTGCCATCTACCATTGTTCGATAATCCCAGGTGTGCTGTGCTAGTATCGCCGAGGTATGCGGGTGGGACTTCTTCGCTTGGCATTCGTAGCTCGCGCAAGCTCGAAACGACATCGGAAACCGAGTAGGATCCATCGTCAGCAGAATTCTCCGTAGAGTTGGATCTTGCTCTAGGCACTTCAGCTTCCGTATCCGACAGCGAGAATTCGTGGGTGTGCCGAGAGTGAGGGTTGTTGCGACGCTGTCTACTCCCCGAGCGACCAGGACCCTGCTGTTGCTTACGATTGTTCAACGATGCATGTCTCCTCAAACTCTCTTGTGGAGCTTTCGGCTGTCTCCTTCCCCTGAGCCTCAGATCCGCATCAGTACCATCTCCAACCCCGCCCGAAGCTCTATTCATCCTCGCCAATCTCGCCAAATCCCGCGACAACTCCAATTCATCCTGATGGCAGCCACTCTGCCCCTGCCCTTGCATCGATCCCAAGCGGGGGGAAGCATGTTGAGAGTTAAACTTGACCAAATTGGCCGCTACGGTATCATCCATACTCTCCCTCCTCCCTCCTTGCCTCTCTCTACTCTGCGCCCTTCCCCCCGACCTCTGGGATCTGTAATCCACCGAAAAACTAGGCCTATGCGTTTTAGTCGCACTCCCTCTCCTCATCGCCGTGGTCGAAGAGCCCGGGAGACTAACCTTATGCTGATGCCCTGGCGCATTCAATCGATCCGAATGACCATGTCTTCCCTTGCCGCCATGTCTCCTAGCCAGTGGCATCTCGTCTGCGAAGCGATGTCCCTCTTGATATGCGAGGACTTCACCGTCGGAAGTCATCTTATATCCATCCATGTCGAGCATGTATTGCAGGTCTTGTTTGCCATGTTTCACTTTGACTGCCCCCACTACGTCTTGGTCTGCTTCAACCTGGTTGTGGAGGTCGGGGTGAGGTGGATCGTCATCATCATTATCATCGTCGTCGATAGCGGTATCTTGATCATCCCCATCATCCGGGTTGGTTTGTCGGAGGAGCTTATGTTGGTTATGGCGGTAGATGTGAGTAGAAGCATCCGTCATGGCCGGATCGATCGTTTTCCCTCCCTCATCCGCAATTGGGACAGGCTTCATTCTTTTTCCGGCGAGGTACTCAGAATGACGGATGGAATCAACTGCTTGAGTCTTGCTCCTACTCAGACTCCTACTTCCTGCTCCGAATGGTGCTGGGTATGCTTCTTCCCCTTCATCTCCCCCTTCATCTCCCCCTCCCCCTCCCTCTGCTTGAGCTTCTGCGTCAGTTTCACCTTGAACAACAGCAAAAGCTTTATTCCTCAACTCTTGCTCTAAATTGTGCGTCTCATTCGGCGGCGTACCGCGCTCCTTCTTACCAGCATCTTCTTGGGCGGCTTGCTGTCGCTTCTTCCCCCTCGAGGCAGCCTCTTCCGGCTCATACTGATGAGCATCTTGGCGGTCTTGATCAACAGGCGCACCAGTTGGTTGCTCTGTACCATCCTCCCTTTGCGCCTTCTCCGCAGTCTTATCCAACCGCGGATTACCACTATCACCGATAACTGCTCTCCCCGCAGCACCAATAACTCCACTCGCTTTCGAAGCCGCACTTCCGACCTTATCCAACAACGAATCCGAACCCGCCGCACCACCCGATCCGGTCTTGGTCGAGTCGTCAGGAAGACTCAAATCCCGGCTTAAGTTGTGGCTACTATTAGCATCCATGTCTTCAGGATTATCTTGGTCGATGTTCGTCGGTACATGGTCGGGCCTTTCTGCTTCGCCTAACACCAACGGTTCCACCTCGTCGCCGAACGCCTCTTCCCCCACCTGTTCGCCCACAATGGGACTGCCGGCGGCACTTATAATAGGAGAGGTAACCAGTTCATCCGGAATACGTCGGCGCTCCTCGTCGTCATCGATTTGCAAGACGAAAAAAGCCTCGCCCGAGTGGCCGACCTTCATGGCAAAGGGTAACGGATGCTCGCTATTGTTAAGATGCAGAGTGACTTTGCGCTCTGCTGGACGGAGAACGGACATTTTGCCAAAGCGAACATGGAAAGGCGTGCTTGCGAGTTCGGTGATAGTGCGTGAAACCGTTTTGGATCGACGTTGGGAGGGTGGGAAGAGAGAAGCTTCGGAGGCGGAAAGCGGATTACCGGAGAGATCGGTTTGGATTTGTTCGGTGGTGGTGATCGTTCGTTCGACAACGATTACGTCGATTGCGCCAGAGAGGGTGGCGGGATTTATGTTCGGGGTGATGGTGTTGTATACCGTAGAGACCAACTTGCCTACGTACTGCATTGTGGTGGTGATGGGTGGCTAGATGCCAGGGGAGCAAGGGAGTGAGTGATGATGACAGTGGATGAGAGCCTGCTGAAATCGATGAGAGAGGGTCCAAGTTTGCAATAATGTTGAAAGCAGACAATCCAACATGATGATGTAAGCAGGACATAAGGCGATATGAGATAGATCGGGCAAAGCAGATCGGGCAAAGCAGATCTGATCGGAGATTAGACAGAGACAATCACGCCAGGAATCGGATGCAACCTCACTCGTTGTCAGGCATCGTCATTAAGTAGATAGCGCCCACACTCGGTATCAGCCTCAGAGATGTATATGTATTTAGCTCGAGAACACTAGATTCTCGCCATGTTCACTTAGTCAATTGAGTATACATGTTTCTGTCTAAACCAGCAGTGACATCGTACTTAGACTCTCCCCGATCGCCAGTTATCGGGTCTCAAACGTCTTCACTTTTCAATAAATAATACACTGCGCCAGCCAAATCTGATCCTTTTTTATTTTCTTTTCTTTTTCCTTTTTCCTTTTTCCTTTTTCCTTTTTCCTTTTTCCTTTTTTCTTTTTCCATTTTCTTTTTCTTTTTCCATTTTCTTTTTCTTTTTTGGGTTACGACGCACGGGGCAACTTCGATTCTCTGCTTGCCGACTTTAAGCGCTCATATGTGTATAGGCCCTCGGTCGGTCATCTTGCTCCAACCTCCTTCCACCATCTCAAACTACAATGTCAGTTGAAATCGAATACTTCGGACACCTTTCCTCGACCGACCCTCACCCGCAATCATTCATCAAACCACAACCGTTCACCACCGCTTTCGGCGAAACTAAAGACCCGATCCTACACATCGCAGTAGCGCAAGTCTTACCCGATCAATCCGGCTTACACTCCAACAACAACGGTGGTGATCATGGTCGTTCGGCAGGATTGGAAAAGTTGGAGAGATGGGCGAGTGGGGCTGCGAGTAGCGGGGCGGATGTAGTGGTCTTTCCTGAGTATTTTCTAAGTGGGGCTACTCGTGAGCTGTGGAGCAAGGTTAGAGAGGCTCAACGAGAGAGGGCGAATGATGGTCGAGTGTGCGAGGAGGGTCGAGAGGAAAAAGCATGGATACAAGTGATTATTTCCGTCGCACAAAAGTTCGATATCGACATTGTTGCTGGCACGGTTGTCGAGTTGGGGACCCAACCCCATGCCGACCTGCTTTCCAACCATCCGGTAGGCGGAGGTGCCGGGGATAAGATTCCTCATCGACCACCGCAAAAAGCCAAACCAGACCAAAACAAAGAAACACAAGATGCTTTGTTCAACACATCCTACTACATCTCCCGCCAAGGAAAGGTGTTGCATCGCTACACAAAACAAAACCTTTGGCATCCAGAAAGAGAAACCCTCCTCCATTCCCAGCAACACACCCACCCAGCGCAACATCACGGCCCCAGCACCTTCCTAATCCAGACCAAACGCGGCACAAAGCTTCGAGCAGCAATGGCGATATGTTGGGATCTAGCTTGGTACTCACGCTTCCATCAGATGCTTACGCCACCTTATGAGGAGAGTAGGCCCTCCGATTTGGATAAAGAGGGACAGGTCAAGGGACCGGATGTAATTTTCGCCCCAACATGTTGGTATGCTTCCGATGGTGGGGCTAAGGCCTTGTTGTGGAATGGTACGGGAGAGGCGCAGATGTTGGATACCTTGTGTCTAGCGAGGGCGGTGGAGCTGGAGGCTTTACTTGTCATGTGTAATGTCGCAGGACCCTACATGACCGAGGAGAAGGTGAGCCAACTGAGGCAAGAGTTGACCAAGCAGATTGAGATGGGCAAGGGGGAGCGGGAGATGGAAACGCCGTTGATAGGGTTAGGCAGGAGTAGGATTTGTGCACCCTTTTTGAATGTTGTTGCCCAAGTCGAGGATCAGAGGGAAGTGATGTTATTGCAAAGTGTGGATTTGAACTTGTTGAGGCATGCTAGGGAGATGTATCGGATGCGATATGACCATGCACACAAGTGAGCCATCCTTTGGATTCAATTGCAATCTCTCTTTACTCAACTGACTGGCTCGCAGTGTGACGTTAGCTAGAAATGAATGTCTGCTGCATTGCAAGGTACCAAGGAATGGCCAAGGACAAGTTCAGCGCAGAGGACCATCACGACCAAGGCCATCAGCATTCTCCTCTCTATCACTATCAGTCTCCGCTCCAACATCCCACACCGTCTCCTGCACCTCATCCTCTTCTTCATCCCTCTTGTCTCCCCCCACCAATCTCTCCAATTCATGATCGCCCCCAACCCCCGACGCACCACCATTCTCCCCTCCAAACTCAGCCGTAGAAGCCAAGCTGAGGGCATTCCCCCTCCCTATCCTCCCTCTCTCCAACCTTTTCCTCTTTCTCGCCCTGAGCAACAACCACGTTCCCACGCTAACCGCAATCAGCAAAATCACCAATGCTAAAGACCCTGCATCGTAATAGGCTCTCCACCTAGCTTCCTCCGCTACCATCTCCTCTGTCTTTCCCGTTCCTGGGATCAATGGACTTCCATCGCCACCCATTGCTGCCAGACCCCCACCTCCGCCTGTAATAAGCACTCGATCTGGTTCGTTGCCAACGCGGGAGGGGATGAGAGCATTGGGACCGGCTACTTTCATATAATCGATCTCCATAAACCTAATAATCATATCGTGACTTTCAACAGGTTTGTCCACTCCTACCATGTGACTTGCTCCCTTCACGCCTACATAGGTCAGGTTTCGAGAGCTACGCCAACTACCAGCAACTGCGCCGTTGACGATCCATTCTTGCTCGGGCAGATCGCCGAATCCTTTACTTCCACCCCAGCTGAGGTTTTCAGCTGTACGCTTAACCCCGATCGAGTTGCAGATTAGATCTTCCTCCCCAGCGAACAACAGCACTTTCAGCCCACTTTCGAGGAGATCGGGTAGAAGCTCGACCGAGGGTGGAGAAGTGGTATCCGACCGCATAGCAGAACCAACATTACTATTACACTCGATCCAAGCTTCCGGTTTACGTGCTTCATCTACGTGCAACGCCCTTCTAACATCGTCCCTCCGAAGATAATCGTACATCTCTGACAAGGTCAGAGGCCAGTTCATACCGCAAGCTGGAGAAGTATCGCTCAGACGAACGTCGTACATGTTGATACACGTGTAATCTTTTGCACCTGGCAGCTTGGTGGTGGTGGATGCGATGATGTTTTGGAGGATCTCTTCGCATCTGTTCACTTCTCGCGAAGTGGTTGTTGGGGTGGAAAGGCGTTCGAGTTCAGCTTTACAATCTTGGACGATGCGAGCGACACGTTTGTAGTCGGCAGAGGAAGGGGACCAGATGTTTTTAGCGACCATGGTCTCGAGTTCGGTGCCGTACTGGTTTTTGGGATCGATAAAGCCGTTGCCGATTGCAATTCCTTTAAGGGAAACGGGTGGGGAGGGAGATTTGACGATGGCTTTGGCGGTATAGGGGATGTACTGACCAGCGAAACTTTCACCGGCGAGATAGACGTCGACTCCGCTGCCTTGGTTTCCGAATTTGAGCTCTACATCGCGAGAGTATTCGGGGAACACTTGGATGAAGGATTGAAGGAAGGTCACCACTTCGTCTGCTGCTTGTGGGAGGGAGGTGGTGTAAGCGTTGGTGTTGACGTAGCTGAAACCTGTCCCGACGGGCTGATCGAGGAAGAGGATGTCGGCGTATTCGTTCCAACTAGCTCCATCTTTGACCCAGACGAGACCACCTTTGCCGTCCATTCGCCAGGCTCCCACCTCCATCATTGCACCGTCGAAGGAGGAACAGCCAGGACCGCCGTTGAACCAGATGATGAGTTTGCGTTTGGCTGGGACATGACGTGCTCGTAGGAGGAGGAAGAAGAGGTGGGCGTTGTCTTTGGGTTCATTGTTGGCTGCGGCGAGTCGAGCGGGGAGGTAGCCGGCTGACATTTGCAAAGGGTGTGCGACAGCGGAGGAGGAGGCTTCGGCGTGGAGGTCGGGCAGACCGGGAACGTGGAAGGAGGCGGCGGGTGGGATGGGGATGTCACGCCGCCGCAGCACTTCGCGGGGGTCTAGGAGGGGCATTGCCGAGTGTTGCTTGTAGAGTCGCTACTGCTATGCTCGATGAGATGTGCTTCCATAAGAGAGGGAATATGCGAGACGAGACCGCAGTTTCCAGCTGTGGTCGATGTTGATGATGATGGTGATGGTGGTAGTCAAGTATGGCATTCACTTCTGCGCTTGTGCTTGTACAGTCTCAGTTTTTGCTCGGCGTGTGTTCTGTTTCTGTATGGGTGGTCTGTGCGTGTCAAAACAGCGGGACAGCTCAGCACGGCTTTGATATTTGCTCTTTATGATGTTAGACCGCAGTCCTTCACACCAAGTCAGAAATGCGGCTGCATTCAGGGTCCAATCTGTGCACCTTTGCTTGCCGACATCCCCGGCTTACCTTGCTTGTCTTGCTTGTCTTGCTTCGTCCATGTGTCCTGACAGTGTGTTGCGCAAATGCGCTCCTGCTACGCCTTTCGCACAACGGCGCCAGCACCATGGACGGCAGCGAGACCGACTCGTTCCCATCACCAGATCCTCAAGTCATACTTCAAAAGCTGCTAAGGCAGGCACAAACCGGATCGCATCCACACCACGACTCCTCCCCAGCCTCGAGCGACGATGAGGAGGACCACTCATCAGCTAGCTCAGCCGGTATTGACGCCGAAGAGAGCGATGGTGTTGATGATCAAGTAGCATCTTTGCAACTCTCCGCCGCTCCCACTGGCTCCTATGACCAACTGTCGATCACACTCTCCCGCCTAACCGCAGACAGACGAGAGCTCTCCACCCTCCTCTCGGCAAGACGACACCTTACCACCGCTCAAAGGCGCAATTCAACTCACATCCGAGCTCTCGAAAAGTCCCAGCAACTCCTGCTCAAAACTCGCGATGAGCTCAAATCGGCACTCAACTCTCTCGATCTAGCTGACATCGTCGATGCTGAAGATCAATCTCTCGAAGTCATCCGCACACATCGCTATGCGCAAGACGCCGCCTCCATTTCTCCTTTCTCCGCCAACATGGTCTATCAGATCCCCTTGCTCCGACTGCAATCTATCGAGCGGGCCGAGTACGATAATGCACTAGGCAGCAGGGTGTGGTTAGAAGTCGAAGATCGGCAGTTGAGAGCGGCGGTGAAAGCTGCAGCACTGAAACAGCATACGCTTGCTCTGGCGATGGATCCCAAGTTCAAGGGTGATCCCCTAGCTGAGGCGGCCAAGTTGGATGAGGTGTCGGCCTTGAGGCTTGCTGAAGAGATCGAGGACAGTAAACAGCCACAGAGGGGATTTGGGAGCGGGAGAGGCGATCAAGGTTTAGATTGGGCAACGATTGCGGGCAGAATACCAAGTAGGAGTATTGAAGAACTGAGGACGAGGTGGAATGGTGTGATCAAGCCTAGTGTAAATAGTGACGCTTGGGGGAAGCACGAGGTTCAGGATTTGGTTCGGATCGTTACGCCTTATTTAGAAGCTCATCTCGCTCGGGGCACACAACAATCGAGCTCATCAGCGAGTGAAGCTCCAGTCCCGTGGCAAAAAGTAGCACGGGAGCTAGGGACAGATCGCACAGGCTATGCATGCTTCGTAGCCTATTGCAGTGCTATTGTTGCTCGTGATCAACCCGATTTCACCGCGGAGGAGGATGAAGAGATCAAGGAACTTTTCTCCTTGTTTCGTGGTGCATGGCGGTTTATTGCTCTTCATAGCAGCGCCGGGCTCAATCTCTCCCTTCCCTCCTCCTCCAGCACCGCTACTGGGACACCTCGACCAGCAAGTTTGTTGGGAAAAGTAGCCCGAGAAGCACAACTCGTCTACCGCCGATTCCGAAACACAACCGACCCAGCACTGGCGACCGGCAAATGGTGGCCTGTAGAAGACGCGCTGCTCATCGAAGCTGTGTGTGCAGTCGGACAAGAGAATTGGGCTGCAGTTGCGGCAAGGGTACCAGGTAGAACTTCAAGCCAGTGTAGAGAGAGGTGGGTGAGGAGGTTGAAGCAGGTCCTCGAGGATGCCAACGCGGTCGCAGCGGAGAATCAAGGCGACAGAGAGGCGCTGGACGTAGAAAGATTGGCAGAAATGGTGAAGAGCAAGAAAAAGACAAACTGGACTCAGGAGATGGATCAAGTGCTATTGGAGTGCTTAGATGCAGACAACGAGTTTCGGGGAAAGCAAGGGAGAAGTTTTGCTAGTATAGCGAGATGGGTGGCGGACAAGGTGGCTGTACCTTTGAGCGATAAGAGCGTCAGAGATCGGGTTGTGTATTTTAGGAGGACCAGGGGGCAGAGCTCTCAGGGCGGTGCGAGTAAGAGGTCTGCTTCGCAAGCTCAAGAGGCGGAAGAAGCAACGGTTGCTCCTGTCACTACTACTGACACTCATGGGGGAGAACAGGCTTCGACCACATCACAGCCACCGGAGCAAGCGCCTGCAACAAAAGAAGCAACCAGACAACGCACAGCTATCATTCCTGGTAGCAAGCGCCGTAAGCTCTAATACCATCCGATAGCATTCACATGCATATCGTGGATTGATGTTGCACTCGGACAGGTTGTTATGTAGCATGTAGCTATCTACCCCGATCACTCGGTGTATTTCTGTTTCTCACCCTCCCGATTACGATCCAATTCTTAGCAGCTGTCATGGAAAATCACGTGACGTGAACCATTCCCAAGGTCTTCCGACTTTGAGTCGACACTTTTTTTTTTTTTCCTGTTTCCCTGGCGATTCCTATTGCTGCTGACACCATCATTGATCTCGACACATCAGGAACCTTGGGACCGTATCTCGTTACCTTTACTTAATAGCTATCTGGCCTGCAGTCAAGCGGTACATCGGCTTAGTCCAATACAGGGGGGAACTCGCTGGGCGGAGCTGGATCGCATCTTTAACAAACATGGCTTCCATCTTCCGAACAGCGCTAGTCGTAAGGCGGGCTGTAGCTGGACCATCCTCCACCACCGCCTCCTTTTCAACTTCTGCCTCACGCTGGATTGCGGACAACAAGAATGATGCTTCTCCTGCAAGAGAGCATCGACCACGTTCCGCAGTTGGACCGAATGCACCGGGTCAAGGGAGTTCGGTTCGACATTCGAAAGAAGAAAACTTGGGTGTTGCACCCAAAGCTACTAAAGGGAGTAAGACGCAAAGAGATGCAATCAATTCTGCTATGGGGGTATTAGATTCTCTTGCTAGAGATGTCGCTTCTTCTTCCCCACCCCCTTCCCCCTCTGCTTCTGCTTCTACTGAGGCTTCTAGCGCTTCTTCTTCCGCTTCGACCTTGCCCGGCACAGGTTCAGCTACGGCTCAGCAAGATTCGCTGATCCCCACACCTTCCTCCCTAGCCCTTGACTCAATGGACGACTCGACCAAGGGACCCATATATACACCTACCACTCTCCCACCAAAATCGGACCCCACTCTCGATTTTCTCACCAATCTGCTCATGAAAGATGGGAAAAAAGCTCAAGCGCAAAGGTTCACCACTCGAACGCTCTCGATCATTTCCAACATTACAAACTCTAACCCGCTCCCCCTCATCCACGATGCGATCTCCCGAACCGCACCGCTCGTAAAGATGCGAAGTAAAAAGCAAGGCGGGAAATCTCTACAGGTCCCAGTAGCACTTACCAGGAGGCAAAGTGAAAGAAAGGCGTTGAAATGGATCATCGACGCATCTAAAAAGAGACCGGATCGGGAACTGGAGAGAAGGCTAGCAGCGGAAATCTTAGCAGTCGTTGAGGGAACGAGCAGTGCTATTGGGAAAAAGGAGGAACAGCATAAGATTGCGACGGTGAATAGGGCCAATGCTTCCGTTAGGATCTAAGCCTTTGCACTCCATCGCTTCATGGCCGAATGATAATGTGGAAGGAAAAGCATTGCGAGAGTGGTTTGAGATGGGGGGGGGGGGGGTTGCTTTTCATGTACTCAAACGCCTCCCTACTTCTTATCTCGAGGCTGGCAAGGTTGGTTGATCAGTGCTTAGACTCTTCGTAAGCGTCCAAAATTCTCCTCTCGCTGTCTTTGGTCACCTCTTTTCCATGTGTGTATCCACTGCCGACCTCGGTACTGGCAGTTGTAGGTTGCATTTGATGTCCTTCTGCAGTACCATCCCATTCTGTCTGTGCAGGGTAGTTGTAACCCGCAACTGTTGCCTTGCCCAATTTTTCGCTTCTCCAATTCAACCATTGCACCACCGTCGCGGCCATGGTCAAGGGAATTGCGATCAAGGCCATGTAGAATCCTGGACCGGGCATGCTCTTGGCTGCGTTATCGGTCAGCTTATTCATCTGGCGTTGAACGTATACGAATAGGGCAATGTCGATACAGAATGCCACCAATGCCAGTAAGCTGGCTATAGCGAGTACTACTGTTGCTGCTAGACGGATCACTTGTTTTGGAATCGCAGTTAACACCAACCCAAGGAGAGCAGCTACAAAAGCAACAACATGAACCGCAAGACCTCTAGTCCAACTGGAACCGATAGTTACACTTTCCCTAGCAGCAGTGGAGGAATCGCTGGGGTTGATGCCAAAGGTTGCCGAGTAGCCATGAGATCGTTTGAAACAGGAAAAGTTGGATGTTCCATTGAGAGAGCTGCAGTAGCCCCAGGTTCCGAATTTAAGACCACCGACAAGGCGTTTTTCGTTGGATCCCGGTGTAAGGTCGACGATGCCGTCGAGGGAAGAGGATCGGGCAAAATCGAATGGTGTTGAATCGGAGAGTGTTGTAGGCGTGGAAATGGTAATCAGGACGAGGAGGATCATTGAGATCGACGAGATTGCCAATGCTGGGATCCAGTATCGTCTCGTCATCTTGATAATGTCACCCCGGATTTGGGTTTGGATCCGATAGCTTTGAGAGGAGGCCAAGGTTAAGTGTTGGTGAAGGCGGTTGAAGAAAGAGAAACCGAGATGCGTTGATCCTGAGCGGGAGGGATAGAGAGGGATAGAGAGCAAGAGAGAGGAGAGCAACTGCGATAAGGTGGGGCTGATATTTCGCACGTTCCCCTTGCAACCCTCTCGCTGTAAGGCTGAAAGGCGTGTTTTCTTTTTGGTGTTTTCTTTTTGGTGTTTTCTTTTTGGTGTTTTCTTTTTGGTGTTTTATTTTTAGTGAAAGCATATGACTTCTACTCCGAGCATGTAATTTAGTAAAAGCATCTGATCTAGCGCGAGAAAGTAACCAATAAGGGGGTATCAATTTTCGAGTGTTTTTAGAAACACGTATTTCTCGATTTTGACCTGTTTTTATTTCGCACAATTATCTTACGTAAGCTCACTCAAAATTGGGGGAAAAAAAAAAAAAATTCGAAAAAAAAATCATGTGTTAGTTATCGGCCTTGACAACGCGTGGAAACTCCCACCCGAAAGGGGCAAGTCGGAAGATCAGAAATTGTGCCAGGCAGGAGTGGAGAGGTCAAGGGGTTGGTCAGCATTTTTGTAGAGCACCACTCCTGCAGTTGCTGCACAATCAGCTGCTGGCTTGTCAACATATCACCAGAAGCAGTCACTGTACCAGCATCTGAGTCCTTGGATGGTAGCATTGTCAGTGCTGTTGGCCACCATCCAGCAAGACCAACCCAATTGGTGATGGCATTTGTCATGGGACCAGATGTGCAGGAAGCAGGAAGGACTGGAATCACTGAAGGAGAGACCATGCACAGGAATCACAGGTTTGGGCAAAATGAAGGGTTACAACAGAGTTCATTGAAATTGGTAGTAGTGAGGGTCTACAACAGGATTTGTCCAAATTGGTACAAGTGGGATCTTACAACAAAGCCTGCTGGAATCCATAGTATCATGATTGTATGACAGATCTTGCAGACACCAGCAAGAGGATGCCAATATCATGGATGGGTGGTAATGACATCTGGGTCTGCCAACCCAATGAAGCAGGGGGCCTGCTTGATGACAAACTCAGGGCTGGAGGATGGATGAGATGAAGAAAGGGGCAAGTTGCCACTCAGATGAAGTGGGAGTGGCCCCTATCAATGACGAAACAACACAAAGACCTCCCATTTGCAGGAGAGAAGGGGAGCAGTACCATTGAGCGACATCACAAGGCAGGCAGAGCGAGAGAGGAGGAGCAGCACTCGAGGAGACCTCCTAGAATAGAAGCAGTGTTGCATCATGGGACCGGATGGATGCACAGGAAGAACGGAACTCATATGAAGAGATCTTGTGCAACCATCATGGATCAGGTGAAAGTAGAGTTCCAACAGAGTTCAGTGAGCTCAGTAGGATCAATGGCTCTATGACATAACTCATCATGATTGGTAGGAACATGGGTCTTGTTACAGGAGTAGAATCAGCAGGAAAGTAGAGTTCTGACAGGGATCAGTGAGATTGGTAGGATCAATGGCTCTATGACATAACTCATCATGATCAGTAGGAACACAGGTCTTGTTACAGGAGTCAGTAGAATCAGCAGGGCCATGCTTGCTACAACAGGCCTCATGGGAATAGGTTTGGGAGAAACCTCTATTGCCAATATGGCAAGGGGATGACAACAAACAAGGGAGGGGCTGCCACCATATGAAGCAGGGACCTTGCACAACAATGTGTCAGTGGTCACACTCCTGAAACCTGAGATCGGTAGTAGTGTCGATACTATTACCGATTCTGTCAAGTTATGCGACAACACTAGTGGTATTTCGATTCTCAGTGAAATATGTGATAGAGCCATCTCTATCACTTTTCTTGCTCAAATCTGTAGTTGTAGTAATGCTATTGCAGATTTCGACTAACTGCTGTGGACACTCTGTCCAGAGGTAGCTCAGCATGATCAATATCAATACATTGGTGGTGATCTTGTGATGACACCAAGGTCTGGTGTGAGTATCTTGTTGATGATGAGGTTGGTGGCATTGACATGAGTGTCCAGTGTGTTGACTATCGCTTGAGGTGATCCCTGGACCACAGTGGACTACTGCCTTTGGTTCTATCTTTATCTGGGCCACTGGTTTGCTATGAACCACCATCAGACATCAGTGAGCAGTGATACAACACATGCACTACAATGAGGAGTAACCTATCGATTACTACTATGCTGACTGAAAACTAATGTATACTTATGCTGAAGTGATAACTAGTTTATATGGTGTGTAGAGTGGATGGGGATCCACTCAACCACTTGTGATGAGAAGGTATGGTTATATACCTCTTCACAGCGTCGCCAGCGACACTGCTCCGGCCCTCTCTCCAGAGAGTACCTTCTTTGCCAAGTACTATACTGGAGTCTCTGATGAGACACCTCTGTCATGGGCCTGAATGCTCAAGAAGCAGGAGGGTCACTGGTTCATATGGAAGGAGCACAGGTATCAGAGATCTAGTCGATACCAGTAGAGAGCATGGTTGTAGTGCAGTCTCCATGGAGACCATAGACTCCTATGGACTCACATGCAAAGGAGGACCAGGCCCATATGTGAGGAGGGCCAGGCACAGCCATGAAGAGGACCAAGCTCAAGGAGCATGCAGACAGTTACCACTCAGGGGCTCGAGAGACAAGAGTCAAAAGAACCATCACCAGTCAAAGGAGAAGGAGCAGTGTATAGGGAACTGGAAAGCAGGTCCTGAGGAGGAGGAGCAGTGTCGAAGGAGTCGACACCACTCAGGAGGCACAGGGGTGCCAAGCAAGCAGGATAGCTCAAGGAGGACAGGAGTGGTGCTAGAGGGGCCCCCTGTACAGTACTCGATGAAGAAGGTACTCTCTGGAGAGAGAGAGCAGGAGCAGCATCGCTGGCAACGCTGTGAAGAGGTATATAACTGTACTTTCTCATCATCAAAGGTCAAGTGGATCCTCATCCACTCTACTCACCATACAACTAGTCAATACTTTAGAAACATAAGTACTCATTAGTTACAGTCAGCATAGCAGCAATCTATCAAGGTTGCTCCTCATCATAGTGTGTGTGTTGTATCACCACTACCTGATGTCCGAAGGCAGCCCATAGCAGGTCAGCAGTCCGGATATAGATAGAACTGAAGGCAGTAGTCCACTGTGGTCCGGGGATCACCTCAAGCATCAGTCAACACACTGGACACTCATGTTGATGCCACCAACCTTATCACCAACACCATCAACCTCATCATCATCAACACTCACACCAGACCTTGGTGTCATCATAACCTACACATTGACATTGATCGTGCCAAGCTACCCCTGAACAGAGTGTCCACAGAGGTCAGCCAAAACCTATGATAGTATATACAATGGATGCCACCAGCTGTCATTGCACAACTTGATAGTCACTGAGCAACTAGCTCATCGAGACCGATACCGAGACAATAGCTGTTGCACAGTTTGATAGTCACCGAGTATCTCGACAGACCGACCTGGGTTTCAGGCACGAGACCCCTGACAAGGTGTTGCGGGTGACACCAATCAAATGCATAAATACTCTCATTCTACCATAGCATATGAGTGGATTCTCATCCACTCTACTCTATACTTTACATACTCTTTACTTGACTCATAGTTATGTATCATTGCAATAGCAGAGCTTTGCAATGACACCTCAAACATGTGTGTTGCTCACTGTTGAGCATCAACTGTAGGCAGTGTTACTCAACACCTGCAGTCCAGTCCCTTACTGTAGGCAGTGTTTGCTCAACATCTGTGGTCCAGTCAGTTATTGTAGGTGGTGTCCAACACCTGTCGTCCAGTAACTCCCATCCTCTGTAGGTGATAAGCATATCATGGCCCAGATGACATTAGAGAGCATTAGCAACAGTACTATGAACACTTGTACTGTAAAGAAGGGTGTACTACTCTCCCTCCAAAGAATAATGGATGTGCTGTGCAACCTCTGAACAGAATGTTCAAGGCAGTCAGCTGAGACCTACCAGTATGAAGCTGTCTGGTTACATTTAGTCGAAACATCCCAAGTAGATCTTACTCAATTGTCCTCACTGATACCAATCAGAAACACCCAATCTGGTTTCTGGTGCACAACCGCTTGCAGCTACCTCTGGACAGAGTGTCCACAGTGGTCAGTTGAAACCTGCAATTGCAATCAATCTACCACAGGTTTGAGTGAGGAAAGTCATAGAGTCCTCTCTATGACATATCTCAACAAGAACAGTAATACACAACATGTTGTCACATATCTCGACAGGATTTGTAATAGACACATTTCTATTACAGATATCAGGTTTCAGGTGCGAGACCTCTGACACTGGGCATCTGATGCCAATACAGACTGGAAAAGCACCTCTGGTTCAATCATTAAGATGTATGGTGGTGTTGTTACATGGAATTTGCATGTTCACAAATGTGTTGCTAGCTCAGTTGTTGAAGCCAAATACATTGCTAGTTCAGTAGCCACTTGAGAAGTGCTGTTTCATAAAGCCTTTCTCTGAGACCTTGGGTTTGGATACCATATGCCCATAGTGTTTGCTGACAATACAGGTTGCATTCAGGTGGCAAAGGATCCTGTAGTGCACTCGAAACTTAAACACATTGATACTAAGTACCACCTCCTTTGCAATCATGTACAGGAAGGCAATATTGATATGCAATACATCAAGACTGATAATAGTGTTGCCGACTTCCTCACCATGCCAGTCTCTCAACACCTCTTAGCTTGCACTCGTCACATTAACGCCTACTTGGCTCACTCAGGTGTATACCACGTTAGCTGGATCGAATGTCGCGACACTGGCATCGGAATACCGGTTAACAGATAGCTGACACATCCTTCTTATTGTGTTTCAGTCTCATCGTCCTATCATACTTGCTTACACAGAATGCTGGGCCATATATATTTGAATCACCATGTACTTAGTATATCATAATCTATCACAATCGACATTTGTGATGAACAACATTTGACATACCTACTACAACATCGGAGGGGATCATTCGAACTCGCTTCCGAATACATTGTTGACTTTATTCGAGACCTGCCAACCAGCAGTTGCTGCTGCTAAACCTCCTAATTGCACCATGAGCCCTGCGACACTTGCCATGAGAAACCTAGGAGTCCAGAGTTTAAACAGCATCAGATGTCGTCTGAACACCAGTGCGCTTAGTGCGCCTAGACTAAGCAGCAATACGGTGCTATAAAGCGTCGTTGTTAGTAGGGCAGCCAAGATGTGTTGTGTTGTGAACATTTTCTTTGCGCTCCCGCGGGGTTGGGGTGTAGAGTTCCATAGCACGCATAGAACGGTGAGGAGGGGTGGTAGGAGAGTTAGCTGACCGAAACAGTTGAGGAGGACAAGGAGAGGTGATAGGGGGTAGGAAAGAGTGGGGGAGGTTAGGAAAGCAACTCTCCATTGGATTGTTGCCAATGTTGCCTGGTGGCCTGTGGAGAAGAATGCTAGGTGGGATAGGAGGCTTAGTGTTGCGATTTCGGATGAGGAAAGATGCGGAGGGCGGGTTGGGGATAAAGGGTTGTGTTTTTGATCGTATAAGATGAGTGTATCTCGTTCGGCATGACCCAGCTCAAGAGCCAACATAGCAGCCAGTATTACCGCTGCAAGAGAAAGTTGTCCCGCAGGTTGGGTGAGCAACCATAACAAACTGACTACTATGCCCACCAAGAGGAGGTAGCTTGAACCTAACGAGTTTGCGTAGCCTCGGATCGTAACTTTCTGCTTATTCTCCTCCCGCTCAGGCGACGCCATATTCGCCGGTTCCTGTCGGATTTCGAGACAAAGCGGTGCAAAAATCCAGAAAAGGAGTGCAAAAACACAAAGCAACACCAAATCCACCTTGGCCACCCATCCTTTCAACCAATCCAATCTCTTCCCCCACCCACTTTCCACTACAAAGTCCTGAGGAAGAATCCAATCCAACAGCCAATATCCACTTCCCAACATCAAAGTCGGCCTTAGCCCAAAGTTGAAGAAAAGCGGTGCTATGCCAACAAAGCTTTTACGCTGACCCAAGAATTTGGCTAGGAGGGTGGGTAGTAGGTAGGCGAAGAGATAGGATACGATCATTAAGTAGGGAGAGTTGAGGGCTTCTGTGGAGAAAAATGTCGATTTGCAGTGAGCAGCTTGCTCTTCGCGACAGACTTTGGAGATGGATGCCAGACGGACGAGGAGGAGGGAGAGGAGGGTGATGATGGCCGGTCGGATCTTACCACGGGTGGTGGGGCAAGATCCGATGCAGAGAAGACCGCGGAGAGTGATGAGGGTGGAGAGGGAAAGAAGGATGAATCGATCTTCGTTGATGAGGAATGAGTTTGATGCGAATAACCCTGCGTGGATTGCAAGGATGACGTATCCGGCCACGTTGAGTACTTTTGTAGTGTTCGGTACGTCTCCCTCTCCTTCTTTCTTTCCTGAGGCAAGAGTTTGCGGTAGATGATCGTAGAGCAAAGAGAGTTGAGAAGCGATCGTGGCTGACGCTAGTGTGCTTTCTACAACGCCGAACTTGGGTAGGCTGGAAATCAGAGGGAGGAGGTACGATGCTTGGGAAACCGCCACTCCGACAGCTGTTCCTATTTGTGCTGGCCGGGTGATCGACTGTAGCACTATGGAAAGGAGCTCCTGTGTGCCTTTACTCCTTCTCTTCTCTTTTCTTGTCTCGGTGGTAGCTTCCCCGTTCTCGTCATTCTGTTGTGCGGCAATGGGCAAAACCCCAAGCAATCCATCCTGCGCGCCACTTTTCAACACCCAAATCACCGCCAATCCCAACACTAGCACCACCAGCCCGACTAGAATCCTGACCATATCGAATTGAGCCCATACTTCTCTAGCTTTCATCAGACTGACCCTGTTAAACCTATGATACGCTTGTGCTGCCTTCCTCCACGCTTTCTCTACTTCATCCATCCTCTTATCCGCTTGTAGAAGGGCAGCGAGTTCAGCATCGGCTCGAACAGCATCCAGCCATACCGCATCGAACTCTCTGCTAAACGCAGCAAGGTCCGGGGAGTGTTTGGCATAAGTGGTGAGGTAGGTTCGCATCTGCTTCGCAGTGATTCGCAGTGCTCGTAGCAGGGTGTCAGGATGCGGGAAGAGGTCCGGGATGATACTGCCGAGGTTGTTGTAGGGGATAGGAAGGCCAAGGAGGATAGAGATGGTGGGTACTAGGTCGATTTGTGGTACGCTTCGATGACCGGAGGAGGGATAAGGTGGAGATGGGAGGGGTGAGAAAGGGATTCGGCTGGGAAGCAAAGCTTCTACCTCAGAGCCGGAGATATACTCAGCAGGATCGAAGTGTTGTTTGCGAGCAGTATATCCGAATCCGCTCTTGGAATACATCCACAACCCAGCACCGACCTCGAGTTCAGTATCTCCGCCATGATCTCCCCTTTCATCCATACCGTGGTCGCCCATCAGCACCAAAAGCGTCTCGTCGTCGATCGCTTCGATGATGTCCTTGAGGAAAGCTTGCACCTCTTCCAACTTGACCTTCATCTTGGGATGACTTGCTCCAAATCTATGCCCTACATGATCAACACCGAGTGTGTGACCGATGAGTAACCTCCAATGATCATGCACTCCTGCAGTCCTGTTGGGGTGATTCTGCTGGAGGAAAGGAAGGAGTCGCGTCTCAACGCCACGATCGACAGTGTCCAGATCCTCGACATTGAACGAGTCGTACGTCCACATCTTGTCGCTATCGAACAAGCCAGGGAAGACGGTGCTCCATGTATCGTCGCCTGCAAACACCAGTCCTGCATTTCCACCTTGATTTTTGCCGCTCTGAGCGAGAATGGAGGCTTTGAACTGAGCAATCCAATGATCCTCATTGACCTGCCCGACACCAGTACCTGCAGAGCCGAAATTGGCACCTGCTTCAATGAACGTAGGAAGGGTACCTGTCGTCAAGCCTTTGAGACGCTGAAGGGTAGTGGTGGGTGGATCGGCAGTGAAGTGAGCGATAAAGGAAGAAGGTCCTGGCTTGTTGGCGTTCGCTGGGATGCCGTACCGGGTAGTCAGCTGCGAAGGCACTGAGAGGATATTGTGATAATACGGGTTTGGTGTCCATCCATCCTCCATTCCCTGTGCCGCAGAGGAAGAGGGAGGAGGAGGGGAAGCAATAAAGTCGTACCGCAAAGCATCGACGATCAGCACCATTGCTTTCTTGTGCGTTGGTGCCAAGCTGCATTCTCCTGCCCCTGTCTGTGGGTTGAGAGACGTCTCTGCCCACTGAAGCAGCGAAGCATCGTCAAAGCTCCAAGGTGGGACAGGCAAAGACCAACTCGGATCGAAAGGTTTAGCGCATTCATTGACACCTGACAGTTCGTGCCGAGTCAGAAGGAAGCCTTTGATAAAGATCCATAGTCCCACCAGCGTGTATGCCAGAACAAGGGAGAGAATGGCAAGTACGCTAAGGAACGCGCCGTTAGGGGAGGCAGCTTTGGGTGGAACTCGATCTGGATGCCGCCTAGCATAGGACGAATGGGATGAATGCGAAGAGTGCGAGCCATGAGAGTTGTGAGAATCGTGAGACGAATGCGAGTTGCTTCGATTGCGTCGTTGACGCAGAGCCGATTGACCGAAAGCTGGATGCTGTGGTGTTGAAGGAATCGCAGGCCCAGCGGGTGGTGGGCGACGCTCAAGGTCAGCTAGTGTGGGTGGCGGATTAAGCGCCGAAGAAGGCATTCTGGTCTCCACTCCGGGGCAGCTGCAAAGACACAAAGGCTAAGCAGCAACAAGCAAGGGACAGAAGGGATGATGGGTCAAGGTCAAGGTGTATAGAAGAGAGGCTTGGGAACAAACGATCGGAGAAGCCAAAATGGTCTGTGCTCAGCGGCAATTTTTTTACTCCACATATTGCAATTTCACGACCTTGTTTTGATAAAATGTGAGGAGAGCGGGTCCCGATGTTCAACGATCGGGGAGGAGAGCGGGTCCCGATGTTCAACGATCAGTGAGAATCGGAGCACGATGTCACTGCTGTTTAAGACAGAAACACATATACTCAATTGACTAAAGCAACATGGTGAGAGCCTAGTGCTCTCAGCTTGATATATATACATCGAGGTGGCATATGCTGAATCTGGGAGTAGCCTACTTAATGATCGAGCTTGACAACGAGGGGGACTGTGTTGTACCCGATCTCTGGACAGATCGGTTCCGCCAGATCTTCGATTATGTTTATGTCAGCATATATCATCATATTGGATCGCTTCCTCCGGTAGGGGGTATCAATTTTCGAGTGTTTTTAGAAACACGTGTTTCTCGATTTTGACATGTTTTTATTTCGCACAAAAACCTTACATAAGCTCACCCAATGTTGAAAAAAACATGTGTTTCTGAAAACACACCTCTGGACCCAGTAAAATGGACTCACTTTTTTTGTCACTCTCACAAATGATGTGTGGATGGATGCACATCTGCTTGCTTCACCTCCTCAACTTTACTACTTCATCACACTGGTGTGCCATGTCATTCATCAACAAAGTATTTGAAGTTGGAAGCTGGGATGTTTCTCTTCCCACTTCTCCAACTCCCCCATCTGACACAGAGCAAGAACAAGGTGCACCTCCTGCACTCTCACTTGCAATGGGCAGCAGCACAATCCTCCCTTGCCCTTCTCCTGTCACTTCCCCAATCAATCTGATGTCTGATACACCTTCCACCCAATCCACCAGGCCTGCTGACAATGGGGCAAAGAAGAACTTTGTCTGGCAGGCTCAGGACATCAAGCACCTTGTAGATACAATCTACATCAACAAGTCATATCAGTGTGCAATTCTCCCTTCTCATCACAATGAAGCCAATGAGCCTGCCAACAAGCTTTGTGTCATGGGCCTGGATGCTCAAGAAGCAGGAGGGTCACTGGTTCATATGGAAGGAGCACAGGTATCAGAGATCTAGTCGATACCAGTAGAGAGCATGGTCATAGTGCAGTCTCCATGGAGACCATGGACTCCTATGGACTCACATGCAAAGGAGGACCAAGCCATATGCGAGGAGGGCCAGGCACAGCCACAAGGAGGACCAAGCTCAAGGAGCAGGCCCAGCCATGAAGAGGACCAAGCTCAGATGGTTACCACTCAGGGGCTCGAGAGACAAGAGTCAAAGGAGTCGACACCAGGTCATGAGGAGGAGGAGCAGTGTCAAAGGAGTTGACACTACTCAGGAGGCACAAGGGTGCCAAACAAGCAGGATAGCAAGGAGGAGGAGCAGTGTCGAAGGAGTTGACACAGCTCAAGAGGCACAGGGGTGCCAAGCAGGCAGGAGAGGCCCCTGAACAGTACTCGATGAAGAAGGTACTCTCTGGAGAGAGAGCAGGAGCAGCATCACTGGTGATGCTGTGAAGAGGTATATAACCATGCTTTCTCATCATCAAAGGTCGAGTGGATCCTCATCCACTCTACACATCATCATAACTAGTTATCACTTCAGCATAAGTATATATTAGTTTCAGTCAGCATAGCAGCAATCTATCAAGGTTGCTCCTCATCGTAGTGTGTGTGTTGTATCACCACTACCTGACATCTGAAGGTGCCCCATAGCAGGTTAGCAGTCCAGATCAAGATAGAACTGAAGGCAGTAGTCCACTGCAGTCTGGGGATCACCTCAAGCATCAAGTCAACACACTGGACACTCGTGTTGATGCCACCAACCTTATCACCAACACCATCAACCTCATTACCATCAACCTTCACCAACCCTATCACCAACACCATCAACCTCATCATCATCAACACTCACACCAGACCTTGGTGTCATCATAATCTACATATTGATATTGATCGTGCTGAGCTACCCCTGAATGGAGTGTCCACAGTGGTCAGCCGAAACCTATGATAGTATATACAACGAATGCCACCTGCTGTCACTGCACAACTTGATAGTCGCTGAACAACTAGCTCGTCGAGACAGATACTGAGACAATAGCTGTCGCACAGTTTGATAGTCACTGAGTATCTCGACAGACCGACCTGGGTTTCCAGCGCGAGACCCCTGACACTTTGCAAGGATACAGTCTATTGTGACCTCAGCAAGTTGGTCTTCCCTGCCAGGTCTGTTGATCCCTCTTGCATCAAGTTCAAGGTATGCTGGCTTCAAAAAACATACCATTGGGAGAAGAAAGCTCTCTTGCTTACAGGAGCTGGAACACTGCTGAAGGACATGGATGCAATGAATCCTGTAAGTACTTTAAGACCATTGGTTATATTACTTGTGAATATGTACTTGCTGACACTTCCTCTCTACAGTCTTACATGTCTTGGGTTGCTCTCTCAGCCAAGTATTCTTGGTTTGAGAAGATGCATGAGATGATGAACAAATGTGTGTTGGCAGGGCCAGCTGTCCTCCTCACAACACCTAGCCTGGATGTTACTGGCAACAAGGATTCCAACCATGTGCTTCCTAGTGGCGATCCCATGGAGGAATCCAGCAATGCAGACCTTGGCCACACAGTGCATGCCTGCAACCTACCCCTGATCCATGATCTCATGGATGCTGCTCCCAGGAATGCTGGAGATTACCCCAATTTTGACATCTCAATGCCACCCCCACATCCCATCCCATCAGATGCCCTGGTCTCAAGTCTGTCAATGTTCTCAAACTGGGCCTCACCTTTGCAATCAAATGGCTACAAGCACAAGCATATCAATGTTGAACAGAAGCAGGATTCCCTTGCAGAGGCTTTCTATCAATCTTCAATAGAAAGCCTATCAATTTGCCTCAAGCTTGCACAGGAGTGCACCAAGCAAGAAGCAGAGTGCACCAAGCAGGAAGAATTGCAGTTACAGCATGAGTGCAAGGAAAGGGAGTGAGAAGAACATCTTTGCACTCAGGAAAGGGATCACAAAGAACATGTTTGCTCAGAGGATCACAATGTATTTGTTGAAATGATGCATATGATGGTCACTCAGCAATGAGGAGGACCATTGCCTTGACATCCAGTCTTGGCAATCAACAATTGCCAAGACCACAATGCTCTAGACTGCAATGGTCAGGAAAAGCATGTTCTCAGTACCATCTCACTGTGCTTGTCTTCATGAAATGCACTTTGTTTCTGGTACTGCTTTTTTGTGCAATGAATGCTGAATGTTCTTGAGACCAAACATATATGTCACAGGTGTGTTCATATGATGTGAAGATTTATTGTGCAAATGGAAACATGCACATTTTTCAAAGGTGAGCACAGCACTCAATGTGCACAATGCTTTGTGCAATGCTTTCCACAACACTTTGCACCATCTTTCTCACTCTCCTCTCTTCCCTCTTCACCATCACCTTCACCATCACCTTCCATTCTAACCATAACCCCCTTCTCTTCCTTGTGGTCCTCTACACCATGGTGTGCTTCAGCATGAAACAGGGCCAGCTCAATAGCAGCATTCAAACTCTGGAAGTATCATTGCCTGCTGAACTTGATCAGTATGCAGAAGAGTTGCAAGACCTGCACTTTGATGTGGATGATTATGATAGCAGCCCTGACACTGATGATGGCCCAACACCTCTTTCAGCAGGCCTCATTCACATGTACATCCTCATTGCCCAGCAGCAATACTCAGTCTCACAGATTCACACCCAAGGCCACTCCAAAAAGCTGATAGAGCTCCTGGACTGATATGCCATGATGAAGCCAACCATTTTCTGAGGCTTGGTATGAATGATGCCTTTGGCTTTTGAGGAGCTGGCAAAATGCCTTCAACAAACAAAATCATTTAACTCAGGTCAGGTCTTGATTGAACAGTCCAGAGAAATCCTCTCAGTGGCTCTTTACCAGCTTGGGCAATCAGGAAATGGAGCCAGAGAGTGCAATGTATCCCTGCAATGTGGTTACAGCATTGGAACTGTGATAGCCTGGACCAAACAGACTGTCTGTGGACTTCTTGAACTCAACAAGGAGGTTATGCAATTTGCATTGGAAGCAGAGAGGCAAAGTGCTTCTGCATGGGTGCAAAGGACTACTGGAGTAGAGGAATGGGGAAAAGGCTGGCTTGTGGTTGATGGTACTCATGTGCCACTTGCATGGAAGCCAGGGATGATGAGCTGGGAGCTACTTTAGCTACAAGGGCTTTTACAGCATGAACATTGCCCTGGTCATCCTACCTCATTCTCTTTGCATTGTGGAGTCAGTTGTTGGACAGCCTGGTAGTGTCCAAGACTCAAAGGTTTGGACTTCAGGCAGCAACATCCTCAAGAAACCTCAATTGTACTTGGACAAGGGTGAGTTTATCTGGGTTGATGGAGGGTATGGTCACTCTGCCTTCATGGTTGGACCTTTCTCACACATAGCTGCTGCAAAAAGCTGTGACCTGCATTTCTTCAACCACTCTCTCTCTCAAGTCTGGGGGTTGGTTGAACATGCCATTGCCTACCTCAAGAATTGATTTCAGTGCCTGAATGGGTACAGAGGGAACATGTATCACATCAAGGATCATATGGCAGCAGCAAGGACTATCCAAGCATGCATTGTTGCCCATACATTTGCAAGCCAATATGATGGTCCAGACATGGTTGCTGAACTCCTTTGCCCATCCTTCTCTGAGGAAGTAGTTTGTGATGTTCAGACTCTCAGCACCAACCTGAGCCAGAGTGGGAATATGCAGAGTCAATGGCAGACAAATCAAGCTCAGTACGAGGAGGAGAGCATGGTGTCACAGGGCCAGCGCAGAGATCATAAGCAGCCGTGCTGTGCAGCCACCGAAATGAGCTTGGCACACTGGAAGTGGGACTGGTCAAGAACCAGGGGCTCTGACCAATCTCACCAAGAATGGTCAGACAGTGAGCTGGGGGGAAACCTCATTGAGAATGGTCAAGGCAGTGGGTACTGGGAAGTTTCACCAAGACTGGCCTGAGATGAAGTGGATCAACCAGCCCCATGACAAGATGAGGGCACCCCACCAAGATCAAAGGGGCAACCACAGAGAGTAGGGAACAAGAGACCTCACCACCTGATGAGGTGGGAGGAGACCCCTGAGCATGATGAAGTTGGCATTGGAGGATCATTGCCTCAGCAAGGGGAGTAAGGATAGGGAGGGCAGGATAGTAGTAGGAGCCAGATAGAACAGGGTGGATGGGGAGGCCATACCCTGTAAGGAGGGGGGCCACAGTGAGGTAGACACCATGGCATGAAGATATATATACACCCCTCTGTCATAGTGAATGAGTGGATCTGGCATCCACTCTATTCTTAACTAAACTATACTCTACTGTAACATATACTTAGTTGTTCTGTCACATAGTGCAATCACAGGCCATTGCTACTAATCCAAGCAGGTGTGTCATATCACCTCATGCTGATGTCATCTGCAGGCAGTAGTTACTGCAGTCCAGATAATCACTTCTCTGAAGGCAGTACTCATACTGCAGTCCAGGTTTCTTTCACCAATTTGCCATTTGCTCATTGACATCTCGAACACTCATGTCAGGGTGATGGATCACCATCCCATCTATTTAAGTGTTCTGCAACAAGCAGGAGCTGACTGTGCCACATTACCACTGAATTGAGTGTTCACAGTGGTTAGCCGAAACTTGTCAAACAAACAACCCTTCAAGCAGTCTCAGTGAAAGTGGCCAACAGGTGCATACTCAAGAGCACTCACTGAAACTGGTTGAGATCACCCAAACTGGTAGCTTTCGAGTTCCAGGCACATGACCACTGACACATGGCAAGTATGCAAAGCATGACACAGCCTGCCTTGACATGACTTTGCAGTTCATTGGCACATGATCTTTGAGAGCAAATGTTTCAGGTGCTGTTCACTTCCACTGGCTGACAGCAGGAGGACACAACCACATGCTCCAGGCACCATGAGAGGACAGCCAAGAACTACAATGCAATGTTGGCACAGGGCCAGTTGTCCAGGCAATGTTGCCAATTGTCAACACCTTCACATCCCTAGCACCTGTTCATTGTCATCCTTAGTGAAATCCTTCCACAAAAGACTTGATTGACTATGACCATCTGTAACAGTGTGAAACACATGCTAACATGATACTGACAAGCTTCAGTATTAATAACATACATGTTATATCAAATTAATTGCCACCTTTGCTGCAGATGTGTTTTTAGAAACACATGTTTTTTGGATGCTCCTAAAAGGGGTGTTCAAAAATGGGAAAAACTCGTCAAAATCGAGAAAGACGTGTTTCTAAAAACACTCGAAAATTGATACCCCCTGGTATGTTTTTCTCATGTCTCCTTTTCCTCTGAGCTCCTTTTCCTCTGATCTCCTTTTTCACGAGCTCTAACAGTCGAAGAACTATATTCCTCGTCCTCTTGCCTACCTTTGCACCGCTTCACACAGCCAAGCATGCAAACAAGAAGAGGACGAGCGAGATAAATGCAAGTACTTGCATTCAGGTACAATACAATATTTACAAGACGAGCACTTTGGCGATAATGCCCATCTGTCCGAGTCTATGGAAGGTAACGAGTATTTACAAGATATATCGACAAAAGGAACAACAATCGATTCGGGTTTTATTTACAGCCTTCTTGTTGCAATGGAAAGAAGGGGTATAGCATCATCTTCAGTGGGATCAAGCACCAGACTTGAGTCTCTTCAAGAGATCATCATCCTGGTTGGTCTCGGGGTGGAAGGTGAGCTTGCCATCCTTGTACAGCGTCGCAGTGTCGACAGGGGGAAGGTTGTTGACAGGAGCCTGTGTGGGTTTAGACTTGGTCGACTTCTCCTTGTCCGAGTCAGGGTCCGAACGCCAGTTACCACCGATACCAGCAACGATGAATCCGGGAACCATGGCCAAAACGCTCTGGTGCTCGAACTTGGCACGCTTGAGCTGCTGTTCGCGCGACTCGTAGATACGAGGAGTGGCGGCGATACGACCACCACGGATGCTGCGGAACGAGTTGAGCTGGTCACCAACCTGACCGACAGCGGGAAGCCATTCGGTGAAGGTGCGAGCACGAGCGCGCTTGTCGTCCTCCTCGCCGCCCTCGGTGACGGGAGCAGGGAGAGCGTTGGGGTCGGGCATGAGGTGGAGCTTGACCAGAAAGTTCTCGACAGGCTGAGTGGGGGTGAGACGGATGATGACAGCCAAAGGCCACGAAACAAGACCAACAATGATACAAACACCCCAGTCACGAGCAGTGAGCTTGGTGACCGAGAATGCAACACCACCGACGAACATGATGAGAACCTGGAATCCAATCTCGATAGCCATGATACCGATGAACCAGGGGTTCATGTGCAAGTTGCTGAAGATGTTGAGCTTGCGGTTCAGCGAACGCGAGTTGATCTGGTTGAAGAGCTGGCACCACACGAAGGCGTTGAAGACGATGGCCGAAAGCTCGGTCTCGCTGGTCAAGTTGAGAAGTCGCATACCGGCAAAGTCAAGTACCAAGATGACGGTGAACTGGTAGACCGACTGTCCGATGATCATCTTCCACATGTCGGTCGAGATCAGAGGAGCGTTGCGGCGGTCAGGCTTGCGGTCGAGGAGGTCGGGAGTGGCAGGGTCGGTAGCAAGGGCAAGAGCGGCAAGGGTGTCCATGATCAGGTTGATCCAGAGAAGCTGGACAGCCTTGAGTGCAGAAGTACCCTCGCTGGAGGCAACGGCAGTAACAAAAGTGACAACAACGGCGGAAATGTTGACGGAAAGCTGGAACTGCAAAAACTTGCGCACAGCATCGTTGACACAACGACCCCACATGATAGCCGAAACAATCGAAGCAAAGTTGTCATCCATCAAGATAATGTCCGAAGCCTCCTTGGCGACTTCGGTACCGGCGATACCCATCGAAAAACCGACGTTGGCAGTCTTGAGCGCAGGACCGTCGTTAGTACCGTCACCAGTGACACCAACGACCTCACCGAGACTCTTGAGCGACTCGACGAGAATCTTCTTGTCTTCGGGCGAGGAACGGGCAAGAACCTGGAGCCTGGGGACGATCTCGAGCATGTCAGTACGGTTGAGTCGACGGAAGACGGGGCCTTCCATGACGATACCTCCAGGAGTGTAGATGCCACACTGAGTAGCGATCGACTTGGCAGTAAGAAGGTTGTCACCAGTGCACATCTTGACCTGGACACCAGCGCGACGGCAGGCCTCGACAGCGTCGGTAACACCAGGTCGGAGAGGGTCTTCAATAGCAGCGATAGCGACAAGAGTCAGATCCTTGGCAAGCGAGCAGTACTCGACCTCACCAGACTCCTCGAACTGGGCATCCTTGGGAGGGAAGGATTCGAGGTCACGATAGACGAGGGCGAGAGTTCGAAGAGTCTGGTTGGCAAACGCGGTGATCGTCGAGTTGACCTTTTCGAGCTTGGCGTCGTCAAGAGGCTGGATAGGGATGCTGTCCGAGTCAGTGGAGCCGACTTCGACATGCTTTGTGCAGAGACGGGTAAGAACCTCGGAGGCACCCTTGAGGTAGACACGGAAACCACCCTCGGGACGCTTGACAACGACACCCATGGCCTTGCGCTCGGAGCTGAAGGGAATCATCTGAACGACCTCGGCACGATCACGAGAAGCACGGTAGTCTTCCCAGCTCAGCTGCTTGGCCATCTTGAGCAAGGCAGTCTCGGTCTTGGAACCGACGAAACCGGTCTCCTTCTTGACTTGGGCGGTGGCAGATTGCTTTTTGCGCTTGAAGAGAGGCGAAAGACGATGCTTCTTGACGGCAACGAGGGGGTTAACGGCGTCGTCCTTATCAGCTTGCTCGTGGACCTCCTCGAAAGCAGTCGAATTGATGGCGATGCTGTCGTTGAGGAGCCTCTGAAGAGGCTGGCTGATGGACCGGTTGAGGTCGCTCTGCTCGACAATGCGAGTGTCACCGTTGGGGGAAGAGTCGTGCTCGGTCTCGACACGTTTGCGGTTGGCCTCGAGACGGTCGGCAAACTTGAAGTTGACGCCGATGCTACCAGCAACGACGGACATCTCGTTTTGGGTAAGAGTACCGGTCTTGTCAGTGCAGACGACACTGGCGTTGGCCATGGTTTCACAAGCACCGAGGAGACGGACGAGCAAGTTCATTTTGGTCATACGCTTGGTAGCGAAAGCCAAGGCAAGGGTGACGGCAAGAGGAAGGCCTTCGGGCACGGCGACGACGATAACGGTGACGGCAATAATGAGAATGTGGATAAAGTCCTGAGCCTTCTCGTTGGCGGTGCGGTTGGGCTCCTGGGCGAGGTTGACAAAGAATCGGATCATGAGGGCGGTGAAGAGGGTGATACCGGCGGCGGAACCGAGCCAGGCAATCAGATCGGCGAGACGGTTGAGTTTGGACTGCAAGGGGGTGTCCTCGGCATCACTGCGGAGGGAAAGCATGAGCTTGCCGTTGAAACTAGTAGGACCGACAGCGATGACGAGGTACTCTCCGACACCTTCGAGAACCTTGGAACCAGAGATGAGGAAACAGTCGCGATTCTTGGGCTTTTCGTTTTTGTGGCGAGCCTCTTGGATGTGCTGGATGCACTCGTCGTAAGGGATCTTGCGGATCATGTCCGACTCACCGGTAGCACCGGATTCGTCGCACTTGACATTGTGGCCACGGAGGAAGATACCGTCGCAAGGAACAATCTCACCAGGCTCGAGCTGGAGAATGTCGCCGACAACAACATCGTAGACAGACATGAGGGCGGGCTTGCCCTGGCGGATGACCTTGACATCACGCTGTTCCTTCTTGGCGTTGAGCTTCTTGAACTGGAGTTCCTTTTGGTAGTCATTGACGGAACCAACGAGATCGACGATAACGATGGCAACGAGAATGGCAACACCCTCGACCCATTCGTAGGATTCGATTTGGCAGATGGTCTCGATACCACCACGGACACAGGAGACCTGCTCGGGTGGCACACCGAACTTGGTGTAGATACCAAGGGCAAGGGAGACAACGGCAGCAACACAAAGAAGGATCAAGATCTTGTCCTGGAGTGCGAGCCACATGAGAAGGAGGAGACTGTTGGACTTGCGCTCGGGAAGGAGGTTGCGACCAAAAACACGAATACGGTCCTCCTCGGAGGCATGGACAAAGTTGGGGTCGCGGCTGGTAACAGCATCATCGGAAGCAGAGTGTCTCTCGAGGTCGTGCTTAGCAGCAGGAGCAGCGCTGTCAGGGCTAGCCTCGATGGACTTTGTGCCACCGAGGTCGAGACCGCGGTGCTCGTCGGTGCCAAGACCGGCGAGAAGGCCCTTGACACCGCCAAAGTCGCGAAGCTTCTCTACGCTCTTGGGGTCGAGAAGGTCAGCGAGCTCGATGGGACGCAAGGGGAAGGGACGAGGGTCAATGTTGCGCTGACGCTCGAGTTCGGCAGCAAGCGCCTTAGCCTGAGCCTCTCGACGACCGGACTTGGTGGCGCCGTTGAAAGACCGCTTGATGCGGCCAAAGAAGCCCGGGTTGGCCTCCTGCTGTGGCTCCTCAACGGAGGGAGAGGACTCCGGGCGCTTTTCAGCGTTGGTAGACGACATTTTCGAGTGTTTTAATCGCAGGAGAGGGAGGGAGGGAGGGAGGGAGGGAGGGAGGGAGTGTGTGTGTGTGTGTAAAAATGCGTGTCGTGAATGAATGCGATCTGTACTGCGAGCGAGCTGTTTTGGTCAGCTTGTTTTGCTCTACTGTGTGGTGGAGAGACTGAAGCGCAGTTGGAGTGCTGGCGATTCAGTTGGCCATGATTGGTGTGGAGTGGAAAGGGAGATAGAATCCACGATGGCCGGGAAAGGTGATGATGGAGAGGAGAGTGTGGATGGTATCGAAGGAGGGGATAACGGAAGGAAAGAGGGAAGAGGGAAGAGGGAAGAAGGAAGAAGAAGGAAGAAATAGCGATGACTATGTGGCGACTATATAGGATCCGAGATCGAAATGGAGCGAGAGCAGCACAGCCCAATGGCTGTGCTGCTTTGTGTACAGTCAATCTCGTCTCGAGGGGAACTGCTCCAATCCAATGCATGCCAAGAGCGAATGCCAAAAATCCTCCGAAAAAAAAAAAAAAAAAAAGAAAAAGAAAAAAGGAAAAAGGAAAAAGAAAAAAAGAAAAAGGAAAAAGGAAAAAGAAAAAAGGAAAAAGGAAAAAGGAAAAAGGAAAAAGGAAAAAGGAAAAAGGAAAAAGGAAAAAGAAAAAAGAAAAGCGGCGGCAAAGAAGCTATTTTCCGCCCTTTCCTTCTCTCGAATCGAGGCTGTGCTGGCCTACACAGCGAGAGAAAGGCTTTTTTGGTGAGGAAAGCGGATGGTCTGTACGAGGGAAAAGCTTGGCAATCAAGAATGTCTTGGCAAAGCAAGAGTGCAGTGCAGTGCAGCTCCAAGGTCCCTCTTTTCTCTCTCTCTCTCTCTCTCTCTCTTGTCTCTCTTTCTCTCTCTTGCCTCTCTCTTGCCCCGGACCAAGGTTAGCAACACATGCGGGCACTGCAAAAGGGAAATGACGAGGATCAGACCTCCATCCTCTCGAAACTGTAAGCGCCCACCAACATGCTCTGTTGCAAAAACTGCAATCGTCGAGTCTTTTGCTCTCCCTGTGTGCCCAACTTGAGTCCCAATGCACCTCCCATCTCAGCTCGGGCAGAAGTATCTCTCCTGCTCAAAGGGGATACTTTGGCGTTACCTGCCGAAGCGACTGCTCCGCTGGCTGACAATGTTGTTCCTTGCGTCTTGCTCTGCTTGTACTTGGCTGCGTTGGCTGCGTTGGCTGCCTTGGCTGCGAAAAGGTCGTTCTCCTGTTGCAGCTTGGCCAAGGCGGAGAGCGGTGCATTGAGCAGACTGAGGGTCGACATGAGCTCAAGGTAGCGCGAGATGGTAGCTGACAATGACCGCACAGTGCTGTGGGAACGAGGCGTGACAAGCAGCAGCGGGAACAAGGCATCCAGAACATCGTTGGCGAAAGCGATCACCGCATCGGCGTTCGGTGCTTTTGCAGGAGCAAAGCGATCATCATCCTTGGCCTGACCGTTGACGGCTGTTTCCTTGACCTCGGGCTTCTCTTTGGCTTGAAAAGGAAACTGAATCGTTTGACTGATCCATGCATTGCAGATCTGCAGCAATGCCATCACCTGGTCGACATGATCACGCAATTGCACTTTCAACGCACTTCGCAGTGCCGGTCTCGAGACACGAAGCTGCACCAACTGCGCCAGCAAGGCCATGGACTGTTGGGCAGCCTTGAAAGGATCAGCATTGCCGCTCTTTCGGCTCTGCACCAGTCCTCGCAATGCAGATGTGACAAGCGACACCAAGCTGTCCTCGCCAACATCAGGAATGCGCTTGAGTGCTGCACGTATGACTTGAGCGTCGTTGTGTGCTGCCAACCTGGACCAAAACGCAGACAAGCGGGCACCGTTGACCTCAACCGAGACGGGGCCAAGAGCCGAGGCATTGGCGTTGGCGTTGGCGTTGGCGTTGGCGTTGGGCCGGAGTGTTGCAAAGATCGAAGGGTCAACTCGAGAATCCTTGAGAAGGGTGAGCAGTGCAGACCGCTCGAAAAAGCGGGCGGAAGGAGCTGCAGAACTGCGCTTGCTAGGATGTTGAGATGGAGCAGGAAGCACCAAGTCGAGCAATTCGCCATAGAACTTGGTGTCAGCTTGGGGCCAAGGGAGAGTCTCAAGCATGCCTCGGTCGGCTGTCGCTGCCTCGATATAAGTTGTGATGGCCGCATTCATGTCTTTGTCCTTGCTCGAGGCCCTGGCCTTGTTCTGTGCAGTGATCGTCTTGATCTGCTCCAAAAGCTCGCTTCGGCTTGCGTCGGACGATGATGAAGCCTGGGCTGCAGCAGCTGCTTGGGCATTGTGAATCCATCGTAAAGTCAATTCGCCCTTGCCGAGAGCATCACGCAGTACACTCCTCTCTGGCACAGCAAAAGGTAAGGAAAGGACACAAGTTCGGCGCTGTAGTAGCTGTGCCAATGCCTGAGCCTTGTCGGAGGAGCTGTGGGAGGATGGTGGGGAGACAGTGGGGGGGCCGATGGTGATAAGGCTGGTAGAGCCAGCAATGCGTGATGCCGAAATGGACGTCATTCGCTGAAGCCATCCGCTCGAAGCAGGATTATGACTAGTGAGGGGAAGGAAGGGGACAGGCCAGTCGATCTGTCGAAGGACCGCGTTGAGCTCGAGATCGAGGATGAGGGCGACGAGACGCTCCTTGTCTGCAGTAGCTGGTGTAGCTTGTGCGATAGCGAGGACCAGAAGATGGTCTTTACTGATAAGCAAGCAGCACGAGGCGGAGGCAGATGAGGATGAGCAAGGGCGGGCGTTGCTGGCTGGAGCCAAGGCAGGCATGGAGATGGTATTGATGTTGCTGAGCACAGGCTCGCTGCTGCTACAAGTGCCAAGGGTGAGCGATGTAAGGTGACCATGGATGGTCAAGATAACGAGTCGACCGTGGGGATGAAGTTGCACGTCGAGCACATGCTTGGCATTGGACACACTTGGCACCGTGATGCTGCCAAGCTTGACCGTGGAGATGGCCGATTGGACAGCGCCGTCAAAGCTCTTGACAAAGGCAGTGAGTTCAAGGGTTAAAGGACCGCTTGGTACACCAAGTGCGGGTGTAGCGCTGCCAGCAAGCGCTGCTTCGTCTTGGTCTGCATCACCGACAGGACCGTCTTTGGAGCTAGAGTCGTTCTTGGAGCGTTTGGACCTTTTCTTCTTCTTGCTGATGCTGCTAGCATGGTCGTCGGTGATGCTGCTGTGTGAGGTGACAGCGACTCGCAAAGCAAGAAGAGCTGCCTGTTCGATTTTGGAGCTACGGGCGATGAGATGTTTGGCGGAACGAGCATCGAGGAGGTTGACGTACAAGTGGCATCGCTGCTGCTGGGGCTGAGACTGAGTTGCGTCGAGGGTGTGGATGAGCTGCAAGGCGGTGGAAGGAGCATCAGAGATCGAAGCTTGGTCATCGGATATGATGGGGAATGAGGCAAGAATGGAGAGGCTGTCGTCTGGATGAGTAAGGACGAGACGGCCGTCAGCGAGGGCATGGATGAGGCGGACTGGTTGGGAGAGGGAGAGCGATTCTTTCCTCACGTGGACCTCGACGCTCTCTTTACCTTTGGCAGAGAGCTGCTCGACATAGGCGCGTAGTTGGTGGGTAGCAGTGACCGCGGCGGTGCGCGACTTGGCAGGTGTGTGCGACTGGATGGCGACATAGGTGGTGCGCAGGCAAGGGCTACCAGGGATAGAGCGGAGCAATGTCAAAGGAGCGCAAGAAGCGACCTCGGCCGAGGAGAGAGGAAAGCTCTGGATGAGTCTCTGACTTTCTGGCTGGACGAGGTTAAGCGCATTGCCAGCAAGGATGATCGGAAGTGGACCTTTCACTCTGCGAAGAGCTCTGGAATCCGACGAGATCTTGTAGGATTCGCCGACAGAGACAGTGGAATTCTTTGTCGTTGAGAAAGCCGTTGCGGCAAGAGCGGCATGACGTGCCAGCTCGGCAGGCACCGGGCTTGGATGCGATACCAGCGTCGTAGGCTGCCAGAGCTCCGCAAGAGCCGATCCTGACGCCATCACAACGACACTGGTTCAATCCGCAGTGTCGGGTCTGCCGAAAGTGTATCGGATCTGCCGAAAGTGTGTCGGCAATCACCCGAATCGAATTGAGTGACGGCAACGGAGAGCTGTGCTGACCACACAAGTCTGTCTTCTTGGCAGTGTGACTGGGTGGGTGAAGAGGTGATCAAGAGGGGATGAACAGGGGGATGAAGGAGGCCGTACAAGTCACTCGACCAAAGGCGGTTCAAAAGGGGAGAAAAAAAAAAAAAAAAAAAAAAAAAAAAAAGAAAAAAAAAAAACTGTATTTGTCAGCCTGACAGATGCATCCCCCCCTCCCCCTCAATCTAACACACTTCTCACGCCATCATTATATCTCTTTGCTGATGGTCCATGGAAGTGGCGAGAAGAGGTTCATGAGTTCCTCCATGTTGTCCTCGCTTAGACTTGGATGGAAGGAGTTGCATGCATGAGCTGGTGCATGTCTTGCAGATAAGGATCGTTCAACATGAAGCGCAACCAGCTTGATTTACACAGAAGGCTCTTTTGCCAGGATCTCTTGTTGCCAACCGCAACTTTGTCACTACGCCAACGCCAACGCCCGCATCCTTTGCCACCCTTAACCTCTCTCTCTCTATTTGTCTCTCCCCTTTGCCGCCCGCATTGGCCGCCTTTTCCTCAGCCGAGACAGCTTTGCAACTAGCGAGAGAGGCAGACCGACACTCTTCAGCATCTCTGGCTATCTGCCTCTGCTGCTGCTGATTGGCAACACGCTCTGCCTTGGACTATTGCGCTTTGCTTCCTCAGCCTCGATCAACTCTTCTTGAGGCTCAGCTCTTCATCCTCCTCTTTATCGACGACAAAGTCCTTTGTTCGTGTCGCTACCTCTCCTTGCTTCCGACTCCCTTCACCTTCCTTTTCACTGACACCAAGCGGCCGGTCGTGGTATCATCCATCTTCGAAACCCAAACCAAATCCTTTGCTCCTCGTCAAAAGGTCTGATCGTCTCGGTAACAAGTGGGTCGCCCCTCGAAAACGTTTTTATTCTTGCTCCCATTCTTGCTCCCATTCTTGCTCCCATCCTTGGTCCTGCTTGCAACACCACCTTTGCTACGATACCGATTAGGAACGAAGCCATCCCTCTCTGCTCCTCCTTGCCCTCTTGATTTCCAGTAGCTTCTACCACAGCCGCACTTCATCTACACCCTTGACGATCAGCAAAGCCCTCGCTCAAACCCTCCCCGCCCTTCCAACGTCACTTTGCTTCTCTAGCAATTTTCAGCCCACCCTCTCCAGCGTGCCTTCCGTTGCTCATCTGGTGGAAGCATTCTATATCTTGTACTCTCGACACCCCTTGATCGATAGCCGGCCAATTCAGTGCAATCGGTGCAAACGTCAATGCTTTGTCCCGCCCTTCATCCTCGGCTATTACCTTGCTGATTGGATCTCATCTCTCTCCACTCCTCACGCTCTGCAGCCTGCTTGATCTTCCCAACTTGACCTCACACAAGCACATCACAATGGCGCATTGTTGACCCCTCGCTAAAAAAGAAGCGTTCCTCAAGAATCCTCCCACCCTACTCGAACACCGACCTCCTTTTCAGCAGTCGACACTTTTGCACAAGCCTACAACTCAAAGCTCAGCCTAAGCTTCCACCTCGACCTCCACTGCTCCATCCTCCACTGCTCCATCCTCCACTGCTCCATCCTCCACTGCTCATTTCTTTCCCTTGCCAGCGTCAGCTATCAGCCTTAGCCAAGCTTCCAGAACAAGCATTCCAGCACGAGCAGCCCTCCAGGTCCAGGGTACTGCACTGCTCACCCCAGTCTCTCCGTGCCTAAGGCCAGTGCACCATGCCAGCGTCCACAGCGACTGGCCTTGCGCCTCTCAGCCATGTCCCCGCCTTCGTCAGTGCTCGTTCTGCCAACACGCTCATCTCCGAAAATCGTCCAACTCGAATCCAAGCCGAGACCCTGCTCATCTTGAATGCCTTGCTCGATGAACTCCTACTCGTTATTCTCAGCTCTGCCAAGAGTCTCGCCCCTGACCGCATCAAGTCGGACGGCATGCTCAAAATTCTCAACAACAACTTGTTAGCCAAAGATGCCGTTCTCGAAGCCGAGCTCGAGTATCGCAGCTATGTCGAAGGCAAGCGTGCCGAAGGCGCCAAAGTACCCTTGGGTCTCATGGCTACCTCCCGACTCGATGGCACCGACGGCTTTCCTGTGCAGAGCGCCTACAAAGCTCTTCGCACTCGCTGCCAGTATTACTCCACCCTAGCCGATGGCGACGATGATGGTGCCGCCAAGGATCAGAACATTATGAGCAGCGACGGTCGTCCCATTGCTACCGTAACACCCGGCGTTGCCATTTACGTCACAGCGCTCCTCGAGTTCGTCGCTCAACACATTCTGCAAAACGTCTCACGAGTCATCGAGCGCGACAACTCGGACGAAGCCAGTCTCTACGATCTGCTCGCCGCCATCACCGAAGACGAGCAACTCAATCCGCTCTACAACAAGATGTCCATCAGGCAAGAGGTAGCCCGCCGCATCCATCTTCACCAAGCACGTCGACGCAGGCTCACCGAAGACGGAGCCAGCCGCGGTCTCAGATCCGATGCTCGAGTCGTCAAACCCTGGCATGTTCCCACAGAGCGTGACTTTGACCAAGCAGCTGGGTCGACACTCTTCTCACCTAAACGTGCCTCGATACAGCAACTACTACCAAGTGACAACGGCTTTGAGTCGCCAGCCTCTTCATCCAGGTACGCTCACGCAGCCTCGAGCAGCATCTCGCACACCGACTCCTTACGGCCCAGCATGTCGACCCTCCCTACCTCTTCTTCTTCCTTTGCCAACCACGCACCAGATGCCAACGGCGCTCTCTCGCCTGGCGGCGGCAGTAGTATCGGAAACCAGTATGGCGCTAGCGCCTCGATCGCTCTTGCCAATCCAGCACGCAACGACTCCTCAGCCAGCAACACAGCCAGTGTCGGCCGACGACAGAGTTCCGAACGCAGCTGGTCAGGTGTCTTTGGTGGTATCAAGCGTCGCAACAGCTTCAAGCACGGCTCCGATCTCGCAGGTGGTTCAGGTCGTCTTCTAGCACCAACAGATGCCAGTGGCGCTTCTGCTGCCAGTCAAGCCGACTCGGCACTGCATCCGGACGACGACTTTGAGGCACTCATGCTTTCCAACCAGACAATGAAGGTCTCGCTTACTCCCAACCGACTCCACACCATCGAAGTGGCCAAGAAAGGCGATCGCAACAAGGCCAACACTGTTCGCAAACGTCCCGGTACCGCCGGTGCACGTGACGATGCGGTTTCTGCTGCTGCCTTTGCTCGCGGACCGAGCCCATCGCCTACTCAGGCTTCTCGAATCTCGATCACTGGCGACGCTCTTGCCTCCAATACCACAGCCGCAACTGAGAGGACTTCTACCAGCAGCGCCACCCCATCCGATGCAGCGGTGCCAAGGCCGAGCTCGCGTGCATCGGTTCAGACGACCATGCGACCTGAGCGAAGGTCGCCAGCACCTCCTCCCTCGTCCTATCGCAACCCAACTCCTGCCGTCTTTGGTCAGAACAGCTTGCCCTCACGCGGTGTCGCCGAGGAAGATGCAGAGGACCTACCATTGGCACCACCTCCTCGACGCAGCACGCCACGTCTGCAGCCACGTGACGATGAGGTGGAACGCACCACCTCGACCAACAAGGATCTCGTAGACCTCTTCAAGTCGATGCCCCCCTCGGCTATACAGGAGCGTTTCGGTATCTTTGCATCCGACACCTCGTCATTGTCCGACAATACCACCACCAAAAAGTCGGCCATGGGCGATCGCGTTCGCACCTTGTTCAGCCGCAAGTCGACTAGCAGCACTGGCCATGTTTCGCCCTCTTCGCCTCGTCGCAAGACTTTCCGCTCGCATCAGCGTGTCGATCCCAAGGCGAGTCTCGAGGGTTCGCAAGACGCCTACATTACCAGTAGTACGACCAACTCGCTGGAGCAGTCCAGGTCGCTTGTCTCGCCCAACGAAGTGCCTTTCAACAGAACTGCAGCACCACGTTCATCTACCTCAACTTCGGAGCTCCCTACGGCCAGCTCCGATGCGGGTTTGGAGGCCAAGCTCACACCGGATGTCACTGTCATCGAGCCTGAGCATGCAAGCGCCAATGGCACGACTGGACTCGGTATCGGTATGGTGACAGTCACTGGCATGGGTGCCGGCGCAACTGTTGGCGCAGCAGGAGCGATGGTCCTGGCAAGAAGCGCCAGCTACGGCTCACGATCCACCAGCTACGCGAGTCAAACACACAGTGCTGCTGCGGACGGTGCTGCGGCGCAAGATGATACTTCAATGGCAGATGATGCATCCTCCACTTGCAAAACAAAAACACCCGACGAGTTGGTGAGCCGCAAAGTGCCATGGGGCTACAAACGCAATTCGACCAACGCCGGTGCTATGATCGAGCGTGACGGCACGCCCAACTCGGATCGTCGCCGAAGTGTAGGCTATCAGAGCTCGAACGGACATGGTGTACTGCCTGTTCGTGGCCCCTCAGGCGGGCCTTCTTCCGACAACGGCCACGGACAAGGTCAGAGTCATGCCTCTTCGGGAGGGGCTTCGGCTGCTGCTGCTGCTGCGACAACACCCTCGACGCCAGGATTTGACGACGGTGTTGCGCCTCCGACGTCGGCAAGCTCGCTGGCACGTGGCGTCAACGCACCCACTGCATGGTCGGGTCCAAATGGCGGATGGGAATCTCAAATGTTGATTCGACGAGGCTCTCTTGGAGCCAGACCTTCGACTGCCAACCAGTCGCGTAGGCCAAGTGCCCATCTCGAGACGATCCAGCTTCTTGCCGAGCTTGAGAGGGCGATGCGCCACTGTCATAGCGTCGACGAGTGTCGTGAACTGGTGCGAAAAGCAATGCACTCGGATGGAAGCAATGTGTCACCTTGTGCATCTCGCTCGAACGGCACTACAGACGAGAGTCAGCGTCTCAATGTCGATGCCGGAGATAGCAAAGTTCAAGTCACGACCGGCAATGCAATCGGAACCGCTGCAGGAGGAGCAGCACTCGCAGGTGCAGCCATCGTCCGAGCATCGACGGCGGCGTTGGCTACATCAGGCACTGAAGGGTCAGCAAGTAAGGAAAACTCCGAGGCCAAAGAGGGCCAACCCCGCGGCCCAGAACCGATCGTCAGCAGCGCTGATATCAAGCCACGGCATGTCGTGTATCAAGACACTTCGCTCGAAAAGGTGGAACAGAGCTTAGTGGTGGCCTGGTTGCTTGGAGGGGATGATGTTCCTGGATCTCAGTTTGACAGTCACAAGGACGAGTCACTCGGTACGGATGTAAGCGAGAAGCAGAAACAGCGTGTCAAGGGTTCAGTCCCTGCAGCGAAGAGCATGTCAGGTGCACACGCTGCCAAGCAAGTAGCAGATCGACATCTGTCATTGGACTCGGCTGCATCGCAAGGAGATGTCCCGGGACTGGCGTCGAGCAGCGTAGTGTCGCTGCAGTCGAACTACAATGATGCTCACGACGAGGTGGTGGCGGAATAAGTGAAGGTCAAATGTCAACGTCACTTCCGACCATGTCTGGCTCGCTTGTACGGCCGCGGGCATGAATATCACTACCAACATTGTTACCCATGATAATCAAGCTGCAAAGCCAACAGCCATGACCAATACAAACCATTCTTCGACCCACTGTCTTTGCCTTGATTCCTTCGAGGACACCATTGGAGCTCGACGAGACCGCCTATCGTGCGTGTGGATCGAGATCGAGATCTGTGACGCGAGCGGATATCGAGGCAAGCGCTCTGAAAGATCTGCTCAAGTGTTTGCATGTCATCCGAAGCGAGCTCAGATTGCGGTGGTTTCAATCGAGATGATGCGGGGAAAGCGTCTGTTGCTGATTCTATTGAAAGCTGTCGAAGGCAAAAACCGAATCTGCACTATTGCAGGGAGACGGTACATCTCAACGCCTCTACTTGACTCCAACAGAAGCTTTTACGATAGGGCGACAAGAGCGACACAAAGGTAGCCACATGTGCATGTTCTACGCCCTGACTACGGGTGCGAGCAGACCGAGGTTCGTGGAGATATCTTCAATCGGTCTGCAATCTTACCCCGCTTTTCTATCATCCGAACTCTTGGCGAAGAAGGGTCGTGGTTCGTATCTATTATCAAGGATGGCTTGAACGTGGGATAAGAGGAGATCTCATCGCCGCGCTTTCCCTGTTCCCCTTCACAGCTGTTGGCTGTCTGCATAGCATGGTCGCAACGGACTGGCAAACCTCTCGAGTAACATAGGGAGAAGCTCAGCAGCCGCGACAAACAAGAGAGGCAACAACAAGTCAATAGGTACGACATCAGAGTCGACCTCGTAGCATCCTCTCACCGTTCGCAAAGCGAGACTTTTGGTTGGGTTGCGTCCATGTCAACGACCTGTGGGCGAATCAAGCGAGACGGACAGCTGCCTCGCCTTTGACCCGCCAACATCTTGCTAGGAGAGGCGAGTTCTCAGTATCAATCAAGAGGCATTTGGCTGCTCGCTTATGCAGACGTTTGCATGCAAAGCCTTGGCACCTTGCCTTTTCTCTGTCCTTCCTGGCTGTTGTCCTCTCCTCATCTCCATCATGGTTGTCATTTGGAGTCAGTGGCGAGGCACAGGAACGTTTGCAAATCGACCCGCGTGGTCAACAGAACAGAGAGCACGGACACTAGCAAGCGTTTGAATGATCAGCTGAGCAGCTCTTGTCTCTCGCTTCAGTCTCTTGCAGCCAAACTTTGCAGGCCCCACCTTCTCTGCAAGTCAACAATGTTGCTGTACTTTCGGCTCTCAAGAGATACTGTGTGCAAGCATGAGAATCGTAACCAAGAAAAGCTGAACGTTGCCATGTGAACAAACCATGGTGGAGACTGACTATAGGCTTGTTGGGTGGGCGCAGTCAATCTTTGACAGCTTGCTGTTGGAAGGCGAGATCGCAAGTCAAAGAGCTTGTGTGTACAGCACTTGAGTCTCCAAAAGCCCGGTTCAGATCCCGTGCCATCCTTCCCGCAATGACAGACAGTATGTAGTGGTGCCCTTTGCTCTCGTTGTTCATCTTGGTCTTCATGAAGCAAGCGGGACCGGCTGTCGGTAAACGGCAGCGGTTGTTGTTGTGCAAACTCGGCTGCTCGTGGGGGACAAAGTCTCCTTCTCCTCATCCTCTTCCTCATCCTCTTCCTCATCCTCTTCCTCTTCCTCTTCCTCTGTGAATCTTGTCCTCGTTTTCCTCCCACTTTGTGTCGTCAAGCCCTTTCTTTGGATTCTGCTTTGCGCCATTTCCGCTCCTTCCTTTTCTTCCCTCGGTGATCCAGACTTGAACGCCACCATCACGCTCCATACGGTTGCCCCCCTTTTTCCGCAAGCCATGTCCTCTCGTTCTCCCTGCTGCTCTCGTACACAGCTCTGTTCCTGACGCACCCCGTAATCGCTTACATTGCTTTGCTTGCAAGACAGGATCCATCCCGCGTTGACCTTGTATCATTTCTCTGCTTTTGCTGCAGTAGCACAAGCTTTCACTCTCGCGGTTCCCCACACTTCTCACAACCACCACTCTAACTCGGAGATTGAGCACCTTCCCACATAAACATCCCCCTTACCCTGGAGAAGAATCGAGATTCGGTTTCCCGCCCTTGCTGCCCGGTTGACCGCTTATTAAAACCTTGCCCTCTCCTCACAACCCGAAGGAAGAAAAATCAAATCGACCGCCCCCCTCTATCGACCTTTCCTCCCTTCCGCCACCAGCCCCGCATTCTCTCGCCATCTCGGTAGACAACACACGATAGAACAACCATCAATAGCGTGGTAGACGAAATCAAGATGACGAGCGCAACTTCTTCAGCGGCAGTCATCGACGTTATGCAACACGATATCGAACGCGTTTCCTCGTCTGAAGATGAGAAACACGATTCTAAACATGCAGTAGCAGATGGTGTTCCTAACCTTTATGCTAGTGCAGCACCCAAGTCGGACCCCAGATCGATCGTTTATGATGCCGCCACCGAGAAAAGGCTGGTTAGGAAGGTGGATCTGTACATCGTTCCTACTGTGGCGATGTTGTATCTTATGTGTAAGTGGCCCCTATCCCCCCCCCCCCCCCCCCGAGTATTCTCCTCTTTCTGTTCATCGTTTCCCTCCTCTTTCCGCTCACCGTTTCCCTCATAGACGCATGTACTGACTCTTCGCGGATCTTCTCTGATAACGATAGGCTTCATCGACAGAGCAAACGTCGGCAACGCTCGTATTGCCGGTCTGGAGAAGGACCTTGGCATGAATCCTCGTTCCTATGACTTCAATATACTCCTAACCGCCTTCTACGCCGCATACGCCTTCTTCGAGATTCCGTCCACGACTCTCACCAAGATCCTTGGCCCAGGAAAATGGATCCCTGCAATGGCGTTCCTCTTTGGCTTGCTTTCAATGGCCAACGCTTTCGTTACCAACTTTGCCGGTGCAATCGCTGTTCGTTTCCTCCTAGGTTTGGCAGAATCAGGAATGCTTCCTTCCATCGCCTACTACCTCTCGAGGTGGTATAAGAAGGATGAACTTGTCTTTCGACTCGGTTTGTACCTCGTCACCGCCCCTTCTGCTGGTGCATTCGGAGGTCTGCTCGCAAGTGGTATCTTGAAGATTTCTCACATTGGAGAAGTCAAGTCTTGGGAGATGATCTTCTTGATCGAAGGTTTGATCACTATCATCATCGCTGTCATTGGATACTTCACCCTCACCGACTCGATCCACACCGCACGGTGGTTGACTGATGCGGAAAAAGCCTTCTTACAAGAGCGTTTGAAGTCCGAGCTTGTGGGTCAGAAAGATCTTGTTGACAAGACACACAAGAAGCTCATCTGGAAAGGTATCACTTCTACCACTTCACTTTGTTGTGCTATGATGTTCCTCTTGGATAACATCGCCGTCCAAGGCACTGCTGTATTCCTTCCCACTGTGGTGCGCGGCATCTTTCCAGCTCCCAGGTATACAGTTATCCAACAACAACTTCTCACAGTACCCCCCAATGTCGCTGGAGCAATCGCTACCCTTGCCTTCGCATACTGTTCAGCCAAGTTCAAGATTCGTTCTGTCTTCGCCATCTCAGGCGCCATCACGATGTGCATCGGTTACGCTATGTTCCTCGGCTCGAAAAACCTTTATGTTCGTTATGCTGCATCCTTCTTCGCCACCTCAGGTGCCTTCACACAAGGTGCACTTCTACCGGCTTATGCAGCGGTTAATGCGAACAACGATTCAGAAAGAACTGGCGCTATTGCCGTTACTGTCTTCTTCGGTAACATCGGAGGCTTGATCAGCACTTGGAGTTACTTGAACAAGCACGCGCCAGACTTTGTACCTGGTAATGCTTTGAACTTGACAGGAGGTATTGTTATGGTTTCTATTGTTCTTGGCTTGGTAAGCTGGCAGAGATGGGAGAATAAGCAGAGAGATGCTGGTAAGAGGGATCACAGGTTGGAAGGTTTGAACCAAGATGAGATTCAACTTTTGGGAAGTGATCATCCACATTTTCGTCTTCGATACTAGGCGTATCGATGCAGGGAGATCAAAGCGTCGTTCCTGCAGAAATATTCATCGTGTATAGCTTTGTAGGATTAGTGGCTGGCCCGAAAACGAGAGAAACTCGTCGACGGTCGTTTATTCGACTTCGAACTGTCATACTTTGCAATCCATGGCGACGTGTCATTTATTCAGTGTTGTACTGATCAAGAGGATCGCCAAGATTGACCTGAGGCTTGGCGCATCGTTGTTTGGCGTCTGCAGCAACTTTAAGCCGCACACTTCATTCTCGAAATCGATTCGGAGCATTGTTTTCGACAAGGAAGACGGGGCCAATGAGGCGGTCTTTCTGTTATACGAGTCTGTCGTTCCAAACGGTTTGGCTTGCTTTCTTGGCTCCAACATCTTGGCTTAGAGGAGTGTGCTGTTGGTCTCAAGCCTCTATATCACATGGCTTCTTTGCTTGGGTCATTATCCGGAGACGTTGTCGGCAGAGTCGGCGTCCGTCGAGGTCGAGGTCGAGGTCGGGTCGTAATCTTCGTGTTCGGCGTCTCGACAACGAATCTTGGGTTTTGCCTGTTGATACCTTTCGATCTGACATCATGAGCAATAACCCGTCGTTCGCACGGGGCAGCGTAGGAAAATTAACTCCACCTTTGTCTCGGACTGCGCAGTCAACGTGTCGTTTTTTTTGTGAGGCAGCTGAGTGAGTGTCAGAAACCTGATCGACGTCAGCCTTCCTGTCTTCCTTCTTCCAACACCAACACCACTGCATCCGAGCTTGACTGTACTTGGTCACTACTTTCTCGAAGAAACCGTCAAAAGTCTCTTGCGACACGTCTAGGCCATCCCCCAAGCTAGACCAAGTCGACGTTCTCAACGATGGCGTCCTCGTGGGCCCACTCGGGCATCGCGGCCCTCCTCGAGCGCATGAAGTCGCAAGACTCCGATTTCCGCTTTATGGCCCTTAACGATCTCATCACAGAACTCACAAAGGATAACTACATTCAGATGGACGACTCGACCGAGAACAACACCCTTCGTCAAGTTCTCGCTTTGATGAAGGACTCCAACACCGAAGTCAAGAACATGGCCGTCCGATCGCTTGCTATCCTCGTCCCACGTCTTCGCGAGAAGAACATGCAAAACGTGATTGACACCCTCATCGAGTACATCTCTTCCAACAATGACGAACTCAGGGATATTGCCGCTCTTGCTCTCAAGACCGTCACTGCACAGATGCCCGCTCGCTCCTCTTACGCTAACACTGCACTCAACAAGCTTGCGCCAAGGCTGCTCAGTCACGTGGCTGATCAGGCTGCGTCGCAAGAACTGCTCATCGACTCACTCGATATTCTCGCCGAGCTCATTACCAAGTTTTCATCATCTGTCTCAGCTGCGTTGCCCCTTCAAAATGCACTCCTCAAAGCAGTGGTTCCTGTCATGCGTCACAGCCGTCCTGCGGTGCGGAAGCGTTCGCTCACCGTCCTGGGTGCTCTTGGATCATGCGCGACATCAGATATCTTCACGCAGCTCTCAGTACAGCTCAGCGCCGATCTCGACGAGGCAAAGACTTCGGTCGACACTCGTAAAACAGCCGTTCAGCTCATCGGCATCTTCGCACGCACCTGTCCACGCAGATTGGGTCGACGTCTACCCGAGTTCATGCCTGCCGTTACCAAGGCTGCAAATCACGACGATGACGAGTTGCGCGAGACATGTCTTCAGTCTATCGAGCTCGTTCTCTTGCGCTGCCCTGCCGAGGTGACACCTTTCGTCAACTCTTCAATCGATCTCGCCACTACACTCATCAAGCACGACCCCAACTACGCTGGCTTTGACGAAGATGAAGAGATGCGCGACGCAGACGATGATTTCGCGGATGAGGACGACCAAGATGACTTGCTTGATGACGACTACTCTGATGACGACGACATGTCTTGGAAGGTACGAAGGGCGTCGGCTAAGGTGTTGAATGCTGCGTTGACCAGTCGACCAGAGCTGTTGGCACATCACGTTAGCACTGTTGCCCCCGTGCTTGTGGCTCGATTCTCGGAGCGAGAGGAGAGTGTGAGGCTCGAAATTCTGGATACCTTTTTGGCTTTGCTCAAGCAGATGCAGCTCTATGCTGGCGGTCCACAGGCGACGGAAGTCATTGGCTCGACATCTAGCTCTTCTGCCAGCCAGGCTGCTGCTATCGCCGCTGCAGGCATGCTTAAGCGCAAGCGACAGGAGGGTGAAGCGGATGATATCGAGGGATCGCCTCGTGGTCAGCTGCTCGCTTTAGTCCCTGCCATCGCTAAGGCTCTCAATCGCGAGATTGTTTCCAAGTCCATCCCTACCCGTCACAAGAGCTTTGTCGTGCTTCGCGAGCTCATCATCGTCCTACACGGTGGATTGGAGACGCATATCGGCTCCATCTTGGCACACACAGAGAAGGCGCTCAAAGGTGCAGAGTCAGCGGCGTCCGGTGGATCGAACCTGAAAGCCGATGTACTTGGCTTCTTCCGCGTGCTCTTCCTCACCCATTCGCCAAAGAGCTTTGACGACCAGCTTCCTCATCTCGTTCCCATTCTTGCCGCGTCCATCGAAGATAAGCTCCACCGAAGCTGCATCGAAGCTTTCCTTACCTGCTCGCAGCTCGTATCTGTGCTGCGTCCTCTTGGAAGCAATGCTTCTGCAGGTGCGGCAGCTGGTGCTGCAAAACCTAGTTCATACAAGCCGTACTTGCTGCAGATCTACTCGGCTACCGTGGCACGACTCAACCGACTCGACTCGGATCAAGAGATCAAAGAACGCGGAATCGCTTGTCTCGGCGTCCTTCTCGCCCACGCTGGAGACGATCTGACTGAAAATCATGCTGAATGCTTCGAGCTTCTCACCGCACGTCTCACCAACGAAGTGACACGATTCATTACTGTCAAAGTCATCGCTCAAGTTGCCGCTTCTCCCGTCTGCGCGGGTCCCGCATTCGAAGCTTTCCTCCAGAGCTCTATCGCTGAGGTCGCAACACTTCTCCGCAAGTCTAATCGTCAACTGCGTCTTGCTGCATTCGACTGCCTTGCTGCTGCACTCTCACGATCGTCGACCAAGCTCGGCATTGCTTCCACAAATGCCATCCTTGCCGAGGTTCAACCGCTCGTGAATGCGGATATGGACATGAATCTCCTCCCGCACATTTTGCGCAGTGTTAACTTGATCCTCGTCAGTGACCCTGCGACGCGCGAAAGTGTGCGCCAATCTGTGCTGCCTCAGATCTACTTGGTTTTGAGGCTGCCAATTGCACAAGGTCCTGCGTTGGAGTCGCTTCTCGAGTTCTTCAGGCTCTATGTTGGCGCGCAGCCAGCTAGTGCGCCAGAGACGGTGGAGGAGCTGCTCAAAGCCCTGGAAGCGGCGAAGGGATCGGCGAGCGGTACGCATCTTTACTCGACTGTTTCGCGCTGTATCGGCGCGGTCTGCACTGTTTCCGAATCAGCTAGTGGCAATGTGGCGAGCAAAGCTACGGCGACGTTGGAGAGTGGAGGAGGAGCGAAGGATACGGATGTTTACTTTGCGTTGTTGCTGTTGGGTGAGTTGGGACGGTTTAATGACTTTTCGACTCGAGCTGGGTTGTTGGAGCATGTGCTTGGGTTTTATGCCGCGGATTCGGAAGAGGTTAAGATGGCAGCAGCGTTTGCGGTGGGGAGTATGGCCGTTGGAGCTCTAACCGTTTTCCTGCCTGTGCTTGAACAGCATATTCGGACAAGTGGAGATGATAAGACTTCGTCTCAGCGTTTTCTCTCGCTCCACGCCCTGAAGGAACTCATCACGCACGGATCGATGGACCAGCTCAGCGTAGTAGCCGAATCAGTCTGGCCGCTCCTCTTTGATGCATGCGAGACAAAGGAGGAGGGTGTCAGATCGATCGGTGCTGAATGTCTAGCTCGACTTACATTGAGCGAGCCAACAAAGTTCCTTCCCCTGTTGCAGGAGCGACTAAGGTCGCCCTCTGTTTCGGTCCGGGCGACGGTGCTTGCTGCGATCCGCTTCACCCTCTCCACTGAATCTTCGGCCGCATACGACGAGCTGCTGGCCCCGATTTTGGTAGACTTCCTATCGTTGTTGAACGATGCAGAGTTAGAAGTAAGACGAAACGCAACTTTCGCACTCAATTCTGCTGCTCACAACAAACCCTACCTCATCCGCGATCACCTCCCTACTCTCCTCCCACTTCTCTACTCCGAGACACACATCAAACAAGAACTGTTGAGGAAAGTCAGCATGGGACCCTTCCAAATCATCACCGACGATGGCTTGGATCTTCGCAAAAACGCATACGAAACTATGTATCAGCTTCTCGACACCCTGTGGTCTCGTCTGCACCTTCGAGACTATCTCGATAGGGTAATTGCTGGATTGAACGATTCAGATGATGGCATCAAAACTCTTTGCTACTTGATGATGATCAAGCTAGTCGAATTACGATCTAGCCTGGCGAGGACAGTGTTGGGAGGTAGGTTGGAAGAGTTGGCCGAACCAGTGGGAGCTACTTTGAGAAGTAAACTGAAAGAAACAGCTACCAAACAGGAGATTGAGAAACAGGTTGAATTGCAGAGGTTTATTTATAAAATGTTGGTCGTTCTTAGTAAGGCCATGGATGGAGTTGTAGTGAGTGGTGCTACTCCCAAGTTCTATGCGGTTGTGCAGGAGGCCAAATCTGGTTCAGCATCTGGTGTGGATACAGGTACTAATCGTGCCGCCGTCGGTGCTGGAGCAAATAGTGCGCTTTGGAGAGAGGTTGAAGCTTCGCTTGCTAATAATTCGTCTCCGTCCTAGCAACATGCACACTCAGGATGAATGCAAAGCAATGCAAAGAGGAAGATGAGATGTGGTTGTGATTGAAATGCAAAGTTCAAGTGGTAGGAACGCTACTGAGTGGAGGAAAAGGATTATTGGCACTGAGAACGAGGATTGCGCGTTCATGAGCAATATACGCTTTCACATAACCCTTATATATCAAGGTAGCCAAGAGCCATTCGAGTTGGTTGAGCTCATAGCCTAATCCGATGAGATTGCTTGAAGTTGCTTTGTGTAGAGTTTCCAAACTTAACCTCGTTGGTCTCGACGGTGGTTCTGCTTGTGGTAGACTTAACCAGATATGTTTGAGAAGAGTTCGCAGGGTAACATCACGAGCACGTTCCATGGCGATAAAACTTCCTTTGTTGACCAGCCATCTTTCTATGATAGGGTTGTTTAAGGCTGAGTCGAAACTCTTTACGTCTCCTTGTCGTAGTGCGCTGATGAATGGTATATAGGCTGCCAATTTCCGGGCAATGTATGGTTGTCGTTTGATATCGAGTAGTGCTGGATAGGGTAGGTAACCTTTAACGAGTTTGATTGGGATAAGATAGGTTAGGATCATGACTTGATTTCCGACCGCCTTGTTATTACACATTCTGAGCGCTGCACTCAGTTGGGCTTCGGCTTTATCATACTCCTCGTTCAAAAACGCTAACACCCCTACGTAGTATCGGAAGGTGACCTGTTGTGATTTTGGGAAGAGTTCTAGATCCGGAAGTACTGCTGCAGAGATAGCTCTTAAGATGTTCCGACAGAGCGAGACGGATTTCAGTCGAAAATAAGTCTTGAAGACCATTCCGACGATTTCGTAGGTTCCCCATTTGCGGCTATCTTGCACATCAACGTTACGATCTGCGATGCAAGCTGTGAAAGCTTTGTTGAGTTGCCTTGCGCATTCTTCCAATCTTTTGTTTGCTACGCTAGATGTTCGTACGGTGGGAGCGACGATTGCTGCTGCTACTGGATGATTCGAACTTCCACCTTTCCCTGATCGACCGTCATTGCTCGCCTCGAGTGCTGCTTGGTCCGCTTGTACGGCCAACCACCTCAAGTTCAAACACAGTATCCTCAATAGCGGAATAGCCCATCTTCCGGGAGTAAGCGTAGCAAAATACCTCACAAAAGCAGTGACCGCTGCATTATACGAATCGAACGCTTCGCCTAACCTCTCCGCCCTACTTTTCCCCTCGGCGTCCACGGCATACGGCCCTGAAGTGGATAGAGAAGAAGTGGATAGAGAAGAAGCGAGCGAGAAGGAATAGAGGGAGGATAAGTGATGCAGACACATATCTTCCCATGGCGAAGAGAGGTATCCTGAGCATTTGCGGAGGGAAGAGATGATACGGTTAGGTCGAGGATCGCCAAGTTCGAGGAGAAGGGATGCGGCGATTGGTCCTCCGATGGCGAATAGTTGGGCGAGGGAGTGACCATCGGTGGTCTTGGAGGCAGTGATTACTGCGTCTGCGAACGATGCTGGTTTCATTGTGGTTGGTGGATGTAGGGGAGAGCGGGCGGATAGGGAGGGTATGGGAGCGGTATGCGGAGGAGAGTAGGAAGGGGAAGGATGGTTTGTGCTTTTGCAGTTTCCTCTACCCAGAGAAATCCGAGATCCGAGTTTTTCTACAGCAACAACACTCCTCCTCCTCCACGCACAACTCTTTCCCACTCACATCTAGCACAAGCTGACATACGATGGCGAAAGAACATGTTGTATACGAACAATGCAACTACACAAAGCAACTATAGAATCAAAGTTAAAACGAAAAGCGGCCAATACACACTGAAAAGAAGACGACAGAGAAATAACTTTGGTTGAGAAGGTCATCTCAAATGCACGCCTGCTTCGTGCTTGACCTCCTGCAACCCGTATCTATACAGTGACTACTACTCTACTTCGCTAGCAAAGACCAGTACGAGAAGCGCCAACAGCAGCAGGATCAGCGAAGAAGCTCGTTGAACACGAGGGCGGATATGGGTGTTGCTGAGTTGCGGAACCGAGCAATACGGATTAGGACGATGACTCGGAAGACGATGCGGAAGATGGCACGCAGGAAGAGGTGGTTGTAGGTTGAGAGAATCGTCACCTCTCCTCTGTCTGCGGCCTGGGAAGGAGGTGCGGCGGTGGTGGCAGCGAGTAAAGAGGGGTTGAAGAGAGCAATGAGCAAGCTTCCTAATCCACCACCTGAGATAGTGAATGAGGAAGTCGTTGCGGCTAAAGCTGCTGCTGCTCCAGTGAACATCAGCGAACCAGTGCCTGCCGGATTGCTCTGCGTCGCTGCCCCTTCCATCGCATGAGAGTTCGTATTCACACTCTCTTTGTCCGTAAACGGAGGAGCAGCTGGCGGTGGTTGACTACTCAACCATCGCACAGCGTCATACGAAGTCAACCCCACGCCTTTCTGTGCACCCATCTCTTCCTCTTCCGCATCTTCAGCTCGTGTCTTCATTCTTTGTCTCTGAGCCGCAAACACGTCTGCCGCTGAAGCCGGCTTCTTCTGCTGATGCTGATGCTGCTGCTGCTGCTGCTGCTGCTGCTGCTGTTGCTGTTGTTGAATTTGAACCAACTTCTCGTACCTACCTTTAATTTTACTGTCGAGTTCCTTCCCCTGCCTCGCCAGCCTAATTTGAGCTGCTTGAGAACGTAGCCACTGTAGCAGGCGCTTTAAAAATTTGTCACCACCGCATACACCGCTCCTGTGAAGCCTGCAAAAACCAACACTCCCGACAAAATCGCTGCTACTCGATTGAGCAGTACGTATCTCTCCAAGTCTTTCCACGGCATGGCCATTGCGGGCTTGGTAGCCATCGCAACTCGGTAGCCTACTTCAGGCTTGATATGCTCCGTGGGAGCCACAGCAGTGGAGCCGTCTGTAGAGGTACCAGCAGAAGAGTGCTGTTCACCTTCGTCGGGGAATCCAGCAAAGATTCGACTTCGTCTGGGTTCTTCCACTTCCGGCACTGGGACCATTCCAGCAGCACCATGCCAGACGCCGCTAAAATTCGGCTGTGGTTCCTGCAGCATCCGAACAGGAGACTGGTAGAAGCTGATCTGTGGGTTTGTATCGAGTAGCGAGCCAAGGCTGCGGGTTTTGCTCTTGCGTACCTTAGTGGGAGGTGGACGGTTGGGGTCGCTATTCGTATTCTTTGCGCTGTTGGCTGTGCTTGTGGATGAAGCGGCGTAGGACATTGATGGCAATCCGCTCAATCCTAACCCGCTCTCACCCTGACTCCAGAACTGCTCGTAGCTTGCACCGCCACCGAACGTAGTCGAACTCGATCCAGGATTAGGGCTCGAACTGGCAGACCCTTGCTGCTGCTGCATACTTGGCACGTGCTGCCAGACATCAAACTTGTTCCTGACCCTCGGATCATCTGCTGAGGGATGTCTAAGCTGACCATCGGGAGTTAGGTACCAGCCACCAATCATCCATAGCCATGGCATACCGAGGAAACCGGCCCAAAACATGTTCTTGCTTGGCGTGTTGCTGTCCAGCAGTGCTCCTGGGCTAGTGAAAAGTCCGTGATTAGCCGCTGCTGCGTGGTGGGTGGATGCGCGACGCTTTGATCTGCTTCGGTTGGATATGAGCCGGGGAGCGGGGTGCTGATCGTGAGAGCCGTAGCGGAGAGAGAAACTGCCAGATGCACGATGACGGTGTTGGCTACGAGTGAAGATGGATACCGCGGGATGATCTTCTTCGTTGTCATCGTAGTGGTGGTGTTGTTCGTCAAGGGCAAAGCGAGCTGTACGGGTACGTCGGTGGAGATGGACTTCTTTCTTCCCGGGGCTGATACCAAAATCGCCCAGTGCGGTGATGTGGTATTGTGCCTGCTCGTACTCTTGTTCGTGGTATGAATCGTCTTTGGCGTAATACTGCTGGTGGTGGTGAGGGTGTTGAGGGTAGGACCAAGAATCAGGAGCATCCGGCATGGACGTGTGGAAGGTCTCTCCTGCCCCAGCCTGTGCGAATTCTTCGGACTTGAACGCCATACCCTGACCGGCGAGGCGTCGCATCTGGTCGCGTGCTCGAACGAGCCCTGATACTGTCAGACCATGCTCATTGGCTGAGACTGGAGGTGGAGCTTGACGATGAGCTGCAGTAGCACTGCCCGACAGCATGAGCGGGATGTGGTTCGAATCCTGTCGCTGCTGTGGCGGATTGACACCCCAGTCCTGAGGTTCGAACATCATCGTTGGTGTGAAGCCCGATGGGCTGTCTGCCATCCGCGGAGAGCGCATCGCATCAAGCCAAGCTCGCTCCGCACCCACCGCCGTCGCTACTGCTGCTGCCGTGGTGTCAGTTGACAGTGGCATTGGCGAAGTACTGAATCGTTCCTTGCCGCCAAACATCGTCATCGACATACGCTTGTTGTTCATGCTTCCTGCTCTCGACAGACCACCATGGCGGACTGCTGGGTCAACTTGGTGCTGAGCAGCATCGTCAGTGGAGTTGCAGACGTATGCGAGGCGAGGGGATTCGACCTCGGCCGTAGTGGAAGTGATGTATGCGATACCAGAGTTTCGTTTCTTTTGACGCTCGACGGCGCTCATACGACGAAGCTTCTTGAGTGCGTCGATAGGTTCTTTCTCCCTTTTTTCGGATGAGAGATCGGCGCGGCCATCAGCCTGCTCTTCGGCGGGAGGTGGTAAGCGTGGCGAGCCGGCGAGCAATCGCAAAGCTACAGCACGAGCGTCTTTCTCGGCCACCTCATCTTGCTCACCTGGCGTTGGCGATCTGAATCTCTGCCTCGTAGCTGCATCCAAGTGATACCTTGCGCTGCTCTGCCTCTTCTCTACGAGCGAAAGCGGTCTGAAGGAGGCACGAGAAGCCGTCCTCTCCCCCTTAGCTCCCTTTCCTGAGGTCGATCCTTCCACCTTCTCTCCACTCTGATCACCTGAGCTATCTGCCAGCTCCAAATCAACACTACGATCACCTGTACTTGCCCCAACACCAAACGACGTCTTCCTGGGAGAAGCCATTGCGCTCCATAGCTTGCTCACCCACTGACCGGCCTTTGCCGCCTCTCCACCTTTCTTCTCAATCTCTACTTCAGTCTGAAGCCCACCATGGTCCAAATCGATATTGACGAACTTGGCATCGGCACTGTCTTGATTAGTGTGCTGCTTGTCAGATCGCATACCTAGCGCGAGCGCTTGACTCCTTCGTGCTGTTGTGCTGCGACGCCATCCGATGCTGCCGGTTTTGGGCTTGTTCGGCGAGAGGGGAAGAGGTTGTTCTGCATCGGCAGTCGGTGCGGGAGTGGCGTTATAGACGAAAGCAGAGATTGAAGAAGCGATGCTTTGCGAGTGCAACAGAGCCTGAGTGTTGGTGTTGACTTGTGCACGGTGTACAGCGACGTCTGCAGGAGACCCTTGGACGATTGCGTTCAGGCCGCTGGGTGCGCTGCTGCCGAGCACTTTGCCACTTGCTGTACGAGGCGAGCGGCAGTCGTTGGGGAGTAGAGGGCTTGGGCCGTTGACGAGGTCAAAGCCGAGACCGTGTTTGTGAGGGTCTTGAGAGTGGAGATCTTCTTGACGAGATGCGCGGGTGAGAAGAGCTTCTTTGTACTTTGAGCGAGAGCGGTTGAGCTTGTCATTGTCGCCAGGGGACATTTGAATGGATAGGTGGGGCGAAGCGGAATGTTGCGGGAAGCGGGTCATGCATCGTGAGGCCTGACGGAGGAGGTCGGTGGTGATGGGCGCAAAGCCTTTCACGCCACCTTGAGTAGAGGCAGGGCCAGCGTTGGGATCGGGAGAGTCAAACTCGAGACCAAGACCTTGAAGGGCAGATAGGTGCTGTGAAGCTGGAGCCTCGGCGCTCGAGCCCTCGTCAGCGTGGTGCGCATCAATCTGAGGTGTCGCATAGTTGCTGTGGATGATGGTGGTCAGAGCTGGAGATACGACGGGCTCTGCTGTCGCTTTCACGCCTGCCTCGTTGGGCAAGTTGAGGTTGAGCAGCAAGGGAGACTGCGGCCAAGGACCCGTTGTTGCACTTTGATTGCATGTCGTGGGCTTTGGACCTGCCTCCTGTGAACATTGTACTGCGTTGTGCATAGCAGCTCCGACATCAAGGCCAATCGATGACGATCCATCAGGAATCAAGGTGGGCTTGCGCGCAACAAACGCAAACGGATCAACGCTCTCATCCGGTGTGGAAACGGTCGAGATGACCAAGGTCTGGCGCGCTCTAGGATGCTGATCATCGTCCGTGGCGTCGGTACTGCGCGAGTCCTGCCTTGATCTAGTTTCGGAGGTGGCCTCTTCTTGCGTCGCTGGTAGGCTGATGGTTGGATGCACTGCGTTGTGGCGCTCGTCTGCTCGAATGGATAGGCGTGCCAAAGTCTGGGCAGCGTGAAAGAAACGCTCTTCGCTCTGAAGGAGTGCTTTACGTTGTCGCTGGGTGAGGATGCACTGTTCGGTGTTGCGTCCGCCACGAGGCTCAGCCTGCGCCCCAGATTTGCCCTGATTCTGGTGAGCCTGAGGTGGCTCGCTGCAGATAGACGGGCGTGTCGCAGCCGTGAACTGTGTCTTGGCGCTCGTAGCGGTGCCCGGCATGAGATCAAACATGGGCGTGAAAGGCGTCAAGGGAGTGTGATGCGTTGAAGGAGTAGATTGATCTGACATGCTCCATGTCGTTGCGGAAAATCCCACTAGGCTGCTGGATGTGATTGGTAGGAATGTCAATGTGGAAGCTGTAGTGGTGGGTGGGATAGCCAGCAGATTGCTCGATTCGATCGTCAAAGGGCCATCCAACGGTGCTGAGGGATGTGCGGCCTGGCAATCGTTTTGAGCGGGGAAGAGTGCTTCGTATCGCTGCAGTGGTGGCAGCGGAGGAGCATTCGACAATTGCTCTCGCCATCTGATGCTGCTGCTGCTGCTGCTGCTGCTGCTGCTGGCTTCGACGGTGATAGCGTCAGAGATGGCTGTTCGGAAACTGTCCGAACTCGAACGCTTCTGTGCTGTTCTGCACCTGAGAGAGCGAGCTGCTTGGCTAGAGTCGACTGATGAGACTAAAGGTCGAGTGCCTGCCGACTTTGTGATGGTCGAGTTTGAATTCTTGGCAGTGTGATAAGCCGAGGTGGAAGGGAGAGAGTGCTCCTTGGATGACGGACTGGGCGCAGGACAAGGCAAAGGCTTATTGGGAGGTGGCAAAGGCGGTGGACCAAGTGAGGCGGGAGATGCCCAAGTTCGGAAGGACCGATTTGAGTGCGATCGTGCTCGACGTCTCTGTTGCACTGCACTTGCCTGGTGGCAAGAGTGCGCTGCCGAGCTTGGTGTGCGGCGAAGCGTGTCTAAGCTCTGCTGTTTCGCTGTTGCTGCTGATGTAGAGGCAGCTCTTCGGATCCATGCCGAATCGGGTGTGCCGTCGTGAGAAGCCGATGGATTGTGCCGAGGCAGACGGTGGATGGCTGCTCCTCTCCTTGTTGCGCTGAGCGGTGTCAATGGTAACGGCTCTTGCGCAGCAGGCAACGAAGCGGCCGTCCCTGTCGCTGGCGTCACTGGCGAGAAGACGCTCTTGCCAATCAGCTCGCCACTAGCTGGACCAAGCTCGGCACTGGGCCCTGACACCATTGTGCCCATCAACGGCAGCTTGCGCTCTTGCGCATGTTTCTGAGCTCTTTCCATCGCAAGCCCTCGTTGTCGCTTAGCCTCTGCTCCAGCTGTCAAGTTCAACGGTGCAGGTGGTGCTTTCCTCCTTTTCTCCCAATCCGCGTTGGCCCTCATGCTCCTGAGTGCTTTGCTGTTTGGAGAAGGTGATGTGCTGAAGCCTGTCCAAGAGGAAAGAGAGTTGGAAGAGGTTGATCTTGTCTCTATGGCCGCTTTTGCCGCATTGTGAGAGCTTGGAGCTTCTACCGACTCTGGCGTGTGATCGGGTGAAAAGTGGCTGGTGAGACGAGGTTCCAGCTCAGCTTGGCTCGATTCCCGTGGATCCAACGACAGAGACCCATCCAAGCGGGAGACATAATCGAAGGAGAGGTCGAGGTCTACATCCCCGTCATCCATCGACCCTTTGCATCCTTCAGCCGCGGTGTAGGTCGGCTCATAGTCCATGCTACCTCCCAGAGTCATGGCACAGCCGCCGTGCGAAGCACGTGCCAGTTCAGCGGAAAAGTGATAGATCCTCTTCTTCTGCTGTCCAGCCTGCTGATATGAAGTTGATGCCCCTTGGCTATCCTTGCTTCGAACAACAGAGTCGGTCTCCTTGCTGCTCGACACGGCAGAATCTGCAAATGAAGCCATATTTGGGCTTGGGCTGTTAGCCAGCCAGAATCCAGCTCCTGATCCACTGTCACCATGCGGCGAGCGATAAAGTGTCTTGGAACGAGCAAGAAGCTTTGATGGCTTGCCAGAGACCTTCTGGCCATCCATGCCTGATCTTGAAGTCGATGCGCTAGCCATCTTGTCCTGTTACGCTTCAGAAGGCTGGATTTGACTGATACCAAGTTGTAGTAAAGCAAGCAGCTGTGAGGTGATGACTGATGAAAGCAGCTGCTCTTCGTATTGCCTTGCTGACTAGCTAGCTCGATGGTCTAAGTGCTGCCCTTCAGCATGATGCAGCGATGAATACAAGTCGACGAGAAGCAGTTGTACAGCCGCTGATGTGTTGTTCTGCCGAGTTACGCGCTGTTGTGTTGCATCTCCTTCTTCCCAGCGCACTGCACAACAGCAGAGAATGAAGAGTCGCAAGCAATTCCGTTTGTTATCGATGATCGTCGGCTGGCAGAAGAATATCAAGGTGGGTAGCCAACGAACCAATGAGAGAATCACGTTTGCCGTTGTGATGAAACCTGATGTGGGTGTAGCTTGCCAAGCTGCGGTGGGGGGTGGGGGCAAAGACAGTGTTGTGGTGGATGATGTAGTTCGATATGTACCCAACAGAGGCCAAAGATGGCATACAATGAAAAAAGAAAAAAGAAAAAAAAAAAAAAAAGTCGAGACAATGGTAGTAGAGACTGGCGACGATGGCGACGATGGCGACGGGGTGGGCGAGGACTTGCCAAGCGAGGGGTGGAGTGGGGGTGCTGCAGTGCCGTTCTGGCAAACCAATGGCTTGGTTGGATCTCGACTGGAGGCTGACCGTACAGCAGGCGTGTACTGATCATGACAAGCTGAAGAGGCAAGGGTTGACCATTGTACACCTGCTTAGACAGTGGTAAGCTTTGGCAATCCGTGTATGCCATCAAGCGAGCTAGCCCAAGCCAGACCGTTGGTGTGTCACAAAGCAAGCAAGCTTTGCAAAGAAAAGCATCTCACCACACACCAAGCAGATCAATGATGCAGTGATGCGCAAATGTTATTGAAAAGAAGACTCGTCCAAAGCTCAGATGGCTGTGAAGGGCTTCGATTCAGGAATGCCAGATCCATGGCTCGGAGAACAGGCCCAAGGCCCAAGGCGGATGGTGAGATCCTTCGTTCGTTGCAAGGCCGAATAGGGGGTGGCGAAAGAACAGAGAGGGCCGCTGCTGCGATCATGGCATCACAAGCATACCCTCAGTCCCAGTCGAGTCGATGCTGGACGGCTGTCAATCGGCGGCTGTGTTGCATCTCTGCTGCTCCTCGTCTTTGGCTCTGGAATCTGGATTGCAATCCTACGCTGCTTGGAGCTGCTTAGACCTGTATCATGCGCACTTTAAGGCCGACGTGCAGCATTATTTTCAGGCTCGCCTCTCTCTCCTCGCTCTGTTTGACAACAACAACAACAACAACAACAACAACACCACCACCACAACACCACCACAACAACAACACCAAAAGCGCACAAAGAACACGTGTTGCAAACTCCGCCTCGGCGATGGAGTCTGCTTGAGCCAGCCGCGATCTCTCCCTCCTTCCCCTTTGTCTCCTTGGCTTTGACCATGATCCAGCTCGAAAGAGGTAGAGCCGAGACCGGCAATACAAGATTACCGTCTTTTGCACGGTTCCAACTGTGAAAGGTAAGGTTACGCTGCGAGTTTGCAGGATAACCAGGATGAACCATCAAAAGCGAAACGTTGCAGAGAGCGACTGATGATATAGCATATGCTTTGCAAGACAGCAGCCAAGAAACAGGTTGACCGTTGGTGTCGTTTTGAGCGGCGATACAGCGCAGGAGTGCGCATTGCAGAGAAGCGGCGAGTTTATGCGTGCTCAAGTGCAAGGTGCAATTTCCTGGAATGTTAGGCCTTCCATAGTTAGATGAAAGGACCAGGAATGTTAGGCCTTCCATAATTAGTTCATTGTCATGATGACCTAAGCGAGGTCGGAAGATTCTCCACAATCTCGCTTTCACCGTACATATGCATCCTCTTCCTCTCATTTCTTCCAAAGTGTTCACCATCGGCACAGCAGCTAGCTCATCTCCTAGGATGGCATCAGCAGCAGCATCAAGAGCCAATCTCGGCGCTTCTGCTGGTAGTGCAAGTGCAAGTGGAAGCGGCGGCACTGGCGCTGGCGCCGGTCCATCAACCGCACCATCCTCTTCCTCCAGCAACCCAGCTAAACGCTCATCATCAACAACAGCACAGCAACCGCAAGTTTCTCTCCTCGGCACACTTCCACTCCATCTCGTCCCCGCCCTCCTCCATCGGATCGAAACAAGCCTGGCCACTCTTCCGCCAGCACTTCTCTGCGAGAAAGAAACAGTGCTCGCAAGACTCGATGATGAAACATCCGGCGTTCGCGAAACAGGCGACAATGCTTGGGCCAGCGTAGTCAAAGCACGCAAAGGTGTCAAGCTTCGAGTTCGAGAGAGCCTCAACAGGATTTACTTGGAAGGAGTAGAATCCGAATCAGTAGAATGTACCCTCTTTCTTCCATTTCCCAGTTTACCAGAACGACAATATCCCAAAGCATCCCTTAGACCGAGCTACAATGTTCAGCTTCTTTCCGATACTCCCATTCCTCCCGGCCATAGCGTTGACCAACGCGACCCGTTCGCGGCGGAAGGAGGGGATACATTTCCAGGCTTCGACCCGAACATATGGCTTGATACCGACCTCATCAATGGCTGGAAAAGCTTCGTCTCTTCGATAGGCTGGCGTCCACATTTCACCTTGCTGCGGTACGGTCTCACCTTTGCATTGAACGAGACTTTGTCACGGCAGTCGTCAACAGCTTCACCAAACCCTCTGAATCCATCACAGCGAACAAAACATACTCTCAACATGTATAGGATCTTCACCCCCGATCCAACCTCGTATACGGACGATTGGGTTCCACTCGATCCTGAGGGTGCGACGGTGGTGATTGAACTAACAGCGCTGGTCGGAGGAGAGATGGATCAGAGTCACTTTAATCAATATTGTACGCCAGAAGAGGTGGGACCAGCACAGACAGCTGGTGGCTTGCATCCAAACTCTACCATCCAAAATGCCATCGACTTTGCCGAGTCGGTAGCCAAGAGTTTGAGGGGGTTGGTTGATTTGCGGAGAGAGCCTCACGATTGAGCATGGTCACACTTTGTACTTGTACCCATTCGCAAACATAATTAACTCAGGCATCTGACAAGGTTGTTGGACACTACTAGCATTGCATTATCTCGTTGTAAGAGATGAGATCTTCAGCATCACCAGCCCGCTGTTGCCTGGTTTTGATCTCGCACAAAGGCACCAAGCTGGGCCGTCCATGAGCACACTGAAACGGAAACCTGCATTCGGCTAGCCTCCTAGCCAGCCTTTCACTGGCCTCCTGGCTCAGCGGATCATTGAACATGATGGCGCTGCGACAGGCCGTGCTCTTGATGATGTCCATCAGAGCAGTCGGGATGGTGCGAGACGCTGTGAGCCAGTCTGATCCCCATTTGTCAACCATGACCTTAGCAGAGGGAGAAGGCGATGTTGCCAGCTCGTCCAGGCAAGCAACAAAGACAGAGTGCAGCAGTCCTTGATCCTTCACCCTTCCTTTGTCGGTGAGTGTACGCTCTCTGAGCACATATGGCACGCCTCTGAGATCCACCTGCGCGTGACCAAGCTCGGCGTGTACCATGAGAGCCTTTTCAATCACCCAGCCCAGCTTGGCCAGGCCTTGCTTGTTTCCTGCGTTCGATGTGATGAGCTCGTACTGCTTGACTGTGATTGCGAGTGTCAGTGTCGCTGGTAGAGCGTGAGCTGCTGTGCCCTCCTTACAGCCCTTGACATAGTCATCGAGTAGCCGCTCAAGTCGACATCGTTCGTCCGCAGCATGTTGATCGATGCAGAACAGTACCGGCTCCCAATTCTCCGAGATGGGAGATGGCGATGTAGTGCAGAGGATGAACTTGCCATCGACCTGATCAAGAACCTGAGCATCCTGCAGGTCTGAGCGTGAGATCGCGAGCTCGAGCTCGGTCGCCGCAAGCCCTTGGGCAGCTTCGTCAAGATCAACATCCTGATCATTTCGTAGAGGATGGACTCCAGATCTGGACTCAGGTCGCCTCGAATCGAAAAAACGGCTTTGCCGAGAGACGTCGACCATAGCAGCTCGAGATGGAGACGGGATGGAGGCGAGCGCAGCATCCAAGCTCGGATCATCGAACTCGTCATCACTGTCCCCTACAGGAATGGTTTGTGCTCCTCCCTTTGATACAGACAAGGCGAGACCCCTTCTGAGACTTGAGAGATCTACGACGATCCCTTGACGTACTGCGCTGACTCGTGGTGATGCCGCGGTCCTCTTCGTCGACGAACTTGGATTGACAGGGATGCTATGCCCTGTGCGCAGATCCAGGTGGAATAGTCGACCGTTGACAGGGTCGCACCATTCGACCATGCCGTCTGGTGCTTCACCTCCTTGGCTTGGTGACTCGGTCGCCAAAGATGACGTTGCAGGACGAGTCTTGATTGGCGACACGGCTGGAGTGGAGCATTGTGCTTGGCCAGCGGTGCTAGATCTGCTCGAACGCTTGCGCTTCCGTGATGTTTCCGAACCAGTGTCGTTGGTCTCAGAGGTTCCACTGGAGATCGCATCGAGCAACGTCGCTTCAAAAGAAGCGGCATCCAAAGCAGGTGCCCCTTCTGGCTGTGCCATAGCTTGAGCTCCTTTGGTCAAAGTGATCCGAAGAACGAAAGCAAAGTTTGGTGGTACTCTTCTCTCACGCCCGGATTCTGGCAGAGCCAAGATGCGTTGGTTGACCTTCCGATACAGGTCGGGTGAGAGGAGGTGATGCCTTGCACGTCTGGATGCGACTTCTTCAGTCCAGCCCAACTGGAAGGTCGATAGAAGCGAGGCAAAGACCGCAGAGTCTCGATCTGAATGTTCCAAGCCGCTTGGTATGTTGGAACCAGGCCAGATGCGGCCTTGAAGGAAGATGATCTGTGGTACGTGCGCTGTCAATGCTGGGCAGATGAACCCATCGACCCTTATCTTGACGGCGGCGAAAGAGCGCTCCTGTGAGATTGTTTGCATGCGGTTCGAGTCGAGGTCGTTGGCTCCGAGCGCAGCTCGGCAGCGATGCAGAAGACTTTTGGCTCTAGGTAGGCGGAGAAGATCCTTGAAAGCCGGCAAGCTGCCGTCTGACGGAGCAGCATTTTGAACGCTGGCCTTGAAAGTTGCCTCGGGCGTCAGCAAGGAAAGCTCTCGAAGGCAATGAGCGAGCGAATCCATGCGACTCTTCCTTTCAGCCTCGGATAGGATGAGCCGGCGACGTACGGGCATGGCGTGAAAGACGTCATGAACGGATATTGTGACTCCTCTAATGGAGGCATCTCCGCTTGAAGACGGAGGCGCGACAAGCGGCGTGGAAGGTAGTTCTGACAGGGTACGGTGACCCTCCTGCCAGATGCAAGCCTCAGTGCCGGATGAGGAAGTCAAGGTGATGTGAACGAGTCCGAGATGAGAGAGCAGGCTTAGCTCGTCTTGTTCAGTTTCAGTCGCTTCGAAGCTTGAGTGAGAAGAAAGTTGGCTGCCAGGATCTATTTGGTGGGACAGAGTGATGGTCCAGGTAGCGTAGTCGACAGACAGGCTGATTTTGCCTGCAGAGTTCCTGAAGAGCTTGTAATTGCTCTGGAGGGCATGTCGAAAGAGAATGCGACAGACGTCCTCGACTTTGACCGCAAGCAGGGATGCTTGAATTGAGGCGGCAGTCCGTTCTGTGAGCTTTTCAATGGCGTCCATTGCGTCGAGCGAGGGTAACAAGCGGGGCCCTGACACCGAGGGCAGGCTTCAGACCTCGAGAGTTTTCTGTCGTGGATCGTCAACTGATCTCTTGGTCGCCATCGAGAAGGCAGGGCTAAGTGTCAATGATGCTATCGAACATGACTGGCCTGTGCGAGGGACGTTGGCTTGGACATCCGCTTCCGTGGCTAGGGTATAAGTGAGCTTTTCCATTCCGAGAGGAGATGCAGAATGCTGTTCCGATGTAGCGACAGAATGCTGTTCCGATGTAGCGACAGAATGCTGTTCCGATGTAGCGAGATCAGTAGACGAAGCTACGGTTGCAGGTTGAGAGACAGCTTGGCCATGGTTTGTTGCCCTGGTGCAAGAAGAACGGTCCAGAGGGCAAGCTTGAAAGCCTTCGCTAAGCAGCTGAGAAGTGGGAGCTGAGTCCTTGTGGATTTTTCAGCATAAATTTGTTACACCGTCTAAATGCACATGATTTTCTATGCGAGAAATCCTTCGCGCAGGGTCTTGCTGCAGGGTCACGTGCGAAGAGCAGTCAATTAGTGCATGCTTATTGCGCGGTGAACAGAGGCGTGATGCATGCTTTCTCTAGCTTCGTTCTGCTTGCACACCATCAACTTTATCATAGATCACTTTTCGATAGATATGGATGCTAGCTGTTGCATCCAAAGGACACTCATCAACTCTCTTGTGCAGCCGCAATGCTGAGTCAAGAGTGGGCAACTCCAAGTCAATGCGCGGATCGATCTGAGCCGCGTGATGAAATTTTCAACAAGGCGCGCCGGCCAGCCATCCGTGGCTGACTGCATCTCTGAGCTTGCGCAACGCAATCGAGCCTCAACGGTCTGGATCGAATATCAAAACATGACGGCCAGCTAGCTCAGAAGGCGGGCAGACAATCACAAACAAAGACAACTAGACCGAGAAAAGAGGATAACCATTAATACAAAGAAACAAAAGGAGGAAAGCGAGAGAGACAGGCCAGAACCGAATGGCGCAGACGAGTGCGACATCTTTGAGCCCATCTTCTCATCGCAACCATGCTAGATGATCGAATAGAAGCAAGAGAGACCAAGACCAAGTCGCAATGAAGGTAGCAAAACAGCAAACACGACAAAAACAAAGGAGCCAGTGTTGTACAAAGGTGAGGGGGAAGCAAGCAAGCCGAGGCACAAGGCGTCAAGCCATCTTGCCCGTCCTTGCCTCCAAAAGAAGGAGAAAGGGACAAGGTCAAGGATTCGACCATGACGATGACGACAATCAAAGCTTAATGCTAAGAAAGAGAGACCGAGGCCAACGAGCCAGACAGGCGCAACGAGCAACAAGGTATCACAATCGAGAGCAGCTACAACTTTGTGGAGAAAGTTAGAGTGGGCACTTATGCCTTCTTGGCAGCGGTCTTCTTGGCGGCGGGCTTGGCAGCCTTTGGTTGAATGGGAGCAAGAGGTTTGCCGGCAGGAGCGTCAGTCTAGATGTTCATCAGACAGGAGAGCGACGGCGAGACAAGGGGGATGGCGATCAGCGTCCGAGTGTAGGTTAGCTTTGGGAGCAAAGGGCAATATGCTGAGCTTGATGGAAAAGCATCCCCAAGACGTGTTTTGGTGACACTGCATCAGTCAACCAGCTCAGCTCGCCAACGCGACCGTCGCGTTCAGCAAGAATCACGCCAGCAAGCACGACTCCGACGCCTAGGAGAATGGAGTGAAACTTACCTTCTTGGCAGCAGGCTTCTTGGCCTTGGTGGCCGTTGACGAGGCAACCTTCTTGGCAGTGGGCTTCTTGGCAGCCGTCTGTGGGAGTAACGGTAGGCGTCAGGCAAAGGTCAGAAAGGGGGAGTGGCGTCAGTGACCTTTGTTGTGAATGGGAGATTGAGCTGTGGTCATCAACGATGATGATGATGATGATGATGACGACGACGACGACGACGGTGATGACCTTGACGATCAAGGGGGGTTGCAAGGCGGTGGAAGTGGGTGACGATGCAGGTGCGCCGACTAGTAAAGGCGAATGCGCAGCACGCGCCGGGGCCAGCGAAAATAAAATTATTTTCACCATCCCTCGATCCCTCGATCCCTCGATCCATGCGCCCTGATCAAAGACGGTGATGATGACGAGGAGAACTTACCTTGCTGGCGGCAGGCTTCTTAGCTGCGACCTTCTTGGCAGCAGGCTTCTTGGCGGCGGGAGCCTTCTTCTCGACCTTGGCCTTGGGGGCGAGCTTGACCTTGCCGGAAGGGCCTTTGGGAAGGAGGAAGGTCTTCTTCTCGGCACCGCGGGTGATAGCCTGGTTGACACGAGTGTTGAAGCTGGCCTCGGAGCCCTTGGCGGTCTCGGGGTGGTGAGACTGGATGTACTTCTTGATGGTGGCACGGCCGATACCAGCACGGGCGTCAGCGGGGTGGGCAAGGATGGCCTCCTTGATCATCGCCTGAAGAACGCGACGCGAGGGCATAGACAGGGATGGAGAGAGCAAGGGGCACAGCGATGAGCGTGAGGATGGGCAGAAGTGAGTGGCGAGTGGTCAGTAGAATGTTCTCCATGTCGTTGTGATCGGCTGAGCATCTGAGGGCGAGGTAGTAATATTATTTTTGCATCGCCTCCTCCAAGACGCGCGCGCGCGTTTCTGTCTATCGTTCCGAAAAGCAGCTGACCAACAGATCGCGACCACGGTCTCTATAGGCAGGGCTGAGCAGTAGTATACACTCGTACGACATTCAGTAGTTACTAACTAGTGGCGCCAAAGACGAGCCGAGTTGAAATCAGAAACTTACCTCGTAGGAGACGCTGGTGCCAGCAGCCTTCTTGGAGGCGGCCTTCTTGGCGACGGGCTTGGCGGCGGCGGCAGACATTGTTGAAGAGCTTGGTTTGTCGAAGGTGTTGTTGGTAGAAAGAGTGTTGGTGAAAGTGGACAAGACAAAAGTCTTGATGATGTTGAAGAGTGTTGGAATAAGATGGTGGAAGTAGAGAGGAAAGAGGGGAAGAGAGGAGAGGAGGATGAAGAGTGGACTGGGCAGCTTTTTTGCGGGCAAGCGGAAGGCGCTCAATTCCAAAAGAGAGAGAGATTCAAAGCGAGACAAAGCGGCCGGCTGGAAAAGGGAGAGTTAGAATCAAGAATCACAGGTTCCAATGCAGGACTGCAGATGCAACCACACAAGAGAGTGCCCAATGACCCAAGAGAAAGGGCGGGGCGAAGGGGGCGGGGACGAGGGACGAGGGACGAGAGAGAAAGAGAGAGAGCGAGAGGAAGAGGGCGTCTCTACTGCTTCTGTAGCAACGACACATCAAGAAAGGCGAAAATAAGCGTGTCTGTTTTCCACACATTTCGCCGTCTGCTGCCTTGTTGATGAGCATCTGGGTGTCTCTATCTATCTCTTTCCGCAGTCAAGGCATCTGGAGCTCATCCTACACCACTTCTCTTTCCAGCGCTTGACGCCAGATACCACTCTATGCCTATCTATGATAGCTTCAGCATCGAGAGAATTCAGTGTGATTGCTAGGGGTGTGTTCTTGATTGCGCTAGACGCGCACGCACGAAGGATGCTTTCAATTTGCAACAGCGAGGTTTGGAGCAGCCTTGGCTCGCCTCACCAGGGGAAAAGACAAGACAAGACAAAGCAAAGCAAGGCGAGTCGATCTGTCTGGCAGCTTTCCGTGTCATTGCATAGAGCATGATGAACGTCGACGTCGACCTTGCAAAGAACACCGCTGCTCAACTTCGGATCAGAGCTCTCCCGCTCGCAGTTTTTTTTTTTTTTTTTTTTTTTTTTTTTTTTTTTTTTTTTTTTTTTTCCTTTTTTTCTTTTTTGTTCTCTTTGCACAATCCAACCCACTCGTTGCCGCTGCCCCCTATTCCATCCGCTTGTCTTTTGCCCGGCTTATGCCTCGCCCTTACTCTTCATAGCCCTCGCCGTCGTCGTTGTCTCCATTCCTGGATGTTGAATAGCCCTCCGCCCATTTTGGGGATACCTTAGGCTCTGTCAAATCGCACTGGCCACACCTCTCAAAATCACCTCTTGATCACTGTTCAACAAGGCGATCACAATTTTGAAAGACAGTTTTGAAATCAAGAGAAGCGCCTCTTTCCAACACAGTCACTCCCACAGCTTCCGCTTGTCTACTCGAAGAGCAACAGACGATCAAAGAACACGTTCTAGCACGAGGAGGGGACAACGAGGAAGGGGACAACGTTGGAAAGGCATTTATCTCGACTTCGAAAATGAGCAAAATTGGATCGCCAGGACAGCCTAAACCCAACTTTCAGACCCTTTTCTCGTGTTCCAAAGGCTGGATGGGAAAAAAAAAAAAAAAAAAAAAAAGACGTGCGCTGCAGACAGATAGACAGACAGACAGACAGACAGACAGTCGCTGAGAAAATGACGTGCCATTTTGATCCCGCTCTAGTCAACGAAGTTTCCTTTCTATGGTCTCACAAATAATGCCTTCCATCGTCGTTCGACCGACCTCTTGACAACACCGGTTTGCATCCATTGCATTCAAGTCAATCCTTGCTAGCCTGGTTGGCCGGCAGCTGAATGACTCAGACTGACGGTGGCGTGTGGTGAGGTACGTTTGCAGGTCGCATCGCTTGGATCGACTTTAAGGTAGATCGGGCTCGATTCAGCACGGCTCTGAGCAGACAGATTCGAGCTCCTGTCGCTGTCGCTGCCATTCGCGGTCTCTGGCTCCGTGCTGACACGCTGACTAGGTTCCAACGCTGTCACCCCGCCAGACCAGCAGCGAGCGTGGCGTGCAAGCACAAGTTCTTCCTGCTTCAGCCATCCCTTCTGGCCGTACGGCCGCAAAAGGCCTGCCTTATAGATATGTTTGAGCAAGTGAGTGAGAGGAGCTATGTTGACATAAAACTACCACCGTTGGGCATGGGTGTTGGCTGATCCGAGCAACTTCAAGTGTCGAGCAACGCCACCAGAGAATTGCCGAGTTCCGGCGGCAGCCAGCGATAACGAGGGCCTAACAGCAGCAAAGAGGCGGGGAAAAAAACAGAACTGCAGCACCTAGGATTCCCGCGTGGTCCCCCACCGCAGTACTGACTAGGCGATACCTTGCTTAACTTCGCAGATCGGACGGGATGCGGTGCTTTCAAGGTTCTATGGCCGCAGATGTAAGATTTTACCAAAGTTCTGTATATATAGTATGTGTAAAAATGTTAGATCTTGTCCTTCATCAGCTGACACGCACGACGCTGGCAGGAAGACCGAGAGTGCAACATCTTGAACTTTCCGTCCCGATACTGGCGATCGGGAAGAGTCTGAGTACGATGTCACTACTGTTTTTAGGGCAGAAAGATATACTCGATTGACTAAGGAGAGAACATGGCGAGAGCCTCGAGCTCTCTGACTGACATATATACAAAGTGCTGGTTCATCCCATATGTGGCAGTATCACCCTCAATGACAGAGTACAACAACGAGCAAGACCAATAGCATCCAATCTTTCTCTCCGATCGGCTCTGTCCAATTCTCGATTCAATTAGATCTATCCTATCCCCGATTAGCTTGAATCTGTCCGATCCCCGATTCGGCCTGCTGGATCGTCATCCTCAGCACAACACAGGCCACCTTTGTGCTTTTTCGAAGGGCATCGCATCTGCTGCCTATTCATTCTTCGCACCCTGTCTCACCTTTATCACTTTGCAGTCAACCAAGACTTTCAGCCACAACCATCTCGCCCTCCGACTTGGAAGAAGGACACCTCGAGTGGCTTTGAAACAAACAAGCAGCGACCCTTTTGCCCTACGCCGTGGTCCTCGAGTCGACACCACCTCGCAGCTCTCACACCAACCGAGCTGGCCTGCAATAGCCCTCAGTCAAGATGACCTCGCTCATCGCAATCGTCGACCTCAAAGGAAAGTCGCTCATCCAGCGATCCTACCGTGATGATATCTCCCCAACCGCAGTCGAAAAGTTCCTTCCCCTTCTCCTAGACCTCGAAGAAGAAGCGGGCGGAAGCTCTGTCAGTCCATGCTTCTCTTCTGAAGGAGTCAACTACATGTTCATCCGACACAACAATCTCTACCTTCTCGCTCTCTCACGCCGCAACTCCAACGCAGCCGAAGTGCTCATCTTTCTTCACAAACTCGCTTCCGTTCTCGAAGAATACTTCAAAGAGCTCGAGGAAGAATCGATCCGTGACAACTTTGTCATCATCTACGAGCTTCTTGATGAGATGATGGACTTTGGCTACCCTCAAACCACCGAGTCCAAGATCCTGCAAGAGTACATCACTCAGGAGTCGCACAAGTTGGAAGTGCAGGTACGACCACCTATGGCGGTGACCAATGCTGTCTCGTGGAGATCCGAGGGGATTCGATATCGTAAGAACGAGGTGTTTTTGGATGTCGTTGAGTCGGTCAACTTGTTGGTCAGTGCAAATGGTAATGTGGTCAGGAGCGAGATTTTGGGTGCGATCAAGATGAAGTGTTACTTGTCCGGTATGCCCGAGTTGAGGTTGGGCTTGAACGATAAGGTCATGTTTGAAAATACCGGTAGAGCAGCGCGAGGCAAAGCGATCGAGATGGAGGATGTCAAGTTCCACCAGTGCGTTCGACTGTCCAGGTTCGAGAATGATAGGACCATCTCCTTCATTCCACCGGATGGAGAGTTCGAGTTGATGAGCTACCGTCTCAGCACACAGGTCAAGCCGCTCATCTGGGCAGAGGCAATCGTGGAGAGACATGAGGGAAGCAGGATCGAGTTCATGGTCAAAGTCAAGGCTCAGTTCAAGAGAAGGTCGACTGCCAATAATGTCGAGATCCATATCCCCGTACCAGACGACGCTGATACGCCCAAGTTCAGAGCAAGTGCCTCCGCTCCCTCTCTGCCAGCGTGTCGTTTTGTGATACTGACCCTTCTTTACTGACCCTTCCTTTCTCTTCTCTTGCTTGCATTCTTTTCACAGGCCGCGATAGGGTCTGCCGTCTATGCACCCGAAAAGTCCGCCATGGTATGGAAGATCAAGCAACTCGGCGGAGGCAAAGAGTTCCTCATGCGTGCTCACTTTGGCTTGCCAAGTGTCAAGAGCGAAGACACTGTCGACCGTCGTACACCCATCAGCATCAAATTCGAGATTCCTTACTTTACCGTTTCAGGCATTCAAGTCCGATACCTCAAGATTGTGGAGAAGTCAGGTTATCAGGCTTTGCCATGGGTACGATACATCACACAGCATGGAGAGTACGATCTGCGCACACAGAGCGAGAAGCCGTCGGCGAGGTTGGCGCCCTTCTCTGCCTAGGCGAGCTGCTGATAGTGTCGCTTTCAGCATCCGTCGCTTTGTCTCATTCTGTCACATTCGCAAGCTGTACTCGCATCACAGGTCCAAATGCATACCAGTCACATCTGATCAAAGCTTGTGAGACTGTGCTGAGTGGGACTGTGCTAAGTGAGACTGCATCAACGAAACAACACTACAAGGAATATGACAGGAGTAAATTAGAGAGTGGCTGCGTTCAGGTCGATATCTTGCAGATCACCAGCTCCATGGAACGTCTCCAAGATAGTCGCCTGATCATTGAGAATGTGTCTGTCAGTCTGGACACCAATCTTGGCGAGGTCTCTCCATCGCTGGAAGTCCTCTGGGTTCCTCTTGTCGCCGTGAGCCTTCTCGGGGTACTGCCAATGGCCTTTGCTAAAGTTGAGCATTGTTGTAATCTTTTGCTTCTTGATATCGTAAACTAGAGAGCAGATGGTACCAGTCTCCTCCAACCAATTTACTTGATAGAGCTCTCCGGGACGAATACATTGGTAGTCAGCCTTCTGGTAATTCAGTCGTCCCGCCATGGGACCTCCGTGGATAGCGTAAACGATTCGATCTTCGGAGTGGAACCACATTTCGTAGCGCCATTTCTCAGGAGCTCCTGTTTTGGGGTTCTCCGCATCGTAATCGTAGAGAAGGTGAAGGTTCTCGATGTCCTTCTTGAAGTGTTCCCGGACCTTTTCGTCGTTGCGTGGCCAGATCATTGTGTGTTTTGCGGAGGCGCGTTCCTGTTCCAGACTTACGTCGACCAGAGATGATGGTGTGAGCGAAGGTGTTTGGGTCAGTGCGGAAAGGGCGAGCTTATATCTCTCTCAGAAGGAGTCGCGATCCTTCGCTCGGCAGGAGCTTTGTTTGCTTCCACGCATGACAACCTTTGCTCTACTCACACTCAGTGCATCTCAGAAGGAGGAGGAGTATACTTCTTGCATCATGATGCATAGTCTAAAGACGCACGAGACTGGATAATCGGCAAGAAACAGATGAGCTTGTACGCGTACGAGAAAGCATCAAGACTCGTCCGAGCTTGCCATCGTTTGTGCGCACCATGTCATGGTTTCGACAGGATCCTTTCGAACTACTGTTCAGGCCACGATGGTGTCTGTTAACTTGACCAACCTCCGAAATTCAACCAACTCGACCGGGACAGCGTCCGTGAGCGGATGGAGCGACTCTGAGGCTACCAGCAGCGGTACACTCAAACACACGTAGCAATGAACAGACCGACAGATTCTTAGCAACCCTTGTAGATCTTATCGGCTCGATGTCCCGATCTCCCTTTTTATTTTATTTTTTTGTTCCCGATTCACTCTCGGTTCTCCACAAGCTCGAGAAGAAAGCTTAAGAAAGATAACCGATTCACGGGTAACAGCCTAGTCGCACACGACTCAGCCACCTCTGTTTCTTCTTCCACCATTCTCATCTCAATCGTTTACCTCTTCCGGCAGCTTAATCTCCACAATGAGTGCTGCTCGCCCCTCCAACACGGTTTCGGCATCAGCATCGCACCTCGGAGCAGACCCAAAAATCGTCCGTCGACTTTCGCAAGTGTCCAACATCATCCTCGTCCTCTCTGGCAAAGGAGGAGTTGGTAAATCCTCGGTCTCAGCCCAACTGGCACTCTCTCTCGCCTCCACTCCTTTCGCCTCTTCCGGTGGACGCTTAGCAAAAGTTGGAATCCTCGATATCGATCTCACCGGACCTTCCATTCCCCGAATGCTCGGTTTGGATGGGGCTACAGTGAAACAATCCACCGATGGATGGGTTCCGGTGTATACGGATGCAACACAACAGTTAGCTGTAATGTCGGTTGGTTTCTTGCTTCGGTCCAAGAATGATAGCGTCGTCTGGAGAGGTCCGAAGAAGAATGCTATGATCAAGCAGTTCCTTGGCGATGTAAGGTGGGGTGAGTTGGACTACTTGATTATTGACACACCACCGGGTACATCGGATGAGCATATCTCTATCTTGGAGTACTTGCGCACTTTTAATCCAGCAGCAGTGATGGTCACTACGCCTCAGGCAGTTAGTTTGGCGGATAACTTGAGGAGTTTAGACTTCTGTAGGAAGACAGAGTTGCCCCTGCTGGGGTTGATAGAGAATATGTCAGGGTACATCTGTCCTCATTGTAAAGACTGTACGAATGTTTGGGGTAAGGGAGGGGGTGAAGCGTTGGCCAAGAGAGAAGCGATACACTTTCTGGGCAGCATACCGATCGATCCTGGTCTAGTGAGGGTACTGGATGATGCAAAGCAAGATGCGCAACAGTTGCTGCAGAAACAGTTGAATCAGACGAGTTTCAAGGACAAGGCAGAGGCCATTCATCAGCCACTTCAAGCAAAGCAAGAGGCAGTGTTGGCCCTCAGCGAGGAGAAAGTGCCGGATGAACAGTCGTTGACACCAGCAGGGACGATCTTGTCAAGAACAACGACGCAGAGGTATAAGGACAGTTTAACGTTCCCCATCTTCCAACAGATCACCGATCAGATTACCCATCTGGCACAGAATCATAAAGCCAGCGCTGGCAAGGCATAGTCCTACCTCTGTACTCTAGCGCAGCGTTTACTTACTGTACAAGACCAAGTACACTCCTCGTCCATGGCGTGTGAGTCGTGTATTCGAGAATGTGCATGTGATGCGTATAATGGTACAGTTGATTGCAGACGAGTGAGAGAATGCGTGAGAGAATGCGTGAGAGAGTGCATATAAAAAATATATAAAAATAAAATAAAAAGGGCAAGGGAGGAAAACACTGAAGGCCCAGGACTGTGGTTGCGAGGCCGGCTTCGCTCGACGCGAGAGAAGGTGAGGAGGTGACAGAGGAAATCAATACTGGTGAATGAATGTCGTGGGTGCTGGGAACGAGTGGAAACGTGCAAAAGAGATGCAAAACAAAGGCTGACGTGTCGCTTAAAGGTAAGAAAAGAAAGGCAGTGTCCTGATTAGATGCAAATGGAAAGGATCAAGCCTCCTGTCGCTCGCCTGATATGAATCTCAAGGCTCATCGTTGCCTGGAAGTGGCTCGAGAAGGGATCAGCACCGCCGTCTGAGACACAGCGCCATTGTCGCTGCCGTCAGAGTCGAGGAGTCCGCTGGCCGATGAGTTTCGGCCTCCTCCGACAGCGTGGTGCGCCACTCCAAGTCGAGATGGATCCGGCGAAGCAAACTCAGGCGAAGGCGATCTGCTGGCCGATTGTGGACTCGCCCATGGTTGAGTTGCGTTCGGAGCGCCACTGAAGCCAGCGGTGCTGAGAGGCTGGAGCGGAGTGCCGGTCATGTTGCTGAACGAGCCGATGCGGCTTGTGGCATTGCTCTCGAGATAGCTGTGCTCGGCGCTGCTGCTGCTGACCTCGTAGATGGAGAGGGTAGAATCACGTCGACTAGGAGGTGCTTGCAAAGGGTGGGTGTGGGACTCGCGTCGACCCCACTTTTGTGCATAGGCTCGATCCACTGCTTGCGGAGCGAGAGCAATCTCGTGGTTCTGTCGACCGCTGCGTGTGCGTTGCAAGTCAGCACCCTTGCCGATGGAACTGGTGCGGTTGAGGTTGAGGTTGCGCGTACCAAAACTGAGTCGACGGTCGCCACCCCGACGTGGTGAAGTAGGCTGGTTGGTGGTTGTGATGGGATATCTCGCTCGTTCCGACATGGTCTTTTCTCGTGCACTGACATGGAACGAGGAGCCACTGCTGGAATCGTTCGAGTTGAGTAATGGCAGTTGGAGGCCGCTGATGCTGGACCGATAGGACTTGTCCGAGTTCTTGCGTGCCTCTGCTAGTGAGAAAGAAGTGCCACGGTAGCCATGGGATGGTCGCTTGGCGGAATAGGCTGCGGATTCTGCTGCTGTCATGCTGCTACCTCGCGAGTGGCGTCCGAGCGGGCGTATTGGTTTGTTCGTTGGGTATCGTCGTGCATGCGTTGGAGTGCTGGCTCCTGGTGTAGGGCTTCCGCCAGGACTGGCTCGAGGACTGGCTGCGCCACGAACGCGCAAGTCCTGACGAGCCCGTTCCCGCTCCTCGAGGATGATGCGCGAGGATCTCGACATACACGAGGGCATGAGGATGCGGATCAGAGCAATGACGAGGCCGATTGCGGCGGCTCCAAGACCGGCAAAGATGAGCAAGAGTGGTGTGAGGGGCACCGTTGTGCCTGCAAGCGGAACATAGTTGTTGCCCTTCATGATTGCACGCTTCTGCAAAGAGCCTGGAGCGTCTGGTGCAAAGACAGAGGGACCACCTGGAACTGTTAATGCCGACGCACACAAGGCGCAGGTGAGGATCAAGAAGCCCGCACGGGCAGTTGTCCTAGATGATAACATGGTATCCAAGATCCGAAGTCCAGATCTATGTGGTGGAGAGAGAAGCAAATCGATTGATCGTGATCGATGCGGGTCAATGGCTCGTGCTTGTGGATGCGAATTACTGAGGGACGTTGTCAGCTGGGTCGAAGGTGGAGTCGGCTGTCTATGGAGATTGGGACATGTATCTGACGACTGAAGAGGTGGTAGTCAGGTGAAAGTGTCGATAAAAGTGTCGATAAAAGTGTCGATGTTGAGAGTGCGGAAAGAGAGTAAGGAAAGAGAGTAAGGGGTAGAAAGGCTAGGAACGCGTCTGTACGCTGCGGAAAGTGGGTAAGGCTGCCACTGAAATGAAGTGGTGCTGGAGTGCGCTTGAAAATAGATTCACTGTTTGCTGTAAGGCAGTTGCGCTAGCGGTTTGTGGCCGATAATGAGCGTGTGAGACAAGCTAGGCTTAGAGAGACGAGCAGGAGTAAGGTTAGCTCGGGCGCAGAGTCAAGGGTGATGAACGCAGATGAAAGCCAAGATTGGATGCGCGGATGAAATAGGGTTTGCGCAAGCTTGCAGCGATGGGTGTGGAAGAGGACAATGGAACAGTGAGCTTGTTGGAGCAGCAGAGGTCGTACGCAATGCTGTTGAGTGCTTGTGACGGTTGTGCGCTTGAAAGCAAAAGGTCTAGCGAGAATTAGCGGGCTAGGGGAAATCGAGTGCGGCGAGGTGGGTAGTATCCAGCTGGTATTGTGCTATCGTCTATAGGACTTGTTGCGTAGCGGAAAGAATTCTGCTCGACAAGCCTGTTTTTGATATGTGCAGGGCTAGGGTTGAGTTGATGCGTTGGGTGTCGACAAGCTTGAAGCAGGTGCGAAGGAAGAAGAGGAAGAAGAGGGAGATGGTGGTTGACAAGGATGGTGTAGGTGGAGATGAGAAAGGGTGGAGACGAGAAAGGGTGGAGAGTCAACGTTGGCGTGTCCAGTTGGAAGCAGAGAGGGTCAGAGCGAAAAGGCAGGAGATGAGAAGCTTGTCGAGCAGCCAGCCGCCAAGTTAGCCAGTAGCCAGCAGTGAGACTTGAAAAATGAAGCCATGAGCTAAGTTTGAAACAAGCTCTGCAAAATGTGGGAGAAAAAGCTTGCAACAGTGTTGGTGTGCAGTAGCCAGTCTCTCTCGGGCTCAGCCACTGTTGCGGCGACTAAGGGCGGAGCGGAACAAGGCCGAAAGACTGTAAGAAAGTCAAGTCGACCGTTGACATCGATTGGCGTTTCGATCGGGACAAATGAATCCAAGGCATATAAAACTTTCACAGCCATACGCTCACACCGAGCAAGCATCAGAGCAGCAGATCCTTACAGCCAAATTTAATTCTTTCTCACTGGCCAGCCAGAAAAGAAAAAAGAAAAAAAAAAAAAGAAAGAAAGAAAAAGAAAGAAAAAGAAAAAGAAAGAAAAAGAAAAAGAAAGAAAATATATATATATATATATATATATATTTGCAAACAGGTTTCTTTTGGCGAACAGACAGACCTTGTCGCGTGGATCGAGCTCATTGCACAGCCAAAAAGGCCCAAAAAGGCCAAAACAGAGCAACGACGTAATGAGGTAATGAGAAAAGGTCGAGGCGAGAACCACGAGAACCGTGAGAACCGCGAGCCCGGCCCCTTTGTCCCGTCAATCAGAACAAGGCCTCCTCTTTGACTCGACGCCAGCTTCGCTTCCTGTGAGCGCGTAATCAGGCTAGACATTCTGCAGACGCGCCAGTCTTGGTGCTCTCTCTCCTATTTCGGTAGCCAGAATCCATCTTGGCAAGCGGAATGTCATGCGGGCTATTGTATGGCATTAGCATAACATGTGGTGCAGCGGCAGTGCAATTTTGAAAACTTGGACGCGGAGATTTCTTTGACAGCGAGGCAAGAAAAAGTCGGAAAACATATTGCAAACTATTGAGACCGAGAGAGGCACTTGAGCGTCAGCTTTGTGCTAACGGCGATCTGCGCGAGCGTCAAATGTCATCTCACGCCTTGCCCAATTCCAGCCGATTTCAGAGGCGACGCCAAGAATATTATTATTTTTAATCGAAGAAAAGAAAAAAAAGAAAGAAAAAAAAAACCAAGATAAAAAACCCCCCGGCTCTGTACCACCGAGCCCTGTCGATTGCTTTCTCTTGTCATTGCCTCTTCGCTTTTGACGGCTGTCCCAACTTTCTCTCCCTTGATTCTCTTGTCTGACGCCTTGCTTCTTGACTGCCCTACCGATATGTTCAAGTGTAGTGACGAGAGGCTCTGGTGATTCAACAACCATCGGATCAGCCGAAAGAAAAGGGGAAAAAGGGGGATAGGGGAGACAAGGGCACATGAGCCCTTTTCGGTTTCACACTCCAGACTGTGAGCATTACTGTATCTGCATCCCTCTGCATCCCTCTGCATCCCTCTGCATTCCTTTGCAACCTCTCGAGGAAATGCCGCCGGCACGGCAGTCGGAGAGCAAGCGAGCAATTTCCGTTTGACCTTGTCCCTGGGCATTTGAGACAAGCCACTCAGCAGGACCGTCGCTCCGGTTTGGGCTCGAAAGTCAGTGCCTTGCATCTCCAGCATTCTGTCGTGCGGGTGGGGCCGCTGCGCGTGGCCTTCCGGAACTCACTGCTGTGTCAAGCCACGCGGTGACGTTGCCCTTCTGTCCTTCCTTATCTGGACCTTTGATTTACCACCAGTGAAGAGCCAGTATCGACGCCGGTTGAAAGGAGGATGATTTGCATTCTAGTCTCGCCTACACAGACTCCGATAGCCAAAGTGTTAGCCGCGCCAAAGTATCCGCTTGCGCCTCCCTTCGCTATCCAACCTACCCAGTTGCTCTGGTCATCTGCTGCCGGCACCATCTCCATCATTCATCGACCGTTCCGGCGATGATCGCACCGATGGTCTTGCAATGTCGTCAGCATTGTAGACACTCTCATGCTTCGCTGCAAGCTAAAGGTGTGTGGTTGGGCCGCCTCCCTGCATGGTACCGTCACTGGCGTCGGATGGTGATGCCGGACCTTGAGCTTTGTCTGCGATTGAACGAAAGAAGGTCATGGAGACGACCGACCGATGATGTCATTTTCAACAGCCTTGCTGATTTGATTTTTTCTTTCTTTTTTTGCTGTGAAAAAACTGAGATCTCACAACCGAAAAACTTGATTTTGTTCGGCCATTCTTGCAACACATTTGTGTGCCATCTTTTCTTTTTGGCGCATTTATTGCTCCTTTCGAGGATATCGTCTTTGATCAACAACATTTCTCTCATGGTCGACGTTCCACCTCCTCACAAAGTCCACCGAGGCCTCGAGCACGTCTCAAGCTGCACGAGAGGCTCACAGACATAGTACTGATTTCGTACATGCTTGTCGGGACTGACCGACAGCGGCTGAAGCAATAATAGCCAGAAGAAAGGCACTGTATGTTAGATCTACAGATACACAGTCTTGCAGTGTTTTCCATTTTAAGCACGTGACTGCTGCCAGCGCTGTCTCAGATGCTTTTGCAATGTTAGAGTGTCCGAGCGTTCTTCCAGCGAGCTGCGAAGCACGGTTCGGCTCCACGTCGCCTCTTCCTGCACCCTTTCACCATCCTCATCACCGTCGACACCATCACTCTACGGCCAAGCTTATAGCCAGCATTCACCTCACGATACAACTAGCGGCTTGCACAAGCTCCTCAGCACGCACAAAGTACCCCGCACCGGTCAGAGAGCAAAGGTCGTTCGTCATCTAGGCAAGGCCGGCTATACCAACCACAGGATACCTCCTTCCCTCAACCAAGACCAACTCGCATCGCAGCACCCGCTCAACCCGGTTACTTAGTCGTCTGCCTCATCACTGAATCAGCCCAGTGCCAGTCCTTACGCTCAGACACAGGCATCAAGCTCGTCTTCACCCCACCCTGATCACCCGCAAAGATGTTTGGCAGATCCTCGCTCCTCCTCCTTCTCATCTCCCTCCTACTCGCCGCTCGATCCGCATCCGCCCTCTACTTCTACCTCGAGCCCGACACACCCAAATGCTTCCTCGAAGAGCTTCCCAACGATACCGTAGTCGTCGGCCACTACATGACTGAAGAATGGGATACCACACTCCAACGTTTCGTCGTCAAAGACGACATGGGTATTTACATCTCCGTTCGCGAAGTCAAAGATGACCACGTTGTTACCTCTTCCCGTGGACCACCCGAAGGCAAGTTCGCCTTCACATCACACGAAGCTGGAGACCATCGAATCTGCCTCACAGCCAAATTCGACGGCAGACCAGCAGTTCAAGTCCGTATGCATCTCGACATCGTCATCGGCGACGCCAAGCCGGATAACACGCACAAGGATAAGAGCCATGTTCAGGATCTCGCACAGAGAGTGAGCCACTTGAATGCCAGGTTGAGGGATATCAGAAAGGAACAGCAGTACCAGAGAGAGAGAGAGGCAGAGTTCAGGGATTTGTCCGAAGTGACAAACTCGAGGGCAATGTGGTGGAGTTCGTTGCAGTTGATTACTTTGCTTGGAGCTTGCGTTTGGCAGTTGAGGCATTTGAGAGGCTTCTTTGAGGACAAAAAGCTGCGTTGAATGTCAGAAGCAGCCACCTTTATCCAACCTTTAACACTTTTCTCCCCAATCAAAACTCACACACCCAATGATTTTGAAGGCTCAATTTGCCACATCCACACCCTTTAAACCGTCAGAAGGCATGCTCTCAATCTCTGCGCTTCATCGCTGCCAATTCGTTATTGCCTCTCTAGAAAGTACACGCTGAGACTTTTCGGCACATCTTACTCGTCCTCATCGCCTAAAACCAAGTGTTCATGCTCTTCACTTCTCCTCTTTTGTCTCTGCTGCGATGCAGTCGACGACATCGGTACTGCTTCCTCAGGATCCGCCGTCTCATCGTACCTATCCTCCACAGTATCGCCTCTGAGATGCCAGTAAGCCGACCCTGCTCCATTTCCTCCTCCTGCCTGCTGCTGTCTCCTCCCATTCCTCCTCCAGCTTCCTCCTGCTCCCAACCCAACCCGACTGCTAATGCGATCTATATGAGGAGCAACCACCCTCCACTTGTCCTGCGCCCAGTCGTACGCCTCCTTGAGCAGTACTTCCAGCTCTCCGCCTCCGAAACTCTCTTCACTGTGACCGCCGGCAAGATTGCTCGAGGGTCCGCTAGTGGGCAGCTGCATCGCAGCAGAACGAGCCGCTGCTTCCGCTTTCTCCTGCTGTGCGATCCGCTTGAGCACATCTTTGACAGTGACGAGACCCGAGAGCTTGCCGTATTCAACAACGAGAATAACTCGAGGACCAAGATTCTTGAACATGTCCATCACAGTTTCCAGCGCCATACCCGGTTGAACGATGAGTGGGGCCGGATCGATCCAGCCTGCCAATTCAAGCATGTCGCAATCTCCTTCCCCGTCAACGCCTCCTCCGGCCTCGCCCAGGATCGGGTCATCGGCCTCGTTACCTGCGCCATCCTCGCCTGCGTCTGTGCCAACCCGATAGGACGGAGGCGGGCGGTGGTTGTGTTCGTCATCATCACCTTGGTCGTCATCGAGTCTCCCAATCAGCGATTCCGACTCGTGTCTTTGTCCAGCACTGCCACTTGCAATCCCAGAACCTGCACCGAGCCCCAACGCAGTTCCTGCACCAGTAGCCTCGCTAAACCGACTCAATATGTTCTCTCTCACCGCTCGATCCGCCGCCGCTGTCGTTGGCAATGATGCAACCGATAACAGATCCTGCTGTTGTCCTCTAGATCCAACTGCATTTGGTCCAATACTGAACAAACACATCGTCTCCCCTCCCAACGCTCTCGCCCTTCTCGCTTTTCCAATCGCATACCGCAACTCCACCTTGCCTGCGTAACCCAACAAGGTTGAATCTTCTTTACTCTGCACCAAGGGAAAGCCTTTGTATGTTCCATCAGCCAACTTGCTCTCCAGTTCACTCAGTTTCATACCCCCCGCGTAGATCACCTGCGGATTCACACGCATCACATCAGCAACGGGGATACCAAAACTGTGATCGTCCTTATCCAAGAATGGATAGCCGGAAAATTTGATCATCTGCTCCGCGATTCCTCCGCGCGAGAACCAATCAGCAACACCCTTGGTGATACCTACGACGATCATCGTTGGTAAGATGTAGGTGAGAGCACCGGTGAGTTCGAACATGATCACTACCACTGCTACTGTGATTCGTGTGACTCCCGCTAGTGCTGCTGCAGCGCCCAAGAATGCGTACGTGCCAGGGGTGATGCAAGGTACGTCGGGTTGACATGCACTGAAAAGAGACCAGTGCGGGAAAGTGTTGTACAGCGCCTTGACCAGGATGCCGACCATCCTGCCAAACGTGGCACCGATAGCCATCGAAGGGACAAAGATACCAGCTGGTACTTTGCAGCCGTAAGAAATGATGACCAGTGCTGTACGTAACACAGTGGCAAGGAGTAGAGAGTTGACCATACGCCACTGTGCCCAAGTCTGACAGAGATTGTCGTAGTCTCCTCCACCTTCGCATTCTCTGAACAGGATTTCGAGGGATTCGGTCATGTCGATTCGTAAGAACTTGTTCGCATAGCCGATGAATGCTGTCAGTGTCGCAAGGATAACCACTTCGCTGACACCGTGTTTGGCGAGATAGCTGCGTCGGAAAGACTGAACCTGAAGGTTGTACTTGATGACGAAAGCGCCGTAAAGACCACCAAAGATCCCGATGAGGATATAAAAGATGATCTCGAAATAATGCCAGTCTCGGTCGTAGGAGACTTGGAAAAGAACCAACTTGCCCGTCCTGAACGGGTTCATGAATGACAACGTCACCGTAGCTGCCAGCGCACACAAGAACGAACGCCACATTGTCGAAGCAGGGAAGTTGTATGCCATCTCCTCCAGCGAGAAGAGCACTCCACCGATGGGCGAGCCGAAAGCAACAGCAACACCGGCAGCAGAGGAGGCCGTCAACAGTTCTCGCATCTTTGCTTGACTCCGGTTGAAGGAGCGGAAGAAAGAGGCTACTACATTGCCGATGCAACATGCCACATGCACCGCCGGACCTTCCTTACCAACACTGAGACCCGAGGCGATAGCTAGCGGGAGGGTGAGAGACTTGATCGCGAGCGTCCAGAATCCGAGATAGCCGTTGATCACGAAGCCTGCCAAGATGCACTTGATCTCCGAAATACCACTACCGGCTGCATAAGGCGCAAACGACTTGACGAGGTGCGCGCAAACGAAAGAGAGCAAGCCCGAGAAAAGAATGTAGATGATCCATGCAGGGAAGGTCCATCTGGACCAAGGAACCCAATCGGTGCAAGTCTCGCTGAAATCGCCTCCGCCTGATGCTGCTCCTTCTGCTCGTCTGGAGAGGAGCTGTAGGCCTGAGCCAAAACCGTCGTGGAAGATGGTGTCTGCGGATCTGGACCATATTTCGTGCTCGGGAAGGGCACGTGTTGTCAAGTTGAAGGCGTCTCTTGCTGCGGCTGCGAGGGTTGCGGTAGCAGCTGATGCTGAAGATGAGAGAGCTGCCGCTGCTGCGTCTGCTTTGGAAGAGGATGCAGTCGCAGTGACCGTTGCAGTAGCCAGCACCTTCGCTGCAGCTGGTAAGGGTGCTCCACCCGGCCCAGCCTGATCCATCATCTCCCAACAGCAGAACTTCTGATTCAACCACCACCCCGAACTACAGTACCCCTGCTTCAAATCCGAAGCCCACTCGGTCGCCAAACTGATGACGCCCATATTCAAGCCGATCAATATCCCGACCAACACTATCACACCGCTATTCGTAAATGCCGATAAGGCACTTTTCACGATGCCCCACAGCAACCATGCTCGCCTACCCCAAGGACCTCTGGGCCACCATCTTGGCGGTACACCAGCCCTTCCAAACCCGATATGACCCCAGGCTGCATCAGCGTCCCCACCACTACGACTCCTTCCGTTGGCGAGATGAGAATTGGAGGAGCAAGAGGAGACGAAATGTGCGGAAGCTGCTTGGCGTTCACGTGCTAGACGATTGCGTTCGCGGGTGTTATCGACAACCCAATCGACGGTAGAGAAGGATTCGTAACGACGGATCTCGTCGAGCGCTTCGTCATCTTCCACCACTGCGTTGGAGGGATACGAGCTGTTGTGCCGTGATGAGGAGGAGGGTGGGAAGAAGGCGGCTGTTGGCGAGGGCGCCAGCGCGCTCGATTTGATGTGCGGGGAGGCCTTCATTTCGTCGAGCTTGATTGCATTGCTTGAAACACCTCCTTCCTGCTTAGATTGCGGGGGAGAGCGCAGTAGCTACGATGCAGCTGCTCCAAGGTTGTCGTGGACGAAGGTGCGAACACGAAAGCAAACAGTGATGGGGGATGATGTCGGGCTGGAAGGAAGAAGCGGGAGGAAAAAACACCGATAGCAAAATTGCCGATTTGAGCTTTGTTCGGCAAGGCCCGAGCTTGGTTTGAGCGCGACGCTGAGCCAAAAAAGGAAAAAAGAAAAAAAAAAAAAAAAAAAAAAGAAAAAAAGAAAAAAGAAGGGTCTCAACTCATATCCGCGTTGCTCAACTTCACAGGCTCAGACCGTCACAATGTTCCAGAGGAAGTCGATGCATCACGTGATCAGTCATGATGGCGCGCGCGTTCAAAACAATCGATTTTTTGATTTTTTGATTTTTTTTCTTCACCAAGGCCAGGCGCACTGTTAGCAGCCTGGTTCGTCGATTCAATTGCCCTCCCTGTACACCTTCCCTTGCCGCTCGTTTCTGCGCTCGACCGGCCTTCTGTTACGGCGGGTCGAGACGGGTCTTTGCCTGCAATCCAGTTGGTTTGGTTCGTCTGTTTTTCGTGCGATTGAGTTCAGACGAGACATGCTTCAGAGATTGATAGAGCGAGAGGAGTAACATACTATCGACGTGCTTCATCACGGTGTCGATGTCTATCCTCCTTCCTGCGACTGTCGCGCTCACGCTCACGCTCACGCCTGTCTCCATACCCTGATCGATCTGAGCGACCCGTCTCATGCCGGCGTGACCCTGAATCTCGATGCCTTCTATCATCTTGGTCGTGTCTCTTATGGCTGCCTCTGTCATCATCGTGCCCTCTTCTGCTTCGATCATCATCTCCACGGTCTCGGCCATTGGATCGCCGTTTGTGTGGGTCTATGTGTGTCCGTTCTCGATCGTCTCGAATAGAATGTTTCCCTGATCGATCATCGCTGTGACGCTGAGATATGGCTGAAGTTCGGCCATCTCGACGACTTTCCGTGCCTTCATCGTGCCTTCTTGACCTCTTGTAGGCACGATCTCGATCTTGGTCTTCTCCGTTGCGATGCCGTCTATCACCCTCATCACGTCGTGAGGAACGTTCACCATACCTCTCTCCATCCCTCCACCTTTCCCCATTCTGATATCCACCAGCCCTCGGCCTATATGAATCAGCACCACTATTCGATTGCCCATCATCCCTCCTCCCCTCGCCACCCCACTTATAATGCCCCTTAGGAGCCTCCCTCCCACCATTCCTCTTCCTCACCCAATCTCCATGCAACCGACTTACACTTTGCGAGAAATCCACCCAGATCCTCCTATCATCCACCAGCACATTCTGCATCTTGAAATACGCCCTTTCTGCGTCATCCTTCTTGTCAAACTCTATGAACGCATACTGCAGCGAATCGCCCGTTTTCTTATCTTTGATCACTTCGCACGATAGAATCTTGCCAAAGCGGGAAAAGATGAGTTCCAGATCGTCGCTGCGGGTGACTGGGTTTAGTTTGCAGACGAAGAGGATGTTTTCTGGAGGGCGGATTTCGGCGAAGGGAAGATCACCAACCATTTCGAGGGTGAGGGCTGCGGCGTTTGTGTCTGCCTTTCGACGGGATTCTTCGGTTGAGTTCGCGTCGGGGTCGGTGGAGAGATCTTCATCGTCGGCCAAGCGAAGGGCGCGGATTTGGGAGGGAGTGGGGGAAGGAGATCTTGACGGTGGAAGGAAGCCGTCAGGGTCCGGGAAAGGATCTTCGAGGACGACAACGTGGCGAATACGGATGTCTTTGAGCGGTCGCTTTTGTTCATCCGTGAAGGCTTCATTGATCTTGTCTAGTGTTCCACCTGGTTCTTGGCCCTCGACGACAATAGCGAATGGCGCATGGCGGCCGTCGAGATAGTCGATTTCGTCCTTGAGTGTGATGAAGAACTGCGATCCAGCAACTAGCTCGGTCTCTTCGCTCTCTTCTCCATCGTCGTCAAAATGCTTGGTGCGTTTGCGGGAACAAGTAAATGATACGGTACCCTTCTTGGTGTGCTTCAGCTGATCACCCGACGTCTCGGGACGGAAAAGCGGATCATCGAGTTTGTCCTTGGATGAGGATGGAAGCTGAGACCAAATGCTCGCGCCTCCTTTGCCTGTGTTTGTAGGATTGCCTGTCTGAGCGAGAAAGTCCTTCTCGACAGTGAAGAAGGCGTTGAGCTTGTAGTAGTGTTTGGAACAAAGCTTTAGGAAGTTGGTGCAAGAGCGTGGTGCCAGTTCGGTGTGCAGGTCGATGACGATGTCGCCCAGCGAGGTCTCGAGAAGGACGCTCATGGTCGCCTCAAATCTCTCGTAGACAGACCCCTGCTCAAGCTCGCCCAGGATGGATGCGATACTCGGAAGCTGTGAGTGGATGGTAGCAAGAAGAAGGTGAAGCTTCCTCGCTTAGACCAACACTTCTCAAAAATCTGGCTCAGTTCGGCGCGTTTCTGCAACTCGCAGCTGCACGGAAGTGGAGGACAAGTGCCGAACTTCATGCTGTGTTCACCAAGAGGTTCGCTCTTGGAAGTACCAAATCTCAGACACAATGTCATGCCTGGTTCCGTTCCTGCCCACTTGCTGCGATAGGAAGCACATGCTCTTACTCGTGCAGGCTACATCCGCATCTGGCGGTATCTTTCAAGAAAATGTATTCATTATCTGTGTATGGCTGACGTAGGAATCCGAACAATCAAATCTGTGTATGAACACGCTACCCTCCAGGATCCGAGAGAGGTGCATCTATCAAGCCCGCCTAGTACTGTCGGAGCTTGCAGCGCGCCTGCAACAATGATGTCGCTCTCTTTAGGCGCTAGGCTTCCTTCGGTAGGCATCCTCAGTAGCAGGCTGGCCCTTGAACATAGCTGCCAACTGCGAGTACTCCTGATCATCGTCAACGTGCACAAAGTATGTCAATTGGTGTGGAGTCCCCGCAGCCGCCTCATCCTTACGCTTCTGCCTCTGAGCATTCTCGATCCTCGCCTTGTCCTTGGATGCAGTGTCAAAGTCACCAGTCCTGATACCGTTGGCAACCGTCTTCCACACTTTACGAGACTCCATCTCACCCTGCTTCTCCACCGCCTCTACCGAGACCTCCTCACGTTCAGTCGATGCGTCCCAGAAGACTTGGTTGCTACCACCAGAGGGAGACTTGCCCTTGTACTTGCAAACACCAGCCCACTCTCCTTCGACAGTATAGAGAGTGTTGCCTCCGGCACCGATGGTGGCCTTGAAAGAGTGTGCTTTGCCGGAGAAGTAGCCCTTACCAGTATAGGAGAGGGTGGTGAGGAGACCAGTGGTGGACTGGATGTAAGAGTTGCTGGTGAGCTCGACGTATGGCGAGCCGTACCAGAGACCTTCGATGAGCAAGTTGGGAAGAGTGATGAGGTAGAGCTCCTCTTTGGCGGCGACCTTAACTCGGAGCACGGCGTGACCGACCTGCTTCACCTGAATAGTTCGTCCTGAAAAAGAGGTCTTCTGTCCGCAGTGACCCTCGAGTGTGACACCGGCGTTCTTGTTCTCGATGTGGTAGGCAGTGACGGGAGGGTGGTGCGAAACCTGCTCAGTAGTGAGAGTAGTCTCACCACGACCGTTCTTGTCGGGCCACTTGCCGAGGAAGAGCTCGCCAAGGATGGGGTTGAGGGGTTTCTTCTCGGATCCCATCGAGGTGTTGCGGGCGGTGAATTGTCCTTTGAGCGTCGAGACGAACCACTTGAGGACGAGGTTCATGCGTTCCACCTCATCCTTGCCCTTGGCGATCTCGGCGAAGGCACTCGGGTGCTCGCCCCAGTAAGCGGGGAACTCGGCGAGAGAGACCGGCGAAAGGATGAATGAGGGCGCTGTGAGAGAGGAAAGATCACCAGAGAAGGTGGCGATCGACTTGAGGAACTGACCCCATCCCTGTCGCTGCTCCTTTGGGACAGCACCTCCGATTTCTTCTTCACCCATGATGCGAGATTTGCGTGTCTATGTGGTATTTGCTGAGTGGCCTAAGTCTTGAAATGCTGCTAGGATCGATCGTAGAGCAGCAGCAGCTATATGTTCGTGCAAGGAGATGATGGTCAAGATGTAAAGAAAAGGCAGCGCAAAGTCGTTGTGCTTTGTGTTGCGGATCGGCTGAAACCAAAGTCAGACTCTGGTGTCCATGTGGAGTTGCAACTGCGAAAGGAGGCGATGCAGCTGTTTTACCTGTCAGCAACTCAGATCCCTCACGTGCTTTGTCGAGCGACTTTTGGGGTGATTTTTGGATGACACGCTTTTCCCCGATCTGAACTCGTGGCCCGTGCTCCGATCTTGCGCCTGTTAAGGCTCTCTCCCCCACATTTCCAAAGTCAAAACGTCAAAGAGAGAGAGAGAGAGAGAGAGAATAAAGAGAGAGGTTTCAGGAGAGGTTCACTGTACAGACAGTTGCGCGATCCATGAACAAGAGCTAAGGGTACTGGATCGAGGTGCAAAGAGTAGACAGTCAAAAGGCTATGCTGATGATGAAAGGCGATTGAACATGATGATCAGGTCGAGATGATTGTAGAGCGGATTTCCTCCCTTCGACACAACTCTCGGAAGAGTCGCCTCCACTCCAATGGATCGCCCTTGCTTCTCTTCATGACCACCAAACACTTGGCGCCATCGTCCGATGTATCTGACGCTGGTGCATCTGAAGCAACAAGATTCTCCACTCTCACTTCACCTCGCAATGGGCACTTGCGCCTGTCCATGGTAGCCAGACGCACACGTGCACCTCTTGATCCAACTGCAAGCCTCTTGCTCGAAGCGCGCGATGCATCATTGCTAGCCGCTGTGGTCTCTGGCTCGCCTTCCACCATGAAATTGTATGCTTCCTCCAGTTCCTCCTGATCGCCGATAGCATCTACTGCGTTCTGGATCGCAAGCCCGTCGAGCACTTCTGTCACCATGGCTACTATCATCGCGGCAGTAGCAGACGAGAAGAATCGAGTCAGGTGAGGCGAGAAGCGAAGATGTGAACTTCCTGCGCCGGCCAAGTGAGTAAGCGCTTCGAACTGTGTAAAGTGATTGAGTGCTTGTGTAAACTGCGATGCGCCAGGCAGAGCCATTTCTCCACCCAGCCCGCTGCCTGAGGAAGAGAACTCGAGTCGACGAGAAGAGATGTGTTGACTCATAGCAAAGCGACGCGACATATCGTCGTTACCCGTTGCAATAGCTGGCATCGCCGTGGATGAAGGAAGAGCCAATCCAACAGCGTGGCTTGCATCATCGCGCCAACCTCGCGCTACTGCGCTGCCAGCGGCCAAGCCAAACGAACTGTTCTGTATTGCCTCTGGTTGCGTGAGAGACACGTTGTCGGGTACCTGTGCTCGCTGTCCGTCTGTGTGAAGGTCGAGTCGACGTGCAGCTGCGCCTCCGACCTCCAAGTTGATGTCACCGGACACTGCCAGACCTTGAAGAAGCTTCTCCGCCAAATTGACCGGGTCGTTGCATTTGCCCTTCTGCGTCATCAAGTCATTTGCACGCCTGAACCAGCGGTGACGACGGATGCCTTCGAATGTGATTCTTTTATCTGGATTGGGATGCATCATCTTTTTGAGCAGCGACAGAGCATCACGTGGGATCTTGGTCCACGGTTCGTACTCGAACAGCTCGCCAGAGCGGTAGGCATTGTATTCGGGAGATCGCGAAGTCGGCTCGTCCCACGGTGTGCTTCCAACAAGCATCGCAAAGAGCACAACACCCGAGCTCCAGACGTCGACAAATTCGCCACGGTACGGCTTGCCGTTCATCTCTGGTGCAATGTAGGGCAATGAACCGCAAGCACCCGTCAGCTCCCTCTCTTTACCCTTGTACTTGTACACGGAGCAGAGACCAAAATCGGCGATCTTGAGGTTGCCCTCTGCATCCAGTAGCATGTTCTCCGGCTTGATATCTCTGTGTGTAACACCCTGTGAATGAATGTATTCGAGACCTGCAAGCAGCTGCTGAAAGTAAAAGTGTGCCAGATCTTCCTCAACTCCGTAATCCGGTGCGATCTTGTCGAACAAATCACCTCCTGCTCCTAGCTCAAGCACCATATAGAGGCCTGGTACGTAGTTGTTGTCGTGAGAGGGCGAATCGAGCATCTTCTGACGTTCCTTGTCGCGAGCTTTGATCGACTCTTGTGTAGTTGCAACTGCCTCGCCCATCAAGATGCCCTTTTCTTTGCCTGCATTGCCGTTCTTGTCTACGCCGCGCTCGACGGCGCCAAGAAACTCGAGCACATTTGGATGTTTGAGGATGGAATGGACTTGCACTTCCTTTTGCAGTGCGCGACGGTCGATGGGGTATTTGTTGGATCGATTCGGGGCGTACGAGATGACCTTGATGGCTGCAACTGGATTCGATTTGGAGGATGGGTTGACAGCGCGAAAGACTTTGCTGAAGCCACCTCCTCTGATGAGTTGGACGATGCGATAGTCCAGCACTGACGGATACGCCTGGCCCGTTGAAGAGGTGGGGATTGACATTACGTAGGATAAGGAAGGGGATCCGGGTCCAATGTTGGTGATCTTGGAGGGCGAGCCCTGTGAGCCAGGTATGAGAGTCCGACTGCTACCGGAGAGTAACAGGGTATACGGCAACAAAGGCTGGATGTGTGGGTGTCAGATGAAGTGCAGATGGGAGCAAGAATGATGTTGATTGGCAAGGTGGAGGACAGAGATGCTGGCAATCGAAACGGTTCGAGATTTTTGTGTTCAGAGTCAAGTGTTGTTCTCTGGCGCACAGTGGCGTCGAAGCGCGATTGACGCGTCGAGTAAAGTAGTCCGCACTTCACTCGACGGCATTTTCGCAGAGATTCAGATCAGACACGCCAAACGCGTCTGCCCTGCGCTTAAAGAGGGGGGCATGAGGGGCCAGAGGAGAACTGACACTTTCTGAGAAGAGCAAGAGCTGTGTCGCAGGCGACACTGCGAGAATGTCTATATAACTACACATCCCCTTTGTCATAGTCGTCAAGTGGATCCTCATCCACTCTACACTTAACTAGCTATATCTTTACCATATCATATACTTAGTTGTTCCGTCACAAGTTGCAATTGCAGGTCATTGCTTCGAACATAGCGAGTGTGTTGTATCACCGCTATTGACGACATCCATAGGCAGTACTCTACTGCGGTCTGAATAACAATCGATACCGAAGGCAGTGTCGGATAACAGTGTCGAGTGTCTTGATGCGAAAGTTGAGCGAAATTACTTGAGGTATTTTGGGCAAAAAACAACTTTTTTTGGAAGAGATACAGTCAAGTATCACCCTTCCAACAGCTTTGAAGCGAGGCTGGCCAGGCCTATGTGCTCTAAGCGTCAATGAAGGGCAGGTCTCTTGTGCAGGAGCTCTGTAAGGTACCTAGGATATCTAGTCAAGAGACAACATAAGATTCCCAATGAACAATGTCGCTTGGATGCCTGCTTGCAGTATGGGGTCCGAAAGAGCTTGAGGAGACAAAGAGAACGAGTAGTATATATACGACACTGCTCCTTCTGAGGGGAGCATGGCCTCTGCCATACTGCTCGTCCTCCCCTTGTTCTTCTCACTCTGTGGGAGCTCCTCTTTGACACAGTCCTGCTCCTCCGGCTCCTGGTCGTTGGGTGAGATCGATTGACCTCATCAACCTAGGGGTCTCTCCTACTTGGCATAGTCCTCCTCTTGGTACTCTCCTCATACGTTCTTTGTCACCATCAGCGATGGCAATGCTCCTCTTGCGCCGACTTCATTCGATGCTCTCAGAAGTTCCTTCCACTTTATCCGAATGGCGTGATCCCCTTCGGCGACCCCTTCGCATGGCTTCTGCATGCTGCCGGTCATAGTGATGGCCTTCCTACAGCTGTCCCGTCGTTCCTAGGCCACGCAATAATTGGCTCAGCCAACACCAACACCCAAGGAAGTGTCTCAGGTTAATCCACCCTACATTGACAGCTGCTGTCCTTTCTGCTATGATCATGCCTCCTCGCAATAGGATTGGCATGTATCGTGACTCCCATCATCCTGATCTCACTCGTCGGTCTATTCTTCGCATCCACAGGTACACTCTCCATCACATCCAATGTCCTGCCATCTTCTGCACCATCAATCACTTTCTCGATGATCGTGTACTTTCCGTCCAGATGCGGTTGCTTTGCGTAGGTGATGAAGAATTGCGACTTGTTCGTGTCCGGTCCGGCGTTGGCACATGCGACGATGCTGCGTCGATCGAACTTGAGCTGTGACCTGATCTCGTCTGGAAATGGCTTACCCCAGATGGACCGGCCGCCTTTGCCTGTGCCTGTGGGATCGCCAGTCTGGATCATGAATGATTTGATGTTGCGATGCCACTTGACATCATTGTATGTTCCGGTGGCGCAGTGGCCTAGGAAATTTTGCACTGCACGAGGAGTGACATCGCAGAACACTTCAATGTGAGGGTAGTCAACATGCGATACAGGATGATTGTCAGTATGAGATTGCAGAAGGCAAGAGAAGGAATGAGGCAGGGGTTAGGAAGCCACCTTGATGTCGCCGAGGGTGGTGTGAAGGGTCACCGACATAGTTGCGAGCTAACTCAAGTCAGCCAATGCGATCTGCCCTGCTGAGGAGCTCTTCCTGACTCGAGGCCTGAGGCTGCGATGTTGCTGGTAGTAAGGTTGTACTTGGACCCTTGAACGAGCAAGAAGAAAGAACTCGAAAGGCTCGGCGTCGATTGAAAGATGTTAGAAGGAGAGACTCTCACATCTTCAAACTTTAGCTTACCCACTAAGCACGGACCATCATGCAGATTGCGCAACAGGAGCTGACGCATAACTCCACTTGCTTTCTTTCAACACATCTTCCAACCAGCATCACTTTCTCGCCAACACTTTCGCATTCAGCGTCAAGCACACACTTTGGCAAGCATTCCGACCCCAAGCTTCCAGCCTTGCGAACACCAACGATATCCTTACCCACTCAAAAGCGCCTTCCGGAAGCGCGGATCGTAATCCACTTTGACCGCTGTCTGGCGTTAGTCGGTCTCATCAGACCAACACATCGTATCAACAATGGCTGCCGTGGAACCTTCTTCCTCCACCGCTGCGCCGACGGCTGGCCCCTCGTCCTCAACATCTCGACTCGAACCACTTCTCCTAGTCGCCCGATCAACGAAACCCCGAGGTGCAGCAGCAGCCAACCTCATTTATCAAGCCATCTCTGCTCCCGGCGTCTACTTCTTTGGCGAGCTCTTTGACGTCCCTGGAGTAGCTGAGCTTTCCAGATCCACCGAGTCACAGCTGAGCACAGCATATCAACTGCTCACACTCTTCGCCTACGGCACATGTAGCGACTATGCTGCTTTGTCGCATTCTGGCTCTCTACCAGATCTGTCTCGGGATCAGATCCAGAAGCTTCGACAGCTAACTTTGCTGTCTTTGGCACGTCAGAACAAGCTACTACCGTACGCCACTCTACACGAGTCGCTCGGAATCTACTCCAGAAGCACAAGGGAGCTGGAGGATTTGATCATCGAATCAATCTACGCAGGTCTCATCTCTGGCAAACTCAATGAACTTCGAGCTCGATTCGAGGTGCATCATGTTCAAGGACGAGATGTACCTCATCCCTCCCTTCTCGCACAGCCCGCTGTATCCGCGCTAACATCCTTGACGTCTAACACGAGTGCATCGCAACTGGACCAGATGCTGTCGTCCTTACAAGCATGGCAATCGACCACAGTATCCGCCTTGGAGGGCTTGCAGGCTCGGATGGAAGACGTGAAATCCAGCGCAGCATCAACAGACAATCAGAGGCAGGAACATCACTCAGCACTGCTGCAGAACTTGGTTGAGGTCCAGCAGGAGATGGAAGCGCAACAGCAAAAGCAAGCTTCGAGAAAGGGTAAAGGAGCCGCAGGGAATGCAATGGAGATCGATGATGAAACGATGTCCAGAGGTGGAGCCAGGAAAAAGGCTGCTGTTGGTGGAGTGAGGGGAAATAAGCGATCCCGTCCTTGAGCATCTCGAAGGTTGAATGTTGGAAGAGCTCGCTCCAATCGTGTCGTGACACTACCACCATTTTTCGTCTCGTCTTAGTTCACTCATAGCATGCAATCACAAGCTCACAAGCTCACACAACTCCATTGACACTCATTTATACTCTTCGCGTTGGTATTCCGTCACGGGCACGTGCTTTAATTGAACATGTACAAACAGTAAGGTCGTAGAGACATTGTCCGGATGGGCTGGGATCTGAACTGCGCATGTGAGCATATTCTCGGGCCTGCTCCTGGAGTAGTTGTGAGCAGAGCCATCAGAACGGCAAAATAGACTCGGACATGTCCGTTGGCTTTGCCGTGAAAGCTTGGGCTGCTTTAGGACAGTGTTCATCGTTCGATGCATGGTCGATGGCATAGCAGAGGTATAGCGTGTCCGAAGCATTACTCAAGACATCAGCACAGAGTCGTAGTGTCCAGTAAGGCAGCAATGCACACAGCAGCCCGACCAACGGAGCATCCGCAGGGACATGCAGCTGATGTGCCGAGAAGAGGAAGCCAACCAAGCCAGCAAGGAATGACAGCGCAATAGCAGTTAAATCCAACATCAGATTGATGACGAGACCCTCCATCACACCATGCACGCCCCGTCTGCTGACGAGCTGTGCACTTTTCTTGGCGGCTGTCCAGAATCCGTCTCCCGTAACACCGACATATATCAGCGCAAGATCGCTGTAGCTCTGAAGAACCGCACTGAGACCTGCAAGCAGACCGACAATGTGCCTAAGAGGCTGCAAGATCTTGGGCACCCTCCGATTTGTCGTGGCGTCCGAAATTCGGCGCGCTGTCTCTGCGACCAAAGTCATCGTCTTCACGATGGCCAGGATGAGAGCTGACATGCAAATTGAGCCGAGTGCTGGTCCGGTGGCTCGAGCAAAGGAGACGCGCACCACCTCGGTCGGATTTGGCGCCGCACGTCGACGTGCTGTGTTGCGAGTGCCTTGCTGAGGGTAGGATCCGGGGGCTGCAGGCGGCTCGCCGTAGATCGAGTCGTCGTCTTGATCAAAGACGGCGTTGTTGGAGTGGTCTTCATCTGCTCGGCGCTTGTCAGCGGAGAGGGGTTGGGGATCAGCTGTGCCAGAAGGCCCCGCGGCTGCACCTGTAGACGGGCCGGAGTTCGGTTGGGCGTATCCTCCTGCTGCGTCGCCTTCGCCGATACGGTGAAAGTACCAGTGACTGACGACACCGGCGACGGTCACTCTTTGTACACCGCGTAAGACGGCCCAGGTCCACAACCAGGCGCACAGCGTCGCCCAAGCGAGCCATGCAGCCTTGGTGTCTGTCTGCCACTCCATCGAGTCGCCCACCTGCCGACCAAAGTGCCCCACAAGGAATAGCCTTGTGAAGAGGAAGAGGAACGGGATGGTCACCAACGCGAAGGCTCCGAGTGATGCAAGAGCAAGGACCAGCAGCGCGGGGTGCATGAGAACCACGTTGCAGGACAGCTCAAGTACTGCAATGGATCGCGAGAGTGCTTTTCTACGTTGCCAAACCATGCGAGCAAAGAGGATCGCAAGTGCCAGAGGGACAATCGAAATGATACGCAGACCTGTGGTGCTCCAGCCTCCGCCAGACCAAGCCTCGTCGTCATAGATGAAGCTTCCGGCCAACGCCCACACCCAGCCGAGACCTAGGACGATTGGAAGGCCGATTAAACCGGTGCGCAGCACTTTGGCACCACCGAAGCGGCTCAGATTGCGAAGCAAGACGAGATTTGCTACACCTGCCGCGAAGGAGAGCAATGTCAGCAAGATCAGAATAGGCAGCGATCGAGTGATGGTGTAGTAAGACGATGGACGTGTCTTTGGCGACTTTGGCTGCGACGGAGTTCGAAGGCCCCAGCTCAAGTAGGCACCGATGAGAATGACTGTGCCGATGGCAGCGGCGAAGCTGGCAATGGCTGTCTTGTCTCGATACTTGCCAAACGCAAGACGATTGGCCCATGGACCCCAGCCTGCCTTGGCAGGAGGTGCGGGATAGAGGTGAATTTCGTCAATCACATCTGCTTGGTTCTTTCGGGAAGATGGTCGACCCTTGCCGGGTCGGTAGCGTTGTTGCTTTGTATCCACGTCTGATGCTTCCGATTCGCTCTCGGAAGAGCCTCTGATGGCGATCCTCAAAGGACGTGTACTGCCAGGTCCCGATGGAAGGAGAGGCTCTCTTAGCGTAGATGACATCTGACGTGCACGATTGCGAGACATGTGGCGGCTTGGTTGGGCGCGATGGCCCTCACCCTCCGTGTCGTAGTCAGAGTCGGTGACGGAAGAAGCCGAGATGGAGCCAGATCGAGATCGGGAGAGGTCAGAAGGATTGTCTGGGTCGTCATCCTCCTCACGCTCATCGTAGATGCTAAAGAGACCTTCACTGCGTGTGCGGTTCGAGCGGGATGGTTTGCCGCGTGCCTTGTTGGTTCTGGACGACTGGGCATAGATGGAGGAGTCGGCGAGCTGGCTTCGGTATGGTGGTTGAGCGGTATTGGAGTAGATGCTGGACGAGGAGGGATGATGCGCAAGGTTTCGACGACCAGAGGGCTCGACCTCGATGGTGGAACCGTGTGCTAGCCAGCCTCGTGCTCTTGCTGCTGCCTGTCGTTGATGCTGAGCTGCTGTTTGTGTGTTGGAGGCTTCTGCAGGCGGGTATGGATGTGCCTCGGCTGTTGAAGCAGTGACGGAGCGATCATGGGAAGTTCGTAGATCTTTGTTGCTGGCAAGGCTGTTCTGGCTCGCACCGTCATCGAGGTCCCCATCAGCAAGGAAGGGATCCTGAGTGTCGTTGGCGGCTGATCGGGTTGGTACATTCGCCGTGCTGTGAGAAGCTGAGGACGCTGCGACTGAAGAGGCTGCTGCCGGAGGAAATGCTACCTTCTGTCGTGGTGTCAAAGGCTTTGCTTGAAGTGCTAGAGCGTTGGGGGAAGGGTGGAAGCTGTCAGCGAGGTCCTCAGATCGCGAGCTTGCTGCTAGACGCGAGGCTAAGCCGGGCATGCGACGGTCGTCTAGCCAAAGATCGACGTCGTCCTCGTCGTCTATCTCGCGAATGAGAGAGTCAGGCAGCGCGTAGGCTTGTGCTCCTGCAGGCCTACCTCGACCGGATGCAAGGAATGAGGCAGGACCAAATCGACTGGCACCTGTGAGGCTATGGAGGATGCGGCTCTGTGTTGCAGGTTTGCCATGTGCTGGTGGAGTCGGGAGACCATCAGAGCTTGACAAGCTGTATTCTGGACCGTATGGATTGTGGCGGTTGTTTGGATGCGAGAATGGCGCGCCTGAAACGGAAGCGTGGCTGTAGAAGAGTGGATCGCTGGGATCACTGGCGTCCTGATCCGCATCCACACCTGGCCGACCGTTTGTGGCGAGTCGAGAGGAGAGAAAGCGAGAAGCGTACTGAGAGAGCGAGGACATGGTTGCAGCCAGTTGCGCGGGTTGCGCATGTACACCGGGGCTCGAGGATTCGTCAAACGATGGGCTGCTACACGCTTGAAGCTTTACTTGAAATCGTGAGCAGCCGTGGCTCGGAAATGCTGGGGTGGAGAGATCGACTAAGTGTAGGACGTGGATCAGCGTTCAAGCCAAAACAGGGGAAGCGAGTCTAGATAGAGTGTTGCAAGAATGAGCGGCAGAGGAAGAGGCAGATGGGATCCAGGCGACGAGTTGATGTCTGATAGGCCTTACTTTGAAGGCTTCGATTGTGATGATGTTGTGGTATGATGGTGTTGTGGTATGATGATGAGATCGAGACGATGGCGCTAGTAAAGGTGTGAGAGAGAGAGAGGTACAAAGATTGTGGAGCAGAGCAGATCAATCAAAGCTGAGCTGCAAGTAGTGCATAGTCAGGCACCAGCGCAGTGTGTGAGTGCGTGATAGGCTTGCGGAACGGAGAGATAAGTCAGGGCGACGTTTGCAATTCTATCTCAACTCACACACTCTCAGGGTCCAATTTTGCAAAATAAAATCAACCAAAAGTCAAATGTCAAAAAAAAAAAAAAAAAAAAAAAAAAATTAAATTAAATGCCGATTTCTCGGCCGATAGAGCTGTCATTTCGCTCCCTGCTCCCCTCTGGAGTCCGGCTCGCGCGCCTCTTGCGTGACTTGCAGATTTGACGCAAGTCTCCTGTCGACTTTTTGCATCTGACTGATCTTAATTTCAAACGACAACGGCAAAGACGGTCTAACAGAATTTGATTTTAGCCAAAATAATGATCAGCTCTCTCTCTCTCTCTCTCTCTCTCTCTCTCTCGCCTTCCCCGCCATTCTTTTCGTGCTTTTTCGGTGAATTTAGGCTTCGACTATCGGGTAATACCGCACGGCTGCAAAATTCTTGAGAGCCAAAGGAGAAGAAAGTGCCATTTGGAAGTTCAAGTGGCACGTTCATCAGCCCTCCACTGCAGCTTTGCTTCACGGATCTCATTCTATCCATCTCTTGTTCCTACCTTCAGACCATCCTCTTCTCTCCTCTCACCTCACCTCACCTCGTACATATAATTGATCATACATATAATTGATCATACAATGTCGAGCTCAATGTCCCGCCAGCTTGGCTTTGCGCTGCGATCCGTTTCCCGATCTGCCGTCGCCGGCTCCTCCAAACAGAGCCTCGCTTCGGTTGCTCCTCGTGCTTCCGCTTTTGCCCCTGTCTCTCGAGCGATGAACTTCTCTACCGCACGAACCGCCTTCAACTCTGCGGAAAAGAAGAAGGAGGAAGAGACCAAGGCATCAGGAGAGGCCATGGGTGCTACCGACAAGGAGAGTGGCGCTGGCTCTGAGGATCTCCAAGCACAGATCAAGGAGAAGGATGACAGGATCAAGGAATTGCAAGAGGCCATCTTGTACGGCAAGGCTGACTACCAGAACCTTCAGCGACGATCCAAGGACGAAAAGGCACAAGCAGGTGACTTTGCGATTACCAAGCTTGCCAAGGACTTGACCAATTCCCTCGACATTCTCGGTTTGGCACTTAGGTCCGTGCCTGAGGAGTTCCGTGCGGCACCCAAGGATCTCGACCAGAAGGACCCTCGTCGTGTTATTTCCGACCTCTACTCTGGTATAGAGCTCACCTCCAAGTCGTTGCTCGACATGCTCCGCACACACGGCATCGTCCAGTTCGACCCAACCGGCGAGAAGTTCGACCCTAAGGAGCACGAGGCGCTCTACCAGGCACCTGTACCCGGCAAGGAGCCCGGCACCGTTCTCGAATGCAGCAAGGTCGGCTACAAGATCAAGGACCGTCTTCTCCGTGCCGCTGAGGTCGGTGTTGTCCAGTCGTCATAAATCTCTTCTTGCTCCCTCCACCACATTGACAAATTGCGCAGATCTGCATCTCAAAAAAGCATCATTTGAAGACAGCCTGACTGCCATATCATATGATGCCAGCAGTCGACGTCCAAGTCAGGCGAGATTCAGCTGCCACTCATTACCATCTCGCATCCTTGCCCCATTTGTCTCGTATATATCTGTACTTGTGTCTCGGCCTTACAATTCTAAATCACACCACTTTTGTTTCTACATCTTGCTGTGATGCTGCCACTCTCCGATTGTCTGATTCCATCTCTCGCGGGAAGCTGCATGCCATTTGCGCTTTGCTGTTCCAGAGATTGTCGCTGTACGTGTCACAGAGGTTCATTGTGAGACGATTCACTGACTGAAGGATTGATTGATATTTGATATTTGGATGTTACACCGGCTTCTTGTATGATCAAGAAAGAGAAAAAGAAAAGCCCTGCGACCTTCGCGTCTGTTGATGAATACAAAACTTCTGATCATCAATACAGCAAGGTTCAGCGGCCTCCATGTTTCTGCGTTTCGCTTGAATACAAAAGACAAAAGGGTCTCAAATGAAGAGTCCAACAGAAACGGTCACGCTGACCACTTTTTTTTTTTTTTTTCTTTTTCTTTCTTCTCTTCTTCGGGAGTTGCAAAAATTTCCTTCCAAACTTCACAGTCATTGTTTTTCTTTTTCTTTTCTTTTTCTTTTCTTTTTCTTTTCTTTTCTTTTTCTTTTTCTTTTTCTTTTCTTTTCTTCTCCGCCCATTCCTGAGACGGACGTGGCTTGCGCTTACCCTATACCAAGTTGATATGAGCACCTTCTCTTCCTTCTCTTCCTTCTCTTCTCTCCAAAAAACTTTTCTTAAAAACCCAAAAACACCATCTTTCCTTTCGTAAAAAACCCGAGGTTCTACCAACTTTCTCCCTAGTTGTCAGCCCTCGTACAAAGCCAAAAGAAAAACCATAAAACCCCATACATATCAAAGGTAAGCATCCCCAGCAAAAGCGAAGCAAAGCAGCGGCGTTTGGCCAAAGCATCTTCGGATTAGGATCAGAGACGAGACCTCCCACGATCGCTTACCCTATACAGCCTCAGCAACGACGCAAGATTCGATCTATTCATCCCGGAAGTCGTCTTTGCAAGGCGGACGACACCATCATTCAGCATTCGGCACCATATAGACGCTAAATTATGCTGTTGGCTGCAATCCCGAGCACCTCGATCTCGATGAATTCATATCTTCGTTGGCGTCCAACACTATCACGGACTTGGCCGATCCGGGCCAGATCTGTCTATCGGTCATTTGTCTCGTCACACGTCCCAACAGCATCTCGCTTGCTTCGGCATCATCAGCACCACCTCCAGTCCTCATAGCGTCTCTGTCGACCCCAACATCTCTACTCCTGCCTCTTCGCATCACCATCATCCCATTCCAAGGTCCTCTTTACTGATTTTTCTCTCAACTCTTCTATTCACCTTGCACTCCTTCAGAAAAGAGTCTCTTCGTATCCTTTCTTTCTTCTTCTTTCAACCCTTGTTTCATCCTTTCTTCTCTTTTTAGGAAAACTCAAAAAACCCCAAACTGGTAAACCATGTCGTCCGCCGAGTCCCCCGCTGTTGCCTCCGCCGAGGCCGTCTCTGCCTCCACCCAGGCTCCCGCTGCTGCTCAGCAGCAGGCTGCCGGCAACCAGGCCAACAACAACAACAACGCCGATCCCAACAACACCTCGCTCTACGTTGGTGAGCTCGACCCCTCCGTCACCGAGGCCATGCTCTTTGAGATCTTCAACATGATTGGTCCCGTTGCCAGCATCCGTGTCTGCCGTGATGCCGTCACCCGTCGCTCTCTCGGCTACGCCTACGTCAACTTCCTCAACGCTGCTGACGGTGAGCGTGCCATGGAGCAGCTCAACTACTCGCTCATCCGCAACCGCCCTTGCCGTATCATGTGGTCTCAGCGTGACCCCGCCCTCCGACGTACCGGTCAGGGCAACATCTTCATCAAGAATCTTGACGCCGGTATCGACAACAAGGCCCTCCACGACACCTTTGCCGCTTTCGGTAACATTCTTTCCTGCAAGGTCGCCACCAACGACACTGGCTCCCTCGGTTACGGTTTCGTTCACTACGAGACCGCAGAGGCTGCCGAGGCTGCTATCAAGCACGTCAACGGCATGTTGTTGAACGACAAGAAGGTCTACGTCGGTCACCACATCCCCCGCAAGGAGCGTCAGGCCAAGATCGAGGAGTCGCGTGCCAAGTTCACCAACGTCTACTGCAAGAACGTCGACCCCGAGGTCACCGACGAGCAATTCGAGAAGCTCTTCACCAACTACGGCAAAATTACCTCTTGCGTTCTCCAGCGTGACGACGACGGCAAGTCCAAGGGATTCGGTTTCGTCAACTTCGAGGACCACGAGGAGGCCCAAAAGGCTGTTGACGAGCTCCACGACTCTGACTTCCACGGTCAGAAGCTCTTTGTTGCTCGTGCCCAGAAGAAGAGTGAGCGTGAGGAGGAGCTCCGCCGCTCCTACGAGGCCGCCAAGAACGAGAAGCTCGCCAAGTTCCAAGGTGTCAACCTCTACCTCAAGAACATCCCCGAGTCGTACGACGACGAGCGTCTCCGCGAGGAGTTTGCTCCCTTCGGTACCATCACCTCGTGCAAGATCATGCGCGCTCCCTCTGGTGTCTCGCGTGGTTTCGGTTTCGTGTGCTACTCGGTTCCTGAAGAGGCTAACAAGGCTGTCTCTGAGATGAACGGCAAGATGCTCGACAACCGACCTCTCTACGTCGCTCTAGCTCAGCGCAAGGACGTTCGTCGCCAGCAGCTCGAGGCCCAGATCATGCAGCGCAACCAGCTCCGTCTTCAGCAGCAGGCTGCCGCTCAGGGTATGGGCTACCCCGGCCCCGGCATGTACTACCCCCAGCCTGGTGCTTTCCCTGGCCAGCCCGGTGGCATGGTCCCCCGTCCTCGTTACGCCCCTGCCGGCATGATGCCCCAGGGTATGCCCATGGCTCCTTACGGCCAGCCCGGTCAGTTCCCTGCCGGTATGATGCCCCAGGGTTACCGCCCCGCCCGCCCTCCTCGTGGTGCTCCCAACGCCGCTGGTGGCCCTGCTCCCCCCGCCGGTGCTCGTCCCCCTGCTGGTGTCAACGGTGCTCCCCGCCCCGCCGGTCAGCCCGTCCCTGGCCAGCCCATGCCCCGTGGCCCTGGTGCCCGCCCCGCCGGTCGTCCTCAGGAGGTCGCTGGTCAGCCCGGTACTTTGACCGCCGCTGCCCTCGCCAAGGCCAGCCCCGAAGAGCAGAAGCAGATGCTTGGTGAGGCTATCTACCCGAAGGTTGCCGCCAGCCAACCCGAGCTTGCCGGTAAGCTCACTGGTATGATCCTCGAGCTTCCCGTCACTGAGCTCCTCCACCTTCTCGAAGAGCAGGAGGCTCTTGACGCCAAGGTCAACGAGGCTCTTGAGGTTCTTAAGGAGTACCAGCAAAACGAGACTACCCCTGATGGCGAGACTGAGGCTCCCAAGACTGAGGCTTAAGCGCGCCTTCCTTGCCTCACATCATACCCTACCACATCATCACCCCCCAAAAGATCTCCTCGAGCGTCGGAGGGGACAGCGGCACGTTTGGCCGGTTGAAAGGCTTGGATGCTTTAGCGAGGTGCTTCTCACTCTTTTCTCTCTTCACCCTCTCTTCTCTCTTTACCCTCTCTAGGCATCGGAAGCGCGCAAAGGAGGGAGCCGTGCATAGCTGGACCCATCAGTCTATGTCTGGGGCCTAGTATTCCTTTCTTGTTTTTGTTCGTGATGCGTTGTACCATATCCTCTAAGTCGTTTGGCCCACCCCTTTCTGTCTATATTTGTTCTCTTACTTCTCGGGTCCAATGACGGTTTCCGTAACTCTTTGCGCGCTATCCATCACCTCGTTTCACACCTTGTCTTCACCACTACACACACTACCTATTTCGAACTGTTACGCCGACTTTGTCCGTCTCTCAACTCTATCACGTCCTCTTATGATCACCCCTTCTAACGACTCGTCGGATCACACAGATCCTTCAGGTTGTATGCAACACACTGGCTTTGAAACATGTTACAACCTCTGCGACTTGTTTGTCACTGAAAAGCATCAAGCTGTCTGATGCGTCCAGATTGAAGCTCTGGCCTCTCGAGTTCAAGACCTAACAAAGCTCATGAAAAGAAAAGGGTTTTGCAAAGCTCGAGTTGAAATTTTGAGTGGCCATCACAGACGAAAACCCGGACACTGCTGAGCGGCCTGATATTTTATTGAGCGTCTCGCTTCATACAAGTGCCGATTTTTTGATTTTTTGATTTTTTGATTTTTTTTTGATTTTTTTGATTTTTTTGATTTTGATTTTTTTTTTTTTTTTTTTTTTTTTTTTTTTTTTTTCTCGAGTTCTTCTCAGCCGTTTGGCATTTCCGATTCCATCTTCTTGCCATCACACCTCAAACTCTACTTTACTCGATACCCCACTCTGGTTTCCTAGACGAAGCCATCCAGATCTACAGAACACCGGTCGTAACACTTTTGCTTCTACAACAAAGGCTTAGCATCTCACCACCACCTCTTCTTGGTCACTTTTCCGAAAGGTTCAACTTGACGCGCCCGTTGTATCTAGCAAAGATGGTGGCGAGTTCATCGAGCAAGCAAGCTGCCGTCTCGGCCTCTAGCAGTAGTGCAGCTAAGGCTAAGAAAGGTCGCGCCAAATCCGGACTTGTTGGTACACCCAGCAAAGCCTGCACCGCAGATGAGGATGTGGTGCTGGAACACAGCAAGCCGTTCGGCCAAGAAGGTTCTGATGACGACCAAGACGTTGAACTTGCCGATGAAACCTTCCAAACCGCCGCTTCAGGTACTGATGCTATGGAGGATGACGATGACGATCTTATGATCGGCGCCTCATCCTGTGCAACACCCTCCTCTGCTGCCACTACAACCACCAGCAACGCCGCCAATGGTGATGCATCCAAACCCAAGTTCGCCCCTCTCTCCTCGACCGCCTCATCCTCCCTCACCGCCGTCGCCAAAGGTCAACTGCGCAAGATCCCAATCCCACCGCACCGACTGACCCCACTCAAAAACGACTGGCACAAAATCTACACACCTCTAGTTGAAATGGCTTCACTTCAAGTCCGTATGAACGTAGCTAAAAAATGCGTCGAACTCAAATCCTCCCGTTACACCCAGGAACAAGGAATGCTCCAAAAAGGCGCAGATTTCGTAAAAGCCTTCGCTCTCGGATTTGAAGCTGACGACGCTATCGCTCTTCTCCGCATGGATGATCTTTTCATCGACACTTTTGAGATCAAAGACGTCAAAACCCTCCAAGGCGACAACCTTAGCAGAGCTATCGGTAGAATTGCCGGCAAGGATGGTAGGACGAGATTTGCAATCGAAAACGCCAGCAGGACAAGGTTGGTGATTGCAGAGACAAAGATTCATATTTTGGGCAACTTTGGAAATATTAAGATTGCTAGGGATGCCGTGGTCGCCTTGATTAGAGGTAGTCCCCCAGGCAAGGTCTATGCCAATTTGAAGACTATAGGTGCTAGGCAGAGACAGAGGGCTTAAGGGTTGAAGCGGGAGATAGGAGTTGGGGGAGGCGTTGTTTTTTTTTGTTTTTTTTTTGTTTTGTTTTGCAATGCATATTTTTCATTCAGTCTGCTTCGGCGTATGCGTGCGTGTATGTGCAGGGCGGAAGAAAGACAAAGGCACAGTCGAAGCATGTGCAAAGGATAGATCGAAGCATGTGCGAGAGACGAGATGCTTTCGTCAATATGTCTCTGATCCCAAGGGAAATGCAATGAATCGAAGCTAGATACTGTCAAGACAACTGCAACCTGAGTGATATGAGTGATATGAGTGATATGAGTGATATGAGTGATATGGAAAATGATGATGCAAATGCAATACAAAGCGGTGCTTGCTTAGAAACTGCCATCAGGAGCACCCATGCGACCACCACCCAATTCTTCCTGTCGAATCCTAGCGTTTTCCTGTGCGATACTGTGATATGTCTTTGCCTTGACCGCTCTGTCTTTCTCCCTTGTATAGATCCTCGCAATCGTGTCCGCCACGGCAACACCTCCAGCCGTCACAGTGCCCGTAGAAACGCTGGTACCGCTACCAGGCGAACAAGTGCAAATGCCACGCTGAACATCATCAGCCGACATAGCTAAATAGACCTGTCTGCTGCTAGCCATCAACTGTTTCTTCGCTGCCCTTTTACCGCTGGGACTAACACTACTACTTGATACGAAAACCGCACTTGCCCGAGTTGCGCAAAGGGAAGAGTTATCGACCTCAGAAGAGATCCGAATGACTCCGTTCACTTCTAGCATATCAAAGACACCCAGGAGTTCGGAAGCTTGGAGAGGGGAGAAGAGGCCGTTTTCTTGTTTGAGGATGGCGTGGTAGGTCGATTCTACGTCGGCGATGCGTGTTGCGGAACAAGCAGCAGTGCTTCCGGAAGATGCGGGATTGTGGCTGGTGGCACTGCCAAGAACGGAGAGACCTTGCTCAGCGCGGGCTTGGGCAATGAGGATGGAGAGGAGCACTAGTTTGGCCTGAACGCCAAGACTGCGTACTTTGGAGAGGTTGGCAGAGCCAAGTACCGAGGTGAGGACTTTGAGGATTTCCGAGGGGCCGACTTTGGGTGCGCTCGATCGAGTGAGGTGGCGGAGAAGCGTGGCTCGCAGTGCGGCTGTTTTCAATGGCTGCTCAGCGTCAACTTGCTCAGACTTCTCTTCTTGACCTTGACATGCAGGTGCAGCCTTGGCCTTGGCCTTGTCAGCTTGGATCTGAGCAAGAGCCTTCTTCCTGTGTTCGCTCTCGACCAACTCTACCGCCAAACGTGCCGCATCGAGCGCCTTTCGTAAATCGCCTGTCGCGCCAGCAATCTTCTTTGCCAACAACTGGAGAGCTGTGGGAGTGAAGAGCGCTAAAGACTCATCCTTGGCTTCCTCGGCCTCTGGCTCTTGATCGTCATATCGAGCCTGCAAACCAGACAACCTATCCCGAATCACAGAAACGATCTCCTCTGCCTCGAAAGGTCGGAAGTGAAGGAGGGCAGGCGAAGCATGCTTGCTAGCAAGCAAAGGCACAAAGCGCTCAGTCAAGTCGAGCGAGTTGGCAATGCCAATCAACCCACAAGCAGGACCTCCACGAAGGCTGCTGCCGACGCCACTGCCGTTGGCAGTCCAAGAGAAGATCTTGTAGAGGATGTTCTGGTGTGCACGACTCTGCAGCAAATGGTCGATTTCGTCAAGGACAATAAGGATGCGCTGGTTGCCTTGGCGGATGAGAGTCGATAGAGCTTGTTCGGCAAAGGCGTCGGACTGGCCTTCAGCGGCGTTCGAACCGAGGGCTCGCAGAACTTTGCCAAAGATCAAGCGGGGGTGGGAGAGGGTCATGCAGTTGACGAATGCGACACGAGGCGCGGATGAAGAGCAGTTGGTCTCGGAAAGGCTGTTCAGCACAGAGCGAACAAGAGCAGTCTTTCCAGTACCGGGCAGACCACAGACATACAAGCAACTAGCTTCGGCATCTCCATCGAGCTCGACGTTGAGGCTTCTTGCTCGCTGCTGAGCATCGGCAAAGAGACCAAAAGTGTGCTGAAGGAAAAGCTGAATCGCAGTGCGCTCGTGTTCACGACCGACAACCTTGACGTGATGCCCACCGAGCTTGGTGACAGCAGCGTTGGTAATGGTGAGACCAGCTTCGGTCTCTGCTGGGTCGACGCCGGCAGAGTATCGAAGCAGCGCCCTTGCGTGTGCATAGACGCTCGAGTATTTCTCTTTGCCGGCTAACTCGAGCATGGCAGCGTTGAGAGGTGGAGAGACATCGCGGTCGGAGGAGCAGGAAGAGGTGGGTGCAGAAGAGCTCTCGGCGATGCTGTGTGTGTCGAAGAGGGAGCTTTGGAGCGACTCTTGAGATGAAGCAGCCAAGTAGCAGCTTGAGTCTTGGTCTGGGATGAGGTTGGCGGCAAAGCGTGACCTGCTGGGACTGTCGAGCAGATGTGATGTGTTTCGACGCGTCGAAGGTGTCTGGAGTCGCAAACGAGAGAGAGGGCTGGCAGGCAACGAGGTATCCTCGGCATCAAAGTCGAGATCGTTGCGAGATCGTTTCCTGCCTGATGCTGAGAGCGTGGAGGGTCGAGGTGTTGGAGTGGTCTCAGATGTGGTGCGAGCGCTAGGCGAAGAGCTAAAGTGGTGCTGGTCTGACGATGAGCGTGCCAATCGCCTCGAGGGAGTCCTTGGCATTGTGAGGGCTGGCATGAGGAAGTCGGGAATCAAAAGAACGTCGTTTGTGCCAAAGAAGGTGAACAGCGACGGTGTAGGGGATATGAAGAGAGAGAGAGAGAGAGTCGATGGATGAAGACGAGTGACAGAAGTGATGGTAAGATGATGAGGAAGAAGAGGTGGGGAAAGCAAAAGAATGGTCAGCCAAGGGCACTTTTCACAAAGGTAAATCGTCGGCGTGTGCCTTTGGAGCTGCAACTGCTCGGGTAAAGTGGGCACTCTACGCGAGTCGCGTAAATTGGCGCGTCGTGAATGTCACCGTGACTATACAGCGAGACCACTCTGCAACTGTCACAAATTCACACGAAATTGTGACGGTCTGCAGTGCAGTTTTGCTTGACTGGAGCCAATCAATCCATCCAAAAAGGGCCTACAGAGCTGCACAATCCAACGGTCGAGCATACTCCAACGCCCTGGGGCAGGCAGGCTCGACTCTGTACAGCATCTACTGTGCAATGCCTTGACCAATGAGAGTCGAGAAAAGTAATCGTCCAACAACTTACCTGAAGTAGTGGAGAGGTCAGAAGTGGTAGAGCTGCGACTGAGGCGGCGCATGTGTGTAGTAGGTGATGGTGTTGTGAAAGACTGTCGCTCCATGAGGCTGCTTCGTCGAGATCGCGTGGTAGTACGACGGATGGCTTCTTCCTGCTGAGCATCCCGTGCTTCAATGTCGAGCAGGTCTTGAGATGCACATCGGAAGGGAGCGACGTTCTCCTTGTTGCTGTCGTCCGGGCGGGCAGTAGCAGGTGAGAAGGAATCGCAACCGCCCAGTCTTGGTGTGTTGCCTCCATTGTCGTTCTCATCGTCGGAAGAATCGCCAAACTCGGAGCTGCCCAGGATGGAGCGTCGAGACGAGTTGGAAGATCGAGATGAGAAACGGCCGGATCCTCGCATGTATCGTGGTCGCGAGGCGGTGGAAGCGGTGGAAGCGGTGGAAGCGGTGGAAGCGGTGGAAGCTGATGTGCTGGACGAAGGCGATGAGCCCTTGCTGGAATCCTGAAGGTTGAGCTGAGCCAAAGTGCCTGCGACGAGCGTACGGCAGACGACACTGACGTCGACGCTGGCAGAGGTCTTTGCCTTGGCCTTGAGAGCGATCACCTTCTCGGTTTGGTGGTCTGCAGTCGTCGGTAGAGACTTTCGCTGCGAGCCAGAGCGAAGACGTGCTGAAATGGCTCTTGTGAGAGGCATGTTGCTTGCGGTATCGGGCCTATGTGCTGTTGCAAGGTGGAGCGTTGATGACCAAAAGGCGTTGCTCTCGGCTTGGTGCAAAGAGCTGCTACAAGCGACCAAGGAAGGCTAGGAGGAGCCTCGTGTCAAGTCGGTTATGAATGACTGATGTGAAGGAGAAGAGCGACTGTATAAAGAAGAAGGCGCTGTCGGTGGTGGAAGGGGCAATGCTATGGTGGGCTTTGGCAAGGCTAGGAGCAAGGGTCGCTTGACAGGTTGCACAACTGTAAAGTCAGCGTCCAAGCCATGGTAAAGTCGGCTGAACGCTTGGATGGGCATTCGACACTCTCCTCGTTTGGCTCTGCTAGGAGAAAGATGAATCTCCAGCTAGAGCCGCTGTGAGTTGGTTGCTTCTTCTGCTTCTCATCTAGCCTGTCGAGCTCTCGACATTTTCGCGTAAATGGACAACGCGTAAATGGACAACGCCATACGAAGCGTGTCGTTTCTTCTCGACACGCGTCAACCGTGCGAAAGGCTTCTGAGTTGGAAAGAGATGCACCATGCTGACTCTCTTCGCTCCTCCCATCGCCGTCGAAGGCCGACTGTTGAGAAAGGGGGCGCACATATGCTGTACTGTCAAACGGCGCAAATTTCGGTAGGTCAAAACCTTTCGGACGAGGCGGTGGTCAAAGTTTGCTCTCGGTTGCGCACCCAAGACCTGCAGCGCCTTGAACAGTAGCTCACAAAGCTTGGGCCAAACCCACCTGATAGCCTTTGTGCGAGCATAGCTTCCATATCTTGCTCTGTGCGATGTGAGCCAAAAAAATGAATGGGCACAAAGTCGACCTTTGCCAAGGCTAGAACGCTAACGCAAGCAAGGGTCCACAGAGTAAGCAGCTGTGACATCACCAGCCGTCGCCCTATCTTCCTCTGACCTAACAGGAGGAAAGCACGCCTTTTCGCGTCTGTGCGAGGTGAGAAAAGCAAGAAAAAGCAAGAAAAAGCAAGAAAAAGCGAGAAAAAAAGGCAAGAAAAAGCGAGAAAAAAGGCGAGAAAAAGCGAGACATTCGGGAGCAGCTTCCACAATTTTCGGCCGTTTGGTGAGAGTGGAGAGAGAAAATCGGTATCTTTCCATCTCGAATGCCTTTCATTACTCACTCATCTTCCTGCACTTACAGCCTGGCAAAACCTTAGATGGATCGACCGAGCTCGTCTCCTCTCTGAGCGCAGAGTAAGCTTCACAGGCAACACCCTCCTTCCCCTTTGATCAGCGCCGCTCAGGCACGCAAGATCCCCAGCGCACAGAGCAGCTTGCCACGAGCGCAAGTCTGCCAAGCTTCTTCAACGCCGACATCACACGGATCCTGTAGGCCGCAATTCGGAACTCCTTGCTCCTGCGCAAGCCCTTTGCCATCGGCGCCGAAAGTATAAAACTTGCTCGGAGCGATTCGGAGCGAGAAAGGGCGATAAGCACGGCCTAGCCAACCTTGTCGCATCTTCTCTGCTCCACTTTGTTTGTCTAAAGTAGATTGACCGATATCGACCCACTTCAGAAGTCGCTCTGACCGACACATTTGCAGCTTTGAACCTGTTTGCCGCCGAGAATGAGCTACAGTCCACTCCTTGGTGCCGACAGGCGTAACGCTGAAGCCAGCTCTGCTCTGCCAACTTCCGCGTCGATCCGAGATACACTCTCTGGCGCCATCAACTCGACTAAAGCATACCTCCAGCCATTTGCACCAGCCTCGCCATATCTCGGCTCCAATGGTAACAGTGGTCGCAACGAGCCAGGTCGTCTGCTCTCCGATGTCGCACCTCAACTCATGACCACTCGCATGATGGCCGCCGTCAGCAACTCTAACACTGCACTCGCTCTCACACCGGACGGCCAACGACGAGCACGTCTACTTCTAACACCAACTTTCTCCCTCTCCAGCCCAGCTCGATCGCTCGTCCGCATCGGCGGCTCTCTCGTTCAGTCAGGTATCGGGCGAGGGCCGATGAACGGCATCACATCACACGAACTTTTCCTTCTAGAGGAAAGCGACCGCATCTTGGCCACCGTTGCTCAAGATCTTGAGATCAACGCTAGCTCAGACTCCAGCAACGGCTCAGACTCCAGCAACGGCTCAGACTCCAGCAATGGCTCAAAAGCTGCTATCCAGGGCTCAACGTCTAAATCTGAGCCGCCCGTGTCCCTTCTACGAGGCTTCCAAGCCACCATACCCAGCTCTACAGAAGGTCGTCAACGACGCAGGCGTGTTCGTGCTAGTGCAAGCGGCTTCGAGGATGGTCCCCAGGGTCCGACCAAGCTCGGTCTCAAGGCAATGGGCGACAAGGCGCGCGGACTGCTGGTAGAAGGTGTCGAGACGGAGCCCGTCTCTGCCTTCCAGGCGCGAGAGCAGCGTCATGCACGTAGGAACCAAGCTAGTCGTATCTTATCCAGAGGCAAGGACGGCACACGTACTTCGACGATCGAGCTGGAGGAGCTTGAGAGGCAGCTCAGAGAAATTGAACGAGAGCAGGATGACGTTGGTGTCAGGCGCACTCTAATCGACAACGAGATGGCAGCAGTGGATGCCAAGATCAAGGTCTTGGAGAAGATCAAAGCAGGTCTTGGCAAGAAGCTGTTGGGATTGCGCGAAGAAGAGCTCGAGCTGAACGACGAGCACGAAGGGGTTGCAGAATTGTTAGCTGTGCAGAAGCACCTACGCGCAATGCCAGGTGGACCAGCTGCTGCCGCCAACGCTGCTGCTTCGGGCGCAACGACGAGACAGAGCAGCAGTCGACGACGCAAAGGACCCCTCTTCATGCCGTCAGAGCATGACGAACTCCCATCTGGCGTCGCTTTCATGACGCTGGCTGATCATTCGGCACCGATCACATCGCTCGACTTCACCGAGCCGTACGGCACCTTGGTCTCCGCCTCGCTCGACGAGACGGTGCGAGTATGGGACCTGGCATCAGGTGACGAGGTAGGTCGATTGCGCGGCCACGCAGGAACAGTGAAATGTCTGCAAGTCGAGGACGAGGTCTGCATCACAGGCGGCACAGACAATACCATTCGCATCTGGGACTTGACCAAGGTGGAGAACTTTGAAGCCAGGCTTACTATGACAGCATCGGGAGAACTGCAGCCCAGGAGAAAGCCGCCAGATCTGAACCGCGGTGATGAGAGCATGGACAGCATCAAGATCCGCCATGGCGACACCACTGTGGGTGACCAAGAGGACGAAGAGGTGCGAGACGAGTTTGACCCTTGTGTCAAGAGTTTGGAAGGACACAGCAAGTCAGTGACAGCCTTGTACTTTGACGACAACTGCCTCGTCACCGGTGCCTCGGACAAGACGCTTCGTCAGTGGGATCTCAACACGGGCCAGTGTGTGCTGACGATGGACATTCTGTGGGCCATCTCGAACCCAACCTCGTCGCAAGCCATCTCGCAATCCGAGTTGGGCTTCCCCGAATCAGGCTCAGGCAGAGCATCCTCTTCATCCATCTTGGGCCCAACGAGACCCGAGCTCGGCTCGCGCGACTCATTCTCGGTTCTCAACAACCTCTCTGGAGTGTTTGCATATCCGACGCCACCTTATGCAGATGGAAGCTGGGAGATGTACCAAGACTTTGTTGGCGGAGTTCAATTCTGGGGCTATGCTTTGGCAAGCGGTTCAGGGGATGGTGGTGTACGAATGTGGGATATGCGAACAGGTCAAGCGCATCGCACGCTGCTCGGTCACACAGCTCCTGTCACTTGCCTACAATTTGACGAACACCATGTCATCTCGGGCAGCTTGGACAAGTCGATTCGTATCTGGGACCTGCGCATGGGAAGCATTTCAGATACCATCCGATACGATCATCCCGTGACAGCGTTGCAGTTTGATTCGCGCAAGATTCTGGCTGCGACAGGAGAGAACGGTGTCAACATCTTCAACCGTACCACGCTGCAACACGGCTCTTTGACGATGAATGGACACACTTGGCCGGTGGAGAGGCTCCGCTACATGGATCGATACGCCGTGTCAGGTGGCAAGGACAGCGTTGTCAAGATTTGGGCTTTGTAATAATAAAATAAGAAATAGGAGGCAAGGACCCCTTCTTTACTCTGTTGTGCTGCAGATGACTGAACAAATTCGCTGGCTGAGAAATTGAATTCGAAAACAAAAAAAAAACAAAAAAAAAAAAAACAAAAAAAAAAACAAAAAAGCAAGCAACACGGGATCTGCCGCGTGTTTCTGTCTTTTCGCTGCTTGAACGCGAGTTTACAGCGAGCCAGCAGTCAGCCGCACGCTCTCGCCTTCTCTGCTGTTTTGTTGGAGGTGTAGCAAAACCTTCAACTCTGTCGATCGCAGCATAGCAAGCACGCTTTCCACCACAACTCGCTCCTTTCGTGTTTCACCCTGCTGCTGCTGCTCCTCCTCTCTCACCACATTCATCACCCTTCTCCGCCATTCCTCTGTGATCTAAGCGGCCTTTCCGAACCGCACACTCAGCAGCGCCAACTTGGTCATCGGATCACCCGTCCACCCGTCCCACCCGTCACCCGTCACCCGTCACACTCCTCCGCAGCTAGATCGCGACACTCGACTGAGACGTTCATCGTCGCCTCTTTGTGTCGTCACGCTGGTCAGAACACATCACTTCTATCGATCGGGATCAGCAACCGACTCGATTCAAATCGGCATACCCCCCCCTCCACCCCCCACCTACGCGATCTCAACTCTTGAGCATCGCAACCCCGTTCGCACAAACATGGGCTTCTCCTTTGGCTCCTACGCCTCGATTTGTGATGAGGTCGCCATGGTCGTCTGCCCGCTCCTCGGTAGTTCCGGTCTTGGTCTCGAACCCGTTTGCTATTCGCGCAATGTCGAGATCAACAAAACCATCATCTTCCAACCCGCAACATGTTTTATCCACATCGCCGCTCTCGTCATGACCGCCATCATGGTCTACCACATTCGCTCCAAGTACACTGCCGTTGGCCGCAAAGAGATCGTCCTCTTCTTCTACCTCTATGCGTTTTCAGAGATGCTCGTTATCTTTTTGGACTCTGCTATCGTCCCTACTTACTCTGCCGCATATCTTTATTTGGCTGCAGTGTATGTTGGTTTGAAGACTGCCATCTTTTGGTGTTTGTTGATCAACGGTTTCGTTGGTTTCCAGTTCGCCGAAGATGGCACCCCTAAATCCTTATGGTTCTTGCGCTTGAGTTCGTTGCTGTTGTTCGGCATCGGAATCTTTGTGTCCATTGCGACGTTTAAGGGGATTGCAGCCATGTCACCGACAAACCAGGTTGCATTGTGGATCGTCGAACTTGTTTTCCCTCTGGCTTGCGTTCTCATTTACGTCATCTCACAAGTTCTGCTTGTCTTGAGGACACTCGACGACAGGTGGCCATTGGGAGACATTACCTTCGGTCTCTTCTTCTTTGCTACCGGTCTCATTCTGATGTATGGATTCGGAGAGCAAGTCTGCAGAGCCATCAAGCATTACATCGATGGCACCTTCTTCGGTACACTCTGCATGTTGTTGGCTGTTATGATGGTGTACAAGTACTGGGATTCCATCACCAAGGAGGACTTGGAATTCTCCGTCGGCAGCAAGCAGGCTGTTTGGGAGGTCAAAGAGCCATTCTTCGCCACCTCGAGCTCAGAGGGTGATGGAACAATGTTGGGCGCAGGTAGTGCTATGACACATGATTCCTATAGGGGTAGCAGTCCAAGCCGGTTGACACCACAGGGGCCGGGAAAGTCAGGTATGGGCTATCCTCCCGTTGCTAACCACTCGCACTAAGTAGCAAACACTTGGCGCCTCAACGACAACGCTTTCCTTAGACTCAGCATCGACGCCCACACACATATGCTCGCTTTCTATCGCTCCACACACTCATACATTCCTTCATCCCGCTCTCTCTCTCTCTCTCTCCGCTATGTCTAGACTTTCACCTGACATATCCCGCCTTCTCTTTGTGTCTACGGTGCAGTCTTTTGGACAGTCTCTTTTTCAATCACTTTTTGCCTGACGCACTGATTTGATTCTCTTGCAATTCTGCAGCGCTAACTGAGCTTATGATGTCCTTTAGCACCCCTACTCTCCTCATCTATCTTGGCTGCACGAGTTCCAAACTGCATAGCTCTCTTCTTCAACTCACTCGCTCCCACCAGCCCTAACTGCTTCGCTAGATCCCTCAGGAGTCGTTTATCTCCACCTCCACCTTCACTTGCTATTCTTTCCAGATCCACTTTCTGTTCTACCGGTACATCAGTCAGAAACCTCAAAACCTGTCCATCCAGCAATGGGTATCGCGATTCCTTCCCATGGCACGAAAGTATGCGGTCGTCTCTACCCAGATTGCGCTCCGGCAGACGATCCAAGTCTAGTTGCAGTTCAGAGATGAGACCGGGCAGGCAAGAGCGGCTGTAGGATTGACGGTGACGAGAGTAGCCTCCCAGCAATTCGTCTGCGCCTAGGCCGGAGATGAGGACGCGCGCGCGCGAGGTGTATGGTGAGAGAGATGGGTGAAGAACTCCTTGTGCTCGAGAGGCGAAATAGAGCGCAGAGGCAATCGAAAGATCCATGACCGAGCATGAAGGGAGCATCAGTGTCTCAACGAGGCCTCGGTGCGAGCTGTATTCGGTATAAGCAACGTTGATAGCAACAAAGTTCCAACGACGGTCTGGGGCCAGGGCGCAGAGCTCCGTGTAGGAGGAGAGTCCCGTGATTCGGTCTGGCACTAGATAGATGTCCTCTGGGATAGCTTCTTCTTCTCTTTCTCCTGGTGACGCTGATGGGTTGGTGGCGAGTTGCTCCTCAGCAGGTTCTGCGGGATGCTGTCTACCTTTTCCATGCTTCTTACTAACAGGCTTATTTTTTGCGCCGACACGCTTCTCCCTCTCCTTCTTGGCCGCTTCGATGGCACGAATGTTTTCGAACGCGACATTCAGCAGGTCAATCGGCTGCTCTGGTGGCAAAAATCGATCAGCAAGCAGTGCAAGGGTAGTACAGTCGAGACCACCAGAAAACAGGACTGCCACATGTGCCTCGTCGGCCGGTTGATCAGTGTTGATGTTCGTCACTCGCTTGCGGACGCTCGCAGAGAGGACTTCTAAGAAGTCAGCCAGTGTTTTCGCTTTCGATGAACCGTCTGCGCCTCCTCCCTCTGGCACTGTGGGCTGGCGAAGCTCTCGAAGCAGCAGCGGAGAGGTGAAGCGCGAAGTTGGGCGAGGTATCGGTTTTGGTCTCGTTGGGTCCTCTCGCAGAGCCAAGGTCCACAACGAAGAACAGGCAATCTCGGTCAGATTTGAGCTCGATTTGAGCTCATCACCCGCAACCGAAATGATCGCTATCGAGTTTGATCGCTCGGAGCGGTGCATCAATAGCGACCTACGCCCTAACGGATCTCTGCCAAAGTAAAGCCTCGATTCGTCCCGGTCCAGCAATACGAACGCATATGGACCTTCCACTTCGGCCAGAGCTGCGTTGATCGCAAGCTGACACGGATCAGCTACTATCTCCTGTTTGTATTGCTTGTTGAGATGGACGATGCGATCAAGTAGGATCTGCCCATCGTTCTCTCCCGTGTCAAGACGCACTTTAGACGAGGTAGCCGTGGGGGCGGTGGTGTCCCAATCGAAGATCTGGCCGTTCCATGCTAGAAGTAGTGATCCATCAGGACAAAGTAGTGGCTGTCTAGTGATACCAGCACCTCGAAGGCTGAGGACGCTTGATGTGAGGGAGAGCTTCCATGAATTTGACTTGGAGATTTGAAACGGGTGTTGGACAGCATTGAGGCTGTCGGGACCTCTGCAGCGGATGTTTCGCAGAACTGATGAGTGCGATATTTCCGGGTTCGAATGTATGCCGCAGCCAGAGCTATCGGTCTCTTGCTGCTCGGCACAGGGTGTGATGAATAGCCCAATCCCGCACATTGCCCACGGAAGGATGTATGGATCACATCAAGAAGATCTCGTTCTTGTCAAATTATTGAAATGTTCGGCGTTGGAGCGGAGAATTGGCCGGGGACCCTGAAGTGCTCAACACTACCGGCCGAAAGGAAGGACAGCAGAGTGCAGCGCAGAAGGACCCCTTTCGGCAGTCGAAATAGTGCCTATTTCACACACATTTTTGGCGGCACCTCACACGCGCTTGGACCATGCTCTGCTTCTTCCTCTTCAGCATCCCCGACTCATTCCTATCCTTCTCACCTCGACGAACATCGTCGCCACCACGCAGACAAAGCTACAACAGCACACAAGCATCTCGACGGCGCTCAATCCCTCATCATGGCGGAACAGGGTGCGAAGAAAGGCACAGCTTCAGCTTCCAACACGTCATCGAAAGCTGCAGAGCCCGAATCTGAACCAGCCACTGCTGCTCAGCCATCGCTAGCCGATGAGCTCTCTTCCGCACAGCCACAAGATGCTACCACACATGAAGACTACGACTCGAGCACACACACCGACAACGATGATTTTGAGGATGCTGCAGATGAATCCAACGCAGATGAAATCACTCCTTCTTCTAGCGCTGCTGCCATTGACGACGCATCACTTCAGCAGCAGCTCAAGAGAGAAAAACAGAAGCATATATCGCAGCAGAATACAGCAGGTCCATTGCCAGAGCCGCAACCGCAGACACCGAAAGCTTCTAACGATGCTGCTTTTCCCGAACCACGACCTTCAACAGAGACTGCAACTCCACCTCAGGGTGAGCAAGGGGTCGTACCTAGCTCTTCAACCGCTACTTTTGTCGCTCCGCCCAACACTAAAGAGGCAGAGTCGGCAGCAGACACGCCACTCAGCTCTGCTGAGATCAGGGATAGCCAATCAGCGTCTGACTCACTCATTCTCGACGAAGAATCTGCCAAAGCTACGCTACCAGATCACGTGGAAAAGGTGCCACCTTCTGTAGGAGCAACGTCGTTGCTCGAGCCTGACGAGACCATCAGCAATCCTTTTGCTTCGGCGGATGAGTCGAGTTCTCAGCCTATCCGATTCTCCCAAGCAGCAGGTGCGGGTGGTGACTCGGGCAGCAGCAATCCGCCTGACACGCCAGGGATGAATTCGAACCACTTTTCCGTCGTCAGTCTTGGCAGCGGTGCAGAGGGAGAGGCAGAGACTGGCTGGTCAGCTTCCAACAGACGCGATTCGAGAAGGGACACAATCACGACCAATAGCACTGAATCTCGCTCCAACGATGCCGAACTGGTACGAAACGGCGAGAGTTCCTCGAATTACGACTTCTTACTAGCGAGACTAGACACGCAGAACAAGAGGCTGAGCGGAGATCCAAAGCAGATGCGAGCTAGTATCGACGGTGCGGTCAAGCTAAGGGAGCATTTCGAAAAACTCAGGGATCAGGAAAAGAGGCATTCTCGCACAGATTCACAGAATCGTGCACTGACCAAGGAAGGTGGGTCCACGAGTCAGGATAGTAATAATCGACCTTCCTCCTCTCAAGGCTCTCAAGCACAACCTGCTGTCGGCGCAGGAGGAGTGAGAGAATCGGCCATCTCAACGAGCGAAACAGTATGGGAAGGTCCACCAGCCGAAGACATCGGGGATGACGAAATCGACTGGGAGTTCTGGGGAGATGTCATGTCGAATTATCAGCAAGTCGCTCGCAACCACCCGAGGCAGCTCTCTCGAGCTATCCAGGCGGGCATACCTCCATCATTGAGGGGAATGATGTGGCAGCTCATGAGTAGCAGTAAAAACGAAGAGATGGAGATCATTTATGCCTACTACCTCAAGCAGACCTCTTCCCATGAGAAAGCGATCAAGAGGGACCTCAACCGGACCTTCCCCGAACAAGACTATTTCCAAGATGGAAAGGGTATCGGCCAGGAAAACTTGTACAACGTCATCAAGGCTTACTCTCTTTATGATCCTGAGGTGGGTTATTGTCAAGGGATGCAATTTGTCGTTGGACCTCTACTACTTAACATGCCGGATGAAGAAGCGTTCTCTACATTTGTCAGGTTGATGAAGTCGTATGACCTACGCGGCCATTTCACACCCAACATGCCGGCATTGCAGTTGAGATTGTTCCAATTCGATCGGTTGTTGGAAGATTTTTTGCCATTGCTGCACAGGCATTTGGTTAGGCAAGGGGTGAAATCAAGCATGTTTGCAAGTCAGTGGTTTATGACTCTTTTCAGCTACCGTTTCCCATTGGAGTTCGTATATAGGATTTTGGATTCCGTGTTTGCGGAAGGTGTCGAGGCCTTGTTCAGGTTTGCCATAGCCTTGATGAAGAAGAACGAGGAAAAACTGTTACAGTTGAACTTTGACAAGGCCGTGGAGTTTTTGAAGTTGCAGTTGTTCGAATGCTACCGAAGGCCTGACTGCAGCTCTTCACAAGATGGAGAGGATGCGGAAGATAAGACGGCGATTCAACCAAGTCGACAAGTTCGATTGTCAACGCAATCCACCAATTCTTCCATCTCCGCCAACGGCAGCACTCAGAAACCTCAATATCGCACAAACGAATTCGTCCGAGACGCATTCGAGATCAAGATCACCCCTTTCCTCCTCGACACGTACGCAGGAGAATTCGACGTCCAAGTACGTGCAGCTAATGCTCATCGACGTGAAGTCGAAGCTCTACGACTTGTCAACCGGAACTTGGCATCGAGAGTTAAAGCTCTGGAAGAACAACTCAACTCGGTCAACGCAGAGCATGTCGAGATGGTAAAAGATGTAGTGATGGCAAAGATTGCAAAGGAAGAAATGGCGGAAGAGTTGGTCAAGTACAAAATGATGTATGCTGAAGCGGTCTTGGCCGCGGACCAGGAGAGCGGGAACAATAGAAGCAGTGCAAAGGGGATCGCTGCAGCTAGGGCTGCTGCTCAGAGGGATAGTGGAGGAAGTGGTAGTGGTAGCGGTTCAGTATGATGCAATCCAGAGAGAGACAAGCAGTCCTTTAGAGTCAAACCGTTGACCGTGCAATCGTGAGATCGTGTGATTGTGTGAACGACTTCAGTGTCCGAGTGTGAGAGCAAGTGTGACGCAGAACGCAACGCGAATTGACAGATCAGGTTGGGATTTAGCCTCAGAGAGATCATGAGAACCTCATTGGCGATGCGGTCTGTGAACATGTGTCTTGCGTCACAGCTATGACAGTCTTTGGCTCTCGGCTCGCCTGACGGCTGATGCAGTCAGTCACTAAATTATCACTCAGAGGCGTCGGAGAGCGGAACGAAACGTTACGATTACCCAAACGGAACAGAGACAAAACAGAACGTAACAAAAACACGACGGAACACTAAACTACAATGGCTGCTACGCCATCCTACAGGCTCCGTTAGAAGTCGTCGTCATCGTCCGAAGCATCATCAACCGTGTACTTGGTCTTTGCCGAAGCCGAACGAGCGGATCGACCCGACTTACGGGCAGGGGCGGAAGGACCGGGACTGTCAATGCTGAACGAGTCTTCCGTGTCGGAAGCTGGAGCAGCGGCCTTCTTGCGACCAAGACCGGTTGCAGTCTTCTTCGTAGCGGCAGGCTTGGCAGCGGTTGCCTTCTTGTTCTTCGGAGCGGCGATCAGTATATCCTTATCGTCGTCAGAGAGAGAGAAAGTCTTGGCAGTAGCAGTCTTCTTGGCCGCGGCAGGCTTAGCACTGCTGCTGCCGCTGCTTCCGTTGGCGGTCTTGCGGAAGAGAGGGGCAAGCTTGATGCTTTCTTTGCTGTCTCCAGCATCATCATCAACATCGATGACCTCAGAGGTTGCCGCGCGAGAAGTGGTGGCAGATCGAGAAGCAGCACCATTTGCACGCGGCTTCTTTCCGTTGGCGGTGGTGCCAATCAGCTTAGCCATGTCGTCATTGTCCAATGCATCAGCAGCGGCACGCTTCCTTGCTGGACTAGCGCGGGCAGGGGCAGCCTTCTTCTTGGCAGCAGTACTTGATGGCTTGAAGTCATCCTCCGAGTCATCACCGTCAAGACCGTCCATAGCATCGTCATCCTCCTCTTCGCCGTCCGAGTTGAGAGGCTTCTCGAGAACTTTACGAGCAGCGCCACCTTTAGGAGCAGGCTTCTTGATCTGCTTCCCCTTCTTCATCTTGAACGAGACATCCTTGAGTCGACGCTCATCCTCAGCCAACATCTCCTCCCAAAGTTCGAGGAATTTAGCGAGGTCCTCATCCCAAAGGTTCTGAGGCGAGCGACCGATCAAGATCTTGAGCTCTTCCTCCTTGGCATCACGCTCCTTGAGAAGCTTGTCCACCTTCTCCTTAGTCAAGTTGTAGATGGCCATGTTGAGCAAGTAGTCGTAATCCGAGTCGGAAGAGATCTCCTCATCGTCAATGGGATCCGTGTCCTCGATCTCGGCGGCGACCGTGGCTTTGCCCGACTTCGGGAAGGGTCGGAAGTCCTTCTGACGTAACTCTGCAACAATATCAGCACGCTTCCGGTTCGAGACGATGAGCTGACGAGAGATGATCATCTGGACGAAGCGAGCCTGATTCGAGAGACGGTCGTACATGAGCTTGAGTTGATCCACAAGATGCTCCTTTCGCTTCTGATAGTACGACAGACGGAGGAGATAGAAGTTTTCGAGAATCTCCTCAGGAGAAGAGTACTTCTTGATCTTGCCATCCTGGTCGAAGAGCACCATGTTGGTGGTAGAAATCTGACTTGAGGTCTTGAAGAAAGCCTCAACACCCTTTTCAGCGATCTCGGCTTGACCCTTGGCGTTGAGCTCGACGATAAAGTGCACCGTGGACTCGGTGTGGTACTCCTTGTAGTCCTTGATGGTGGAAGGCACCTTCTCGGTCGAGAGGATGCGCTCCTCGAGACTCTCCTTGTAGGTTGAGGTCCAGGTACGGATGGGCAACTCGGTGATTTCATATGTTTTCTCGTCGATCTGAGTCACACGACCGCTCAGCTTGTATCGACCGGGCGCGAATTCCTCGATGTCACCGGTGAAGCCACGGTACCACGGCTTCATGGGGACGACGTCCTCACCAGCCATGCGTCGTCGCAAGTTGGCAACAATGTCATGCGGGTTGTAGTTGGGCACGAAGGTAGACCATCCAGTACCGATACCTTCGGCACCGTTGAGCAGCACCTGAGGAACAACAGGCATGTACCACTGCGGCTCGATACTCTGTCCATCATCGTCCAAGTATTCAAGCAGCGCATCGTCGTTCTGAGGGAACAAGGCACGCGTGATCTTTGGCAGCGCGGTGAAAATATACCTGGCCGAGGCAGCATCCTTACCACCAAGCAAACGAGTACCGAATTGACCCCTTGGCTCGAGCAAGTTAACGTTGTTGCTACCCACAAAATTCTGTGCGAGACCAACGATGGTCATGGTGAGCGACTGTTCACCGTGGTGGTAGGCTGTGGTACCAGACACGTGACCGACGAGTTGAGCAACCTTGATTTCACCGTCGCCCTTGCGGTTGAACGTGCCAAAGATCACCTTTCGCTGACCTGGCTTGAGACCATCAACAGCAGACGGGATCGAACGCATGTTGTCGGCCATCGAGAAGAGGATGAGCTCCTTGTTGATAAAATCGGCGTAGGGAATCTTGTCGATGTTGTGGTCGAGGTAGGTTCCAGGACGGAACTGACGGAGCCACTCCTTTCGATCGTCCGCTTTCTTCTTGTTGAAAGCAAGATCGATCAGCTCGCGATCACCATCTTTGGTGGTATCAAAGGGCAACATGTGCTTGTCCATAGCACGGAAATACTTTTTGGCGTCTTGCGAGTCCGAGGTTCCGAGACCCTTGTAGTACTTGATGCGCCAACCCTTTCCGTTGCTGTTGGCTTCCTTCCAAGTCATGTACTCGGGAATCGTGAAGAAGGAGAGCTCCTTCTTACCCTTGCTACACTTGACAATGGGAGTGATGAACTCGACGAGGAAATTAGGAAGCTTGAGCAGCGAGGGGTAGAAGTGGTCGAGGAAGTTGATGATGAGACCCTTGATGTGCGAACCATCGTGATCCTGATCGGTCATGATCATGATACTGCCGTATCGCAAACTGCTGACGTCAAGGTACTGCTTGCCGTGCTGCAGACCGATGATCTCCTTGATCGCTTTGATCTCGGCATTCTTCATGATCTGATCGTGAGTCGCTTCACGGACATTGAGAAGCTTACCACGAAGCGGGAAAACACCGTAATTGTCACGACCCACCTCGACAAGACCAGCCACAGCAAGCGCCTTGGCGGAGTCACCTTCGGTGAGGATGAGAGTGCAGTCCTTGGCTTTCCTGCCACCAGCGTTGTTGGCATCTTCAAGCTTGGGAATGTTGGTGATTCTGGTGCGCTTGTGTCCATCGGTCTTCTTAAGCGCCTGATCCTGTTTGTAGCGGGCGAAGCTAACAATGTTGTCAACTACGCCAGACTTGATGATCTTCCTGGCAAAGTCGTCAGTGAGTGTCCACTTGCTGCCGAAAGCGCTCTGCTTGAGCGTAAGGGTTTCCTTGGTCTGTCCGTCGAAGGTGGGGTTGACAATTTGACAGTTGACAAAGACCCAGAGTTGCTGTCGGACCTGGTTAGGCATGACTTTGCCGGTCTTTTTGTCCTTCTTTACCTGCTCGATGAGGCGCGAGATGACCTGGTCAGCAACGTGATCGACGTGCTTACCACCTTTGATGGTGGCAATGTTGTTGACGAACGAGACCTGTCGAAACTCGCCATCTGAGACGGCAAAAGCAACTTCCCAGTTGCGTCCCTTATCAACGGTTGACTCGTAGATGATAGCGGGCTTGGGAGCAGCGCCGGCGGGAAGATCTTCACCATCCTCGTTGGCTTTACCGCCAAGCTCGTTGATGGCTGTGACGTACATTTCGACGTACTGCTTGAAGTTCTTGATCTTGAGGACTTCACCATTGAGGGTAACCTTGATACCTTTGACGGTACCTGCCATATCGTAGACACGCTTGAGCATGAGGGCCTCGATGTGGTCGTCAATGGACTCCATGCCGAAGAGGGCAAAATCGGGTTTGAAGGTGATGCAGGTGTACTCGTCGTTCTTCTTGTGCGAAGTGATCTTCGGCTTGCCCTTCTCGTGCATGTTGCTAGTGAAAGTCTGCTTATACTTGCACTGGTTCTTGGCATCAGCAGTCTCGACAGTGAACTCGGTTGAGTAGATGTTGGCGAGCTTGGCACCGTAACCGTTTCTACCACCGGTGACCTTGGCTTCGTCATCGTTGTAATTGGAGGAAGTGAGGAGGTGACCAAAGATGAGCTCGGGGATGTAGACGCCCTCTTTCTCGTGCATCTCGACAGGGATACCATGACCGTTGTTCCAGACGCTGATGGTGCCCTCGTCGCGCTTGACCTCGACCTTGAGGTGAGTCATGTTGGGATCACGCGCTTTGTTATCAGCAGCATTGACGAGAATCTCGTCAAAGATCTTGTAGAAACCAGGGACGTATGTGGTCTCGCGGTAGGCCATCTGCTGCTTGGTCTTGTCGTAGACCCAAAGCTTCTCTGTATGTTTCTCGACACTGCCGATGTAGGTATCGGGACGCTTGAGAATGTGTTCGAGTTGAGAGAGCTTCTGGTAGGTCTCGGAAGCACTCTTGCCGTTGGAAGACTTGCTGGGCGCAGGGGGCTGAAAGGAGACATCAGCCTCGCTGTCCATCATGCTGACATCGGGGTCGCTGTCGGCTCCGTTGCTGTTGCGCTTCGAGAGCGGCTGCTTCTTTGGCTTGACAGCACCGTTGGCCTTGGAGGCGCCCGCTTTCGCAGTAGTGGCCTTGAGCTTGGCTGCTGCAGGCTTAGCTTTAGCAGCTGTCTTCTTGGCAGGAGCAGGGAGGATGAAGCCCTCGGACCCGTCTGACATGTAATCGGATTCGGACATCTTGAGTGTTGTGGTGGACAAGAGGCGAAGTGATGCGGGCGGCACGGGAATCGATGAGGCAAGGGATGGGTATAAACAAGACGAACGAGGCCTAGGAATCGGGAGTGGTAATCGTGAAAGATGGCCTAGGGAAGCGAGCAGAACTCGTGAGCAGGGCTCAGCACTTGGAAGGAGTTTGGCGGCACCAGGCAGCCAGATGTTGGGAGGAATGGTGGAATACCCTCACTGATCGAGGTCTTCTTCAGCTGCTCAGAGGAAAAGCAGCTTGTTGTGGAAAGCAAAGAACAAAAGTACAGTCGAGGTCGAATTCCTTGAGGAGGTGGTGATGGAAGAGGAGAAGAGGAGGATGCAAAGTTGGCAACCAAACTGAGCAAGTTGAACGTGGGCGAAAACAACTCAGCTGAAAGTGTTTTGCCGCGTCAACTACTCTCAGCAACAAGAAGAAAGCAACACTTAGCTTTTGCTGCACGTGACTTGGCGTGCGCAACTAAGGTGGACTACACGCGCGTCGCAAGCCGCTCAATCGGCTTTGTTTGCTTTGTTTGCTACCTCAACTCCTCTAGGTCGCACCTCGCTGTCTGTCTCACGTATCCACATCCTCTGCCTTTACCTCATTGTCATCTCAAGCTCTCTTCTTGACAAAGGGTGATTAATACTTCAAATGCAGCTGAACAAGGCAGTCCAGCATCAAGCAGGAGAGAGCATCTCCATAGCATGTCTTCGCACGAAGCAACTTGGTCGTAGTGTGATGAAAGTTCAAGTCAGACGCGTCCCCTTACTGGACTTCTTGGCAGAGGACTGAATTTTGAAAATTTTCTTGCTTGTACGCTAGATTTAGATGATCATCATGAAATTACCCTTCAACTATGAAGGCGTAGTTAAGTTAGCACCTTTTCGGCAGGACGCGCGTGTGCACGTGACGATTTTGTCTCTGTTACATTACTCCAGTCACACAGCCATAATTCTTCCTCTCTTGTAATGTGTCCCGTTGCGACTGGTGTCAGTGTATATGACATAGCCTGAGTGGCTGATTGCGATGTCTATAAGTGTCGAGTTGCATTATGAGGCCACATTTGGTCTCTTCCGCAGCGACACAGTCCGAAGAGCCAAGGTCTTGAGCGGTTCGAGGACTCTGCGTGAAAAAGGCCCCGCCAACGCAACGGAAGCGCCAATACGGACAGGAATCAAGGTCTTGACCAGGATGTAAGCGGCAACCATATTGGCAAACGAGCCTGCCAGGTGGCTCGACTTGCCGAGGTCATCAGCTGCAGCGATAGTCTCTGCGTCTTGCTTCTCGAATCCAAGGTAGCCTTTCCTCCTGCAGTAGCGTTCGAAGCGCTCCTCTTTCGAGCGGGCCCATGCTTGGAAGCGAGCACCGAGCGAGGTGGGGTCTTGGCTGCTCTGCTGTTCCGCATCTCCAAGCAGCCAGTTCAAGACTGATGCTCCGACCCCCAGCGCTCCGAAGATGTAGAACAGCAGAACGAGTGGCACAAGTGCGGTGAGCTCGTGCAAGATGAGGAAAGACGCGACCATCGTTGAAACGTTTGTTCCGTTCTTCTTTGCAATTGATCGAACTTGTGCCAATGCTCTTTGCAAACGTGTCTGCGAGCCGACATTGAGCTTGCCCGTGTGCAGCCAAGTGACATTAGGATCCTTTTCGCCCGCGAGCCAAAACGGCTTCAGAGTATCCGGAAGAACAAGCTTTTCGTTCTCAAGACCATGATTTTCGAGGATTGCAAGGATAAGTCGCGGAATCGCAGCTGCTGTAGCATTGAGCGTATGCACTGTCGGACAACGCGGGTCGTATCCAACCGTTGGCGCAGTGGAAATCGATGATGGCAAGACTGTACGCGCCATCTTGATCCCAAGTCGCAAAGCTTGGTAGTTTATGCAGTTGGACGCGGACGACACTTCGCCCCATGATCCACGTCCTGGCATCCACACTTCGATGTCGTACTTGCGGTACGCACTGGCTCCGAGTTCTTCCGTTGGCATGTCAAGTACACGATAAGGAAGACCCAAGCCTCCGATCACCTCCTCCTGAATGCCACGCAACTCTTCCAGCATGGCGTTACTCTCCTCCCCTTCACCGCTCGTCGCGACGAACATTTCGATCTTGCTGAACTGATGCACACGGTACAAGCCGCGTGTATCAGCACCCCTAGCACCCGCCTCAGCACGGAAAGCATGCCCAAGCGCGACGAGCTTGATCGGCAACCCTGTCCTTTCAATCAGGAAATCTCTTCCGGACTTCCAACTCTGGCTCTTTCCGCCCTGCTTTGGTTTTTTGAATGTGCGTGCTGCGAGCAAAGCAGCCAGTGGAATTTCTGCTGTGGCGGCTAGGCACAGGTCGTTTGACAAATCCTGATCCTGATCTGAGCTCTTGCTCTTTGTGTTCTCGAGCAAGTAGGTTTGCTGAGCCTTGTCGTCTCTTGGACGGAAGCCGCAACGGTCGGCCACTTCGGCGCGCACGACATCAGGAGGTGATACCGCCAAAAACCCATTGCGTACTGCGATCGACATGGCGTACTGCGACAGCGCATGTTCCAGCATGCTGATGCTGCCAAGCAAAAAGGGCCACGATCTCCCGGTTGCCAGAGTTCCCGAAATGATGTCGACCTCGGAACCTTCTGCTAATGATGCAACTAAGAGATGATCTCGCTCCGGGTCTGCTTCCGGCCCATTGGGGAAATCTTTGACTTGGATTGCTGATTGATTCCATGACTCCTTCATGACGTCGAACTCGGTCGGTAGCAGGTTGAGAGGATCTTTGACAGAGACCAGCACTGCGTTCCCCTCCGGTCCAACTGGAACATCGGGATGACAGTGGTTTGGCCATGAGGAGCGAATCTTCAGGCTCCTGGCTCGGATTTCTTCCTCCTGCTTGGAAATATTTTCCAGCTCCTGTTTGATCTTCTTTACCCGTTTCCGGAGCTCCTTCAAATGTTGCTCCTGCTGGTCCTTTGCTGAAGTATCCGTGCTTGTCTCGCTTGTCTCGCTGCTTTCGCTAGCTGGCTCGTCGGCAGATTTCACTTCCTCCGACCCTGCTGCGACGTCCGTTTTGAGCTTTTCTTTCTTGGAGGCTATATGCCGCAATCTTAAACGCTTTTGCATGACGTTCCCTATCTTATTTTGCTCCTGCTGCAGTTCCATTTCCTTCTCACGCAGCAAGTAAAGAGTGTGTCGAGCTTCTCGTAGCCATTTGAGGTCCGCCTCGTCGAATTTCATATTTCGAAGCTGCATATCCCGTTTGGCTTGGTCGATGGACTCGTTCCTGACGCCTCTCCCTGGATGCTGCGGAGGCAGGGTTCTTGATGTACGATAATGAGCAGTGGGAGGGTCTTGCGATGTCGCATCGCTGCCATTCGATTGAGCATTTGCCTTCGAAGATGATGCAGAACTGGCTTTGGAAAAGCTTTTGTTGATCCCAAGCGTGGCCCGTGATGTAGACGCAAGCCGCGAACCACAGTCAACGTCCGTTGTCAGACGAAGGATCCGAGGGCGACGCAGGGTCCGCAAGATTGGTCCCGTCGATCCAGGGACCATCATACTAGCTGAACGCAATTGAAGCGCAACGATAGTGAGAGCTTGACTCCTAGACATGGCGCTACTGTTGAGGCCAGAAGATGATGTTGGAAGGCAGAAGCATTCCAGCTTTGCTCTGTCATTGAGGTTGAACAAAAAAGGAACAGGGTTCTGTCAGTTAGCGAAGCAACCCGAAGGTGAAGTCTTCCCTTTTCAAAAAAATTCAAATTTTTTTCAAATTTTTTCAAATTTTTTCAAATTTTCCATTTTTTTTTTCCTCGAGGCTCTCGCCACAATAATTGAGCAGTGACATCGTACTTAGACTCTCTCCCCGATCGTTGATCATCGGGACCCGTACGATTTACATTTTCTCATCAGGAAGGTCCGACTTTTTTGAGCTTTGCCTCGATCTGTCAAAACTCATCCGTACGAAAAAGGGGACGCTCAGCCAGGCTTACGTTTGAAGCGCGATCCAAGCGTGAGTTGAGCTCAGCACAAGCCAAGAGGGCTGCAAGCATCTTCCAGCTTTGTCGTCGCTACCAGGTGGTCTCAATTTCCTCGTCTCACCTAGCATCACACATCTCTCCAATCCTATACCGATCATGTCCAATTTGGCTTCTCGCTTCGCCGTCCCACTGGGGCTCGGCTTCATGGCGCTTCAGGCCTCTCTCTACGACGTTCCAGGTGGCTACCGTGCGGTCATGTTCGACCGATTCCAGGGTGTTAAGAACATTGCAACCAGCGAAGGCACTCACTTCCTCGTACCTTGGCTCCAGAAGGCTATCCTGTACGATGTTCGTATCAAGCCACGCAACATCTCCACCACTACCGGTTCCAAGGACTTGCAGATGGTCTCTTTGACTCTCCGTGTGCTCAGCCGACCCGACATTCAGCATCTTCCTAAGATTTACCAGTCTCTCGGCGCCGACTATGACGAACGTGTTCTTCCTTCCATTGGTAACGAAGTTCTCAAGGCTACGGTAGCTCAGTTTGACGCTGCTGAGCTCATCACCCAGCGAGAGGTTGTCTCTGCTCGTATTCGCGAGGATCTTCTCAAGCGAGCTAGGGAGTTCAACATTGTCCTTGAAGACGTCTCCATCACCCATATGACTTTTGGCCAGGACTTCACAAAGGCAGTAGAGCAGAAGCAGATCGCACAGCAGGATGCTGAGCGTGCTAAGTTCATCGTCGAGAAGGCAGAGCAGGAGCGACAGGCCTCCGTTATCCGTGCAGAGGGTGAAGCCGAGGCTGCGCAGACCATCTCGAGAGCATTGGAGAAGGCTGGTGACGGTCTCCTTACCATCCGAAGAATCGAGGCTTCTAAGGACATCGCTTCAACACTCAGCGGTGCTAAGAACGTCACTTACCTGCCACACGGTCAGGGCATGCTGTACGTATCATCTTTGATTGATAGCTTCTTGTCTGTTGTCACCCTAACTGACCGTCTTTTCCTCATTCCTTTGTTTCCGATTTCGTCCACAGTCTCAACATGCAGACTTAAAGTTGAACCACCCAGTCTCGTTGTGGTCAAACTCACCACATCTCTCGGTCCCTCACTTTGTAGTTCTATCTCCTTGCCTCCAACGCGATTACCGCCACATCTCACGCACAACATTCCATGTCATGATGATCTGACACAGGCTGAAACACCGAGCAAGTATATTCTCGAAATGAGTCAGGGTCGCATAAGTCACAGGACTCTAGGAGGAGGTGTTCCACACGCCTTGAGGATGAAGCCTCTGTAAGCAGCGAAAGATGTAAAAGGCTCAGGAGTCAGTACATCGGATCATCTGACTTGTCTTGGAGATTGGGCCTGCAACTCACCTCGGCAGGAATGTCGATGCTTGCAAGAGCGGTGAGCACCGACTTACCAGCCCAGAGCTCGAGGGTCTCGCACTCTTCTAGTGAGATAAAGGCTGCTGTGTTGCGGTTTGCGAAGCTGTTGAGTCAAGCCGAAAGTAAGAGTTGTGTCAATTCTCAGACCAATGCAATGGTCAATGCGGCCTGTGATGCCGTACTCACATCATCTGAACGGCACCGGTACGGATGTTTCCCTTGTGTACAGGCTCTTGACCGCTCTGCTTAGCCAGGTCGATAGCGTCGTTAGCAGCTGCAGCAAGGTGATTCAGCAAGAAGGTCTCCATCTCGAGTGTTGCTGCACCTGGCCTCCTCTCCCTGATCACGTCCATCAGATTAGCGTTGGCATCGACGAAGGCGGGGTCGATTCGACCTTGACTGCTATAGAAGCTGTCCGCGGAAGCGTTGACTGTGTTACCGACTGCTTTGGCCTCTTGGCCGCCGAAAAGTTCCGGACTCTTCTTTGGCTTATCTGACTCGAGTGCTGCCAGAAGGGCATCGTGGACCTCATGATCTGCGTCGAGGGGCTTTGTGATAAGATAAGGCTCGAGAGCTCCTGACCTGCGCTCGTCCGAGGTTATGTCGTGGTGGAAGTAGTCGTAGTTGCGAGAGATACCGAAAGAAGCTTTCGGCACGACGACGGTTCCGATGCCGTATTCGGGCTGCATCGAGCCACAGGAGCCGAGACGAACAATAATCATGTCTCCTTGAACGACCGCTCGGCACTCTCGGACGAAGAAGTCGACTACAGAGAAGCCCATGCCGATAGCAAGGATGGAGATGGGGACGCCCTTGTAGGTGCCGGTGAGGGTGAGGAAGTTTCGCTGCGAGTTGAACTCGAAGAGAGGCTTGCCGCCGTCAAAGGCTTTGGCGATGCGGTGAGCCCGGACTTGGTCGCCGACGGTGATCTACAGATAGAGATACAAACATGAACATCAAAATTGTCTCTTCGTTTCTTACCTGGAGTAGAGAAAGACTTACAATGCGATTTGCGACCCTAAGTTCGCAGTGAGCGTAGATGGTGGGGAACAGATGAAGGCATCGATAAGGTGAGTGAGGCTATTCAAGGATAAGTTGAACAAGACGCTTCACGGTGTACTCACTGTCCAGCCTTGGTGGCTACGTGGTAGGTTCGCCCTTGGACGTCTTGCTGTAGACGTCAACGTGGTCGAAAGTGGACATTTGCACGTTAGCTTGCTTCGCTTCATCAGGCTTGATGTCTCAACACTGATCATCACTTACCGGAAAGTTAGCGTTGCTGAGGTTGTCCTTCATCTTGAGCCTGTGAGAAATCGATGCGATGTGCGATGGAGGACGAAGAAGGTCGAGCGAAAGTCGAAGCTGTTCTTATCTCTGATACGGGAGAGAACAACAATGTCCTGGAAGAACGTTGCGGGGTTGTCGGCTTGGAGAGTCCGGGGAACACGAAGCATCTGTGCAAGCTGCTGTTGCCAAGTTGCTTCACCTTGCACTTTTTGTCAAGGTCATTCCGAAGATCCGAAGACGCGGAGGGCGGAGATAGCCGATGTGTATAGGCTATCGCGATACGATGAGAGCGGTTGAAACACGCATCGGCGATCTGTCGGCAGCTGCAGTATGCGCTCATGGGCAGGGATGACGCAAATATAGCGCTCAGCACTTTCTATGATTCCTCTTAGCCATTCCGGTCCCCACCTTTGTACCTCGCTTGTCTAGTGCACTCGACTTTCTTCTTCACCATCACATCTCCGTACCAGGACACCTGCACCTTAACACTACAGCCGCAGCGAGCACCAGAAAGACCCCCACCCTCTCTTGCAGCTCTTGCGTACCGGCAGGCATTACCTAGTTCAAGATGGTCGATCCAGCATCATGGGCAAAGATGTTCTTCCGTTCCGTCTTCTCTGTCTTCAGTCCCTCAACAACGACAGTCTGGCAGAACAACATCGCCTACTCCATCACACTGCACAACCCTCGTGTGCTCCTCTACCGGGGTCCGGAAACCTACATCACCTTCTCCATCTACGCGCAAGCCTTCTCCGCTGAGGCACGCAAGCAGCTCGATGGCCTTTCTTCCGGCCAGGTCACCGAGATCGTAAAGGGCACGAATGTTCAGCTCGTACAAAAGGGATGGATCGCCGGTGCTGTCGGTTGGAACGCTGCTGGATACATGGGTGTAGCTACCAAGAAGGGTTGGGACATTACACCTAAAGGCAACGCTTCGTGGAAGGACACTCAGGCGGAGTCCTCCTCCCTCTCGATCCAGCAACAGGAAGACGAAGACTACGGAGAGAAGCCTCAGCGTCACTCATCCTCAAGCAGCTCGACGGAGGAGTATGAGATGCAGAAGCTTGGCAAGTCCGACTCTGCTTCCACGGCTTCATCTGAGCTCAAGGAGACCAGACACATTGCACTCAAACGCAAGGAAAAGATTGACAAGCAGATCCGTGCCCAGTCGTCCAGCGTTGACACTGTTGATACTGGCTCTTCCTCCTCCACTCGTGTTCTCGGTACCTACAAGTGCCGTATCCCCGTCGAAACCGGTGATGGCTACTTCCGTCTCTGGGTCACTGTTCCCTCAGCCGTATCTCGAGGTCAAATCGGTATCGGAAGCCCAACTTTCCGTCTTTTCTCCTTCTCTCTCACATCGGCTTCTCCTCGTGGTGCCGCTCTTCTTCCGGTGCCCGTCATTGTTCCAGAGCTCGCCCTTCGCTCCATCTCTCTCGCTCTTACCACTTTGCTGTACGGTCTCTTTCCAGTCGCCGCTATCATCGACAAGATCCTCCCCAGGTGGATGTCTCGAAAGTTCATCAACTGGATCTACACTCGTGTCGGCGCAAAGGGTAAAACTGATCAGCTCAAAGAAAAGTACCAGGTCGACAGGAAGGTGGAACAGGCTAAAGAACAGGTAAAGAAGGTTCCCTTTGCAAGTGCTGGTATTAGGACCGATTGGGATATCGAAAGAGATGCTAAGCGTGGTCGTGGTGGATGGTCTTACTACTGGTGATCACACGTTGGCCTAACCTCAAGGTGTCTCGAAAGTATTTATGTACCTCAAAACAGTCAGTCAATCTTGGCTCAGTAGGTATGATGTGAAATGTGTATTCTAATCTGTTTTCCAAAGAAAGTAGTTTCGACGTTGTTCGAGTCTGCGTTACAAGTTAGGAAGCAGGACTATCAAGGAAGCGCCTCGTGCGAGCAATCAAGTCTCTGAGATCGTTGACCTTGCTTGCCTTTGCTGGCTCCGATGTCGGCAGGGTAGATTCTTGAGAGGCATTCGATCCAGTCCGGATCTTCTTGCTGGGTGAACCGCTGCCCTTGTCCATCTCCATACCTCCATCGGCCTGTGCCCTGTACTCTGCCCAAATAGCCCTCGTCTCCGTCGCGACTTCCTCCACTGCCGCGCTACATAGCCTTCCAAACACCTCTTTCGCTTGCGTCCATTCTGCCTCCGTGTCCTGCCGGACGCCGAACCATGCTTCGTTTAACTTGCTAAGCGAGAGTCGGAAGAGTTGCTCGATGTACTGCCTATTGACTACTGCTAGTGTAAGTTGCAGCTCCGTTTCGTGCGGGCCTTTTGCCTGAAGAGAAGACAGCAGTTGCGATCGCAGATGCAATTTCTGCTCTTCTTCTGTCAGCTCGTCGATTTGCGATAGAGCCATACCGACCAATCCACTCTTGACGGGAGAAGGAAGGGGAAGCTCAATCTTGCGTTCTTCGGCCGGCTTGTCGTTCTCGTGAACAGTCTCTGACAGGCTGAGCACCGTGCGCAGGATGTGATTGGCGAGTGCGGTCAAGATCTGCAACGCCTTGCATGCCAACGCCTCGGTCTTGCTGCCAGCAACTTCCGAGCCTGACACCACCGGCCCGGGAAGACCACTGAGAAGGTCAAAGAGGAGCGCAGAAAGATGTCCCCACTGATCGCAGAAGTCCTGAACGACGTCTTCGAGCGTCGCTCGATGAGACCCATTGAGATGTAAGTAAGGGTTTGCTGTCACGTCCGGCAAGACACGCTGAAGCAAGGCTGCTAGCATGTCCTCGACCGAGACGGAAGCGTCGTCAAGTTGGAGGATGCCGATTCGCTCGAACACGCTGTTGGGCTTTGACGGGTCCAGTCCGAGATGGTTCAGCAAACTTTTCTGCTTGGCGTTAGCCGCGACGTCAGCGTCAGCATCGGTCATCTCCACGTCGTCGGTGCCATCAGTGCTCGAGTCGCCCCATGTAACCACAAGGAGTCGACAAGCAAGATGGCTCCCCCTGATAAGCTTGAAGGATGAAATCATCTCCAGTCTCTTCCGATCGCTTACGAGAGCGTTGCGTCTCTCAACTACCGGTTTGGCTTGAGCAGCAGCAGGGTTCGTCTCGAAGATCACAAGGCCTGGTTGGCTGTGCTCGTCAGCCTGAAGGACAGATTCTGGCGCAATGTCGTTGCCGTCGGAGCTAGGCGTGATGTCGGCGAGCTCGAGCTGTGATCCATCAGCAAGATCGACTTCGAGCACATCACGGTCGCTTTCTTCTTCGTTCCCATCTGACGGCGCAGAAGGCTTGAACCCAAACTTGACTCGAAGCCAGCTTGACGCCACATGTTGACCTGGAGCTCCGCAGTAGAGCACTACGAGCCTGTTCAAGTCTGCAGGTCGGAAGTGCAAGAGGAGCTCTTCGATGTGATCAGCCAGCTTCTCGAGCAACGAACCTTCAGCCCACAGCTGGTTGCGTTGGCGTCGTACTCGTGTCCATCCTTCAGTCAAGGCATCATCGCCTCGTCGTTGTGTCTCGCTGACAGTTTCGTCTTCGAGCTTACGCTTGAGCCGGGCTGCAGTGTTCAACTTCTGGTTCGTTACTGATGCGCGCTCGCCGGTAAGTAGAGACTGGCGGATCGAAAATGCGTGCTGTATCAGACTGGTCTGATCCTGAGAATGCTTTCCAACAGCTTTGCTATCAAGCGTGCTACTGACGCCTTCGACCTCGTTAGCTTGAATCCGTCCGAGGATGTTACGACGTCGAATCTCGCTTCTGATGGCCTCCAGTCTTTGTCGTTGTTGTTCGCGATCCCTTCGTTCTTCCAGAGCTTGAGTCCAGCGTGACCACGCACGCATAGCACAGCTTCGAGATCGGAACACGTCTGCGGCTGCAATCCGACTCGTCTCCTTGGCTGCCTCCAGAACATGCTCATCGGCCAGCTCCTGCCATAGTCTGCCCGTGAGACGAGTCACGAGCTGATCTCTTGAGGCAGCCCGACGGCGTTCCTCCTCTGCCTGCACAGCACTAGCGGCAGCCTTGGCAGCGGCGGAATGAACAACTTCGTTGGACAGTGCAGTGAACGCTCGCTTGACAGCATAATCTCGAGACGCTTCCTTGCGTTTGGCTTGCGCTTCCGCTTCAGCGTCCGCCTTCGCTGCTGCTGCTGCTTGCACAGAGGCATTTTCATCTGCATGTGAAGCTCGACGCTTCTGACTTGTCGGTGCAGAACTTGCGTTATCTTGCTTTGCGTCAGCAGCTCTGATGGGTGCAAAGGAGGGAAGCTTAGATTCCGTCTTGTTCTGTGCAGGCTCTTTGGCGCCCGCCGACGAGGAGAAGAAAGACGATGATGGCTTGCTCTGTTGAGATCCCATTTTGGCCGCAGCGTCGAATGTGAACGACGGCGCAGCAGATTGTTGCTCACTTCCCTGCTTTGAGTCGGTATCCGAGGTCGCAAACGGACTTTTGGCACCTGACCCGCCGAAAGAGAAGCTTGACATTGAAGAACGTTTCTGCGCTTCGGAGGACTGAGGACTCGGCACGGAGGCTTTGCTGCCGAATGGCGAAGTCGCCGTCGCACCCGGCTCTTGCTTTGTTTGGGACTCCTTGCCAAATGCCCCAAAGCTTGGCAAAGCAGGCTTTGTCGTGGTAGCTCCTTCCTTTGAAGCACTCGTAGAGTCTAAGAAGCCCCCAAATGTGTTCAAGGACGTAGAAAAGCTGGAGCTGTTATGAGCAGCGCCACCGTAAGCGGTTGGCGTGAAAGTGGACGCTGATGCTGAGAGCTTTGAGGGTGATGCAGAACCAAATGCGGTCGCTTGGCTCGTGTCTTGCTTTGCTTGCTGTTGACCGAAAGCGTTTGAGGCACCCATTCCAGACGATAATGCTGAGCTTTGCTGTGTACCGAAGCCGAAGGAAGACGGCCCACCTGCTGATGTAGACTTCGCAAAGGATTGGCTGGACGGTGCAGCAGCTGCCGGTCGACCAAGGCTGATGGCCGTGCTTGGTAGGGGTGCGCTTACACCGGACGCTCGTCCATCGACAACATCGGCACTTGTGTACGAGCCACGCTTCGCTTCGACGATTGTTGTGCTAAAAGGTGTCACGAGTGGTTTGTCCTCTTTAATGGTCGTGTTCCGATGAATCTTGACGCCGAAAAGAGTGCCCGATTCGTACTCCAGCTCGATTCCGAGGTGCTTCGTCATTGCGACGACCTGCTCGGCCGAGTCCATTCCCAGAACGTGTTGGACTCGCTCGATAGGAAGAGCCCTATGCTGAGCCATGTAAGCTTTAGACATGGCCTTGATCGCGCCGATACGGATGGAGCTGAACGAGTTCTCGGCAAGACAGGCCATCAGGTAGTTGACGTTCGGCTTGCGGAGCTCGGCGAAAAATTTAGAGAAGAAGTTGAGGGTTGCCTCCGTGTTCTTAGGCTGACCACGCTTCTCTAGGTTGTTCGATCGCTGTGCTAGTTGACGCAGGTTGATGGCAGTCTGAACGAGCGGCGATCGGAAAATGTCACCGGGGAGTAGCTCAGCCTCTCGCAGCGTTTCAGGATCTCGCAGATGAAGCAGCAGATTGTAAGCGCGGAATTCAGCTTCGTTTGGAGAAGTTTGATGGCCCACGTTACCAGTGCTGCCTGCAGAAGCCTTCCGGCGGTTGTCATCGTAAAACTCGATCAAACTGCGCATAGTCTTACGCAGCTGTTCGAGCTCCTGCTGTTCGCTCCAGCCTTCGGCGCCGGGTCCACCTCGCCAATGAAGACAGAGGATGTGGTACCTCGCGATGCGTTCGTGGCATTCGATGGCAATTGCGCCGCCTTCGCTTTGGACGATAAAGTCCTGACGCACAGCACGAGTACGATTCCAGAGGAAACCTTGCACCGATGTGAATCTTGAGTCGTTCGGATCAGCAGGTAAGAGGTCATGGAACAAGTAGTCGAGTGTCCGTTTGAGCACGGGAGGAGGACGAACATCCTCTGGCAGAGGCAGCTCGCGGCCAGCTGCGGGACGACGGTAGATCTTGACAGCAATGCGTGGATCGACTCGATCGGTGCCTGGATAGACTTCGAGTGGATCGAGTTCCTTCTGAAACTCTCGCTCTTCTCGCTCGAATTCAGGACACATGTCTTGACATGTACCGACGAGCTTGACCGCGAGCGCAAGATCCGTTGGCTTGTCAGGGTCCGGCAGGACGCCTGACTTGATGTAAGCGTTTCGCAATGCCTCTCTGCCTCCCTTCATCTCCAGGAAGCGATTGCCCTGTTTTGGTGCGTCTTCGAAGCGTTTCTTGCGGAGCTCATCTTCGTCCTCCATACCTTTTGTTGCGTCTGAAGCTTCGACCGGCGTCGAAGTGCCAGTGCGATCTTTCCTGAGAAAGTTAGAGAAGGAGCTGGTCGGAGCAGCGGATGCAGCAGATGCAGCAGGGGCTGCCGGTGCAGTGGCTGGTTGGTTGCTAGACGCTTTGGCGGCAGGAGCCTGGGGACGTGTCTGTGGCTGGAACGAGGAGAATGCAGAACCCAAGGACGAGCCGTTGGAGCTGCCACCAAATGCAGACGAAGAAGGCGTGCTTGCTGAGGTCCCGAAGGACGTTGTCGTATTCAAGCCGGATGCCGGAACAGAACCAGGCATCGTCACACTGCCGAAACTTGTGAAAGATGCTGGTTTGTCACTTGTAGCGGAGGAGCCAAAGGCAGACGTGTTCTGTGCGGAGCTACTAGATTGCTGTGAAAGAGAAGACGAGCTCGCATGGTTGGAAGAGGACGCTGTACCGAACGTAGGAAATGCAGAAGTACCATTCTGGGCTGAGGTCGACACACCGAAGGCGGATGACGAGACGGAAGCCTGAGCGCCTGACTGTGCTGCAGAAGACGAGGATGTTGGTGTGGATTGCATGTTGTTGAAAGTGGTCGATTTGTTGGCAAAGGGGCGTGGTCGTGGTCGAGGGGCTTGCATGTTGCTTGGATCCGCTTGAGTCTGTTGGTTCGTGTCGGCGTGTGATGCGAAGGGCCTGATAGGCCGGATTGTACCACCTCCACCTCTTCCGCCACGGAAGGAGGTTGAAAGCGGAGGCCTACCTTCCGCACCAGAACCGCTTGACCGGGAGGTGAAGGGTCTCGGTCTGTTTCCAAAAGTTGGTTGTTGCTGCTCTTGCGTTCGTTGTTGGTGCGACTGTTGCTGCTGTTGCTGCTGTGTGCCCGAGAACGGACTGGATGCGTTAAAATTGGACGACTGTGATGGAGGTCTTGGCCGCCCAGCGTGCGGACGCGAACGCCCGAAGCTAGACTGCTGTTGACTTTTGTTTGGTCCAGACCAGAAGGCTGACGAAGACGGATTCTGAGGCGTTGACGAAGAGAATGTGTTGGGAGGGGCGCTGCCGGATGACGATGATAATGATGTTGGAGTCTGTGGTCGAGCGAATGCGTCAAAGCCAGAGGGGACTTTCGGTGCGTTTGGTCCGGGGCCTGAGTTGGTACCGAATCCTGGATTAGACCCAAACGCTGATCCCCCTCCGGATCCAAAGCTATTGCCTTGTTGCATTTTCGATGCTGTAATGGCTTCTGCCGTAGCAGAGAGCTGATGCTAGGCCCCGATGTTTACCGCGGCTGCATGTCCTGAGTGTGATGTATGACAGTGAGCGGCAAAGAAGGAGCGTGAGATCTGGATGATACTTGCCGCGGAGGCTGTGTGATCTACGGTGGTAAGTGGTGAAGGTAGTCCGCGCCTTCACAAGCATTTCAAGCTCATTCCCCGAGACATTGAGGTTCATCGACCGAATTCCGAATTTTTGTCAACTGTCAAATATGGCGGAGATCATGTGTTATAACTGCTGGAGATTGCGATCCAGTGCGACGCCAAAGGATGACGCGGGGCCGATCCGGTTAGATGACCGATCTGATCTCACCAGAGATCGGGTGCAACACAGTCCCGCCCGTTGTCATGGTAGATCATTAAGTTGAAGTACTCCCACCTTCGGCATGTGCCGCTCACATGTATATATATCTCATAGAGAGCACTAGGCTCTCGCCACATTCCTTTAGTCAATTGAGTATATTTGTTTCTGTCTTTTAGCAGCAGTGACATCGTACTTAGACTCTCCCCGAACGCCAGTATCGGGACCGAAACGACTTCAGTTTCCAACAATCATCGGTACTTCGCTGTAAGAACGTCCCAACGCTTCTTCAAGACTCGCGCCAAGATGTTCTTGCCTCAGTCTCTCCTCTTTGCTGTCCTTTCCGTCTACGGCATCGCTGCCGCCGCCAAAAGCTCTAGGTCATCGAGCTCTGCTGGTAGAAGCCGCTCTAGCTCTAGCTCTGCACTTGACTTCTGGCTCACTGCCTATACAATCGACACTTTGTTCTCCAATTGGCCCAAGACGCCAATGACAAAGGAGGAATTCGGCATCCACAACGTCGCTACAATGTGGCAAAACCGTCCTGCTAAAGCTCATGCGGCGGTTTGCATCAATAGTCCTTGGAACGTCAAGAATTACGACAACGTCAGCCCTGCGATGTCAGTCGCTTACTTCAATCAAAAGCTCTTGAAGAGAAAGGTTTTCATTTGGGATTGTGTGTACATTTGGGGCCCTGACCAGCAGTTCTACAGCTTCGATGACGTCAAGGCTGACCGAATGGCTTGGGCACTCGATGATACCAAGTGCTCCATGGACAACGTTACCATGGATATCTCCTGTCTCTAGCATTCTCTTCGATATCTGATCTCTTAGTGATGCTGTGTCTCGAGAACCCATTCTCCCTCTTCGTGCTGATCTCAAAGCTCATTCTAGTCAATACACTCGCACAATTTATATATATATATATATATCAATAACGAGTCGCTTTGACGGCACGGTAATGATGAAGTACGCACACTTAACTTGCAGAACATAAGCTTGAATCCCAAAGCTGCTGTCAATCTACAGAGACATTGCAATTGCCCGGGAGCTAAAGCTCCTACTATTGCAAGGTAGGCGCTGCCGCAGCAAGAGAACTGCTTCATAGCCCTGCCATCGACAAGGTCCTTGCCGGCTTAGATGAGGCGACCCATTCACTGCTGCTCTGCTACCATCAGTTGTGGAGGTACGGCAGAGCTAGAGGCGGTTGGTGTCAAATCAGCAGCAGTGCTCGAAGAGGAAGAGCTCTGAGCAGATGGACGGCGACCCTTGGTACTGATTATAGCGGTAGCCCGACAAACCCTGTGCGTTGCCATGTTGAAAGCCTCTCAAAGATCGGTTTCCCTCTCAAGCAAGTCTTTGAGCTTGTTCTTTCGTGCTTCAGAGAATTCTATAGAAGAACCATCATCACTGAGGTCATATGCTAATCGCTTGAGGTATGAGGCCAAGGTTGAGTCTGCAAGGCAATCCCCCAAGAGTTTGACCTTGAGATTCAAAGCGGGTGGCTGGCCGTCCCGGTTCTTGCAGGCCGGCCCGGGAGCACACCCGTTAGGCACAAGTCGATCAAACATTAAACGCTTTAGAGCCATGGTCGTACAGCGATGGCAAAGTCGCACTCAAGAAGGTTGCAGGTGCTCTCTGCTGGGAGAACCTCACCTTAGACAGCCTCCGCCGGACCTTTGCGACTCGAAGGAAGGGCCAGTACAGAGCCGACAAGCAGCTGACTCTCCTACTTGATCATCACGGCACCCGGTCTGCTGGGTCGTACATCTTCAGGCACACTATCATCAACAGGGCCGCTTTCGCTTCGAGATCATGAGCAGAGGTGGCTCAGTCTACATTCGCCCCGTTTTTCATCAGGTAGTGAACAACCTTCGTACAGAAGAAGTTCCGTCTTAAGCCAGCCGCCATGTTCCGGCCTTGGTAACAGAGAATCGCTGTCCTTCACGGTTGACTGGGCTGCCTACCAAGCACAACCATATCAGCACTCCAATGAACAACGTTGACAAGAGCTTCAGTGTCGACCTCCGTGTGAGCATTCTCGCGGGTTTATTGCCTCAAGTTCGTACACATGCACAGCACACAAGCTGCAATAAGAGTATGGTGAATAAGCGCTGTGACCATTCGTTACCTTCCCTCCCGACGTAATGTCGCGGGAGAGCAATCTATTTATACATGAAAAGCGGAACCAATATCATAGTGAAACAGAACGAGGTGACAATGACAAGAAGCATGGAACAAGGTACTAAAGGATTGTCTAGTAGCGGTACTTGAAGTAAGGCGACTCGTCACCCATGTCGGCGATCTCCTCCTTGCTAAGACGGGCAGCCTCACCAGAGTCGACCATTCGCTCCTTGCGCTTGTTGGCAAGGTAGAGAAGGCCAGCGAAGGAGAGGGCAGAGAGAAAGGCAACGGCGTTCATGCCGATGTTGATGTAGTGCGCATGGTGGTAGTAAGGAGCCTGCTTCTTGGGGAAGATGTTGCTCGAGATAGTACCAGCGAGACCACCGAAACCGACGATGATAGCAATGCAGACGGACCGCTTGGTCTTACCGCCAATGGTCTGAGTGAGCGATGCAACGACACCGGGGAAAGCTGCGTATGAGCCGGCAGCCGAGATAAACTGAGCACCATAGGCGATCTTGGGGTGTGTCTGGGCGTAGTTGAGCGAGAGACCCCAACCGATACCAGAGATGAGAGTGCCGAGGCAGATGAAGGGGAAACGGATACCGAGACGGTCCGAGAAGTAGGCGAAGAGAACCACAGTGACGGATGCAACGGTGTAGACTGGGACAGTGTACAAGTTGGAGTCGATGGCGTTGTACTTGAGCGAGTTGCTAAGGATGGAGGGGAGAGTAAGGGCGGTGGAGTAAAGAGGAGTGATGGTGGTAACGTAGCAGATAAGGGTGAACATGGACTTCCAGTCTTTGAGACCAGCCCAGACAAATTTCCAGGCGAACTCGTCGTTCATAGGGATGTCGTTACCGTCGAAGTGGACACGGTCGCTCATATAGACCTTCTCGCTCTCGGTAAGGAAGGGAGCCTTCTCAATGCCGTCGAAGAGCAAAAAGTAGGAAAGGACACCGACAACGATGGTAAGAGCGCCCTCAACGAAGAAGATGAAGGACCAACCCTCGTACTTTCCGGCTTCGGCCTTCGCAAGGCCGAAGGCAAGGAGACCACCGAAGGCACCAGCAATGGTAGCAGCGGAGAAGAAGAGGCCGACACGAAGCTGAATGGACCTGCGTGGATAGAGGGTAGTGAGGTAGTAGGTTATGCCTGGAAACAGGCCTGATTCGGCGCAGCCCAATAGCAAACGCCAGGATAAGAGGGCAGCGAAGTTGTTGGAGAAGCCGGTGAGAAGCATGACGATACCCCAGGCGACGACAATGCTTGGGATCCACCTTTTGGCACCAATCTTCTTAAGGATCAAGTTCGAAGGTACTTCCAACAGGCAGTACAATGAGAAGAAGATGGAGAGCGCTGTAGCGTATTCCTTGTCTGATAGAGAAAGGGCAGTCTGCATCCCGAGCACACGTGCATTACCAATTGCAGTCCTATTTTAGCATGGAGGTAGGGGGCAATGAGAACAAGTGTGTCAGCTGATAAAATTTTGGAAAGGTGATTTGGGCGAGGTGGCGCGATATTGAAATGCAATACTGCCAAACAGCGCAAAGAAGGTGGAAATACTAACCTGTCAAGGAAAGAGAAGAGGTAGAGAACGGAGCAGATGGGGAGGACGTGCCAGTCGAGCTTGCGGATAAGACGAGCAGTTTCTTTAGGGTCCTCGATGGTGGTGGCGACGGCGTCAGCATTGGTGGTACCGGCAGTGAGGACAGGGGCCATAACGACACCGCCTTCGAGACGGGAGTCATCCTTCTCGATTGAGACCGAATCAGGGGTGTCCCTGTTCCTGTAGTGTGGAGCAGACATGATTGTGACCTTCTGCGGTGTTTGGGAGATTCAGCAAGGTAGCGTCGAGATGTAGCAGCCGAGTGGAAGCAAGGTGTTGGCAGAAGCTAGAGAAGGAGGAGGGACGGGGCAATCAGTGAGGGAAGGGCGGGTAGTAGATGTAGGGAGATGGACGAGGGATGGGTGCGAAAAGTAGAGACGTTATTTCATGGACACCTTTATAGGCCCTGGGAGATGTCCTGTGCGGGTCGAGTAGGCGAATGCGGGGGTACCGCCAAGTCGAAGACGGGGTGCAGAACGGTACTGTAGCCAGCTCAGGCAAGGCGGGAAAGTAGCACGACAAGTCTGGGGTGCAGCAACTGATCAAGTGCCTGGACAGGACGTCAAAGCCAGATCCTATCCGGTGATTTCAGTCAACAAGCGCCTGGGCAGGGACTCTTGCACATGGCTTGGGGCCGCACGTCGAGGCAACTCAAAGAGGCTCAGTTGCTGTTCAGGGCAAGCATGCTTGACTTCCTGAAGGTAAGACAGCCAGCCAGACAATAAGCGAACTCAGAGGAAAGGCTCGAATGCAGCGGAAGTCCAGAGCGGAGGCGTGAAACAGACTGGCATTTGGTGGGTCCGGGGTCGACCAATGGTTACAGTACCCTCCTGCATCTGCGGGTATGGCAGGCAAGCTACCCGGCAATATACTCAAACTTCAAGGTAAGGCACACAAACAAAAGTAGGACGAGGAGGACCTTACACAAGAAGGGGACGTCGGTCACCGAGCTTCGAATTCTGGAAGAGACACAGACAGACAGCGAGGGGACGCGACAAGAAGTCAAATTGTGCGAGCCGAGTACAGATGAGGATCAGTCGGACGATACAGAAAAACGATACGGACGTCATGTTAGATTGCGGGTCAGCGAGGTGGCTCGCTGGCTCAAAGGCTCCCAACGGCGATCCAGGAACAGTCGAGACTGAAAAGCACTCGCCGGGTGATTGTCTGAGTGGCACCGAAGAAAGGGCAGCCAGGAGCACAGATGCCACGAGGCGAATGCATTAACAAGTGTCGATGTGGTCGCGAGCAGTCCCGTAATGCTTGGCAAGGGAAAAGAAACACAGCCTGGATGCCCTCGGTAAAAGCAAAAAAAAAAAAAGGCCAAGTCTCCATCAACGAGGATGGTGAGCACAACGAGACCCGGCATTGCATGCAAAAGGTATGCGGCGCACCACTGTCCTTGCATGTAAGCATCCAGCAAGTTGTACAACACTCAAACAACACTGACGGAATGGTTTTACCGGCGATGTTGATTGATAGTGACATGCCCAGAAGGGTGTGCCTGAAGACGTGAGCACTTGTGCTCTTTCTCTCTCTCTCTAAGTGGCTCAACAGAAAGATACGCAAGATACGCAAATTGACAGAGAAGACAGAGACATCCGAGATGGCGCTCATTGTAGATGTGATTGGTTCCACCGAAGCTTCTCAGCCAAGGTCTGTCATGAGTTGACACGATCAACACCGTGCCTCCATCCGGCGCAAGCCAGTGTTTTGCTTACAATTAACTTCAGTCACAAAGTATGTTCTCGTCAAACCATAACGTCGGCGCTCGATGATCATTAAAGACGATGACGGCGCCGTAGACGAGGGCTGAGACTGCGATTGATGGCGAGCACTTGGGACGCGTATGAGTGAGGTCGTACAAGCGAATGTCTGGGCACCGTGACGTGCTTGTCAACGCGAGTTCCGAACGTGGCCACGTTGCTCATTCGTAAGTGACGGTGAGTGCATCCAAAATTGGAAGTTCGGCTAGAAGCGAGGTGATTATCAATCTGCGTGGGGAGATAAGATCTGTGTTTTTGCGACAAGGTAGAAGGCCAGAGAGTGTCGCTGACGGGCAATCCAGAGATGCGGGGAAAGGGCAAAACGCAGAGTCGAGACCCTCATCCTTTGGGACACTCGGCACTGGAACAAACGCCTTGTCGAGCTGGAACTTTGGCTCCTGTCGAAAAGTGCCATCTCAATCACAGTAGTGGGGAGGTGAGAGAAGAGTCTCAAAGGTGCGTCGGCGCTCTTTGAAACGATGCACATCAGAGGTCTTGGCATTTCCGAATGGTGGACGTTGACTGCGCCACTGCCTCTGGATGCAACGAATTCGTACTTATGCTTCTAGCCGGGATGTCATCCTACCCCAGCGACAACACTACCTTTTCGGTGTCCGCCAACCCCAACGTTTCTTCTTGACAGTGTACTACTGTGTATCCTGGCGATGGATGGCGTGGGATCTGTCCTTTCAAAGCGAGCCCTTGGCGACCAAGAAGAAGGGTACCCTGCCTCTCACAGTTGTCTTTCGTCAGACTGTTGAAAGGTACACCTCCGGCAAATCCATCCGGGCCCAAAGCACATCTCATTCGATACAGTAGATCAATTCTTCCTTGGATTTGCTGCTACGCTTCACGTAGCGATTGCGCCTTGTGAACAGCGTTCGGGAAAACCAAGCATCCGTCTTCCTCGCTTTCTCCGTCTGATCAGCAATACATACTGTATCGCCGTTCTGAGATCAACTTCACGGCAGCGACAGAGTCTCGCGAGGTGTCAGCCTGACTGAGTTTGTGGTTCGTGGCACAAGAGACTTGGGCATAGAACAAGATCAGACAACGTTCAGCACCTTTGTTGCTATCGCCGTCAGATCTGCCTCGTTCATAGCATCTTTGCAGGTCCTTCAGTATTGACGAGCACCTGACATCCCGTCTTTATCGCACATGTTCAATGCTCACGCCTTGTCCTACCAAGCGAGACGATGCACAAGTGCGTGCAGTCAGATGAGGTGCAGTTAGATGAGTGTTTGGGTGTGAAACTTGAAGCATGGGCTCAGGATAAGTCTACGGTATAGCCGACCTTACAAAGCCATGCTCTTACCCCACAATTTTAAGCCCTTCAACCTTAACCTGCCGATTGCACGCAAATGCGGGGCCCCGTCAGATTTCGATGGAGACGACATCTATTCGAGATCTCCTATGGAGTTCCGGAATAAACAGGATTTCTGTGCACCGCATCCTCTCATGTCAAGCGCCAAGTACAACCGGAGATTAGTCCACATCTGAACATGATTGTCGCCAGTGACTTGGCCAAGCAGCCTTGATTTGAGCTGCGGACTATGCATACAAGGGACAACATATGCTCCTCGTGATGCACAGCATACGCTCAGATCCTTGCATCCATCGCAAGGTACCAGGCACCAAGCATCTGTGTCTAACCTCACGGAAATTGCGGAGCCCCATACTGCAACAAATCGGATCGCGACAAGATCCGTCTCAGCTGATGACCCCGCACTTCATTTCCTCGTGGCAAATTCGAATGCGTTTTACACGGCAATACAAAGTGGAATGGGTCTAAGAGAAGCGGAGCAAATTCAAGTGAGGAAGCTGACAAGCACTTTCGCCAGCAGAGAGCTCCATCCATGTCCTCACGGAAGCAATCTTTAGGAAGCAGACTTCTCGTAGCTCATCTTGGTCACACCCAAAGCGAAGGCAAGAAGGTCGTTCATGTTTTAAACCCCCCCCCCCCCCCCCCCTTTGGTGAATTTCATTATAGTACAGAAGGAAGATTTGACAGAGGTTGGCATCGTGTCCAGGCGCACGAGCTGTAGCGCTTCGGGTGTGATTTTTTTGGCGAAGCTCATTGCCATGCTTGATAGTCAAGCAATCATCGGATAAAGATTGTCGTCGTCTGAATCGGGTTCAGGCAAGGCCACAAGCTTGCGGAGTCGAGAAAGCGCTTCCTTTCGCAGGCTTTCCTGGTACTGCGTCGAAATCATTGGGTTGGCCGCATCTTGCAGCGGTAGCGCGTAGATCCGCTGTCCGTTCTCGCACTGTGATTCAACTTCTGCACTGTGATTTGCCTCGCTGTGTTGTGAGCCTGTCGATATCGCAACATGCCGTTGCCTGTCTTCCTCCCGACTCATGCCTTCCTTCGCCACGGAATCGACGATGCTTCGACGTATTTGACGGAGGTGCAGGCGTGCGCTCTTGACTGTCTCTTGGAGCTTTGCGGTTTCGGCTGTCAGCTTCTTTTGGCGCTCTAGACTAGTCGCGACCTCGCGCTTCAGATAAGCATCTAGCGCCTTTGCTTGCGCATACGAAGTCTCGAGTGACTTGTGCAGCCCGCGCTCGTCAGTCGCTTTCGGATTCTTACTGCCGGGCAGCAGATGAAGCTCGATCAGTCGCAAGTCTGGTGGACGCTCGACCAGCATCTGACTGCCTCGCGCTTTGGCAATCGTGGTGTAAAACTTGCCCGAGTTGGTTTTGGCTCTCAAGACAAGTGGTTGTGTGCCCTTGACTGTTGACTGGGTCGAAGTGTTTGACGTCAGAGACTTGGTGAACTTCTGGTTGCTTGCAACACCGGCGTCGATGCAGAACTGAAGAGCGGTTTGTACGTCTTTGATGATCGAAGCTAAAATGGGTATGGCATCCTTGAGCATCCCTCGTGCTCGTTTCTCCCTGTTCGTCTCGGCAGCCATGAAGACTTGCACTTGGAGCCAGGCTTTGACTTCCCATTCTGCAAGATCATCTTGTGGAAATTCAGGAGTCGCGCCATCAAAGAGCACCCGATCAATCTCGTCCAGCTCGTTCGATATTCTTGTATATTCGATGAGGTCGCTCTGAAGATCACTCTGACGATGTTGCTTTGAAGCTAGTGTAGAGCGGTTCTGCTCCAGCTCAGCCTCGTGTGCTGCCTGTTGCACCATGGCTTTTTCTGCGTCGTTGTGAGCTTGGACAAGTAAGCGGGAGCGCCGACCGCGCATGTTCATGAGACGCTTGGCGAGTGAGCTGCTCATCTTTGCATGTGCTTCTCTTGTCTCTTGTGAGATGGTTTGCAGAGACTTTAGACGGAATTCTTGGCTCTTGACCTTGCCTGTGACGGCAAAGATTTCGTGCTGGTTCGCATGCAATTTGGCAGGAACATCTCCAAGATCCTGGATTGCTTTGGTGAGTTGTGTGTGACGCTCGTAGAAGCCAGCGAGCCGTTGGCGCAGAGGAGGCTGGTATGCTGGAACCGATCGCTCGGAAGCTGCTATGTTGGATCGATCTGCATTGGCCAGGGCAAGTGTTGCCGCAGTAGCGATAGCCGAGCCTGCTACCGCGAACGGAGGGGGAGGTAATTGGCTGTCCGTCGTTGTGTCGTTGCGTAGAAGGTCATCAATGTCGTCGAACATTGCATTGACAGGACCACTGTGGACCCTCGGTCTGGTTGGCCGCTGCATCTTAATCATTATTTGCTTCGAGTGCTGCTTGAAGTCTTGAAACGAGTGCGACCTAGCCGTGACCTGACCGTGACCTAGCGCTTCGGAGTGTTCGCATTCAATCAAGCGTTCGATGCCGACACCCTCAACATGCTTGCATAGAGGAAGGAAGCGAGAAACAAGGCTTCACCTGTCTTGAAGTCGACCAAGTTACGGTCATGTCGGATGTTGACTGCCGAAGAAGAGGAAGGCATGAGTTACGATCTAAGTATCTTGTTGCAGACCCTGCTGAAGCACGCGGAGAGATACTTGCACGGAAAAGCGGAACGGCATCATCTTGCAGCGCGCGTCAAAAGGGTCCCGATTGGAAGATCTTACGGGGCGAACCCCAAATCGGCGATGAAGTGTTTTTCTGAATTCGTGCGAGTGAAATTAGAGCTCGTCGAGCCTTCCACGTCAATCCATGGAAAAAAAGCGCAGCAAGACAGGGTTGGATGCGTGCGTGTGTGCGGAATTGGAACTGCCACGTCGACAGCTGCGGAAGTGCAGTCATGTCCCCGCACTCAGCCAGCAATTCTCCTCTTCGCTCAACCACCACCTGCATCATCCTCATCCTCGCCTCATCCTCACCTCGTCCTCTCCTATCTACCTTCCACGTCTACACACTCTTTCTCCTCCACATACCTGACACACTTCTCGCCGCCCCTGACCTTGTGCGTCAACGCTCAAGGTTACCCGTATACCCTTCCACGTCGTCAGTCCACGTACGCAGGTCGTCACCTACTTCTGTATCCACCACAAAGCCTATCCACACCGCTCCTCCTCCTCTTCACTGAGTGCTGGAGAGTATCACCTTCCACTAGTGTCTGTTCATACCTAACCCTTGTTATCGATCCTCCAACTCATCAAAGCCTCGTTCGTTTCTCGGTCTCTCATCACCACCTCAATTCATAGCCCACCATGACGAGCATCACTTCAGCATCCTCCGTCCCTGTTCTCACACATTCCTTCTCCTCAGTATCATCGTCCACAATCGCATCTTCTTCTCGCCTTCCAGAGACTCCCATCAAGAAGGAGACTTCCGAAACTTCTTTGTCTGACCCCAATTCGAGCAGCAAGAAGCGAAGGATCTCTGAGTCTAACGACGACCAAGAGGACGACGACGACGAAGAAGATCTAGGCGATTCGTCCTTCGCCTCAGCCTCGCCGTCGAAGCCCTCCAACACCGGTGGACGCAGAAAAGCGAGCGACGAGGAACGCAAGGCTCGTCTCGAAGCTCGTCAAGCTCGGAACCGTCTCTCGGCCCAATACTCGCGAGAGCGTAAGAAGGCCTACGTAGAGCAACTTGAGGGCTCTGTCAACACGCTCAAGGCGGAGAACACCCTGCTCCGCTCCCAGCGTGACCAAGATCAGCTCATTCGCCAGTCCTTGGAGGCCAAGCTCAAAGACTCACAGCTCCGCATCGACACTCTGGAAACTATCATCCGCACCGTCGCTCCATCTCTTTTTCCCTTACTTATCTTGTCGTCGTCGTCGTCATCATCATCATCATCCTCTTCTTCCGCCGTTTCTTCATCGGCTTTCGCCGCTCCTTCCACATCAGCGATTGCCTCCCAGCTTGACGCAGGACTTTCCGCCGATCTCGCTTCTTCTCTTCTGCAGAACACTGGTCTTACTAACAAGGTGGTTTCTTTGCCCTTGGCAATTGCAGCGCCGGCATCGACCGCTTCTTCTTCCCTTTCCCTTGGCACTTTGAGCCAGCAAACCTCGAATGAAGGCGTTCGCCTCCCTGCAGCGGAGGCGACCTGCTCTGATGCACCATCTCTTCGCAGAGATGCCGAGCTCGAGCAGTCCCAGCAGCGGATGTCTTCACACAATTTGATGGTTCCGCTGGCACCGAAGTCTCTGCCCAGGCAAAGGTTGGAAGCAATGTCGATGTCAATGGCAGCAGCGTTGTCAACCAAGGTTACCCACTCGCCAGTCAGATCAGTGTCCTCGCACCAGAGCAGCCGTCGACGATCGCGGCCGGCCCCCGCGTCACTCTGTCTCAGCATCCCATCGAAGCGAAGGCAGCCGGTGTTGCCCGTGAAGCTGAGGCTCTCCTCTCCAACTTTATCGACCTCGACGCCAAGTTCGCCAACAGTGACGCGGCGGCTGCGGCTAAAGATCAAGGTGCCTCGGCGTCTTCCGCCTCGTCTCAACCTGTATCTGTGGGCCAGGGCAATGCAGCAGCAGCAACAGCAGGCGCTTCGCGATCCGCAAGCGCCTCTGCAGGTGAGCTCGCAAGCCTAGGCTCTGGCAGGGGCGAGAGTGATTTCAGCGGCAGCAACAGCAACGAGGACATGCACAGCAAGTTCAACACGATCAGCTTGCCCAACGATATGGATGGAAAGGATGTCGACCTCCAACAACGATTCCAGCTCCTCAACTCGCCTCTCCTTCCTAGCGAGAGGAACGTGTGGGAGCTCGCGACCGATGCGATGCTTCAAGACATTTACGGCAAGACCTCGGAAGACACCTCTGCCGACTACTCGGCTCCGAGTGTGTCAGCCTCTGACGCTTCGACCCACACAGACGCCAGCGCAGGCTCTTCGCCCTTCGACCTTGTCGATCTCGACATTGAGATCGAAGAGCCTCTCCACCTCAACATTGGTCTAGACGAAAACGAGACCATGGACGCATCGAACGGGTACCTGCACACCACCGGTCACGTCGGCAAGGCTGATGCCTCGCCGATGGACTGGCCTGGTCTGCTTGCTTCGCTCGTTGCTTGATCTCTCTGTCTTTGTTCAGGGTGATAGACACTGGGGTTGGTTTAGTCGTTGTGTTGGGTATCGATCTGGCTATCGTGTCTCGTAGTCTCGCGCATGTCTTGTTGATGGCTCGTTTGTATGTTTAATATCGCGGCTCCTCTCTTGCTAACTCATCTGAGATGAGCTTGAGGGATGGTCGCTCGCTTGCTCGCTATTGTCTCGAATCTCAATGCTCCGTATTACCACTCTCATACACTTTAGTCTGATTTATGTCTTTGTGCGAACGAATGAACAAGCGAACGAATGAATGGTATTAGAGAGAGGCTAAAGTGGTGTTGGACTAAAATACAGCTATGAAAGGAGGGACTGAGTGACCACGAAAGTAATGAAGATGTGCAAGACTTGCATGCGGCAGATGGAGTGCGTCTCTGTCAATCGCTAGCGTATGCTGACGATGATCGAGAAGGTCTGTGTGACAGGTGCGATGGCAGCTTAGACCGACTGAGCAGGCCCAACCTCAAAACTGGACCAGTACCAAGAATCCATCAATCTCCATACGTCTAAATAAGCCATGTCGACTGCTACGAACGAGACCTCTTTTTGACCTTCTCCTTCTACTTGTGCTTCTAGGGAGGTGGCGGGAGAAGTGGACTTGGTGCTGTTTGGACGTTTGTATATGCTTCCGGGGAGGTGGTGGGTTGGAGGGATGGATGTATCGATTTCCTCGGACAGAGTTCGGATGGACTCGAGGAGTGCTTGTGCTTCACGTTTGATGTCTGCGATGGCTAGGGATTGGTCGGCGCCTGATTCGCTGCCTAGGTCAAGGGTTTGAGTTGATGTCGAAGTAACGACGGGGGCGGAAGCGGGAGATGTGCGAGTTTTGAAGAGTTTCAGTTTTGAAAATGCTGACAGAGTTTCGCTGGTAGTGACGGAAGTGGTGGTGGCGACTGGAGTCTTCTTAGAAAGGAAGCCGTCGCTGTCACCGAAAACCATTGTGCGGGAGAAAGGCACATCTGTGGCGGCAGATGTGAAAGGTGGAAGCGGGAAAGCAGTCTCGTCATTGAACCGCATCGAGTTGGTCGATGGAACCACAGCTGCGGACGGCGTCAGAGTCGTCGACGACGACGAAGAATAAGGTCGCGAGTTGGAAAGGATCAGAGTGGCTGTAGAGTAGCTGTGGACGCCTGCGCTGTAGGTTCCGACCCGTGATGGGCGGGTAGGATCGTGGAAGTCGCAGATGAAACGCCCACTTCAGCTTGGACCTCGTCTAGATCGGTGGGGGCGTTCATGAAGCCTGCGGTGCTGACACCTCTATCGATGGAACGGGCTTCTGAAATTGTCGAGTTCATCAAGCTCAAACATGGATCCGGTCGAGCTTGCCCGGAGGTCAGGTTCATCGTCACCAGGCAATTGCAATGAGAAGGGATGCCCACTGAGCGAATTGTGGGAATAGGTCGAGACCTTCGAATCACACGAGAGGCAGCCGAACGAGGAAGATGGCATGGGCGGAGAATCGAGGAGGCTAGCATTTGTGCTTGTGCTTAATGAAGCGTCAGACACTTGCTCTGGCTATTGCTGCTGCTGCATCCGAGCAACAGTGACGACGCTAGATGTCGGGAGGGGAAACTTTCGCCTGCGTGATAGCGAAGGGATAATGTCGAGGGTGGGCTCGTCATCATCGTACTGGCCATCAAGGCTAATGAAGCTGCGTACATGTGGGTGCGACTCATCGTGCGGCCAACGTTTCTGAACAGAAGTACGAGGAGGAAAGACGAATTGCGGCTCAGCGAAAGAAGGCTTGCGAGTATTGCCTTGCTGTGAGGCAGATGCCTGTAAAGAGTCGGCAGTGATGGTGGCAGGGGCCAACAGGGGACCTTTGACAGGCTGCTTGGAGATGCGGAGGCGAGATGGCACGGCTGAGGATAGAGTCGTTGGACTGAGATGAGAAAGAGCTCTCTCTCCTTCCAGGCAAGTCTAGCGGTCACGCTTGGGTCTCTGCTGGTACTAGCATGACGCTTTTGGGTGCTATCAATTCTCGTTCCAGCGAGCGCTTCTGTGTTGACTTGGTCAACACGATCTGGACGACTGCCGACCTTGCCCAACTGCTGTAATACGAAGTGATGGAGATGGCCTCTTGCCATCAAATCTTCTATTAAGGTTTGGATAAGCTCAGGGTCTAATCCACCAGGTCGAGCGGGTAGATGCTGCTCGCACAGAACGGCCAGAAAGGGTCTCACATGTGCAAGAGGACTCGATGCAATGCTTCTACGGTGCTGGCATAGAGCTCCTCTTTCCGCCTCGAAAGCGCATCTGACGGTATGCACCCGCCGGTCTCGGGCCGTCAGCTTGGCTTCAGTTCTTGAGCAGGGTGACAAGCCCAGCATGGGATGGAAATGCTCAATGCAAGCTGTCAAATGGAGCCTCATGAGGCTATACTTTGAGCAAGCGATCGAGCCAAGAGAGCGGAACTGTCACTGCAATGCACGTCGGCCAACTGTGATTGAAATGTCGGACAAGCAACTTTAAATGTGAAGAGTTCCATAAAATGTTAAGTCGGCGGAAAGAGAGAAAGAACCCACCTCGGCCGAGCTATATATATATATATATATAAACAATCACGTGGCATCAGATGGGAAGAGTCTCGCCTGAAATCAGAGTGCCAGGCGATCAGTCCACTGCAGCCCCAGCCTCCAGCTGCGAATTGTGGGCCGCTCACCGTCATTGAGTCCAGCCGAATTCGACGTCTACGCCTTCTCATTTCTCTTCCCCCAGGTCACCTCTCATCCCCTCAAGACACACTATCAAGGTAAGCTTTGCCAAAACAGCATGAACCGCATCAGCATCGACAACAATGCATCACCATGACAACAGAGACGATCAGCACGGCCAGACGCCCCGGCAGAGAAATGTCAACCTCCAAAATAGATAACATCTCGAAGGCATGATAGTGACGACATATGATGGCATCACAATCGACATTTCAGTTTCAGCCTATCGTCCTTATACACGCTCCGTCGCATATTACGCAGCTATCAATCAGGCCGGCCTTGGTCATTGTGTCAGACTACTACAGCATCACTGGGCGTCATACATTATCACAAGGGCCCATCAACGGTATTCTAGCATTTCTACGACAGCATGGAATGGAACGATAGGATGACAAGCTGGATGTTGCGCCGCATCTCGTTTGGAAAGCTGTCAAGTTCAGGGACTACTTTCAGCGCTCCATCAAGGGATGGCTCATGACTTTGGATATCCAACAACAGAATCAGAAGATTAAGGCCTGAGCAAGCAAGGAGGCATCTTTTATCGTTTCACACGAACCTCAGACGGCAGTATTCTTGATCAGCATCAAACATCAGCGCTCTTATCACCATTGGAGTAGCTGCAAGGACAATTGCGAGGCAAAACACCATCTTGGCTTGTCCGGATTCGCTTGAGGCGAAGGGTTCGGTCTCATTAGGCGTCAGGATTGACCCCTCTCCCCTTAGCCGAAACCCCAGCACACCGTTTCAGCACGGAGCATGGACATTTTCACGACACAGCACACCAGCAATCAGAGTGCAGACATCTTATCTATAGCGCAACTTCGGTCGTCTCTGTTTGTCTGGCTTTGCGGTCGATCGGGTCGCTTGCTTCAGTCGACCATAATTTGCACAGCTTCGGAAAACTGACTTGTAATCTTCCATTTTATTTTTTTTGTCCGTCCATCCGTCCATCCCTCCATCTCTCATCGTCAACAACGCCTACTCGTATTTCAACCATCACCACTGCACTTCGACCATCATCTCGACTCTTCCTATCTTGCACCGTCAGATTCAACATGGGTATCACTCGTGACTCGCGACACAAGCGATCGGCTACCGGTGCTCGCCGCGCCTATTACCGCAAGAAGCGCGCTTTCGAGCTCGGTCGTCAGGCTGCCAACACCCGTATTGGCGCCAAGCGCATCCACACTGTCCGTGTTCGTGGCGGTAACCTCAAGCACCGTGCTCTCCGTCTCGAGTCCGGCAACTTCGCTTGGGGCTCCGAGCACATCACTGCCAAGACCCGTGTTCTCGGTGTCGTCTACAACGCCTCTAACAACGAGCTTGTCCGAACCAACACTCTCGTCAAGGGCTGCATCGTCCAGGTCGACGCTACCCCCTTCCGCCAGGCTTACGAGAAGCACTACGGCCAGCCCGTTACCACCAAGCGTCGTGCTGCCGGTCAGGGTGCCGCTGAGGCCAACGTTGACGAGGCCAAGCTCTCCAACAGCGTTACCCGCAAGCTCGAGAACCGTCGCAAGGAGTCCAAGCTTGACTCGCTCGTTGAGCAGCAGTTCGGTGCCGGTCGTCTCTACGCCGCTGTCTCGTCGCGCCCCGGCCAGTCTGGTCGCTGCGACGGTTACATTCTTGAGGGCAAGGAGCTTGAGTTCTACGTTCGTCGTCTCAAGGCCTCCAAGGGCAAGCAGTAAATGCGCTCCTCCTTGTCCTCATATCACCCATCATCTTTCACCATCATTCCCCGTCCATCTTCTTGTATACTGATTCCATCCCTTCTAGCATGTTCGGGGTTTGATTCTCCATCAGTCCTCTCCATTCAGGTGTAAAGGGTCAGAGGCATCGCAGCGTGTGTCTCTCCCGCCCCACTCATTGATCGCATCGTCAAAGGTACACCTTTCAGCTCTCGCCTGCATATAAACTCTCATGTGGACTCACTCACACCACGTACACACATCCAAAAATGGCCAATGCATAGCATGCACACAGCTTCGGTAAATTCATTCCTCGAATGTGATGAGTGCGCGATTGTGTGTTCATCTTCGATTGAACGTCTGAACCAAGGTGGAGCTTTGTGGCAATCTCGTATCTCCCATCTCGACAAAGCGTCAGAGCTTCCAAGTATTCCGTCGCGAGACGAAGGGTGAAGAAGTTGATCCAACTCAAGTCGGTCAAGTTGCGTAGCGTCGGATGGCGATTCTGCCATTCAAGCAGGCTTGTGACAAATGTCTCACGTTGATTAGCTTGCTTGACAGAAATAGATGGTGATCCTGAGAATGCTATTGAAATGATTGATCTATTCTACAAAGTCGGACGGGCTTTTAGTCATCGCGAATGCTCTCGAACTGAGCCTTGGCGGCAAGCATAGCCTGCTTCTCAGCCTCCAAGTTCTTTAACTTCTCCGCGGTGGAGTCCTTGACCTCTTGAGGCATTCGCGACCACTCCTGAGGCTTGTTCATTGGGGCCGAGATCTTCTCGATACCAACGGCGTTGAGCTGTAACTTCTTGTCGAGCTTGGCCAACTCCTGGTCGATGTTAACAAGACCACGGATCAACAGGTGTGCATTAAGGCGAGACGAGATCGAAGAGACAGCGCAACCCTTGGGGACCTCAGAGGCGTTGGGGGCAACAGTGACCGAGGTGCAACCCTTAACAAGAGTTGTGACGACCTCGGAAGAGCCCTTGAGAGTCTGCTGGAACGAAGCGTCCGAGGTCTCGAGGAAAACCTGAACGTCCTTGAGGAGGTTGTAATCGGTACACATACCACGGATCGCGCGGACGGCAGCAAAGACTTCCTCGAACGAAGCCTCTGCAGTGGCGTCATCACGGCTGGCCATGTAGACGGGGTAGCTGGCAAGAGCAATACTCTCAGCCTTCTCACCTGCACGGCGAGGCAATCGCTGCCACAACTCCTCGGTAACGAAGGGCATGAAGGGGTGAAGCAACTTCAGACCGGAATCAAGACAGGTGTAAAGGGTCTGCTGAGCGCTGGCCCGTGCCTTGGCATCCGAAGCCGAGGGGTCAGTGATGGGCTTGATGGCCTCAATGTAGACGTCGCAAAGCTCGTAGAGCCAAAAGTTGTAGACAGCCGAGGTGGCAGCCATGAAGTTGCGCTCCTTGAGACACTCGTTGACAGTCTTGCTAGCATTGTTGAGCTTGTGCAAGATCCACTTCTCGACGAGCGACTCATCACCACTTGGCTCCTCGCTCGAAGTGGGCTGGAAGGAAGCAATGGGTTCAAGCTTGAGCAAAGCGAATTTGGTGGCGTTCCAGAGCTTGTTGCAGAACTTGCGGTAACCTTCGACACGGAGAATGTCAAGGTTGATGTCACGACCGGCGCTGGTGTAGGCGCAGAGGGCGAAGCGGAGAGCATCGGTACCGCACTGAGGGATACCCTTGGGGAAGTCCTTCTTCTGACCCTGAGCGGCCTTGGCGATCTCCTTGTCGTCAAGGTTGCCCTCCTTCAACTTGGTGTGCAAGCCGTCGAGGGTGATACCCTCAATGACGTCGAGAGGGTCGATGACGTTACCGAGCGACTTGGACATCTTTCGTCCGTGAGCGTCACGAACCATGGCGTGGCAGAAGACCTCCTTGAAGGGCAGAGTGCCGGTGAGGTAGACACCAAGCATACACATCCTCGCCACCCAGAAGAAGAGGATGTCCCAACCGGTCTCGAGCAACGAAGAGGGGTAGAAGTGCTTGAAGTCGTCTGTCTTTTCAGGCCAGCCCATGATAGAGAAGGGCCAGAGACCAGAGCTGAACCAGGTGTCGAGAACATCCTCATCCTGCTCCAGGGTGAAGCTCTTGCCGTTTGCGAGCTTGTCTGCACGCTCCTGAGCTTCCTCGTGTGTCCTGCCAGAAACCCAGAGTTTCTCGTCGCTGCGGTCCTGAGAGCCGCCCTGAATGTTGACAAAGTAAACGGGGCATCGGTGACCCCACCAGAGCTGACGGGAAATGCACCAGTCCTGGATGTTCTCCATCCATCGGAAAAACTCCTTCTCGGAGACGTTGGGGACAATGGTCATCTCGCCAGCACGGACACGCTCGATGACCTTGGCAGCAAGGGGCTTGCAGTTGACCCACCACTGAGGCTTCATGATGGGCTCAATCACATCGCCAGATCGAGAGCAGATGGGAACAGTCATCGGGTTGTCCTTTGTCTCGATGTAGTTGCCAATCTCCTTAAGCTTGTCGATGACAACTCGTCGGGCAGAGAAACGCTTCATGCCAGCGAACTCGCCGCAGTTCTCATTGAGGGTACCGTCGTCGTTGAGGATGTTGATGAACTCGAGGTCATGGCGCTTGCCGACTTCGTAATCGTTGGGATCGTGAGCAGGGGTGATCTTGACGGCACCAGTACCGAACTCCATGTCAACAATGATCGAGTCGGCAACGATGGGGATCTTACGGCCCTGGACAAAGGGATGGACGACGTTCTTGCCGTGAAGGTGCTTGTATCTCGGGTCGTCGGGGTGGACGGCAACGGCGGTATCACCAAGCATGGTCTCGGGACGGGTGGTGGCGACGATGATCTTCTCGTCGCTGCCCTCGATCTGGTAAGCGAAGCTGACAATGACACCAAACTCGATGCGCTCGTTGGCAGGGTAGCCGGGAACGTTCATCAATGTGCGACCATTGAGCTGCTTCTGGTCGACTTCAAGATTGGAGAGGGTGGTGTGGAGCTTGCAGCACCAATTGACGAGACGGTTGGCACGGTAGATGATACCGTCTTCGTGGAGCTTTACGAAAGCTTCCGTGACGGCCTTGGAGCGAGGAGCATCCATGGTGAATGCTTCTCGGGAGAAATCGTACGAGGCACCAAGGCGACGCATCTGGTTGGAGATTCGGGCTTGGTAGTCATCCTTCCACTCGAAGACCTTTTCGAGGAACTTCTCACGGCCGTAGTCGTAGCGCGACTTGCCTTCGGTCTTGGCAAGACGCTTCTCAACGACACTCTGGGTGGCAATACCGGCGTGGTCGTAACCAGGGTTGAAGAGCGTCCTGAAGCCATTCATGCGGTACCATCGAATCAAGGTGTCCTGAATAGAGATGGTTAGGGCGTGACCAATGTGAAGCGAGCCAGTGACGTTGGGAGGTGGCGCAGGGACAACGAATGTCTTTTCGGGGTCGTATGGATCGGACTCTGTGGGTTCTGCGGGCTTGAAGTGGTTAGACTTCTCCCACCACTGGTACCAGCTCTGCTCGACATGGAGCGGGTTGTATCCGCTCTCCATTGGCTGGGAGAGGTCCTTCTTCTCGCCAGGAACGGTGCTGTTGACGTACTCGGGCTCCTCCTTGACCTCCTTCTTAGGCTTCTCCTTCTTTGCTGCGGCGGTACCGGGAGCGTTCTGTGCGGGCTTGTCGCTCTTGAGAGCATCCTTGGCAGCTTGCTTGGCTTGCTTTTCTGCGAGCTTCGCGGCTTTTTTCATCGCACTTTTTGTCATAGGCTGGCCATCAGGGCCAAGTGGGGTGTCGGTATTGGCGGCAGCAGCAGCATTCTCCTGCGCTGGAGGCTGCTCAGGGGCGCCTGGTATTGCTGACGAGGACATTGTGCGAAGATGTTGGAAGGGGATCCTGACGGGAGAATGCGTAGAGAGCGTGAAACGAGCAGGTTGAAGAGATACTGGGCTCGAGTTGATGCGTGATGCGAGCGCGGGAATCTGACGAGACTTGGGAACGAGGGAACAAAGGAACCGTGCCCGAGGCAGCATGCACGATGGACTGCCTACCCGTCTTTCTGTAGATGTGATTGAAGGTCCGTGAAGAAGGGGGGACGTCACAGCGAGGTGCTGAGCGTCTCTGAGTGGTATAGTAGCTGTTGTACGAGGCAGGTGGCGCCGAAGCGAGCGTATGGTGAGCAGTGACTCGAAGGGGGATGATGGTATCGAGACAGTAGCAGAACAGGAGGTTCACATTCCTTGTGTCAGGTTAACGTTGCATGCGCTTCTTCTGACTCGTTGGAAATTTTCGCCCAAGCAAGTTGTGAGGGAAGTCACATCGGGCTATCGGCCTGATTGATTTAGGTGTACGCCGATGCATTCGATTTTCAGCAGGATTCCGTCTCCACAATTCCAGGTCCTTTCTGGTGCAAGGACACGGGACAGGCATTATTGCTGAAACCAACATGGGCGAGGAACGAACGAGAGCTGGTCGCCGAGATGCACTTATTGACAAAGGTATCGATCCAATATGATGATGAAAGTTGACATAAGCCGATGGCGAAGAGATCGGGCTAGGTCAATCTATTCGGAGATTTGGTAGAACCGATCTGAAAAGAGATCGGGTACAACACAGTCCCGCTCGTTGTCAGACATCGTCATTAAGTAGAAGTACTCCCACCTTTGGCAGGTACCATGCAAATGTATATATATCAAGCCAAGAGCACTAGGCTCTCCCCATGTTCTTCAGTCAATTGAGTATATACAGCTTGTGTGTAAACTGTCCTGCAAATTTACATGTCACCATACATCACTCTAATGCTCAATAGCCATAAGTTGTATTGCCACACTGTCTGATATTGTCTGAAAGCCCTGCTTCTTCTCTCCAAGACTGTGTAAATGATATTGACATTGACTAAGAAAATTGTGCTATGAAGAAGAGCCAAGATTTTTTATTATTATTGTGGGACAGTTTATGGAGCATGCTCCCAAATAGCAACACCACTCCATTCCTGACCTTGTGGGCTTTTGACTACAATGAAACTTGCAATGTAACTTGGTGGGCACCTTCATACACATTGAAAGTAGTGATGTGGAAAGTTTCAGCTCAATCAGATGACTGTGAGCAATCTGGTGGCACTTCCAGTCTGACACCATCATATCTATACCATCATGCCAAAAACCACCCCAGAGAAGTGCCAATTGGCACTCTTTCACCTCCAAAATGGGGAATCTACCTGTTCAGTTGCCAAGCAACTTGGTATGAGCAAGTCTACTGTGAATTGCATCAGCAAAAGCACCTCTGCTGATGTCCCAAAGTCAAAGGGGGGCTGGCCAAGAAAACTCCAGCCTTGTCATGTTCACTTCCTGGACCACTATTTCAAGCTCAATTCAACCTCCATGGTCAGGAAAGCATGTCATGCACTGCAGGAGATGTTTCAAGTCAAAGCATGCCCAACCACAGTAAGAAAAGCACTTCATTACTGTCATTACAAAGCACAGCAGTTAGTGAAAAAATCGAAGCTACTCAAGAGACATTACAAAGCCCATTGCAAATTTGCTAATGAGCACAAGGACATGACTGTTGAGGATTGGAAGAATGTGGTATGGTCTGATGAGATGAAGATCAACTTCTTTGGACCAGATGGTAAGCAGTTCTGTTGGATTAAGAATGCTGGCTTCAATAGCAAGCTTGTCAGGCTGACAGTCAAGTTCAGCAGCAGCTCCATCATGATCTGGGGCTGTACAATGTGGGAAGGGGTGGGAGGTATGTGTTTGGTGCTGGGATCAATGAATTCAGACCAATACATTGATATCTTGAATGACAAGCTTGTGAAAACAATCTCAGATTTGCAGCTTCAGCATGCATACACTGACATCATGTTTCAGCAAGACAATGACCCAAAACACATGTCAAAGAAGACAATAATGTGGTTGGAAAGCAATAGAATTAAGGTTATGCAATGGCTGGCACAGTTGCTGGACTTAAACCCAATTGAACACCTCTGGCACCATCTCAAAATGTGACTTTCACAGTATAGTATGATTACAAAGTCCAGGGATGAACTGCTCAAGAGATGTGAAGCTGAATGGACAGCAATCACTCCAGAGACATGTAGGATGCTAATAGAGAGTATGCCAGACCACATCAAGGCAGTTCTGAAGGCCAAAGGAGGGAATATGAAGTACTAAGGTGTTGTCAAGGAGTGCTCCATAAACTGTCCCACAATAAAAAAAATTCTTGGCTCTTCTTCATAGCACAATTTTCTTAGTCAATGTCAATATCATTTACACAGTCTTGGAGAGAAGAAGCAGGGCTTTCAGACAATATCAGACAGTGTGGCAATACAACTTATGGCTATTGAGCATTAGAGTGATGTATGGTGACATGTAAATTTGTGGGACAGTTTACACGCGAGCTGTATGTTTCTGCCCTAAAACAGTAGTGACATCGTACTCAGACTCTTCCTGATCGTCAGTTATCGGGACAAAACTTCTTCACATTGCATCACTTATATGCCTGCAAAGCTATTGTGAGATTGAGTTCGGCAGCAGCTGTCAAAAAGGTCTCCACAAGGCGGCTATCAAACGACGTCCATCCCGCCACCGCTCTCAAAAGGCAGGACTCTCTCTTTCCCCAACTTGCACGAGCCTCAAAATGGCTTCTGTCCTCAGCCCTATACCTTGGCCACCAACACATATATAGGCTGGCATCATCTCGAGCAGTCCTGTGCAAACCTTCTCTCACCCCTCTCTGCCAGATACAACGCGTGGCGTCAACGCATATTGCACGCAACATGGTCAAGAGCTATCCCGGCGACCTCCACGCCAAACCGGCCCGTCCGGCCTCGCTCTTTGAGTTCATCATGGCCAACCTCGTGCCCTACTTGATCATCACCAAGCTCTACCTCTCGGGCTTCCCCCGTGCTGTCTTCGAACAGCTCCGTCACCCGCACCCGCTCAACCTGATCAACCCATTCCACTGGCAGAAGCTCATCTTTGCTAACGGCTTCGGTCCAGTCCTTCGAGCCTCCGATGAGATGTACAAGAACATCAAGCAGCCTCTCCTCTCCTCTGCCTACGGACGAATTCTTGAGATCGGAGCTGGATCTGGCGACTCCGTGGGTCACTACGATGCGGACAAGATTGAGCGCCTGTTCTGTCTCGAGCCGTACGAGCCGTTGCGCAATCAGCTCATCGCAAAGCTGAACAAGCTGAACTTGTCCAAGAAGGGCACGGTCATCCCTGTCGGCTTGGACAAGACGAGCCGTCCTGCGCTGCTGCAGGCAGGCATTGAACCTGCTTCGCTCGACACCATCGTTCTCTTCCAGGTGATGTGCTCGATCCCTGACCCCAAAACTCACCTGGACTTCCTGCAAAGCCTTTTGAAGCCAGGGGGACAGATCATTCTCTTCGAGCACGTCGGCAGCAAGCATACACTCGCTAGGATCATTCAGACAGTCTGGACTCCCATCTGGTCACGCAACTTCGGAGGATGTGAGCTGACCAGAGACTCTGGCGACTGGCTCAGAGACATCGGTGGCTGGAAGGCCATTGACATCAAGCGTCCTGTCCACGAGGTGAGTAACATGTCTCTACGCACCACATCAGGCTGCTATAATGCCACTGACCACCCCAATCTGCTTTCTCCCCCTCCTGTTGCAATCCCGATAGACAACGGCCGATCTCATTCCGCACGCCGTCGGACGTCTTGTCAAGGCTTGACAAGCCCTCGCTGTTTCTTCTGACACACTTTCATACGGCGACTTTCTCAGATCGATCCGACACATGTATTCGATATCGACGTCAACGAGAGTCACTAACAAGAACAAATGACCATATCAAAAGAGAGCATAATGATACAAATCAGAACACCTTCTCCGTTAAAGTTACAAAGAAGAGCTTATGAGCTTCGGATCACTGACGGTTGTTGAGCATCTGAGAAAAGTTTTCCCAAGCGTACCACATGCCGGCCAAGTTGTTGCCCTGTGCACTCGGGTCCAGTCCTTCCTTGCCCTCGGCCGCTTCTGCAGATGCAGCCGCAGCCGCTGCTGCAGCTACAGCATTCAGTGCGCTTTCGCTTGGCATCTGTTCAGCACCGAGACCGTTCTCGCCCTTGTCTCCGCCCTCACCACCGGCTTTGCCCTGCTGTTGTTGCTGCTGGTCGTAGGTTCTTGCCAGCGAGCTCTGCACGTAGGCGCGATATGATTGTGAAGGGGCCTGGTCGCCTCGCGTTGGGTTTTGGTGGTTGTAGTGCTGCGAGAATGACATGGGTCGATCCGGCATGTCTGTGCCCAATTCACGGCTGCCCAAAAGTTCATACAGGTTGTAAGCCTCTGCTGAAGCATCTCCAGAGCCGCTATCGCCGTCTTCTGCACCCGCTTCAGGCGCCATATCATTGTTGGCTTGTGCCTGAGCTTCTCCACCTGCATCATCACTACCATGTCCGCTAGCGACATCTGCTTGGCCTTCCTGCTGAGCGGGGGGCCAGCTGTCTCCATTTTGCCGATCCGAGCTGGACAGGATACTCTGACCGAAGCCTACTGGGTAAGCAACAGGGACTCCAACCATTGGCCGGTCGAGCAGCGACTCGCTCCAGAACGTGTTGCCCCTCTGAGGACCAAGGTTGTTGGGATCGGTGGGCAGACCGACAAAGGGAAGCAAGAATGCAGGGATGCGGTCGGGCCCCCCGTCAAGATCGGTGCGAGCGCTGGTGTTGTTGCTCTCCTTTCCCTCGTCTCCACCCAATGATGGATCGAGGGCTCCGAGAATCGCACCATCGCGCGTTGAGTCCGTTGAATCGCCCTTGCCTTGGCCAGCGCCGTTGTTGTCGCCGTTCTGATTGGCGCTGCTTGGTGCGGCGGTCGAAGAGGAAGCACCCGACTTGGCCAGGTTGGCAATGTCGCCGCCGATGCCATGTAGCATCTGCTTGAGCGTCGAGCTGTATCGACCGGCCTGCTCAGCGACATTGGTGAGTCTTGCCATGCTCGAGAGCGTGTCGAGCAAGTCGAGGGCCTTCTGGATGTGAGGTCGATGAACCTGCGAGCTAGGATCAAGCTTGCAGTGGATGGCCAAGATGAGGCCGGCATTGAAGGCAAAGTAAGCACACTGGTTGTACATGCTGTTGGCCGGCAATGTGGCGAGCACATCTTCGACCGTGTTGATGAGTGCCTTGGCGGATTGCAGACAGACCTCGAGCGACTTTTGCACTGACTCGGGCGGTTTCCATGCACCCTGCTCGTCAATGTAAGGTCGATGCAAGGTGATCATACACTGATGGTACATAAACTCGAGGCTGTATCCTTGTTGGTAGTCCTGTAACTCCTCGGTGATCTTGGGGTCATAGACTCGGTTGGAGAACTTCTGGGATGCAACCTGGGCCAACAGCTCTTCATGCGGTCGTACAGAACCTTTAGCACGTCGCTCAAAGTGTAGTTTGAGCTTCTCGGGCAGGTTTTCGCGCCACTTTGCGTATTCATCGTTAAGGTTCGGATCCGGTGGCGATGAGATGCCGAAGCGGAAGAGCTGCTGACTCTGACGGAGGAAGATGTGGTAGATACGGAATCGAGCCCAGTGATAGTCAAAGTTGGTCTGGTTTGGTGTGCGTGGCACCAAAGCGGTGGCACCAGGTGGAAGGATGGTGCGACTGGGATCAGGGTCAGCAAGGCCGGCACGTTCATACATGGCATAGAGGGCACCATAGTCGTCGGGGTATTGGGTATCGAAGCCCTCGTGCGTCAGACACGGCGGCTGACCGATGCGGTGAGCGTGTGCCACTTCAAAGAAGACGATGTTCCACCAGAGGTTCCTGCGCGCTTGTGCTTCCTCGATACGCATACCAGACCAGTGCTCTGGGTCGCGGTGCAGACCGGCGGCATGGGCCAGACGGGTGGTGAGGGCAAAGCATGTGCCTGCGAACTGGAGATTAAGTTCGTTGAGATGCCAAATGCCGCGGAGCAAGGATGCCTTAGTGAGGTCGATGGGTGCCTGGAAAGCACTCGACCATGCTGACGGACAGGCGATTTGGAGAGCGTCGATGCAGTGACCTGCGACGCTGAGCAAGGTACGCTCGTCCGAGCACTCGATGCCGGGAATGGGCATGAAGTTCCTCAGGTTGTGCCCCTCGAATTCGGGTGAGTTGCGCTTGACTTGCAGTGTGAGCGCGAGAATGACGAGAAGCAGCGGGACGAGCGGAGGGTCCGCGGGCATGGTGGTGGGCTTGGAATGCCACCATCGGAGGAAGCTCTGAACGCGGGCAATGTTGATGTCGATAACGACGACATTGACGAAGGGCTCGACCTGGGTTTTGTATGTGTACAGCAATGCCGAAATCTCATCTGCGGTAGGAAGTGTGATAGCACTCTCAAAGAGGACATCAGCAATGGCAGCGGCTCGTGCAGCATTGACACGAGTGTTGAAGTCACGAGAACGGTCCCTGCCGACCTGTTCAAGTTTCTCGACCGTTTCGCGGCGTGTCTGGATCATGAGTGCTTGACGACGGTCATTGACGCGCGGGAAGTCTGCACGCTTGAAGATACGACCATTGCTGGGTCGGGCAGCAGGGCCATCCTCAGGCTCTTTTCGCTTGCGGACCATGGGTGAGCCTATTGAAGAGTCGCCAGCAAAGTCTTCGTCATCGGAGCCAGGACGCTTGCGGTCATCGACGTAGTGGCAGGGGTCATCGGCGGGATTCTCGCAGCAGTTGCCGCAGACAGGTTTGACGCGATCGCACTTTTGCTTCTTCTCGCGGCACTGGAGACAACTGGTGATCTTACGGAATCGTGTGATCTTGGTAGCGGACTTGGATCGCGGCTTGGGTTTGGCTCGCTCTTTCTTGAGCTTGGGTGTGCCAGTGATGCTCATGGAAGCGTCGGTGTCCTGCTTGGTAGGAGAGCCGCCATCGGTCATCAAAGATGCGTCTGGGTCGCGCATCGACTCGTCTCCTGCAGTGTTGTCGCCCGGAGCTCCCGATTTGTTGGCATCGGCGACTGCGGCAGCGGCAGGGTCAATGTCAGACTGGCCTTGAGGGTTGGCAGAGGTACTGGTTTCGGCGCTTGCTGCTGTGCCTGCATGCTGCGTTTGCGATTGAGAAGCGGGGTCTACGTCCATGGCTGTTGATGAAGCGTGACCATCATTGGCGGTTTGGGCCGCTTGGGCGGCGCGCTGCTGCTGCTCCTCCTGTAGACGCTCCTGCTCGGCGTGCTGCTTGGATGCGTTGACTGCAGCGGCGATGACGGCATCGACATCACCTAGAGAGCTGGCTGCGAGCTGTTCGGATGTAGGGGCGGTGGAGGTGGATTGGTGGATGCCGGAGGCACTAGACGCAGAGGAAGAGGCTTGATGCTGTACATCTGCTACCAGTGCCTCGGCTTGTCGACGCGCTTCGAGTTCGGCGTGCTGTTGCTGGAGGAGCCGCTGGCGTTGTTCGAGTTCCTTTTGCTGCTGCTGTTCGAGCTCCTCATCGAGCTGAGCTGCGGTTGCCAGCTCTTGAAGAGGCTGGTCCGGGTTTTGGTGGTCCGACATGGTGAGGAGGGAGATGCTGATCTGTGCGTCAGTGGATAGATCTGTTGGATAGATGAGGTCGAAGTGGCTCTGCCGGGGCCCTAACGATGACGGCTTCTCCAGCCAAGAGCCAGGAGCTCCCGATGGTGGCAGGCGCTGAAGGATGTGCGCCTGGTGATTCCGTCGACGAGCGGCGGAGGATGGAGGCGGAAAGCTGAGCGACGTGACGTCGAGGAAGGGATGCTGCAGCGAAGAAGCTGAACAAAAGCGAAGGCGAGTGGGGTAAAACGAACAAGAGTCCGGGGTTACCGTCCGATAGAGAGAGTATAGCACCAAACGACGAAACGGCGGATGGATCTAACGCTAGATTTGCTTCCCACGCGTTATGGGTTGCAGAGCGCGACAGCTGGGAATTTGAAACGCGCTTTCTATACTCGAACAGTCAAAGTTGCACAAGCTCGGTGGTAGTAGCCCTTGATCGCCTCGACCTTCCGACAAGGTACGTATGTCGAGTCGAGCCGTAGAGTTGCTGCAGCGAAGCCTGTTGACCAACGTAATAGCGCGAGAAGCTCTTGGACAGGGTGCCGAGGTATTCAAGCCCAAAGTGGATCTGTGAACACAGTTGGTGCAGGGTGCAATTCGTAATGGAGAAGATGTAAGGATGGAGACGAGTCGGGCGAAAGAAATGATATCCATCCATTCCTACCAATTTTGCCCGCATCGATCACCGGCCGAATGAAGCTACCGCGTTGCGCATTCGAAAAAGAGTGTGAGATCCTACCTAACTCACACCACTTACCCTTTTAATTTTCTTTGGACTGAAACACCGAATCCCGAATTGGATCTCGCAATCTAAGACCAAAAACCGCGTCCAGTTGAGGTAGAAAGGGTTGCTCCGCGGCAATAGTGAGTTATCGCCCTTGACGACGCATGAAAATTGTTGGAAAAAGGAGGCTGAGAAATTGAAGAAAAAGGAAAAAAAAAAAAAAAAAAAAAAAAGATTGTTAAATTGCATAACTCGAGTAAGGAGGCGCTGCACGTTGGTCACGTGCCCCTTCGCTCACCATTGAAAAATGCGCATCTATCCATTCGTACGATAAAGTTTTTGCCGAAGCGATCTGCGAGACGCGTCAAAATTGTTTGATGATTGCTGTCAGAGAGAGCAGCGAGCGTGTGCTTTGTTGGATGCTCGGAATCGAGATTCGAGCTTTGGTTCAGGCCTCGGGTAACTACACGTACAACAAATTGCTACAACCCGAGTCTCTCTTTCCTTCTGACCAGATCGTCCCTTCCTACCTCGCTGCCTCAGTCCGACTGTCGACAAGGCCCATCACTCCTAACGCTTAGGTCGCACGTAGTATCGATCGAGCTTGCGTCCTGTCTCAAGCATATAAGGCTCAGCAACAACATCTGGACCCGCTTGCATTTCCGCAGACACATTCCACGCACCACTTCCTCGGCGCTCTCAGTATGGCAAGCCAAGCGATACCACCCGAACACGCTTCGGCGGCAACAGAGTACTTTCAACAGGCCGTCACATTTGCTACGGACAACTTCAAAAAGATCCCAGGAAGCGCCATCATTGCAAGATATGTCGCCAGTAGCTACCAAAATGACCCCATCCGATCCCTTCTCGAACTCTTCCTCGTCCTGTTTGCATTGAGAACAGTTCTCCAAAGCAGGACACGTGGTGGTGCCAGTGGGAAGAACTTTGTCAACCTCTCACCTAAAGAGATCGATGACCTCGTCGCCGAGTTCAAGCCGGAGCCTCTCTGTGCACCTTTGACACCGGCCGAGTCGCGAGAGCTTGCATCCATCCCCACCATCGTTGGTGGCGCTAGCAGCAGGCCAAAGATTAGCCTTCCTTCGCACAACTCGGGCAAGCCTACTCAGGTCATGAACCTGGCAAGCTACAACTTCACCAATCTTGCAGGTCACGAGGCAGTCAAGGAGAAGGCCATCGAGACGCTTCGAAACTACGGTGTTGGTAGTTGCTCGCCACCAGGCTTCTACGGTACCATCGACGTTCACATGCAGCTTGAGGCCGACATCGCTCGCTTTCTTGGAACACAGAACTGCATCATCTACAGTCAGGGCTTCAGCACCGTCTCTTCCGTCATCCCTGCCTTCTCGAAACGAGGTGACATTATCGTCGCCGACCGTGGTGTCAACTATGCAATCCAAAAAGGTATTCAGATCTCGCGTTCCACCGTCTACTGGTACGATCACAACGACATGGACTCACTTCAGGCAACTCTCGAGCAGGTGAAGCGCGACACGAAGCGCAGGAATGGTCCTCTTACCCGTCGCTTCATTGTCACTGAAGGTCTCTTTGAGGGTGATGGCGCACTTTGCGACCTTCCCAAGATCCAGGAGCTCAAGAGGAAGCACAAATTCCGTCTTATCCTCGACGAGAGCATCAGTTTCGGTACTTTCGGTGCTACTGGCCGAGGTCTCACCGAGCTGTACAACATCCCTGCCTCTGAGATTGAGATCCTGGTTGGTTCCATGGCCAACACCCTCGGATCTGCCGGAGGCTTCTGTGCCGGCTCCGATGAGGTCGTATTCCACCAGCGTATCAACGGTACTTCATTCGTCTTCTCCGCCGCCTTACCAGCATTGCTCGCCGTCGCCGCCAGCACAGCGATTTCGTACATGGTCTCTCAACCATCCATCCTCACTACACTGCACGAGAACGTCAAGGCGCTCCGGTCTATCTTGGATCACGTCGAGTCTCTCCGCATCTCGAGTGATCCACGCAGCCCTCTCGTCCACATTCAGATCCGCAGCAAGACCGACCGACACCCTGATACCCCCGCTGACAAGTTCGACAAGGGCAAGAACAGGCTCTCTGTCGGTGACGTCAGCTTGACGCTATCCAACAGCAATGACGAGAAGCGCATCGCTGCTGCAGGTCCGCTCCAGCACGACCTTTCCGTCGATGAGCAGATGCGTCTCCTTCAGGCTATCGTGGATGATGCGCTTGAGCATGGCATCTTTGTTTCTCGTATGAAGCGTTTGCCGAGCATCAACCCGAAGGTCTTGGAAACCACGCTCGAGTCAAGGCCCAACATTCGTGTTGCTGTCAGCGCCGCTTTCACAAAGAAGGAGATGGAGAAGGCTGCCAGTGTCATCAAGGCCAGCGCGATCAAGGTTCTCGGCAAGAGGCGCTGAAAGTAGATCAGCACTCTTCGCAGTCTCCGCAGTCTCATTGTCACGTCATCACAAATCATCGTTTGCAATGCATTATCTAGCAGATCACCGTTATGAAGGTTGCGATTAGAGTAGAAACCGAAAGTAGAAGCGGAGGGTCCATGCTTGAGATCTATATGTCTGCATGACTGCAAAGTGGGGTGTGTGTGAATGAGGCAGCGCAACTGTGCTGGTGGAGCACTAAGACCATCAAAGATTGATGATTCAGAGAACGGAGAGGGCCTTCACCAATTCTTCATCGTCTTCGAGTCAATCCAAGGCGTCGAGCCACCAAAGACCTTCTTGTACGTGATGCCTTTGGCCTCCTTGTCGGTCAGTGCCCTCTTCAAGGGGTAGTCCCTGTTCCCCATGTATCCACCTGGTCCAGATGACCTGTACTCAGCAAACCTCGTCAGCCTGGGGTCAAAGTTGCTCTGCCTCTTGGACCAGACTTTGAATCCTGCGTCGGCAATGATGTTTGACATGTAAGTGTTTAAGTAAGTCGAGTGGCTGTAGACGTTCCAGGGTCGTCCGAGATAGCATGCCTTCTCCATGGGTTTGAGCGTGGATGCATCGGGAGAGCGATTAATGTTTGAATTGCTGATATAAACGCCGACAAGGGGATCTACGGGATCGCCACGCCATGCGGTGATGCCTCCACCACAACCTCGGGAAAGGAGAGAGACCTGTTCGAGCCATGCTTTGCCCTGGCCATAGAGCTGGTCAGTCATGCCTTTGACGGTGGATTTGAAGAAGAAGGCTTGCGAGCGCAGGCCAACGTAGATCGTGTCTTGAAAACTCGAGAATCTGTCATCTTGAGCAAGTAGAGATGTAGAGAATTCATCAGCTCTCGTTCCAAGTCACGCTATCATGCAAGCAAACTTACCCGCATCCATAGAATGAAGCATTTGAGTTATGAACGCAGAGCGCCGCAGCCGGGCCGAGCTGGTACTGTGTCACCTCCTGACCCTTGAAGAATTGACGCTGGACAAAGTTGATGTTGTAGGCCTTGAAGTCCGAGCTGCTGGCTGCAGCACCAGTGCCGATGCCCAAAACAACAGCATCACAATTGTGCATCGTGCTGATTGGATCACTCTGATTGACGTAGGACGACTGCCATACTTGAACGCGGTTCGCGCTCGGGTCGCGATTGTTGGGCGTCACTCCCTGCAATACGTTCAGATGGATGAAATATGGGCGGTGGTCAGTGGTCAGCAGTCGTGATGACGTGTCTGAGGGGACGAGCCACAGAGGCTACTTACAGCAAAGATAGTGGGGCTGATTCGCCTTACAATAACCTTCTCATGGTAAATACCTTCGTCGATCAAGATATTCTTTAAAGTTCCATCATCTGGGCTATGTAATCGAAAAGGAGTTGCCATGGAGATCATGGCAATCAGAGCGTCAGCTCGACAACTTATGTTGGCTTTATTGGTTGTCGCTACGCGTCTTGTCTTGAAACCGAAGGCCTGTGATAGACGAAGGACTGATGATGCTGACGGCATACTTACAGAGCATTCAAGACCGAATTGATGGTTCTGTACCTGGCAGAAGGATGTTTTTGACTCACGAAAATGGTGTCTTTAGGACAACCAGAAAGTGGGTCAATGCCAGGTAATTTGGGAGCTTGACATTTGCCGTCGAGGAAGGAGGTGAAGCTGTTGGAAACATGGAGATCCTCTTCGTACACCGGAGCAGCTCTACCCCAGTTCGAGAGGAAGTTGAGGGTGATAAAGCACGCCAGAAAGTACGAGTGCGACAACATTTCAACGGCCTGTTTATTGTCAACAGGGAGGGGAAGGTTGTGTGGGAAAAGAGAGGAAGAGGAAAGAAAGGATGAAAGGCAAAGATCGAAGTGGTCCATTGTCCTTAGATATTCTCTAGAGTTTTAAGGTGATTAAGATCTCGGTACAGCAAGATGGCCTCACCTCGAAACAAAAAGATAGTGTTCCTCTGCCAAACCACTAAAAAATGCTTCGGAAGGCGCTCGGGACTGTCAGTGGGTTCCGAAATGAAGATCTCAAGGGGCTCCTGCGCTGGCACACCGTGGGCCGAAATGAAGCATTGCAGAACCATGATCTCTAGAACACGTCAGGACAACCAATGCTGCGGTTCATCAAGACCGTGCTGGAGATAACGATCCAGCAAAGCACGACCTGATGATGGCTCAGGGAAAGTCGATCTGATCGGAGAGCGGGTGGGCCAATATGATGGAGATCGAGGACCGTTGGGTCCCGTCCGTTGCCATTGCCATACTTCCTCATTAGGTGGAACGCTCCCATAGTCAGCCACAAACCACAAATGTATATACAGCTCGCGTGTAAACTGTCCCGCAAATTCAGATGTCACCACACATCACTCCAATGCTCAATAGCCATATGTCTTATTGCCACACTAGTGTAGGTCAAGCATAGGTTTGATACATTGGTTGTTGAGCATTGGAGTGATGTGTGGTGACATCTGAATTTGCGGGACAGTTTACACGCGAGCTGTATATACATTTGTGGTTTGTGGCTGACTGTGGGAGCGTTCCACCTAATGAGGAAGTATGGCAATGGCAACGGACGGGACCCAACGGTGTGTGGCAATAAGACATATGGCTATTGAGCATTGGAATGATGTGCGGTGACATCTGAATTTGCGGGACAGTTTACGCGCGAGCTGTAGATAATGAGCGGAGAGCTCAAGGCTACCGCTACGTTCTTCCCTCATGTCAATATAGTATAAGTGTTTTAGCTCAAAAGCTTGAACACCGTACTTAGACTGATATCTCCCGATAAGTGTCGATCAGAGTTAAATCTTCCAACAGACCGTTGCTCTAAACTAGCCGCATGCACTCTTTGAGAGTCGATGACATGTGCTCGGATCGGGGGTTTCCGCCTTCTTTGGCGCAAGCTTTGCGCAGAATGCATGCTGCATGTAAGCGGAGAATGGATCAACCGCGCGCCGTGGGAGTGACTGTTAGCAACGGGCCACACAAGATCTGAGAGCGACAAAGCGACGTTGGGTGTCGTGAGGAATGGATTTAGGAGATCTTAAGAAGAGGTACATACATGCGCGACGTTGTTGGTTGCTTGTGAATTTTGATCATCCTTCAAAATCAGTTCGACCTCGCTCTACAGCTTCTTTGACGGATGTGGAAATGTTCTTGTCACCGGCGAGCAAGTCAAGCATCAGTCCATCTGCCTGCCCCTTGGGAAGTTGCGCCACTTCCAGAAGCGTAGCAGCCACATCTTCGCGTGGGATCTGCAGTGTCGCCGTCAAATAGTCAAACCACAAGAAGAGTTCAGCAGAAGGTTAGGAAATTTGGATGCTCAAGGTCGTGTGGGTGTTGCTGGAGTCTACTTACAGAGTGCACGAGGCTTTGGTGGACTCCTAGAGCTACCTTTCCTTTGCCTGGTTCGTCAAGCAGACCTCCCGGTCGTAGAACGAACCAAGGGAAAGAGGATCGGCCAGAAAGGTTCTTATCAGCAGCGTCTGTTGTGGGTGAAGGAGTGGGGACGGACATCGGTGGGAGATGAGCATGAGGTTAGAAGCAGTGCGAGCGTTGGCTGGTATAGGCTTGCTTTGAGAGAATTTGAGAAGGCTACTCACACTTTGCATCCATGTAAGCTCCGATGGCGTTTCGCGTCTTCTCCGAGCGTTCGAAACTGTGAGAACATTCAAGAGTGGATTTGTGAGCCCATGGCCAGGCTCTCATGTGCTCTGACTGATCAATACCTACTCTTCCTTCCTGTACCACGAAGGGGGAGGCTTGGTCTTGTCGCGTACATCGACTGCCGAGACCAAGAGAAAGCGGCGAAAGTTGTCGGACTTGGCAATGCCACTTTGCTCGATAGCATCGAAGACCTTGATAGCGCCGTGCTCATCAACAGTCTTTGTGCGCTCGGGACCTCCCTTGCCACCGGCACCTGCGCTGAAGAGGATGATGTTGGGCGAATACTTAGTGAACAGAGAGGCAATGTCCGAGACCGAAGACTGCTCGAGAGAAGCGATCACAGGCTGGACTGAATCGGAGGTAGGACCGCTTGGTAAGTCAGAAGCATGCTCGGGTTGTCGAACCATGCTGAAGATCTTGTGGCCTCTCGCGGCTGCTTGGCGGGTGAAGTGGAGAGCCACTTTGCCATGGCCACCAATGACGAAGATCGAAAGGGGTGTGCTGGACATGGTGAAGAGCGAGGCTTTTGCGCTGTGGAATATGTTTCACTAAGTGCCACGCTACAGGCAGATCGATGTTCGAAGTATGAGAGGCAGCCATCCCTATATGACTTGAACGCTGGCGAACGTGCTTGATGGACACAAGAGCTCTCCCTACGCTGTAAAAACGCAACCATGCTGAACCATGCCGAATACTCCACATCGCCGATATCCCACTCTCCGAGCGGAGCTGTCAAGGTTCCGATTCCCGATTCCCGGCGAGAGAGAGCGGCGCACAGACCCTTTTTGGGAATTTGTGCAGCGTGTTGCTGCACAAGATGATGCATCATCAGCTCCGTTGTGTTCAGGGTCAACTCGAATACTGTACCGAATTTCGCACGACACTGTTGTGTGCTTCCGCTCAACTCGTTGTGTGGGACATACACCTACATCAGGTAGCCAGCGCCCCGAATTCACGCACCTTCGCGGAGGACCTCGACGCTGCACAGCATCTGTGGTAGCAACATGGCGGTCGAGTCCAGGGCGGCCGAGCCTGGCTCGTCTTCCAAAGCGTCACCGTCACGGAGAGCGCCCTCGTCAGGTTCCAAGGATGCTGGGACACCGTCAAAGTCTGCTTCAACCGACTCACCTCTTCGATTGAAACCTTCGACTGGCGCGACTTCTTCCGCTACACCTGCACAAACAAGAAAGCCCTCGGCCGCATCCGCATCAACTTCCGCATCGAAAGCCATTCTACCGACAAACAAGACTGCCGCAGTACCGGCAACAAGAGCTTCAGCTGGACAAGATGCTCGACGCAGCGTCAGAAACACCTCGGGAAACGGTGACAAGCCGCCCAAGGACGTTGGCAGCAACAGCAATGACACAATGTCAATCCAACAATCCGCAGGACCATCGCATACGCATCTAGACGAGAGTACGAGCACCGACGATCTGGCAGCTCTCACCAGTCGGATCGGCTTCGAGCCGCGCAGCAACTCTGGCTTGCCAGATCCCTCTCTCCGCACCAACGAAGCTATCGTCTGGCTCGACATTGACAACACCCTATACAAACGCAGCACCAAGATTGCTGAGCTCATGGCAGAGCGCATTCGCGCCTACTTTCATGGCATGGGGCTCAGCGAAGACGAGGCCAAGACGCTTCACACCACCTACTACAAGACATACGGCCTTGCTATCCGCGGCCTCGTCAAACATCATCAGATCGATCCGCTCGACTACGACCGCAAATGCGACGCAAGCTTGCCACTCGAGGACATCCTGCGGCCGGACCATCAAGTCAAGCGCCTGCTGACGGACATCGACCGCACTCGTGTCCGTGTCTTCGCTCTCACAAACGCATACAAATTTCACGCCGACAGGGTCTTGCGCTTGCTGGACCTGGAGGATCAGGTGGAAGGCATCGCCTACTGCGACTATGCTGTGCCAGACTTTGCGTGCAAGCCAGAGCTCGACTACTATCGTGCAGCCCTCGTCGTCGTCGGTGCCACGCCAGAAACACGCAACTACTTTGTCGACGACAGCTCGCTCAACATCGTCGCTGCAAAGGAGCTCGGCTGGCATTCCTGCATCTACTTCCGCGAAGAAGACGATCCCTTGCCGCCACCACCTCCTACCAGCGAAGCTGACCGGAAGACAGCTGCCGACTTCAACCTTGCTTCCTTAGAGCCTCGACAGGGCTCTCAGCACGTCGGCTTGGTAGGTAGCAGTGGCTTTGACGAAGAAGCAATCCGTCGAGAGTTTCAGAAACTGCCGTCTCATCTGCGAATCCAGCTTCTCGGCATCATTCTCAGCGCATGTCTACCAGGGGATATTGCAGCCATGTCCAAGACGCTCGAGAGGTACTTACGCATGACTCGCGACGTGGTTAGCGGTCTACCCGACTCGGTTGCTCTGAAGATCTTTGAGAAGCTACCCATTCAAGATCTGCTGCGTTGTCGCCACGTCTCCAAGAAATGGCACTCGCTCGCTGCAAACCCCGAGCTGTGGCGGTCACATGCTCTGGCTCTCACCGAGTCAGACCCTGTCAAGCTTGTACCTCCGACCGAACCGCAAGGTTGGGAGCCGCTCGTTAAGGGGCTCTTCTTCCGCGAACGCAACTGGGCCAAAGGACTGGCACAGAGCATCCAAACATTCGAGGGGCATACCGGGTTCGTCACTGCGATGAAGCTCAAGGGACGCAAGACGCTCGTGACTGGCAGCTATGACGAGACCATCCGAGTTTGGGACATCTCCACAGGACAGTGTCGAAAGGTGTTGCGTGCAAAGGCGATCGCTTGTCTCGACTTTCTGCTCGACGAGGGTGTACTCTGCGCCGGTCTGTATGATACAGGCCGTGTGCTAGTGTGGGACATGAAAAGCTGGGAACTCATCCAGACGCTTTCCGGTCACAATCGTGGCATTCGCAACGTCGCCATCAATCAGCACTACCTCGTCAGTGTTGGTCAGGATAAGGCTATCGTTGTCTGGGATTGGCGGACTGGCGCCAAAGTTGTGAGGTTTGGACAGCAGAGCAATGTATCGCTAGGTGTCTCACTTGTCGATACGGATAAGCTGGTGGCGGTCACGGTGGATGGCATGATCCGATGTTTCAGTATTCCGCGACGCGAGATGATCGGCCAGTTCCAGTTGACCAAGCTTGGAGGAGCCGATCTGGGTTTGGGCGCTCGTCTCGGTGATCTGTCGAGCGGGTCATCGATGCTGGAATGGTTTGCAGCTCACGGCAACACGATGACAGTCGCCTCCAAGAATGTCGTTGTGCATCTCGAATGGCGGAAACATGTTGTACCGGCACGGGAGGCACAGGCTGCACTCACCGCCGAGAGCCTTCGACGTAGTGCGTCGTCAAGACTGAGCAACGCTGGCGGCAGTGCGAGCTCAGTTCTAAGCCCGCTTCGAATTCGGCGCGACTCGACGATGAGCAATGCCAGCACGGCAGCCGCATTGCCTGTCGTTGGCACGCCTGCGAGATCTCGTCGCGACTCCAACATCAGCACGACGTCTTCTACCAGCGGTATTACCAATGCACGGCCGTCACGTCGCTCACTTATCGGTAGCTCCGCTGGGATGAGCGCTAGCCCGGCACGAGGAGGCAGAGCGTCACTAGGAGCCCCGCCCAAGTTTGAGACGTCCGCAGCACCCGGTTTGTCTACACCTTCGCCACCAAGGCCAAGCCCTACCTCGCGTCGTATTGGAGGCCCGCAGCCTTGGCCATTGGCAAACGCTGATCTCGAAGATGCCAGGCAAGCTTCGGGAACGTCGACGCCGAGACGAGTTAGCGCTTCCACGTCGGCCGCATCGCTGTCGTTCCCATCGACACCTGCTACGGATCAAGACGATGTGACGCTCGATGCATCCGTTGCTGATCTGATCGGTGGCAATGATGATAGGGCGGAGGCCGACGCTGCTGCCGCGGGAGCTGGTGCTACCCGTATCTGCCCAGACTTGTCGACGCCACCAAGGGTCGTCTCGGTGTTGGAGACGCCAGACGTAGCTGTGGGATGTGTAGACCCGGCCAAGCGCCGTATTGTTGCTTCGACGCGTTTCAGCAGTCGTGCCGGTGCGGAACGTCAACTGTACGCAAGCAGTCTGCCGTTCGACCATGGCAAGAGGTCAATTCAGTTGCAAAACGTCCCTGTCACTGCTTCTGTCAAGGGTAGTAACGCGGAGCCAAGAGCTCTTGGGCCTGCTTCTGAAGAGCCCTTGTCAGACGATGGGCCTGCGATTACCGTCGCAATTCGAGGTGCGTGGGAGGCGCAATCGCAAGAACTAGCAACTTCAGCACGCAATCCAATGGCGATGGAGTTGGATCACGAGAGTGTTGTGGTGGGCTGCGCTGATGGGCTCATCTACAGGATTCACTTTGTAGGATCCGAGTATGGCCCTGAGACTCTGATCGATGCCAAGTCTGCTTCTGGTAGCGTTCAAGCAAATGGTGCTGATGGTAACTCGGGCGTCGGTGATGCCACGATCAACGACCTGCTGCAACTACGAGACGTGTGGAAAGACATCATGGTTCCTGAAAATGCACCCGACCATCCTGGTCGACTGCGAAGGAACCATCTCAAGGACATGGGTCTCAAGTGATTCTTGCTTCTCCATCCTTGCTAACTCAAGACACTGCCATTTGGCACCAATCATCAGCAATCAATAATGGATGGTACCTACCTACAGTACAGTATATCAAATGATTTCGTGCGGATGACGAAGAGGAACTTTTCTGTGCATCAGCTGTCAGCCGTAGCTGCGATGTAAGGCGCTGTGATGAGTGATGACGACGAAGGCCAGCTTGCCACGAGAAAGGGGCCTAGAATGCTTTGACTTCCAGTCGGAAAGCGTGGAAGTTTGACGAGGCCGTTTCAAGGTTCTTCTTGTTCTTGAATGAGATGGTCCGTCCACAGAAATGAGCTGTGAAGCATGGGAAAAGTGAGCAAAAAGAAAAGGAAAAAAAAAAAAAAAAAAAAAAAAAAAAAAAAAAAAAAAAAAAAAAAGGATTGCTGACTGACACCAATTCAATTCTTCTCGAGCAAGCTTGTATTCGACCTACGTCGTGTGGCAGTGGCTGCGCATGAAGATTTGAAATGATCGACTACAACTGTGCGAAATCCAAAGAAAGAGTTTTGAAATCTGAGAGCGAAAACAACAAGGCAAATTCCAAATGGAGGCAAGGAAGAAGAAGAAGAAGAAACCAACATGACGCGTTCACACAGTGAGACAAGCCAACGGCAGTGCGAGTGTTTTTCTGTCTCTTGTACGTGAGCGCGGGCCATGGGCCATTCCTCGAAGTCTGTGTTAAAGGTTCAAGCTGAAAGCCGATCGAAAGACTGAGAGCAACCGGCCGTTTTCTGTGCGCTGACGCCTTTTGTATCCCTCATGGCTTGACTTCTGCCTCATTCTGCCGCTTCCAACTCGCTGACTGCCTCTGCTCACAGTGGCATCGTGCGATACGCTAGCTCTCCTGCTGTGCCGATAATGTTTGCTTGGGTTGTGTCTGTATGTGTATGAGCCAGGTGGATTGTGCGTATCCATGTTCGTTAGTTGCGTTCGACCTCCGATTTTGTCTTTGACAGACCAAGTGCCTGGAATGTTAGAGACCACTTATCACCACTCAAAGTCGAACCATCTTCTCTCCTTCTTGTCCGCCCAGATTGACTGAGTGAATCAGAAACAGACACTTGGCTAACTAACCCTCCTTCTCCGCAGCCTCATCTTCATTGCTCCACTTCCACCATCACGTCCTTTGATATCATAACCCGACCCCAACGTCGCATCTCTTTCAATCGAACCTCTAATCGCACAAAACTCTCTCGAGTCTCACCCCACACAACACACAATCAAAATGGCCGCTCAACTCCAACAGCTCCAGCAGAAGGCGGAATACTTTGTCGCTCAGGTTCGTTTCGGTTCGCTTTTTTCCATCCCCAACGTGCACGGCAGAGCTGTGCCGGCACACGCCGAGGCTCGTCGATATCTGCTCAACAATGAAGAAAGTTTTACTAACCAAACTGCTGTTCCTTCCGCTTTTCTACTGTCTCTGCGGACCTCGACGTCTCTTCTCGCTCGTTTCTCGATCGCAACATGATATTCGCTGCTCTCCTTCTCTCATCTGGTCTTGTTGATGCCGTTTCCACTGTGACACCGTTCCGCTCGAACATATATATATATATATATTTGTGCTGACCACAGATCGACAAGGAGGTAAGTACTCGTACAAACTTCATTGTAAGGTCGAGCCATTCATGCAACTGAGCAGTGCGCTGACTTTCCTTAACGTCCCTTCTGAACTCGAAAAACGCTCCGCACTACACATTCGTATCTCGCAGCTCTCCAGGTACCCCGCTCTCAAAAAGTTTGAGCAGACCGTCCCTATCCCCAAGGCTTACGCTGCTCTTGGTGCTTTCGGTATCTTCACTCTCGTGAGTAGCTCAAAATCGAAACGACGCAGCACAGCCTGGAATCACGAGACTAGGCAGGCAGCGCAAAATCTTTCGATTCAGGCTCTTGGAGATGGAATCGCGCAACACAGGCGTCGCACGTAGATTGCGCTCCTAGTCCCGCTGTGCGGCCACATCCAATCTCGAATACAAGTTGCTGACGATCTACTTGTTATCTCGTGTTCTCTTCGAACACGTCGACTTTGTCCTGGCTTCTAACAGTTTGTCTTCTTCAACATGTAAGTACGCCGGAAATGCCGCCAAGCTTGTCTACCCGGCTCCTATTCAGCTTCTCGGACACCTCGTACTGACTTCTTCACCTCCGTCTGTTCTATCCGCTTTTTCTCCTGGGACCTACAGTGCCGCTGGCTTCTTGACCAACCTCATCGGCTTCTTCATCCCCGCCTACTTCTCCCTCAAGGCTCTTGAGAGCCCCCAGCCTCAGGATGACATCCAGTGGCTCACCTACTGGGTTGTTTTCGGCATGTTCACTTTCCTCGAGACCTTCTCCAGCATCGTCCTCTACTACGTTCCCTGGTACTACACCATAAAGACCCTTGCCATTGTCTGGCTCATGCTCCCCCAGACCCAGGGTGCCAAGATGGTCTACAGCAAGGTCATCCGCCCCGCTTTCCTCACCACCCAGAAGACCGTTCACCAGGCCAACGCCAGCACCCCTGCTGCTCCCGCCGAGACCCACTAAGTGTCTTCACTGCATCTGACCGGCTCTACAACTCGCACACAGACTCTGACGAGCTGCCCTGCGCGGGAGGAGCTGGTCGCGGAGTACCGACCTGGCTCTGCGCTGCCACCCAGCCGACGCTTTCCAGGATAAAGATCTCCGCTTGGACTGGGTTGGATCGCATTCTCCCGTCTTCGAAAACCTCAACCTCATATCATCTCTGTTCCGTCTTATGATCCAGTCATGCCTAGTCCATACTGCTATCGACGTCCAGCTTTCACCTTATCATCGCCCTAACGCCTACCTCTTTTACGCCTGTCTTGCTTCTCTTGTTGGACTTCACGCAAACACCAAGTCTTCTTACCAAAAACTTTCCGTCTCAATACGGAGAAGAGCTGCAACCAAGTAGCAGAGAACCCTCAGGTGTGATATCAGTTGCATTTGCGTGTGCGTGAAGCCTGCACTCGGATCTAATGTGCCTAGCTGTTATAAGACCACAAACTTCATGATCCTGAAATCTGTGGATGTGACACATGGGAGAGGTACAAGTCTTGCAGTGCCTGCGGTCTTCCACAGGAAGACGAAGAATGTGATGATTGTGTGAACATGTCGTGATTTTCAACCCGAATGTTACATCTAGCTAACTGACAAAAAATAATAATGGGAGTGCGCGTGTCAGGGTCACGTCGCGCGTCTTGAGTGCGGAACAAACAAATATGCAGCTGTGGAGTGTGACAAGTGTTGATTGACTTTTAGCGAAGCGCTTCCTCCTCATCTTCATCACCCTGATCACCACTAACGCTGTGGACCCCTGATCACCACTAACGCTGCGGACCCCTCATCCCCTCTTATCCAGCCACATTTCTATACCACAGCAGTCAGCTCCATGTGCAGCTAGAAGGGTCCATTGATATCCTTCCTATACCCTAATTCAAGCTCGTATGCCAGGAAAGACTATCCAGGATCCGTCAAGCAACGGAACGTCCACCGTTAGGACCTGTCTACTTGTAACTACATAATCCTTTTCGCTACGAAGTCAGAATTGCTGTACTCTCGAGGCTGCGAGCTCGCACAGCGGAGCAGTTGATCGGCCGAAAGTCTAAGGAGTACCTCTTTTGCCCAGCTCAATCACCTCCACCATGCCGGCGCTTGTTACCAACACCACCAACGCAGCCAATGCAGCCGACCGCCTCATCCTGGAGCTCTCCAGAGCACTAGTCGCGCCGTCCTCTGGACCCGGAGTCGCTGAGAACCTCTCAACTTCTTTGCAAGCATTGCAAAAGCACGCACGATCCTTCGGTTTCTCATCCAAACAGTGCGAGCAACTAGTCCGACTTGCTCTGCTCGGCCGCCTCCGCCCCTTATCAGCAAGCGGTGCTAGCAGCTCTACCAAGCCAAAGCTGCCAAAGACGTCAGTATCTCTCACCATTCTCCGCTCCGTCATTCCACGCCCAGGGGTCAAACTTGGCAAGCAAGCTATTCTAGACATTGTCGCATCGCTTGGCCCTTCGCCCGGCACGGACACCATCAAGCTTGCCGGTCTCCAGCGTGCAAGCAATGATAATGCAGAATCGAGTCTAGGGCCAGAGCGCCTCAAGGTGGACAGCAAAGTGCAAGTGGCAGCACTCAAGCTCCTCTCAGTGCTTCTTGAATCACCATCCGTTCCCTTGTCTGTGGCTGCAAACTTCTACACCGAAGCCAGTGGCAGTCAACAGTCGACATTGCGACAAGACCGACAGCGGGACGAACGTGAGAACGAGCGCCTACAGCGTCACGCTGCACAATACACTGGGTTGGCAGGCAGTCTGCCCTCCTCCTATCTCACAACTGCAGCCAAGACGACACTCGAGAAGTGCTACCCGACCCTCTTCCATTTCATCGACTACCAGGCTCTGCGTCCGCATCTCTGCTACTTACTATGCCGCCTCACCAAACGAAGACATGTCCGACACTACAGAATCACCAAGCTGATGTCTTTGCGTGCCAACTCGGCTCCTGAACTCGGCATCTCCGCATTGTTGTCGACTTATGCCAACTTCTACCCAGACTTGCTCTTCCCGGAGCTTTTGGGAGGCGGTGGTGCAGGAAGCTCAGCTGTTGGAGCAGGCCCGGCTGCCGGTCTCAAGTACCCTGACTCCGACTGGATCGCCATGGTGCTGCTTGCGCACGCTCGCTGCTCACGCCGAAGCGAGGGGCAGACAGTACAGTCGGATGACGAGGCTGAAGCCGAAGCCGAGTCCGGTAGTCGAGCGACAAAGAAGCAGCGTCTGTCCAGTAAAGCTGTCAACGAGGGTGCGGCGGGAGATGCAGCTGCGGCGGTTGGTTTGACCGCTTCTGCCTCCATTCCGATCCCGAACTTGATCACAATTCAGTCCCTCAACTCGGCACGAAAAGCGTTCGGCACGCATCCCTCGCTCATCACTGAATTATCGTCGCTACGACATCTCGCGCATAGTCTGGATCGGCTGGTATTACCTTCGCAAGCCGCTGCAATGCTCGGCAGCGGATTCGGCGCTAGATTGATGCGTGTAGCAGTGCTCTCTGGCGCAACGGTCACCAACGAAGACTCGCTCAGCCAGACCATTCCAGCGGGACGACGCAACAGACAAGCCGAACACGATCTCTGCTGGGCACGCCTGTCAGACTGGCTCGAGAGCGTTCTTGGCGACGAGCTTGGCATGCAGAGTGGCTCCGAAGGATCGTCTACGCAGCGCCAGCAGCTCAAGCTGCCTTCAAATGAGGCAGAGTTCAAGCGTATTGCAGCCTTGTTGCGTAGGGTCAGATACGTGTTCGAGCTGGCGGAACAGATGCCGGCCAGGCTCGAGGACCTGGTAGCAAGTGTCCTTGCAGCGATAGCGGAGGTCGCGCGGACGGATAGCGCACAAATGACAGATCTGAAGGTGGACGATATGGATGGATGGACAAACCGATGGGATGAGTTGGCAGGCGAAGTGCTTGCTTTTGTGCCACTTGTCGCACCATCGGACCTGATCTCCTTCGAGGAACAGTTCATGGCACCACTCAAGGCCTTGGCAACATCGAGAAAGGTCTCGCTGGATACATCTTCGACTGTGATACTTGCACTTACAGGCTTGCTCTACAACTGGGGCGTACGCGACTGGTCAGACATTGGCAGGCTTCTTGACTCACGCAACTCGTACCGATGGGGGATCTCAAATCTCGATCCGTTGGTCGACTATGCTGAGCTCATCGCTGGTGTCTGCTCCCAAACAGACTCGCTCGCATCGTCCCTTCTTGGTCTCTATCCACGCCACGTACTTGTCGAGCACAGCGTCCTGTCACTGTACGAAGTGCTTTCTGGCCCACTTGCTGGTATGCGCACAAGCGCGAGGATCCCGGCCCTACCGCTTTACGCTTTCACCATGCACGCTTCCACGCTGGTCCCCATCTCGCGTCTCTGCGGCCTCGTTCAAGACCTGCGCACGGCATTCGAGGAGCACAACAACAAGGTTCATGAGCAACCCCAGGTAGACGGGGGGCTTGAGAGCAAGGTCTACGACCTACAAGCAAGCTTCTTCGAGGAAGAGAACACGACTGCGCTGAATAGCAATGTCACCCTTGTGGCCAATCTGGTATGGCTCGGCAAGATCGTGACCGAAGCCGGCACCGTGGGAAGTCTTCCACCTGGATTCGAGGAGTCGGTACTGAACGAGCTTACTCAGAGAGGCGATGATCTGAACCTGAAGCTGTCGACGCTGGCCAACACGCCCTTCTCACGCGCTATGAGCCATCTTTCGGAGCGCTTTGCCAACGTCTTCTGCTCCTCGCGCAATGCTCAGCAGGCAGAACAGGCAGGCTGGATTCGTGGACCTGTCACGCCGAAGACGCTCAAAGCAGCAAAAAAGAACGGTATTCCGGCTGGATGGACACATACCGATTTCAGAGCCTACATGCTCGACTGGATGGATAGGGAGGGTGCACATGGGCTGTACGAGCTACTGAAGAACATCTTGGTCACTTTCGGAGGACAGCTGAAGAGCATCCGTGGCGAGTCGCAGCTCGTGGTAGCTTGAGCTGGAAAACACGTTCCAGTTCACGTGTTTGCTTTTGAGCACATTCAATACCAGAGATTCCTCGGAGGATCATCCCGCATAATGTTCCGGTACTTAGGCTGACACCGTTACTCAAGAACGGCCCTGAGACTACTGCGCTGTTCTAACGTCCGCTTCGTGAGAAGAAAGCAAGACATGGCTGCAAAACGCGTTTGTCGGAATCCGGAATTGACGCCCGGATCGTGTGTGAAACCCTGGAAGCTTGCGAACACAGATCCAACTGTGCCAACCACCATCTCGAACACAGCAAAGCCCCTACAGCACTCGTTGCCAGCTTGTCCTCTTTCCTCTCCGGATCACAGGTTCAGATCAAGACGCTGCTATCGAGCAACAGTGATATTTGAAGCCTAGACGCGATCGGACAATACAGCATCGAGCATCGACCATGGACGCATTCGATGGTGACTCAGATCTCTCAGACGTTTCGGCTCCACCAACGCCAGGTCCGGCTGCCACACCTCGCGCTACATCACCCGAAGCATCTTCAGCTGAAGCAGTCAAGTCTGAGACTGCCGCTTCTGTAGAGTCGCCTCAGCCCACCAACAAACGACGCTCATCGAGGAGAGGCTTAGAAGCAGAACCTGCCGCAGAACTGCCAACGCTGGCGCCAACAACAACACGAAAGAAGAATGTAGCATCCACAAGCTCCCTCGCTGAACCATCTGCCACCGCGACAAAATCTGATAACACGTCAGCTTCGAAACGCAGAACATCAGCACGAGACCGCAAAGCACCGGCCAAGCTAAGATCACCTTCACCAACCGTAGAAGCTGCCGCTGAATCTTCGCCGACCGCGAAAGCTGCCAAAGAATCATCGAGGGCCTCTAGCTCAACAGAAGCGCCAAACGCGCGGCTAAAAGTGAAGTTCAAGGGACGATCCAGTGCAGATGAAAGCGGATTCTCGCGTGGTGCAACACCACAAACTACATCTGCGACCAAAGTGACGTTGAAAGTCGGTGGCCGCAGGAAGAAGCTAGCAGACGATCTGCGGGACCTTGCCCATGATGATGACGATGAGAAGGACGCCGACGAAGACGCTCATCCCGAAGACGATTTCGTGCCCGACGGAGGGGCTGCAGGCAGCAAGGATGCTGCAGATGACGAAAAGCCTACTACCTGCAAACGAGACAGGAACGCACGCAACAAGATAGCCGGACGAAGGCGAGCAATCCTGGCAGACGATGAAGAGGATGAGGATGCAGGTGAAGAGGGCACACCGAAACCGCCGCAGAGGAAGCGTGCAAAGTTGTCAGACACAGGTCCAGCTGGCAGTGGGAAGGGCAAAGTAAGGAGCGCGCGAAGCGGCAAGAAGGCAGTGGACTACAGCGATGACGATGACGAGGATGAGGAGATGGTGGACGCTGCTTCTGACGAGGAAGATCTCGAAGACGCCGCCGCGTTGAACACGGACGACGAGTTCGATGAGGATGACGGGCCTTCTCGAGGCGGTAAGTCGACGCGAAAGGGAAAGGCCGGTGTGGATGTAGCAAAGAAGGCGGGTGGCCGAGCTGTAGCCATGAAGTCTTCGACAGCGGGAGGAGTAGCAAGATCCAAGAAAACAGGGGCTGCAGCAGCATCTACCTCTTCAGCCCCACCAAACACTGCTAGTTCGAAGGCGATGTCAGCAGAAGCTCGAATGCGAGCCTCCATTGACGCTGCAAAGGACAAGTCGCTCAAAGCACCTGTTGTACCCTCCGCTTCGACCGGCATCAAGCTCAATCCGCAAGCATCAGCATTCCGTCCAAGCGGCGCCCTCAAAACCGGCCCAGGCGGAGCCTCCACCCCGGTTGGCGCTGGCAGACCTTCCACTGCTTCATCTGCCGCAGGCTCAGGGGCAAAACGCATCCCAACAGGCGGCAAACCGGCATTTGGTAAAAGCATGTCTGGCTGGGACCAGCTCTTTGGCGGCATCTCTGGTCTCTCCACCTCCTCGTCCTCCACACCGAACAAAGGCACGCCAACCAAACCAAATGCAGCAGGAAGCAAGCCAGGTACTCCATCAGGAACCGCAGCAGCAGCAGCGTCAAGTACAGGCATTCGGCCCGATCCGGTGCTCGAATCCGCTTCTCCAGCTGACGTGCAACGACTAAAGGAACAGGCGAATCAAGACCACCTTAACACGGACGAATGCTTTGATCTGCTGGCGCACGCGGATATCATGGTTGCGTTCGAGAGGTCGTTGTACGCGGAAGATCGGAAATTGGCGACGAGGTTACGACCGGCCATTTGGAAGGCGGGGACTATCCTTCAGCAAGGGGCTTCCCAGCAGAAAGCGCAGGAACAACAGCAGGGTGCGCCGCAAGCAGCACAGTGACCTTATACACTCGAGCAGCAGTTCGTTTTGCGTCAATGACAGTTCAGGACGTTTAACGTCAACGTCACAGACCAGGTGTTCATGTATGAGTCGAGTGTTCCTTTGAGCTCCAAGTTTTCGCGCTTTCGCTCGCGCTTCACATCTCCGTCGTTCGGCGGAGCTGTCCTGAGCCGACGCATTTGTGGAACCACTTGCTGCGATGCTGTGTGGTCCTCACTAACCCAAAGCTATGAATGCCCAAAGCCGTTCTATGCGATCGACGACATTTAGACGCCTTTTGCGTCTGTTCGCTGGTTAATGTCGTCGCTCGACGCAATGAGGTCAATTATTGACGGAAGCTTCCATGTGTCATCAAGTAAATCTCAAGAATGATGTGCGAAACAACGTGGTCCGCTCGTTAACGGAAGCTGCAACGCGCTGCTTGACATCAGCAGTGGCGTCGAGGCGCTTCTCTCGTCGTCTGAAATGACGAGCTCCGCTGGTCCACGGAGTCGACACGCTGATTAATATGTCCAGTAGCATAGAAACACTTCTTTCGACTTTCAACACAAGCGCTCCGCTCATTGACGGAGGCTCGAATCTACATTGCAATAGTGATAGATGCAGCGTATTATGCCTAAGCTGAGACCGAGAAAGCGAGAGATAGTAGAGCCTACTCTTTGAATTCATCCACTCGAATCGTCTGATTCAACTCCTCCTGTTGTGTCTTTGCCTTCTTAACATCTTCCTCGTTCTGTAGCTGATGAGCGACCTCGTGAGCAACAACCTCCTCGTCATCGATGTTTGATTTGGGACCCGAGAACCAATGCACACCTCCGTACTTGGGGAAGTAGTACCAGCCTGTGCTGAAGATGAAAGTGGCAGCTGTGACGACGCAAGCGTAGTTCATATCTGCCGCAGCAGTCACAGGGACGTACGAAGGCATGCAAACGATGATGCTGATAAAGATGAGCCAGATCGCGCTAAGCCAAGCTACAGTCTTGGACCAGAAGTCGCCGAGATACCAAACGCCTGGCGTGAAGCGGTCATCAGGTGCCATGAGACGAGCTAGGATAGGGATGACATACGCGATTGAAGCGCCGATGACAGAGAGCGAGAATACGGCTCCGACTGCCACCGAGTTGATCAGGCCGAGCAAGCAGTAGATAGCGGAACAAGCGCTGGACCACCATGCGCTGTTGACAGGGGTGAGCGTGTAGCTGTTGATTCTGTAAACCCAGTTGCTAAAGGGAAGAGCACCGTCACGGCTGAAAGCGAAAATCTGTCGTGACGAAGCCAGGTTCATACTTGCTCCCATCATGAAGTTGACAATGATCATGAAGACCCAGATGACCATAAATCCGGTTTTGCCGCACGAGTTCAAGATGATGGTGGCCATGGGCTGTCCGTACTCTGAGTTAACTACGGCTGCCAGGTCAGTTCCCATGTTAAAAGCGAGAGCGATCATGATGCCGAAACCGAGGATTGAGGAGGAAACGATGCTGAAAAAGATTCCCATGGGTACCGCCTTGGCTGCATTACTTGCTTCCTCCGAAATGTGGACACAAGAATCATACGAGGCTATCGTCCATGAACTCGTCAAAAATGCGAGCAGAAACGCCGGAACATTCGACCAACCAGTCTCGTTGTACCAGCCGGCGAAAGCGTAGGAGGCAGTATTGCGGTATTCCGAAGGTGTGGTGGTGCCGAGCACGATGCAAATCGCGACGGCGAGGCCGGCACAGAGGACGGTGGCGACTGTTTGAAGGCGTGCCAGTGCACGCGTGCCAATTGATGTAAGGATAGCATGCAATAAGAGCACTCCTAGATAGACGCCATAGGTTTGACCGTCAGTCGGAACGTATCTTCCGTCAGACCAAACCGAAGCGGCGGCGAGAATCATAATCGCGACGGACCAGTCGATACTGGCCACTGCCGAGGTTGTTGACAGAGTGTTCGCATAGCCTACTGTCCAGCAGAGAAACTTGCGATACTTCTTGCCCGAAAGCACATAGGTCCAGTAGTACAGACCACCCGAGGTCGGCATAGAACTGGACAGATCGCCCAGTGCTAAGCCTGTAAGGGAAATGAAGAAGCAACCCACAAGCCAACCCCACACCATGCTGACGGGTCCACCGCTGGGCAGCGAGTAGATCAGTGTCGATGCAATGGAAGGCGCCACACCCATGATCGAGAATGCAATACCGAAGACTTCGAGCGAAGAGAACTCTCGTTTGAATTCCTGTCTGTAACCCAAGGTGGCGAGCAACTCGGCGTCGGCTTGTTGAATGAAGCTCTTGGACAAGTGCATCTTTCCTGCACCCCGGCCGGGGCTCTTCCCTTTACCCTTTGCATTGTTGTCATCAGCAGCAGCGCCGGGAAGTATCGAGCTCAAGGGAGCAGGCACTTGATGGTGCTGGTGTTGAGCATCATGAACGATGCCCGAAGAGGAGGGCGAGCCTTTGATGTCGTGCGAGTACGAAGAACCGTTTCCGTTGTCCTCCATACCAGCAAATTGTCGTCTGTAGGTGCTTTAAGATGAATGAGTTGCGAAGAAGGTCTCAAGAGCCTTTGAAGGGCAGACACCGGTAGGAGGGATGGTCTGCAAAGAGGAACCAGGCAAACGTCGACGTGGCTGCGATCATTCACTAAGCGTGGTTCACGGAAGGAGTTGGTCAACTTGGAGTGGAACCTAGGTAGACCAGCCGCTACGGGGAGCTGTTGGGAGAATAATGGGTGTCGATATTAGGATCGATCGGGGGAAGTGGTCTCTTGGAGCGGGCGAAGGAGGGAGGTGATGGTAGAAACGTGATTATAAGAAGCCCGGCGAGAAAGTTTGGGCGTGAGCTTGAGATGCAGACTGGCGGCAAAACGGGGCAGGTCCTGCTTGATGTTGATAGATAGACGCACGATGTAAAGCGAATTGGCATGGCAGCGATAAGAAGTCAAGGATGGGTTCGAGAATAGCGAGACGGATCAGGGTATCAAGGGCTGGGAACCTTGCTGCCATGTGATGTGCTTGTAATACGGCAACTCGAGGCAGCGTGAGGTGAACAAGTGCAGACGGAAGAGGGGATCGGAGGTGCGCTTAACGAGGACGAGGTCAAGTGAGCGGTGTTCAGGGAACAGACTTTGATTCATCGACACGGACGGGAAGGCGTGGGAAACCAAAGGACAGATAGCAACTTCGGGGAGCAGAACGGCCTGCTACTCGAGAGCGAAGTAGATCGGATAAGACACACCACCTGAAAGTATCATCCGGCACTTAAACAGCCCCGTATCTCTGTCGATAAGCTACTCCCCCCCAACTCGCTGTGGTTCGTCCCCTGACAACAACGTGTGGGAAGACTCGTGCAAAATGGTTCTTGACGAAGCAACAACCGTCCACCTGACCTTGCCGATTCGCATGTCCCTGCTCCGTGAACGCTTCTCTGACCAATCCAGCCCATAACAACGCATGTTGGAAAGACATAATGTCAAGCCAGGCTCTTATCAGTGTATGTGGGCTTGGCGACTGTCGTCACGGACGAATCTCCGACCTGGAACAGGTTGCTATCATGTTGATGAGTGCCTTCACTTCATGCCGCTCCCTCGCATGACAAGGAGCTGCAGTGCGGGGTAAAGTTGAATAGCGCAACACAGAGATAAGGCTCGACGTCGACAGAGATGATTGGTCTTCTCGGCTCCAAGGGTGCAGAGGCGAAAATGACTCGCGCTCTCAAATTGATTTTGATCGCAAAGTCGGGCGGTGGCAAGTTGTTGTGTGATCTCGCCCTTGACTCTGTTAGGTGCATGTTCCATGAAAAGCTCGCAGCAAGCCTCTGAAGGCAACCAGAGAGATGATGGCAGATCAAGCTATGGCAGAGATGATCTTAACGAGACTTGTCATCGAGACTGCATGGAAGGATTGCCATGAGTCTCATCAGCTGAACAGCCTTATCTCAATGTTCTCATCGACCTTGCGTTATGGCAACAGACTACGGCGCTCTTCCAGAGGCTGCGTTCCATGTCATTTGGCATAGAAGGACCAATGCGAGGTGTGTTGGACAAGGAGGGAGGAGGCTTGAGCAGAATTCGCTATCGTCCTATCTTTCGCTATCACTGCCAAGAGCGAGCGAGCTAAGCTGGTTTCCAGCCCAATTTCGCCGTTCCTGTTTTTGGACTACAAATCGGTCTTGGGGACATGTGAAAGTGCTTAACGAGACTTGAAAAAGCTCTAAAATCGGAAATGTCACCGGTAGGACAGCAGAAGGAGTTGGCCACGAGTAAAGAAGATCAAGGCTTCACTTGGTCCCAACATCAAATCGCAGCTTCTGAGAACAAGCCGTGCTAAGCGCGCTAGCCGCTCATCTATTCCACCTTGGTTTGGCTGTTGTAATGAGTCCTCGTGTGGCGACGACTTTGTCGCTGTTTGACAGCTTCATTCCGACTGCAGACGGATTCGACATTGTGGAGAAGTGAGGTAACTGTAAGTTGTCGACAGTCGCAAATCTGTGAGGATTCTCTACGATTTCGTCGTCAAGGCGCCGTCGGTGCCAAGTTGGGCATCCAAGTGAAGCTGTTCAGCAACGACAATCCAGTCTTCGGTGATCCTGTACCGGCTCTGTCCTGAGAAACCACTTCGCCATCTTACAAAACTAGGGAAGCTGGGACAGTATCGCAAATCTGCCTGTCTCTTTCGACTTTTCTTCCATCTCCACATTTCAAGCTCATTCCGCATTGAAAGCCCCAGCAATGAGCACAATCGGCAACACGAACACTCCCAAGGCTGCTGCCTCGAGTCAGGCACCAGCTCCTGTCACCATCAAGACTCCTACTGGCAACCAATGGCAAGTGCCTTCTGGCATTTTCATCAACAATGCTTTTCACCCCTCTGCCTCTGGCAAGACGTTCGACTCGATCAACCCAGCCACGGGAGAAAAGCTGTGCACGCTCTCACTCGGCGGCGCTGCTGACATCGAAGCTGCCGTCAAAGCGGCGCGAACAGCTTTCAACACGGTGTGGGGCAAAAAATCAACACCAACACAGCGCTCTCGACTTCTGCTCAATTTTGCAGATCTGGTGGACAAGCATCTGGACGAGCTGGCCGAGCTCGAGAGCATGGACAATGGCAAGCCTCTGTGGATGGCCAACAGCTTCGATGTTCCGGATTCGGCGGGCTGTTTGCGCTACTATGGCGGTCTGGCCGACAAAATTGAAGGCAAGACGATTGAACAGACCGAGGGCGAGAAGATTGCCTACACTCGCATTGAGCCTCTCGGTATCTGCGGACAGATCATTCCCTGGAACTACCCGATTCAGATGGCGGCCTGGAAGCTCGGCCCTGCGCTCGCTGCAGGAAACTGTGTCATCCTCAAGCCTGCTGAACAGACGCCTGTGACAGCACTCAAGCTTGCCCAGCTCTCAGTTGAAGCAGGGTACCCACCTGGGGTCATCTCGGTCGTCAACGGCTATGGAGCCGAAGCCGGCGAGGCTATTTCAAGGCACATGGATATTCAAAAGGTCGCCTTCACTGGCTCCACTGCTACAGGTAGGCGGATCATGAAGGCGGCAGCCGAGAGCAACATGAAGAAAGTCACACTCGAACTTGGCGGAAAGTCGCCTGTGGTGGTGTTCGACAGCGCTGATATCGAGCAAGCCGTTCGCTGGGTGTGCATGGGTATCCTCTTCAATCAAGGACAGGACTGCACTGCAGGCTCTCGTCTTTTTGTTCAGGACAAGGTCTACGACAACTTTATGCAGCAACTCATCACGGCTTTCCAGGCTCACAAGGTGGGCGATCCGTTCCACGAACTCACATTCCAAGGACCGCAGGTGAGCAAAATACAGCAGGACAAGATTCTCGACATGATCGAGTCGGGCAAGCGTCAGGGCGCCAAGGTCGAAGTCGGAGGCAAGGCGTGGAGCAGTCCGGAGGCGAGGTTCAAGAAGGGCTTCTTCATTGAGCCTACGATCTTTTCAGGATGTCGCAAGGGTATGCGCATTGTAGACGAAGAAATCTTTGGTCCTGTTCTGGCGGTAGCCAATTTCAGCACAGAGGAGGAGGCAATTCGACTTGCCAATGAGACCGAGTACGGTCTAGGAGCTGGAGTCTTTTCCGAAAACGCAAGCCAAATCCAGCGAATGGTCTCGGCGATCGATGCGGGCACCGTCTGGGTCAACAACTATGTCGCACTGAGCAACTCTGTTCCATTTGGAGGTATGAAGGCGAGTGGATTCGGACGAGAGTTGGGAGTTGATGCTATCAAGGCTTACTGCGATGTCAAGGCGATTCACTGGAACTATGGCGAAAAGCTTGACTGGCCACTACCCAAGCTTTGAGACCGTTCACACTGTGCTTTAGTTGGCCGTCACTTGTCGCTATCTTGTAATCGCAATTCTATTGTCTACACTTTTCTCTCGTATGTGCTGTCCGTAAGCTATGGGTTGGATCGGTTTGAACACAATGGCCCCAAGCTGCAAGCAGATGAAGCGGGAAGCCTGGGTCAAACGACTTTTGATTGGAGAGAACGTGGGGGAAGTTGACTGCCGTGCAGATGGAATCGCGTATCTCGCAATCTGAGCCAGCTTATCGCTCATGTTTCACCTGTCAGCTGCTCAAGTGCCTCGCTGCTGTATCGACACTGATAAGATGCTACCTCGTTAAGCATCTCGTCTGCTTCCATCTTCTTAACGAGCCTTACTTACCCCCCCCCTTGTGTTCTGTTTTGCTGTCGAAAGACCCTTGTTCTGCCTGTCACTTCCACAAAGGCACCTCGCACCAATGATCAGCTGGCCTGACACCACGAAGCGGCAATTTCGCTCTGTCCTTGTGCCCACTCTGCCATGTCCACTTCAAACGTTCAGCCAAGAATGCTCACAGCACGGCCATCTTCGTCAACACTCTGAGACATTTGCCTTTTGTGGTCCTGCGATACGTCGTCCTGTCTTGGTCATGCGATGCCACCTTTCTCATCGAAGGTTGTCATAAGGCTCTTTTGGCATTGGCTGATCCTTGGCTACCGTCGTGTATTGCGAGCAATCGCTTTGTCTTACCCAATGTAGCTCGATCAAGGCGTCTTCAACCCCGCAAGAGGTTGCTGTTCTCTCGTTTAGGTATGTGCCCCTTGCCCGGCTTATCTGCCGAGCATCCTCCATTGCCGCCTGCACAGTCGTGCTTCCTCGTCTAGCTCTTAGGCGCTATTCGCTCGCTTCATGTCGTGTCATGCGTTCTCACCCTGGAGCGTGGGCTGCACAAGCTCCTCCCAGCTTGGCGGGCAAAGTCCACTCCATTCGACCGGCCAGTATCGCTGCCCTGCCGCTTCGGCTGAAAGACAGTGAGTGAGCACTCCACGCCTCTGACTTGAGCATCAGACAGTAGATATAATCACCCATCACAACCCTTGACCCTCGATCGTCACGTCGGTCTCCTCCTCAACCCTTGCATCGTACTCCCCAACCAAGCATAAGGTGCTTCCGTAGGCAAATTTACCTCACATACCACTTCCAATCCACACAACGGTATCTCTCTGTGATCTGCCCTCGCTAGCGAATCTCCCTCATCGTCCATCATTCAACCTGTATGGAGGTATCTCCTCAGATCACTTTGCCATGATGTCTTCCACTCAGTCCGACTCCTTTAATCCCAGTGGAGCTGCTGGTCAGACCGGCCTGCAGCTCGATCACCATCCTCTTGATCCCCTTTCGGCCCAAGAAATTGCTGCTGTCTCGCTCATCGTTCGCAGCCACTTTGCCGCCCGCACTTCGGTCAAGGCCATCAAGTTCGTCAGCTCACTTCTCATCCCTCCCGTCAAAGCAGCTGTCCTTTACGCTCTCGGCCTCCCCCTCCCTCGAGGCGCTAAGCTCGATAGCCGATCCGCTCTCAAGCTCCTCAATCGTCGAGCTGAGGTTCAGCTCATTGACGTTGTCACCGGTGACACCTATGAGGTCAACGTCGCTATCGCCAACGATCTTCCCCTCCCTGGTCGCGATGGCAAGTACGCTCCCTCCACCGCCTCCGCTCTCGGAAAGGTTGAGAGCATCAACAAGCTAGATGTCGGTGTTCAGCCTGGCCTCACTCCCGAAGAGGTCAACGAGGCTGAAGAGGTCCTCCGCAACGATTCTCGCATCGTCGCCATCGCTCGCGAGGTTGGCATCGAGCCCGAGAACCTCTGGGCAGATGGCTGGTCGCTCGGATATGACGACCGATTCGACAAGAGCCTTCGCGTCCAGCAATGTCTCGTGTACGCCCGCAAAAGTGAGCACGAGAATCTCTATGCCCATCCCATGGACTTCTACCCTGTCATCGACTGCAATGCCGGCAAGGTCATCGCTATCGATTTCCCCGGTCACCGCGATCCTGTCACTGGAAAGCTCTCGACCCCAAATGGCACTACAAATCCTGGACCCATCACTATGGACGCTGACGAAGCACTTGCGTACTCAGGACGTAAACGCATTCCACCTCCAATGGAGTCGTTCGACTACCTGCCCGAACTTATGGCGCTCGACCCCAAGATGCCTCCTCTTCGAACCGATCTTAAGCCTCTTCACGTCGTACAGCCTCAGGGCGTGAGCTTCAAGCTCAAAGGCAACGTGCTCGAATGGCAAAAGTGGAAGATGCACATTGGTTTCCACCCACGAGATGGTCTCGTCCTCTCCACCATCAGCTACAACGATAGGGGCAACGTTCGCCCTATTCTATACCGCATGTCTGTTGCCGAGATGGTAGTTCCCTATGCTTCCACTGAGCACCCGCATCCCCGCAAGTTTGCCTTCGACGTCGGAGAGTATGGCATGGGCACTCTTTCCAACAGCCTCAAGCTTGGATGCGACTGCCTCGGCACCATTCACTACCTCGATGGGCACTATGTCGGACTCGATGGTAGCCCTACTGCCGTTGAGAACGCCATCTGCATTCACGAGGAAGACGCTGGTATCGCATGGAAGCACACCGACTACCGACCTGGCGGAAAGGTTCGCTCTGCTCGAGGCAGAAAGCTTGTGATTCAGATGATCTGCACCATCGCCAACTACGAGTACATCTTTGCCTACATGTTCCACACCGACGGCAGCATTCAGCTCGAGACAAAGCTCTCGGGTATCCTGAATCTGTACGTCAAGGACAAGGATGAGCCAAATCCATATGGTGTTGAGGTGGCACCGCAAGTCAACGCCCACTACCACCAGCACTTGTTTGCGCTCAAGATCGACCCCATGGTCGACGGCTGCGAGAACACAGTGATTCAAACAGATTGCGAGCCAACATCAGCGCCGACAGGTTCAGATCGAAACTACCTCGGTAACGGCTTTGTCACTGTCAAGACACCCATCAATGTCTCTGGTGGCTACGACTGGGACTGGTCGAGACATCGCACTTGGGCCATCTACAACACGAACAAGCAGCACTACTCTGCTGGCTTGCCTGTTGGCTACAAGATCCACACTCGTGATTGGGAGCCTCTTGCGCTTCAGAAGGATTCGATGGTGGCGCAGCGAGCTGAGTTCACCAAGCACGCATTGTGGGTGACCAAGTTCAACGAAGAGCAGCTGTGGCCGGCGGGTAAGTACGTACCTCAGCAGCGAGGCACAGCACCCGACTCGATCGGCCACTGGGCCAACGAGAAGAACAAGGTCGACGACGAAGAGATCACTGTACACGCCATCTACGGTATCACCCACATCCCTCATGCTGAGCAGTTCCCCGTGATGCCCGTTGAGCATCTCAATGTCTGGCTCAAGCCGAGCAACTTCTTCGACTTCAACCCTGCCCAGGATCTGCCCGCGCTCAACGACCCTTACTCGGTCAATGCATTCGGTAGTAGCACCGGCAAGCCGCAGTTCGATGTCAAGGCGAATGCTGCTGCACCTGCTTCGAGTTCGGCCTCCTCGTCGACATCAACAACAAATGGTGACTGCTGCAAGTCCAAGAAAAGTGTCTCGGTGCCTCAGCCTCGACATGGAATTAGCATCTCGACTCGTTCGGCTTCTTTGGGCTCGGCTTCCAACGCTCATCCTCAAAACTGCGCCTGCTGCGCTAGCGACAGCTCCAGCCGTCTCTGAACGATGAGCTTTTCCGCTTACACTACACAGTACTATAGCTTAGCACTCCCTTCTCGCACGCCTTAGGGCACTGATACCATCACATATTTTGCATCACAGTCGTCGTCATTGTCAGTCTCCAATCATCGTACCCTTTGCACAATGTTTTCATAAGTCTGTTCTGTACTCTCAATTCATTGACCCTCACGCAGAACTTTGCTTGGAGTCTGTGACCCTCGAGACGATGATGAGCTTGTCTGACCGTGGTCTTTGACAGTTTGAAGGTTTCGGGACCTCAAAAACTCTGTGTGCAGTCGCCACTGCTAACACTGATAACTTCGCTCCGGCTAACAGCTCGGAAGCGAATTTCGCTCACGACTCATCCGTGCGAAAATGCCGTGCTTAACTGAGCCAAAAACAAAAACAAAAACAAAAGTCCACAAAAAACTCACTAAAAAGGAGTCGAAAAAGGGTCGTTGAGAAGTTCGTTCTCCGGTCTTGTTCCCGTACTCAGCCATCCATCGTCGTTCAGTCCAAATATCGCTCAGCATTCGTCTTCGAATGCATTTCAGAACATAGGTCAGCCGTAACTAGGACGAGGAGATAGGCAAGGACAAAGCAAAGTCGAAGAGCTGCTAGGAACATTGACGAGGTGCATGCAGGTGAGGCAAATCGAAGCCAAACCGCTGCTGTTCCCCTTGCCGGTCTAGTCGCCAGTCTTCAAGCAAATCGTATCCGCAGCTCTTTCTTCCTCCACTCAGGTTCTTCTCTGCCCTTTGGCTGTAGCCGGCTTCCGAGTGCAGCTCGAGAAGAAAGTTCTGGCCATGACAGCTGCTTCTACCCCAGCTTCCTCAACACCATCCGGCCGTGGTCTGCCACATTCTGCAGCTCCATCCGCCGGCTCCAACACCACCACTGCAGCCTCGCCATCTTTCCGATTCAACGGCTCGCCTTCTGGACCCTCGAGAGATCATCAACGCACCGAGCTCTACGATCAAAGTGGACGTTCTTCCGGGCAAAGTCACCACGCATCATCGGCTCGACATGAGCATTCCACGTCCAATGCTTCCCCTTCCAAATCACAATCCAAGCAGAACAGCAGGTCTTCCTCATCTTACGCGCCATCGCGACGAAAAAGCAACATGAACAGCAACGACAAATCAGAGAAGCGTCGAAGCAGCCGTGCTTGCCTGGAATGCCGGCTGGCCAAGACCAAGTGCCATGTCACAGACAGTCAGGACGTCTGCGACCGCTGCGCCAAGTTCTCCTTCGACTGCAAATTCGTTAGGCATCATCGAGGCCGCAAGCCTGTCTCAAAGCTGGCTTCCATCGATGCTGATGATCTTGATGAAGCGGGCTTAAGGCTCGGAGCATCCGATGACGACATGGCGACAGACCACGACAGCGACTCAGCCAATGAAGAGCCCCCAACAAAGCATGGCTCCTCCTCTGCGAACAACGAAGATGGCGCCCGTACGGCAGACAGCGCCAATGCAGGGCATGAAGACTCGGTCATGCAGACTGCTAGCGCCTCAGACGGGGCTCAGCGGAGAAGTAGAGACGTCGCACCAAACAGGGCGTCAGGCAGTCGCTCGCACAGCAAAGCGAGACTACACAGAAATGCAAACAGCCTACATGAGCTCGACATCAATGCGAGACGGAGGATCTGGGAGATGCTTGCCCAAAAGATCCCGCAGCGTGGTTCAACGTACACTTTCGTCAGCAAAGGTGAAGTGGCTCATGACAACCTTCAGGGCTCATCCAAGTCTTCCGGCAAAAGCGGCAGCGGCAAGAACGCCTCGTCTTCGTCCTCCGGCCCCGGAGCCAACGGCAAAGACGCCAATGATGACGACGCAGACAAGGTCAAAGCCGAGATGCAGTCGCAACAATCGGGTTCCGATGCTATGCAGGGCCCTTCGCAGTCCGACAAAAGCTCGGCACCTTCGCAACACTTTGCGTCGACCTTCCGCAATCTCCTCCGTCCTGTTGATAAGCGCGCAAGCGCTACAACGGCTCAGGAGGAAGCAGCATCAGCAGTCACTGCAAGATATCCTCGTCTACCAGAGACGCTCAACTTGTTTGGACCCAAGGACCCCGTCGACCTGGGCATTCTGTCGATGGCTGCGGCGCGTCGGCTCTATACCTATTACTTCAGGCACTTGAATCCATGGGGCATGAACTTTGATCCCCACCTGGTATCGCACGATGCGGTTCGAGCTTCTTCGTCTTTCCTCTATTCGACCATTCTATACCTAGCCTCGAGGTACATCGAGCTTGCTGATGCCGATGAAGGACACTCTGACACAGCGGCATCACTCTATGCTACTGCAAGTTTTTCCAGGCCAAGGCCGGACGATGACCGAATGACGGCTGCGATCTCAGCACAATTGGGCAGTCATGTTCGCAGTCTGGCGATCACTGCATTCGCAGTGGGAGACAGGAGGATGGAGACCGGTGTTGCCATGTATCTCTCGTCCGTGTGGAAGGAAGCAGATGACCACTTCACCATCTTGTACTGCAGCTATGCAGCCAAGATCATGAGCGACATCCCTACAGAGCTTCTCTCCCTCCTTCCTTCTTCCAACAGCCCACCAGCGCGGGAGAAAAATGGCAACTCCAAGTCGACAGACGATGCTGACTCGGCCGCTGTGCTCCAGCAACAGCGACCGCGACGCAACCAACAGCGTCAATTCCTTTTTCACTTCATTCAAGAACATACGCATCTGCTCCACTTTGCACCTCGACCCAACTTCGATCGCGGCCCGAGCTTGCTACGCAACCTTTTGGCGTGGGCGGATGACGCACTGGCGACAGAGGACGACATCTTGCTCTGTGCAGACATCGACTCGGTGCTGCTCCAGACCAAGTACAAATCGATCATGGAGCAGGCACAGGCGCAGGAGAAGGACACACTCTATGGCGGCAGCGAGTGCTTCTTGTTGCTGCAGAGCTTCATGGACGAGCTCGAGGGCTGGAGGAGCAGGTGGGAATTGCAGGCTAGGAAGATTGATCAGCGTTTCCAACGCGCTAGCGCGCCGATGGAGGAAGATGACGAGCAACAGCAGGGCAAGGAGCGTCACAATGGAGAGGGTGACGGTGACAAGAAAGACAGCAACGAAGTCAGCGCAGATGGTACTGGAGAGGCAGTAGAAGAGATGGACAAGATTGCTGGCCACCTGCCGCTTGATGCACGCATGCACCTACTCAGCGTTATGCGCAGCAGTTTGGTAATGCAGATCTCCTCTATCGCCTTCCGTGCTTCGCTTCGTGATATCAACAAAGCCAAACCAACGGCCGTTTCTTCCAAGTTCAGCACCTCCAGCAACACGCAGTCTTCAGCGTTCTCGCCCTCTGCTCTATCCGCAATGGACGACCGGGCAGAACAAATCTATTACACATGTCTCGATTCGGCCCTCAACCTTCTCGTGCACACCATGCAGATGCCTCCGTCCATCCTTCGACACGCACAAGACATGATCATGGTTCTTGCCCCGCACGCTGCTCTTCTCGCCACCTATCTGATCTCTTTACCCCTGCCTTCTGTTCCGCCCAATTTTGCTAGCGCAGCAGCTGGATCTGAGAGGTTGGGATACGAGTATGCAAAGGTGAAGACGAGAATCAGGAGGAGGAAAGAGTACGAGAGGAAATGCTTGGAGTTGATGAGGGATACGAGAGAGAGCTTCAGAATGGCGCAGGTTAGGAGTGATGATCATGTTGGATTGTGCGCGCAGTACTTTGACTCGCTGTTGAATGTTATCGAAGGTGACGCAGACGGTGCGGATGGTCCGGGTGGCGGCAGAGCGGGAAGATCTTTGTTAAGCAACACAAGTGTGTTGGCAGGGACGAAGAGGTCGAGAAGCACGCTAGACGTACACCGTTCAGCTCAAGGTGGTGATGACGAAGACGGCAGTGGTGCAACATCAGCACCAAGGAGTGTTGCTCAGACTGCAGCTTCAGACAGCACCGCCTTGGCACGCTCTAGTTTAGCAGGTCCAGCATCGGCTGCTTCTCGCGCTGGTGTTCCACAGCAAGGGTCCCAGCTTCGTCATCAAACCTCTTCAGCACCGACGCGCCATCATCATGCGAGCACGACAAACATGGACGCGTCTGCAGCCGAGACTTTACTCAATCTTCACTCAGAAAGCAGCAGCAGCAGCAGCAGTAGCAGTCAGCCTCACGGGTCGGCCTCTGCCGAAGGCGACGACGAGACCTCTGCTGCCGGCAACAAAGCTACAGCTGGAGTTGCTAGCACGGGCGAAAATTCGTCTTCACAGGTCGGTGGGCGAATGTTCTCCAGCAGCACAGCGTACTACCCATCCTCTTCGAGCTCACATCATCTGGCACACAGGGTTGGCAGCACACCACCTTCCTCTTCCTCCGTTCCGCCCGCAGCAGGCGCAGCAGGAGCCTTCTCACCAGGAAGCTTCATCAGTACAGGCATGTTTGGACACTTTGCCGCGCCTGCATCTTCCATCCCCAACTCGCCTCAGCATCCAGGTTTCTACTCTGGACACCATCCTCAACCGCATCATCACCACCATCATCAGCATCATCAGCCGGCATATCAGCATCAGCATGCTGGTAGTGGTGGTGGGTATGTGCCGCCTCATTCTGGGGCTGCGGGAGAGTTCGGGTTTGCGCCTGGTGTGCTCGCCCCTCCTGGAGGCGGGACAATGACGCCAACTGGACAGGGGGGAACAGGAACTTCAACGCCCGTGGATTGGACTTGGTTGCAGAGCTTTTTGGAGGTTCCCGAGTTTTCTTGGATGTAGGCCTCGCTACTGCGCTGTTATTATGCTGTTTGTCTTGTGTAATCCTAGTATTTGCCTCCGTCTTTCCTTTCCTCCATGTCTGTGCTGTATTCGTTCGTGCAGGGGCATTTCGAATCCTAGAGCTGCTGGAACGGAACGCATAGTGTTCGAGACTGAGCTGGTGAAAGTGTATGATATTGCTGAGACCAAACCTGAAGGACAAATTCGTGTGAAAGTTGCCTAGAAAGCGTTGTCCGCAGGGTGGGTCTTGTCCTCGAAGTACGGAGCGATCTGTGATTAATGCATGCAAAGATTGTAAGTGAGCCTTCTTACTCTTGCAAAATATGTAGAAACGGGAGGGAAATGAAACGTACGACTGGGAGCTTGAGCAAAACATCCTTCTTGAAGAGGGGGACGCTCGACATGAAGAGCATGACGGCACCGGCACCGGCACCGCCCCACATGGCGAGAGTGGGAGCCCACTTGAATACTGCGGCGGGAGTGCTGCGTCGATGAGGCCAGAAGGTATCGAGAAGAAGTGCGATGGGGCATGTGAAAGGTATATGGAGGTAGTTGCATCGATGGAAGATGTGCGAAAGCCGACAAAGTGGAGGAGAGGTTACAGTCAGTGTCATGTTGTCGAGGGTTGTATGCATTTGTGACATGCGATTCTGTGCAGCTGAAGATCTTATCTCTCAGGTGTAGCTGCGAACTGTGTAAGTTGGGCCGCTTCTTCACAGGCTCTACCATTTCCTGAGCCAATCTGCAGGTAGACGAACCCCTATCCTGGACCCTCAAAGTGCTGCAGTCGGCCTAGTCCAGCCGAAGATCTCCTTCCGGTGCGATCGATCGCTAAATGATATGCTCGCAATGTAGATAAAGGATCGTATCCGCAAAGACAATCCACCTGAAGCCTGCATTTGCTGTTTCTGTTTCTGCTGCGATCATTGCGCTGTCGAATCGCAGTGCCAAAACCTGTAGGATACACTTACAATCGGCCGACGTGGGGCTGGAAAGAGGGCTTGACCCGGTAGGAGATGGGGGTTGGACGCATGTTGAAGATTTGCGACTGTGGTCTAAGGGGGGGGCGGTGACTGTGAGGTGAAGTAAAAGAACAACGACGACGATGACGAGCAGGAGTCAATGATAACGACGAGCGGCTTGTGAGTTTGAGAAGACTGGCTCTCGCGGTTGCATTGGTGAGCAACCAGCCCGAAGCGCCAAATTTCCAAACTGTCCGGTTCCGACCCATACAGGCGCGGTTTCCTTTCCCGGCCGGCAGCATCTGGGCGCGCCAAAAATTGTTAAGCCGGTGTCGCAGATTCATCGCTGTGCAGATGAGGAGGATCAGACATGGCATTAAAAATTCTTTGTTTCGGAAGAAAGGCTGTGAGATCGACTTGATATCAACAACTTTGTCGAAATTCGGGAAGATCTTGGCGAGGCTCCGTCTCGGAGCGGATAGGGAACTCGACCGAGAGATCAAGAAGATCTAATCACATGCTCTTTGCTTCCTTTCTTCCGCCGCGAGGCCCTTCGCGTAAGGCTAAGCAAAACTTTGGTTTGCGAAAGCCTTGACCATTTGGGAAGGTGACTCGAAGTGGGAGAAAAGGTGCCGATTGCACGTTTGAAAGTGGCAGAAGAGGGCGAGGTTGAGAAGAAAGCGAGAAGACGCGAGAGGCGAAGATAAGAAGGTGAAAGGAGCCAATCAGATGTCGCGGTTTTATCGCATCTTTTCCCCAATCCCCCCCCATCCATCTGCAAGCTGTACGTTGACACAGAGAGGCTGCCCTATGAATTCATCCCCCGCTTTGTCTTTCTTCCGGCGCTCTGGTTCTTGTGGTGGTCGGTGCGCTGAAAGAGATACTATATCAGACGACAGGTCTTTCATCTAATGCTTCGAGAAGAATGCCAAGTGGTCAAGGTTGCAAAGAGGCTGAACGGGAAGCAGATTCCTTGCTGAACGTCGCTCAAGCTTACAAAGAGAGAGTTGAGCACGAAGCTGCTCGGCACGTCTGAGTCTTCTTGAAACAAGGTGGCAAGCGAGACAGACGGGCAAAACGAGGGTCCTTGCGAAGCGTTTAGACAAGGCTCTCTCTGGGCTTAAAAGAAAAGGTCGTGGAAAGATCCATCTAATCTGTGAAATCTACTCGGACGTTGGCCCTTGCGGTTCACTTGCGCACTGACTTTTCCTTCTGGAAGAAGTTTTGGGGCTAGAAGAACTGATCGCTCGCTTATTGAGAAGTTGAGCACCGGTGAGCAGTGCAACAATAGATGAGCTTTGATGGGCGCTCGAGGTCTAGGAACTTGGTGTCCCAGCAAGAGGCCGGTCAAGAGGCGCTCGCTGCTCCTCAAGCTGGGATCGAGTCAAGGGGCTTAAGCACAAAGTCGATCGCCAAAACATGACCGATGGTCGCACGGTACTTTGGTATGAAAAGGTCACACGAGTAATGATACAATGATGATCAGCTACAATACAGGCGAACAAACGATGATGGCTCGATCTAGTCACACGAAGCCAAGACTACCAAGCCGAGTTGCAAGGTCCAAGGAACAAAAGGGGGCTTATCGTCGAGCTTGTGTTCGGCCTTGATAGTTGCAGGTGCCGAGCTCATGACCATGACACCAATTAAACGGTGCGTCACTTTCAAGTGAAGGGGAGAGCGAGAGAGCGAGATGAAGGCGGGGGAGAGAGGAGGCTGTGGGGCAGGGTCAAATTTGACACGAGAGCGACAGAGAGAGAGAGAGGAGAAAGACAGGCCACAGCCGGCAATTCACCGAACTTGTCCGCCAAAGAGAGCAACAAAGAAGCGTCGGGCTAAACTGTCTAGGACAACGGGGACGAGCCACAAAATAGGGGGGGGGAAAAAAAAGGGAAAAGTAAATAAATAAGTAAGGGTAAGGACAAGGGTTTGTGCCTGCTGTGCCACCTTGAAACCAAAGCAGCGATCTGAGTGTCACACTTCTCGCCCTTCTCACACGGGCGACACAAACTAAAAACAAAGCTCCTGTTGATCATTTCGAGAAAGTCAACCAATTTCAACGACGTGGAATGAGGGTTTGAGGTGGCAGGCAGTTACCCTGCGATGATGGTGGATATAATTTTCAAAATAAAAAATAAATTTCTCCTTGCGTCAGGTGGTTTTTTATTTTATTTATTTATTTATTTATTTATTTTTTTTTATTTTTTTTTGGCGTGACGGATTCGCCTAACTGCTGGGCCAATCCCTCACTACACCTTGCCATGGCCAAGACTCGTTCAGACAGTTCGTGTAGGGGCCAGAGAGGGTTAGGACTTAGGGCAAATAACCCGCAATCTAGCGAAAAGACGCAGGTTTTCAACTCTCTCCGAAGATGGCTCGCTCGTTTGCTCGCGTCCGCTTTAGCCGTCTCGATGGTTTGTCGTCAGATTAACGGTCCGGTTGAACGCGGCCGGGCTGTGCTCTCTCCCTGTCGACGTGCGTTATCAGTAGCGTATTGAACTCGGTCCCTCAACCAACTCGCCTTGTGCAACTTCTCTTTGTCCAAAGCATCATCCTCGCTTGATCTTCCTTCTTCACCTTCTCCTTCTCCATCACCACTACTACCTATCTCCCTGTCCCTTCACATCTCTCTAGACTCCTAGTCTCGAGTACATATCATTCACAATGGCTGTTCCCTTCACTAAGAACCCGGGTAAGTACCTCTCTCACCCCTGTTGACGTCCCCACAACTACACTCTACAGTGTCGATCGATGGCGACCGCTTCCTCGCTCATGCTCTCAGCAATCAGAAAATCGCTAGTGTGACTAGCTGTTTGCTGCTGAGCAATACCGGATGCAAGTCGTTACTGTTTCGCCTTCCTTCTCGTCATTGTTGTACAATTTCAGATTTGGCAGTAATGACGATGAGCAGAGCGGCAAGCTACTGCAGATTGCTGCCAGGAGCTACGCCGTCGCTCAAGTCTCGTGACATTTATCCTAGCTTCCGTGCTCATTGGGCAAGGAACGACATCGCCTCCTGGAATCGTGACAGTTTTACCTAAAAGCACCTTTTCTAAACTCAAACCATCTCCTCGGTGTTGATCCACTTTTCCGATTCCATCTTTGTCGCTTTACAGGTCTCGTCAACCCTTACTTCGAGCTTGACCAGCGTGGCAAGGTCATGGCCGAGTACATCTGGATCGACGGCGATGGCGAGATCCGCGGCAAGACCACTACACTTAACGGCCCCGTCAAGGACCTCAAGGACCTCAAGGAATGGAACTTTGACGGTTCCTCCACCAACCAGGCTCTCGGCGGCAACTCGGATGTCTACCTCCGTCCCGCCGCTTACTACCCCGACCCCTTCCGTCGCGGTGACAACGTCATTGTCCTTGCCGAGTGCTACAACAACGACGGTACCCCCAACAAGTCCAACTACCGATACCAGTGCAACAAGATCATGACCCAGGTCGCGGCCGAGAAGCCCTGGTTCGGTCTCGAACAGGAGTACTCGCTCTTTGACATGGACGATCGCCCGTACGGCTGGCCCAAGGGCGGTTTCCCCGGCCCCCAGGGTCCTTACTACTGTGGTGCCGGTGCCGGCAAGGTCTTCGCCCGTGACCTCGTCGAGGCTCACTACCGTGCCTGCTTGTTCGCTGGTGTCAACATCTCTGGTATCAACGCCGAGGTCATGCCTTCCCAGTGGGAGTTCCAGGTTGGCCCTTGCGAGGGTATCGAGATGGGTGACCATCTCACCCTCGCCCGTTACCTCCTCATCCGAGTCGCTGAGGAGTGGGGTGTCAAGGTCTCGTTCCACCCCAAGGCTGTTCCCGGTGACTGGAACGGTGCTGGTTGCCACACCAATTACTCGACCGAGTCGATGCGCAAGGAGGGCGGTATGAAGGCCATCGAGGCTGCTATCGAGAAGCTCGCCAAGCGCCACAACGAGCACATTGCCGTCTACGGTGCTGACAACGACAAGCGTCTCACTGGTAAGCACGAGACTGGCCACATCGGTGACTTTTCGTCTGGTGTTGCCAACCGTGGTGCCTCCATCCGAATTCCCCGTCACGTTGCCGCAGAAGGTTACGGTTACCTCGAGGACCGACGTCCCGCTTCCAACTGCGACCCTTACCTTGTCACTGGTATCGTCGCCGAGACCACTCTCCTCCTCTAATCCGTTAGCAGCATCCCTAATCTCTGAGCCAGTTGCTCTCCTCTGTGCAGTATGATTCTTAGAGGCACAAAGTGCCGTCGAGCTTGGGAGAGAGACATGTCATGATGAACCTCACGCTCTTTGTCCCTTCTCATATAGTTGCTTTTTTTTTCTTTTTTTTTTTTTTTCTTTTTTCTTTTTTCTTTTTTTTTTTCTTTTTCTTTTCTTTGTCCCCTGTTTTGTTCGTATCGTAACGCCATTGCTCGTTCCACTATTAGAGGCTGCGGAGAAATGGAAGACTGTGCTTGAAAGAGTGTATCTCATTTGTTTCGACCTTCGAAGGGTGAGTAAGGAGCAAGAATTGACCAGGTTGGACTCTGCACGGTCTGTAAAAACTTCTCGTGCTGCTCTGAGCTCCATGCAAAGAGACAAGTTTGCACAACGCGTCGAAATGAGAGGGTTGAAACGGTCACTGCGAATAGGAGAGCAGACAGACCAGCGTCCAAGAAGCAGTGATGCAATCACAGTCATCTTCAAGCGTTGTTGGGTAGGAAAGATACAGATTATTTACTGTGCGATTAAAGAAGAGCTGAAGAATATTTTGTCTCTATGATGGGTATGCTAGGAAAAATGCTGCTTGCAAAATAATTCTAATGTCCTTCGTTATGCAAATGCCTACAAAGAGCGATCCAGAATCGTTCAAGGTCGGAAAACTCTTTCGGCTTTGACTTTGTGGTCTTGTCCTGTTGTGCTGTTTTCTGTTCGATATCTGCGTCTGCTGTCGCTGGTGAAGCTGAGGCAGGTGCAGCTACTTGCTGTGTGGAGAAGGGTTCTGCATGTGAGCCTGGCGAAGCAGGTTGCGTGGCAGAGGCGCTTCCGAAGCCAGCAAGCGATGCGATACCTGCAATTCCAGCAACCTCATCTGTCGTGTTGCTGGACTTGACAGTACCAACATCAGTCTGCTGTGGAGCATAAAGCGTGAGGCCGGTCTCTTCGATCAACTTGTCTCGTCTCTGCGCAATGACACGACGTTCGGGATTGCCTGAGGGTAGGCGATCCGAGATCCAACTAGCAATTTCTTGCACGAGCGTGTCGTCTAGATGCTGAGGATGGAAAGACGAGAGGGCCGAATGCTCGTCATGCTCCCCATCCTCTTGCTGTCTGGTCTGAATGGCATTTTCGGATTCATCGACCGAATCAGGGTCGCGAAGCGAGACGCCGTTCCAACCTTCAGATTCAGCTAGCTCCTCGAAGGATCGGGAGGCAGTCTTGGGCTGCTCGACGGATGCTGCAGTTGAGGAGGAAGCTGACTTGTCAGAGTCATCCGTACCATACTTGACCTTGGACTTGGAGAAGAGAAGCCTGTTGATGTCGATCCAGCTCGACTTGTCACTCTCGCTCTCGCTCTCTGACGTAGACCGCTTGTCGGACTCTTGCGCTGCTTTGGTCGGATAAGGTCTGCCAGTGGAAGGATTGATGTTCTGCCTCCACCTCGGAGCTCCTCCGCCCCGAAGATCCCAGTGATCGCATCCTTCCATTACACCGAGGAACTCGCCCCACTTTGCGCTCTCGACGCTGACAAGCCCATCATTGCCCTGATCGGCACCTCCGAGAGCATCGGCACTACCATCACTCTGTCCTTCGGCCGTCCGGGACTCAGCAGCGGCATCAAGGATAAGCTTGGGAAGCCAAAGCGGATGCCAGATAGCGAGACTCGGAGTACGAGAAGCGACGCTATAGTATTTGACTCGGTCAACATTAGGGGTCTTCGGATTGAAGACCTCGTTCATGTACTTGGTCGAGAGCATGGCATATGCTGGCGTGTCGAGCAATGAAAGCATGTACGAGCTGAAAGATCCGGTGAGGGTGGCGAGGGAACCAATGAAGGACGAGAGACCGAACGGAAGGGAGCCATCGTCTTTCTTGCCTTTCTTGACTGCCTCTTTCACCTTGTCAGAGAGGTCGTAGTTCGAGTTGCCGCTTGCCGAAGACTTGAACGATTCGACGGCATCAGAAGCGGCTGTGAAAAGCGACTCGGCGGTGATCTCGCTTTTGGCCGCTTGAGCTGGCTCTTCTGGCTTACCGCTCCTGCCAGACTTCTTGGGCAAGCTGCCCGAACCTTCCAAGGGCTTGGGTCGGGTGAAGAGCGGACTCTTAAGGGTGTAGGGCACCTTGCTTGTGCGGGCGGGTTGTGGTTCCCGATCGGCAAGATGCGCCCTTTCAGCTCGTGCATCTTCGATGGCCTTTTCGATGTAGTCGTTGCCGACACCGATGTTGGCATTGCACCAGTCCATGAAGGGACTACCGCGATGGGGTGTGCTGATGGTGGTCAAGCTGACTGGGGTGTACTGATCAGGTTTAGGTCGGATGTGGGTCAGAAGATGCCTAACATCAAGCCCGCCCATGCTATGAGCGACAAAGTTGAGCTTCTTGCCGCGAACACCTGCTTCGTCGCTGATGAGGAATTTGTGCAGCGACTCGGCGCGCTCCTGGATAGAGCCAGTGGGAGGCACACCATGGACAAGAACTTCGGCGCCAATCTTTTTGCGCAAGATGTCCAAAGTTTTGGCCCAGTAATGGATCTCGAGGCCGAGGAATGGCCCACGAACGTCGAAGCCGTAAAGCCCATGGCAGAGCACGATAGGATGGCGCGGGACTACAATGTTGTCGTAGATCTGTGGATCCTGCATCACATTGTGGATCCGATCAGCACCGCGTGTTTGATGTCGTCCGTGGGGTCCTGCATCTGCATGAGATTGTCTGTGCTCCGTCTGATGTTCTGAAGCTCTCAACAAGGAGGACAAGGTGCTGGAGAGACGGGCGAGCCAAGTATTTGACCTTGGTTCGGGATGTGACAATGAGCTGAGAGATGACCGCCCTGCAGAGCTTCGGAGCTCATCGACTAGAAGATTGGTGGCAGCATTTTGCGGAACAGAGGTGGTAGGTAGACGATGGCTTGTTCTCGGCCGGGCTGAGGTGTGGACGCTTCTGAGCACAGCTGCTTTGCGGGAGACACTCGAGATGCTCTGTGCGGTGGGTCTGACCTTGGTCCGCTGTGTGGCTAAATCAAGGGTAGGCCTTGTGGGATCTGACGGGCTTGGCGAATATGTGTCTAATAGCGTCTTTTTGGATGTAGTTGGACGCTTGTGTGGTGGAAGCGAAGAGCATGAGTAAGCGGCGAGCCAGCAGATCAAGGCCAGCACACCTGCTCTGGACCGGAGAAGCGATTGAGTGTTTGCTACGCTACGAGAGCATTCTGCCGTACGATTGACGCCATCGATTGAAGTTTGCAAGCGATCACGTAGCAACGATCGCATGGTGGCGTCCATGCTTGCCATATTCCTTTGCAGCATGCTGATCCGTTCCTGCTTTTGATGGGATTATCTCGAACGAGGCGCCGAGAAGTGTCAATGATGATTGGCTCCACCAGTAAGCTTGAGACTTGAAGCTTTACAGCATCGGATGGCAGCAATCGAAGCAGGCTGGTCGGGATGATATGTGGAGAGAAGGGATGAGCTTCGCAGTTGTTGTCAAGGTAGTGCTGATGTTAGTGCCGCCGCCACGGATGTGAGCAAGATTCTTGTGAAGCGATGAACCGTGCCCAGTGGAGTGGTGGTGGTAGCGGTGTGAAAGGTGAGACGGCAGGAGGAGTTGGCGAGTATAGAGAGGTGGTGAACAGGGTTGAGGAGATCAATGAAAGAGGGGTGTTGCTTTGTGCAAAGTCATTGTGCGTTTGTCTGTGTGTTGGCCACGTTCAAAGTGGAGCAAATAGAGCGGTTTAGGCGTGGAATTATTTTTGGGTTCGCTTCCAGAGAGAAAGAGACCGAGTGGCGGCGGCTTGAATTTAGGAGCTCGCGTTTCACAGAAAGCGGTGTACTACTGCGATTTTCCTTTCAGCACCTTTCGTGCGAAATGACCGAGTTGAAATTTGGGGCACTCTCGGCTCAATACTCTCAAAAACAAAACACACTTTCTCACTCACCTCCCAGACAGCCAAGAGGGCCAAATCAACAGAGCAACACAGCATCCATCCATAAGCACGTGTCGTCATCAGCCACCTTGTGTAGCAACGTCACTTTTGTTTTTACCCAAGACACCGTCAGCTACGCATAAGGCTTTCAAAACAAAAGCCTTGTTAGCATGGATCCACTTTGTCTTACCTGGGCTCACCAAAAATATGCTTCACCCCAAAACACTGACATTATTTATGGCGAAAGCATGCTCGCGGTCACGAGACACCAAAAAAAGTTTGTCTGAGACTGATTCTAGTAGGCTTGTGTGTCTGATCATCGACGTCAGGATCAACATCCACAGGGTCGTGCTCCGATGTAATCCAATGCATGTTCTTGAAGCATCAATAGCTGGAATGGCCCGAGGAGATGGCCACATGTTCCAAGGAGACCTCGGAGCCTCGAGTTTGCTTCTGTTAGACCGCCTTCGGCTGATCGGGGGGTTTTTTTTGGTTTTTTTTGGTTTTTTTTTTTTTTTGGTTTTTTTTTTTTTTTTTTTTTTTTTTTTTTTGGTTTCGAAAATTGAAGGCGGATGACAAAGGCTCACCTCATTTTCCAGAAAGTCAACTTCAAGCCGACTTTCGGAAGGTTGTGAAGAAAAGCACTCAAAGATTACCATAAGCTCATCGAACAGACCTTTACATTGCTCCTATCTCCTCTTCACCGCGACCACATACCTTTTGCACCATCCTATTCTCGATTAGCCTGCACCAACCGCTCAAAACCACCGTCAAGAGCATAATGCGGGCCAGCGTCTCCACTTCAAGAGCGGGCAGCCGCCTCCTGCAGCAAAGATTGTCAACTCTCATTTTGCAATCTCCACGAGCTGCCGTTGCTGCCGCTTCAACCGTCGCCCTTCGCCCTGCTGCTCTTTCCAGCTCCCAGCCTTCGAGCTCTCGACTATCGCTCCACACGTCAGCTCATCTCGCACAAGCAGCTCCCGCTGAGCCAGCAGCAGCGCGCGCAGCAGAGACCCAAGAAGTCGCCAGATGGAAGCCAACCTCGCAGCGTGTCGGTCTCATCGCCGTCAAACGTGGTATGACTTCCTTCTTCTTGCCCAACGGTGAACGTATTCCGGCCACTATCCTGCAGGTCCACTCCAATCAGGTCTCGGCCCACATCGGTTTTGGTGCCGAGGTCAACGACTCTACCTACACAGCACTTCAGGTCGCCGCCGTCGACACAAAAACGAGATTACACGTCACAAAGCAGATCCGGGGTCATCTCAGGAAGGCCGGCATCAAGAGCGGCAAAAAGATCATTCGCGAGTTTCCCGTCAGCTCTGATGCCATCGTACCGCTCGGGACTAAGCTGTCCGCAGTTCACTTTGTTCCCGGCCAGTCCGTCGATGTCCGCGCTATCACACGAGGTCACGGTTTTCAGGGTGCCATGAAGCGTCACGGCTTTCACGGTCTGAGAGCATCGCACGGTGTCTCCATCTCGCACAGAAGTCACGGTTCCACCGGTGCCAACCAGGATCCCGGTCGTGTCTGGCCAGGTACCAAGATGGCAGGTCGCATGGGAGGAAACAAGCACGGTACCATTCACAATCTGCTCGTTGTGCGTGTCGATGCGGAGAAAGAGCTCATCTACGTCAAGGGCAATGTGCCAGGACCTAAAGGTGGCGATGTGACACTGCAGGATGCACGACGACCTAGCTGGAAGGGTCAGAAGATGTTCAGGAGAGGTCGTTTGCCCACGGGGGAGGCGCTCTCTGGAAAGGAGCCCGATTCAATTTACTTGGCGCCAGGTGTTGACAAGCTTCCATTCCCTGCGGGTACCAAGACTATCGCAGACAAGCTTCCTGCTGTTGTTGAAATTGGCTTGACACAGCTTGACTCGGTCAACAAGGCATGATCCCTCTCGCACCTCTTGCCATCCTCGCTTTCCCACCGTCCTTCTTCTCTTTTTGTATTCTAGCATATCACAACCATACACATTTCGTCATCATTTTTGGCTGCTCTGAGCGTCTGCTTCAGAATGAGGATCCTGATTGAACTGTGCGAAACCATCTCCCTCGCGGCTGAAGGCTGAGCACTACTTCATGAGGAGCAAGATCGGAAATCCCCGATTTTGGCTCAGCAGACTGACGATGCCTATTATTTGAGAAGTTTTAGGTCCCGATACTGGTGATCGGGGAGAGTCTAAGTACAATGTCACTGCTACTAAAAGACAGAAACAAATATACTTGATTGACTAAGGAGCATTGTGAGGACCTAGCATCCTCAGTTTGATATATATACAATTGTGTGATGTCTGATGAACATGGGAGTATCCTCCTTCATGATATAGTATGGCAACAAGTGGGACTACATTGCACCCAATCTTCAGACTGATCCATCCCATCTGATCACCAATTGCATTTAAACCTGAGTACATTATCTTGTTGGATCACTTTCTTCATCACCCCCTCTCAATCCAGCATGTCTCTCCATTGTTGTCAAACTGATCAAATGCCTAAGGTGTGAGAGTGTTGGTGTCACAAGCAGTTTTGGTCATGATGTTGGCTAAGTTGTTGCTACTCTGGACTGGAACAATTGTGAGTTGCTGACTTGCAATCTTGTCCCATAGAAAGAAGTGAGCTATGTTGATGTGTTTCATCCTTTTGAAGTGTTGTGGATCATTTGCAATTGCTCAGGTGCCAGATGAGTTGCTGTGCAAGATAGGTACATTATGGTTAAAGATGAGTTCACTGTCATGGGAGTGCAGGACAGATGTCCCTGCACTCACCTGTATTCCAGCTGTCATTGACATGGGTTGCTTGAGTTCATGTAAGAACATTGTCATCCACAGTAGTTCCCTTGCCACCCCTGCTAGTGCCACATATTCTGCCTCCACTGAACTGTTCACTACCATCAGTTGGAGCTTGGAAGACCAACTACATACTAGCCCATTGATAGCAAAGACATATCCAGACATTGATCTTCTACAATCTCATGAACCAGCCCAGTTGCTGTTGGCCCACCCTATGAGCATTTGCCCCCTGACTGATGTTGCTGCTGTGAGACTTACCTTTATGGTACCCTTGAGATATCTCAATATGTGCTTGGCTGCTGTTAGGTGCTCCCTGGATGGGTTTGCCACAAAACATGCACACCTTCCAATGGCAAAAGCAATATCAGGTCTACTGCCTTGCATGACCCATAACAATGATCCTACAAGCGATGCATAGTGCCACACCTCTTCCACACTTGCAGTGTCACCTTCTTGTGGTCTGAGGTCGTTTATTGATTCAGTTGCCAGCGTTAGAGCTGTCCATGCTTTCTCCATTCTGAACTTGATCAGAATCCCTTCAATGTATCCACTCTGATCAATCGAGAGTGTGCATTCTTCATGCTTGTACCTTACATTTAATCCAATGATATGGGAGACGTTGCCTTGGTTGGTTATGCTGAACACATTTGAAAGTTGTTGTTGTTGTACTGACTGAATCTGTGCAGTGGATGCTCTGATGACTAGTAGGTCATCAACATATACTGCCAGGAGTATCATTGCATCACCAGAGCCTTGTGTATATACACATGGTTCTGCTCAGCAGCGCTTGAAACCAAAGGCTTGCAGCTGCTCATCAAGTGCTGCATGCCATAGACATCCTTGTCATGGGCCTGGATGCTCAAGAAGCAGAAGGGTCACTGGTTCATATGGAAGGAGCACAGGTATCGAAGATCTAGTCGATACCAGTAGAGAGCATGGTCGTAGTGCAGTCTCCATGGAGACCATGGACTTCTATGGACTCACATGCAAAGGAGGACCGAGCCACATGCAAAGGAGGGCCAAGCACAGCCACGAGGAGGACCAAGCTCAAGGAGCAGGCACAGCCACGAAGAGGACCAAGCTCAAGGAGCATGCAGATGGTTACCACTCAGGGGCTCGAGAGACAAGAGCCAAAGGAACTGACACTGATCAAAGGAGGAGGAGCAGTGTCGAAGGAGTCGACACCAGGTCATGAGGAGGAGGAGCAGTGTCGAAGGAGTTGACATCAGGTCATGAGGAGGAGGAGCAGTGTCGAAGGAGTCGACACAGCTCAAGAGGCACAGGGGTGCCAAGCAGGAGAGGCCCCTGAGCAGTACTCGATGAAGAAGGTACTCTCTGGAGAGAGAGCAGGAGCAGCATCGCTGGCGATGCTGAGAAGAGGTATATAACCATGCTTTCTCATCATCATAGGTCGAGTGGATCCTCATCCACTCTACTCACCATACCACTAGTCAATACTTTAGAAACACAAGTACTCATTAGTTACAGTCAGCATAGCAGCAATCTATCAAGGTTGCTCCTCATCGTAGTGTGTGTGTTGTATCACCACTACCTGATGTCCGAAGGCGCCCATAGCAGGTTAGTGGTCTGGATATAGATAGAACCGAAGGCAGTAGTCCACTGCAGTCCGGGGATCACTTCAAGCATCAAGTCAACACACTGGACACTTGTGTTGACATCACCAACCTTATCACCAACACCATCAACCTCATTATCATCGACATCACCAATCTCACCACCCACACCATCAACCTCATCATCATCAACACTCACACCAGACCTTGGTGTCATCATAACATTGATATTGATCATGCCAAGCTACCCCTGAACGGAGTGTCCACAGAGGTCAGCCGAAACCTACGATAGTATATACAACGAACACCACCTGTTGTCACTGCACAACTTGATAGTCACCGACACCGAGACAATAGCTGTCGCACAGTTTGATAGTCACCGAGTATCTCGACAGACCGACCTGGGTTTCAGGCGCGAGACCCCTGACAATCCTGCTTGTTTGAGGCCATATAATGCCTTCTTCAGCTTGTAGCACTTACCATCATTCTCCTTGGCTTCAAATGTTGGAGGTATCCAAATGTGGATGCTTTTGTCGATCTTTACATTCAGGAATGCTGTGCTGACATCAAGCTGACTAATGTTTAGTCCATATTGTTTAGCAAGAGTGAGCAGGATTCGGACAGTCTGTAGGTGAACAACTGGGCTAAAGGTTTGGTCATAGTCCAGGCCTTGGCACTGAGCATACCCTTGTGCAACCAGTTGAGCTTTGTATCACATTACTCATCATTGGGTGTCCAGCTTGAGTTTGAACACCCAGCAGACACCTATGAGCTTCCCATCCAGTGGGATATCTGCTAGTTCAAAAACATCCATTTTGTTCATGCTTGCCATTTCATCGATCATTGCCTGTTGCCACTTGTTCCAGTCATCATGCAACTTGGCCTCATTGAGCGAGAGCAGTTCCAGTAAGATTCCATCAGCACTGTGCAGTTGTTGGCCACTGGCAATGAGTGCAGCCCCATCCATTACCATTGCTGCAAATGCCATCCATTCAAGGTGATGACTGCTGAGTGATGTTGCTTGAGTTTTGGAACAGGTTGCTGTGAAGACTGTGTAGCTAGGCAGGTTTGCCAGGTCTGGTGATACTGTGCAATCAGATTCAAGCACTGAGACATTGTCATATATGCTTGGGACCATGTCACTGCAGGGTGTTTGAAGCAGGGACATATCCCCAGGATCCTCCAGTGGTGTTGAGGGCTGGAGCATTTTGCCCCCCTTGGTCAGAGCGGCATTGAGCTTGGCATTCAGGTCAGCAGTGATCACATTGAGGTCCACCATGATCTCTCCTGCTGCCTCAATAGCTGCCATCATATGGTCCCAGTCTCAATCATAGCTAGGTGAAGCAGACAGGGGTGGTTGAGATGTGTCTCCATGCTGGCAAGAGTATGGCATCAGCAAGGGCAGCATGTCCTTATCAGGTCTCGTCTCAGTGGGGTCGTTGTCTTGTGGAATCCAAGTGTAGGAACAGAGGAGCTCAGTGTTCCCAGTGAGGACAGGCAGGTGTGATGGGTTGGTGTTGGGCCCTGGTTGCTTGAGCTCAGAGAATCAAATGTCCTTCGCAATGACAATGCAGTCGAGTTCCAGGAGCCATACTTGGTGGCCTTTGACAGCATGTGGTGTGTCAGAGAAACCCAGGTATGTCCCATGGAGGGTGCACAGTCAAAGGTGCTTGCTGGCTACCAGGTGATTGCAAAGCCATGTCAATCAGGTGTTGCCCTGGAGTATGACATAGGTGATGCAACCAAAGCATCATAGTTGATGCAATTCAGGGCATTTTCCATAGAAGAGCTCAAAGGGTGTGAGGTTCCTGCGAGTGGTGCCTGCTAGCCAATTGTGAATGAAGGTGGCTTGTGAAATGGCATATGGCCACCAATGTTCATTGAGGTTTGCATTGTAAAGGATGCTTTGGGCAATCTTCTGAATGGTTTGAATCACCTGTTCAGTGAAGGCATTGTCCAAATGTTGTTGAGTCGGTGCAGCTGTGACTTTGACACCTGTTGATGAGCAAAGGTTGTGGAAGGTGTTAGACCACAACTCACCTTGGTCGATGCAGACCTCTTTGAGTCCATGGTCAAATGTCACCTCCGATGGCACCTGACATGTGGCAACACGAATCCCAGAGAACCACCATGCTGCTTCTTGGGATGCTTGACTCTTATTTGTGAGGCCTCGCATCCAGATCATACTAGAGTAGGCATCATGGATGATCAGTACATAGGCGAACTTGGTTGCACCATGCAAGGGACCCATGACATCCATTGAAACCAGCTCAAGTGGTGCTTCAATGCATCTGGGGTGAGCCGGTGTCCTGGCAGTGGCTTTGCTCTGGATGCAGATGTCACAGAGTATGTCAGGATGAGTGGGTGAGGATGATGGGATGTCATGGGCAAGGGTGATGGTTCTCATATGCAGTGTTGCATCAAGACTAGCATGACCCAGACAACAGTGCCATAGAGCTGCCTTGTCTCGATTCCTGCATTGCCACCCTGGGCTCACCATTTCAGCAGCGAAGGCAAGCGAGATAGCTGGCTCAGGCATGCTATTGTCCCATATGAGCATGGCAGCAGTGGGGTAACCATCTCCAGTTGTTGGCACTTGAATGGCATGGCCATGCTTGTCTTGGATGGTAACAAGTTCATTCTCAAAGATTACTTTACCCTGAGCATGTGTGATGGATTTGGTTCCAATGAGGTTTGTCACCAGATTGGGCATGAGGAGGCAGTTCTGGTACATCATCTGCTCCCATCATCACATCTTGGGACTAAAACTCAGTAGACTAACTGTACCTCCCATCTTAGATGCCAAGAGTTGCCCACTGTCAGCAGTGGTAATACTAACCCTTTGTTCCATGTCTTGCCAACCTATCCCATAGTAAGTGCAATTGACCATGACACAAGATGCACCAGAGTCAAACACAAATGGTACAAGCTGAGGTGGTAAGTTGATTGGTGCTGGCTCAACCTCTGTAAAGAAGGCCAAGACTGGCACTGCATCCTATTCTTCCCAAGAACTTGTAAGTGGTAGTACTATACATGTTTTGGCATGACTTTTCAGTGGTACCTTAACCTTGCCCTCTTTCCAGCATGTGTGTGCCACATCATTGGGACAATGGTTGGCTGCATGACCCAGTTTGCCACACACCCAACAGTTGATAAGAGTGGTGGCTTGCAATGCAGTGAGTTCAGACTCCTCTGTCACATGGCAGTGGCTTGTGGGGGTGATCTCAGCAGCAAGTTTGTAACACTGGCATAGGACGTCAGAGATGCTTTTGATGGTCTGTTCCCTGCCATGGATCTTCTCATGTAGGATGAACACAGAGTTGAACAAGGCATTTCGGTCTGAAGGGAGTGCTCGCTTGAGGGTCCTGTAGCAGTAGTCCAGCTTCCAGGGGTCTTGTAAGTACTCATGCAGCTCTGATACATGAGCTTCCCACTTGACAAGAAAGTCATATGCATGGCTTCCCACCTGGTCCCAGTGTAGATCAAGAGTCACTGCAGATAGTTCATACTCTTTGACAGTAGAATGTGCTTTACATTTATTCATTGCCCAATCAAAGAGGTCCACAGCAATTGGTATCAGCTTGTCTCCATGCTCAGCAAAGTATTCAATATGTAACTTATTAGAGAAGCTCTGCATGATAATTGAGCTGAGTATCAAGTCAGCATCCTCAAAGGTAATCGTTTTTTGGTCAAGGACATTTCATGTGAAAGGGATGATGGATAGCATTGCAAAAACTTTGTGTTGCCATGCATGCATGGAGACCACTCTCAGATCGAGAAGGTCATGTTCATCCCACTGCATCTTTTCATTCAGGCTTGAGAGGACCTTGAGATGGTGGTTTGTGATTGTGCTAAGTTCAGGAGTGGGTCCTGGGGTAGCATCACAACCAACCAGATGATGGCAATTGAAGTTGCTCACAGCAGAGATGGGGGTGTCAGCTCTAACTGGGGCAGGCATCTCCATCTTGATATGGTGTTGTTGCTCAAATGGACCCTCGATCTTGAAGACAAGGATGTGGTTTGCATCCCATTCTTTGTTGGCAAGGAAGTTGTTCACTCTGGTCCTCATTGCTCTACCAAGTTCAATTCAGTTTGGGAATGGACCGAGATCGTGCATTCCATAATAGAGTTCACTAACACACTCAATCATGATGGAGAGAGGTGAAATGACTTGCTTGTTATCACCAGTGATGGCAAATTCTAATAGATTTCCCTCCTTTGGAGCAATCGGTGTGCCATAGACTTCATCAGTCATCATCTGATTGAACTGATTTTGGAGGATTTTCGGTAGTCATGGAAGGAGATCTTCCATCAGAGTAACAAAGTCATCATAAAGGGAGTAGTTTATGTTGGTCATCATTGAAGGTGTGTTCAAGGATGAGGTAGGGTTTTGAATTGGGCTCATAACCTGAGAAGTTTTAGGTCCTGATACTGGTGATCAGGGAGAGTCTAAGTATGATGTCACTGCTACTAAAAGACAGAAACAAATATACTTGATTGACTAAGGAGCATTGTGAGGACCTAGCATCCTCAGTTTGATATATATACAATTGTGTGATGTCTGATGAATGTGGGAGTATCCTCCTTCATGATATAGTATGGCAATGAGTGGGACTACATTGCACCCAATCTTCAGACTGATCCATCCCATCTGATTGCTGATTGTGTTTAAACCTGAGTACATTATCTTGTTGGATCGCTTTCTTCGTCATTATTCTGGCGAAATGGAACCTTTTTCTTTTTCTTTTTTGACCGATTCCGAGAATTTCCACAAGCACAAAGTCATAAGAGTGATGAGACGCTTTCAGCTGCGCTCTTAACAAATGTGTCGCTGCCGCCATCACTCGACAGTCCTCAACCATCATCCTAGCCGCTTTAGAGCTCTCTCCTGTAACAACAGGCTCTTAAGCACTACGTATCAACTCAGACGCATAGCCAGCATCTCACAGGCCATATTTTGCGCCACTTGACAACTTCAAAGCAGTTTTACTCCGACCTCCACCTAGGATCTAGGCAGCCGAAAGATCACTACGAGCCCACAGCCTAGCATTAAATCGGCCCTTTACACTTCAACATGGTAAGCCTTGATCGCAGTGCTCTCTGTTTCCTGTCTTGACTGTACTGGAAAACATGCTGACCCTCTGTCATCTTGTTTACTCTTTGCAACTCGCTACAGTCTCTTCCCAAGGCATTAGCACAGATCCTCTTTGTGGGCACGCAGATCGTCGGGAAAGCATTGTTGGAAGCTGGACGACAGGCAGGAAGGAATGCCCGTGCAGGCAGGGTAGAGGCTTCGGCAGCGGGTGCTGCTGGTGTTGGCTCTGGATCAGCAGCTTCACCATCCGATCAGCTCACAAGAACACATCGCATGACGCTCGATGAGGCCAAGCTCATTCTCAATCTAAAGCAAGACCTATCGGCGGCTGGCCTCGGAGGTGCAGCATCATCAATACAAGGCGAGGGCAAGTCGGTCCTTGACGAGGTCCGCGAAGCTATGGTCAAAAACTACGACCACCTTTTCGCTACCAACGCGCCACCAGCACCAAAGGGTCAGAAAGGTGGCGGAGCCGGCTCTTTCTACATCCAGAGCAAGGTTGTTCGCGCACGCGAGAGGATCGAAGCCGAATGGCGTCTCTTGAATGCAGGCAAGAACGCTGAAGCCGAAGCCGGCGCCGCTGAGACTCCTTCGACTGGAGCTAATGCTGATCAGGCTGACAAGAAGCCATGAGCATCGACGGACACATCACATTGCCTCTTCCACCATAGAAAAGCAGCGCCTGTCCCCAACGGCTCTTAGCCACCTTTGGGTCTAGAGTCTGCCATCTGTAAATACTGTATTACCACCAAGAATCTCTCTTCGATGAATAAGGCTTCGCTTAACTTGGCATTTACGCTACCACCATTCTTCCATGTTTAGTACGCTCGCATCCAAACACCCGGCTATCATTGCGCCTTAAATCAATCTCAGCATAATCTCTCAGATACCGACCTGCTGTAAACGCTTCCACAACGCACCAGTCTTGGCGAAAGATCGAGCTTGCGGATTGGTCATGTGTCAGAGTGCTTGTCAACTTTACCTCACCACAAATTCCATCAAGTTCGAGACACCGAGCCATAATGCAAGTGCCTCTCTCTTTGAGAAAGTGCCACAGGAGTCTACACACTCCTCGATTGATGTCGTATCTCAAAGCAAGAATCGCTATCAGAGGCAATGTGGGTCGGTGCGCTTGTGATCGTCAGGTGACTCGCAGGGCTCAAATAATGTCCAAGCGCCATTGCCGAGAAATATAAAGTGCTGTGCCATTTGCTGCCTTTCTTTCAGGCCTGAGAGCCCTAAAATTCTGGGCTGGACTCGTGGAGTCACTGTTTTTGATTGGCGTAGTTCGCACATGCTTGATTTTTTTGAACAAGAGTTGCCTCTCTCACCTTCGACAAAGCTCCTTCTCCTCTCACCTGCACATCAGACTGAGACTATCACCTTGATTCGGACCTGCTACATACTTTCCTATATCCTACCAGAGATCTAGCAGAGTCTCATCCCTTATAGACAACTTCATAGTCTCGAATCGGACGGCTAGCCGGCTTGCGTACCACATCATGGCTTCGCCTTTCCCAGTAGCCTTGCCCGTGTCCAGCACACGGGCTCACAACGACTCGTCTTCAGTCCTTATGAAAGTCACTACAGAAACAGCTCGCAGAAACGAAAAGATCTTGCCCAAGGACGGCGAGCCCAACGTCCTGGTCACCTCAGCACTTCCCTACGTCAACAACGTCCCACATCTCGGCAACATCATCGGCTCCACATTGAGTGCCGACGTCTACGCACGATACTCCCGAACAAGGAATCGCAACACCCTCTACATCTGCGGTACTGATGAATACGGTACTGCCACCGAGACCAAGGCGTTGGAGGATGGTGTCACACCACAGGAGCTTTGCGACAAGTACCACGCCCTCCACGCTGAGGTTTACGAATGGTTCCAAATCGGCTTCGACCACTTCGGCCGCACCACCACCCCGAAGCAGACCGAGATCGCACAGGACATCTTCCTCAAGCTTCACAAGAACGGCTATCTGGAGGAGCGCACCATGACCCAGCTCTTCTGTGAGAAGTGCGTTCGCTTCCTTGCCGACCGATACGTGGAAGGCATCTGCCCTCGCTGCGGTTACGATGATGCCCGAGGTGACCAGTGCGACAAATGTGGTCAGCTTTACGATGCTGTCGAGCTTGTCAAGCCGCGATGCAAGCTCTGCTCGTCACCACCTATCCAGAAGGACTCTTCCCATATGTTCATTCGTATCGACGAGTTGCAGCCATTGACCGAGAAGTGGGCCAAGGAGCAGGCAGAGAAGGGAGGATGGAGCTCCAACGGCAAGCTCATTACCGAGAGTTGGTTCAAGGAGGGACTCAGACCTTTTAGTTTGACCCGTGATCTCAAGTGGGGTGTGCCCGTCCCTATCAAAGGTATGGAGGACAAGGTGTTGTACGTTTGGTTCGATGCTCCCATTGGATACCCAAGTATCACTGCCAACTACACCGACGAATGGGAGAAGTGGTGGAAGAACCCGGACAACGTCAAGCTCTACCAGTTCATGGGTAAGGACAATGTTCGATTCCACACCGTCATCTTCCCCTCTTGCTTGATCGGCAGTAAGGACCCCTACACTCTGCTTCATCACGTCAACACCACCGAGTACCTTCAGTACGAGGGCGGCAAGTTCTCCAAGTCGAGAAACATTGGTGTTTTCGGTGACAAGGCACGCGATCTTGGACTTTCTGCTTCCGTCTGGCGATACTACCTCCTGGCCAATCGACCCGAGACCGCTGACAGCCAGTTCGCATGGCGCGATTTCATCGCACGCAACAACTCGGAGCTTCTCGCCAACCTGGGTAACTTTTGTAACCGTGTCCTCACTTTCATGAAGAAGTACGACCATATCATTCCCGCCATCCCTGCCGACTCGGAGCTGCGGAGCTACAAGGACGGTCCCGTCGTCGCAGCTACGGAGGGAGCCGACGACGCTTCGGTTCTCTCTCGCTTTGCCCGCGATGTCAACTCCATCCTTGCTCAGTACGTCTCATCTATGGAAGCAGTCAAGATCCGAGCTGGTCTTCAGCACATGATGGCCATCTCTGCTCGCGGTAACCTCTTCCTCGTCGAGTCGCATTTTGACAACACCTTGTTCAACGAGAACCGCGCTCGCTGCGACGAGGTCATGATTGTCTCTCTCAATCTCATTTGGTTGCTTTCGGCTCTCATCCACCCCTTCATGCCCGAGACCTCGGACTCGATTCTCAAACAGCTCGATGCACCTCCCCGTGCCATCCCCGAAGACGACAAGTTCTCCCTCGACTTGCTTCCGGGTCACAAGGTCGGAAAAGCAGCTCACTTGTTCAAGCAGATCGATCCCAAGCAAGAAGAGGTCTGGCGTATCCAATTCGGCGGTGCTGCCGATGCAAAGAAGGAGGGTGAAAAGCCACAGATGAGCAAGAAGCAAGCGATGAAGGCGGCAAAAGCAGCCAAGAAGCAAGTTGAAGCTGCTAAACCGCAGGTCAAGAACAAGACTCCCGAACTCATCCATCTTGAAACTAAGGTCGCAACCGAGGGTGAATCATTGAAGAAGTTGAAGGAGAGCGTCAAGACCGCTTCCGAAGCCGAGGACAAGGCTAAGTTGGAAAAGGAGGTCGAGTCGCAGTTGTCGAGTTACTTGGCATTGAAGAAGGAGATGGAGGAATTGACTGCTAACTTGGCTAAGCTTGAGATGGAAGCTGAGGGTGATGCTGCTCCTGCTGCAAGTCAGTGATTAGGCAGAGGATCTGGAGTATAGATGGATTTGGTCTCTTTGGTTCATTCTTTTCAGCGTACGGTCCCAGCATAACCAGCATAACGATATAAATCAGTCACTGATATTGCGTGTGATGGCGCCGTGTGTATGGTATTACTAGATCGCGAGAGACCAGTTAGACAGCTGACCCTGGCTGAGAGATCATAAAGTATCCAACACTAGCATTTACTGTTGCTGCTGCCACTGGAAACCCTCCCGCACCCATGGACGAAACATTCTCCACGATTCTCGGCAATCTTGACATTGCCAATCCCGACCTTGCCTGATTTGCCAAGACATCATGTTCCAACCTCTCCAACGTCGCCAACAGCCTCGCTGCGTTGATGGTAATATGTTCGCAGTGGAAAGTCAGCTCCACGCGCTCATTAGAGGCTAGATTGGCATACTGCGCAGATAGCGGGGGCCCAGAGAGATAGTCGTGTGAAGAAGAGGAGAGTGCGGGATGGGCTACGTGCGCACGAGAGGAAGCGTGGGGTTGAATACTCAGTGTACATGATGTATTGTCGAATTCGAGCGTTTTCAACTCTGGTTCTTGCGAAGAAGAGGCGCTGTTGGAGGAGGCTTGAGGCTTGAACCATTCTCGAAACACTCGATCAAGACCTTCAGCGAGAACTTTGGAGTACCGCAATCGGTGTCCGGAAGCATCTTCGCCTCGAAGGATGGCTCCGATGGTGGCATTGACGTCTGGAATGCTTCGTCGGGCAGTGAGGGTGAGGATGAGACTTTCGAACGAGTCGAGTGGCTCGAGTTGGAAGGCGTAGCATGCTGGTTTGTCGGCTGCTCGGCGGGGAAGGCGTGCGGAGCTACCTGCTCCAAGTCCAGTAGGAGCGGCACGGATGCCAGGGGGACCCGCCCAGTCGTATGCGTCGAGCGGCTCTTCTAAGCTTTGCTGTGTGGTCGCTAGGTTGGCGTGAGAGCGGGTGCTGGGGCCAAGACTGGCGTTTGGATGTAGTGAGTGACGGTGAGCTGCCTCAAGATTCTGTCTGAGGAAAGGGTAGGGAGCGTTCGCGATCTCTTGTGCAATCGCTCGAGCTCGTGAAGTGCTGGCTGTTGAGCTCGATCGGCTGCGACTACGAGATCGAATTGACGATGAAGAAGAAGGATTGCGAGAGAGGCCTGGTCGACGCGGCACTCGCTCTTCGAGGTCCAGCGAGCTTGATACAAAGGCCTGTGTAGCTCGATGCTGATCGTTCTGAGCCAAGCCTGGCAGATATGGCTGAAAGGGTGTCGTGATGTAAGGCCCGGCTCCCATTCGTGTCCTCTCGGGGCCTATGGAGACTGAGTTTCCCCGACCTCTTCCTGAGCTTCTTCCACCGCGCAGCCGCTCGGCATCGGTAGAAACACGACTGCTCGAGCCCTGTGCGAACTCGAACACTGCTGCCGAGCTCAGTGGTGGTCGTTGAGCATGGATACAGGGCGTCACGGGAGCAAAGTGCGAGAATTGCAACGTATGTTTCGCCGTCACAGTATCGATAGGTCGCTGAGCCTCGAACTCGAGCACTGCTGCACCATCTGCATTGGCAGAATGACAGCCAAGGCCAAGGTAGCGGAGACAGTAGCGTTGGATGTGTGCTTCGACAAGATTGTGGAAATGGTGATTGGTGAGCGAAAGGGTCCGAACCAATGTCTTGGCCGGGAGAAGGACCAAGATGTAGGCCTGGAGTTCGAGCGGTATATCACCTAGCATCCTGTGTTGACAGATGCGGTAGCCTTCGAGGAACGAGTGAGCGATAGGCTCCACCTTGAGTGTGATAGCCAAGTATGGTCTAGTGTCAGCGGTCTTGAACACAATCCACTCAATCGCTGCCGGCTTTCATGCAGGGACCAACAAAGGTGCAGCCAACGTGTGTAACAAATCCCACTTTTATTTTTATTTTTAATAAGCCAGGCTACGGCTCTGGGGCAGTGTAGCATTCGTGTTCTCCACATTTTTATCAGAATGGTCGCACCATCACGGTACAAGATGTGAGATCGGCCTCACTCACAAGCTTCTCTTCGCTTTGCTTGCCCTAGCGAATTTCTTCTGCCTTTTGAAGCCTTCACGAATACGAAAGGTCCCGACGAGACTGTGACAGCTTCAGTAGAACGACGGAGCTCGAGGTATGGGCAACGGTAGCCGTCATCCAAGTAACTTCTCCCGTTGCGGTGATGGAGCAGCATGCCTCGGATCAAAGGAGCCTCATGACCAAGACTTGACCTCCTGCCGTTCTCAGTGTGTTGTCGTGCCAGGTCGCAACTACTAGCCTTGTGCAGCTCGAATCTGGGGTCCTGAATTTTGAAATTACATTGTGTTTGATCTGTTAACTAGTCACATTGGCGAACGCAAACAAAAGCCAAAATTTGAAAGAAAAAAATAAATGTACAGTTCTGCCGATATTCTCGGCCGATGTCTGCCCACTTCATCAGGCTCTAACATTGGGTTCACAGGGCAAACAGCGCCGACGCTGGACGCTTCCAGTACTGTAGTAGAATTCGTGAACCATCTGTTCGTCACCATCTCCAACCACCAACCCCATCAAGGTAAGTTTTGTCGACATATACGACAGGGTCATGCTGCCAGATCTGAGCATGCCTACGACGCACAGCACAATGCACGTCAACCAGCAGGTTCCAACCGTATTGGTAGCCGACACATCAGCACTACTACTCGTAATATAACTCGACTTTACCAACCTTGGCAGCGAAGGCGTCAGAACAGCCACACTCATTTCCTGTTCTGCATCATTCACACGTCGATTCAGTATTGGTTATCCAAGAAGGGTGCTATCAGCAGACGAGAGCAAATCAAGTTGGCACTGTCCTTCGTCTTTAGTGCACCTATCCTCATCTTTCGTTGGAGAAACCGAAAACATCAAACTCGCCTCGCATCTAGTCAGACTTCCAGTAGTTTTGTGACCCACTTCGCATCGATCTCTGTCGCACACTTGTCTATCCAACCACACCCCTACAAACGTTGTCACTTCCTACCGTCTGTTCAGATCAGCAGCAAAACCCGTCCGACAGCCCATCTCCTCTTCTACAACGGCTCAGATCACTTAACAATTCCCACTCGAACTTGCCTCTCTCTTCCGACTTCAACCTCTTGCAGTGATTCAAGATGTCCAAGGCCGCTGTTGGTACTAAGTTCCGCATGACCCTGGCTTTGCCAGTCGGCGCCGTCATGAACTGCGCTGACAACTCAGGTGCCAAGAACCTTTTCGTCATTGCCGTCCACGGCATTGGTGCTCGTCTTAACCGTCTCCCTGCTGCCGCCGCCGGTGACATGGTCGTCGCTTCCGTCAAGAAGGGTAAGCCCGAGCTCCGTAAGAAGGGTAAGTTTCCAATCTTTACGACAAATAATCAACCAGGCAGCTCTTGCCATCATCAGCATCATCACGAGGATAAACACATCGCACAGCATAGAAGAGGGACAACGAGTGATCATACCCAGGGAAGAACGAGGCAAGATTGCCTTGGTTTGCACAGCATGATACGGACACGCAAAGTCTACTACTAGGAGTGGCAGGCAAGGAAAGCGACATCACTTGTCTCGCTAGCAGAATCGGACCCTGATACGAAGGCCGAAGGGCGAATGGCAATTCACGTTCAAAAAACGGGAGAGACCTGCAGCAATCAATGCGGCACGTAGTTTGCAGAAGGCCGCTCTTTATGGGAGGGCGTGTTTGACGCAGCAAACACAGACTCGGACAGATGGAAAAGAGGAGTAATATGGCTGCAAGATGCAGAGGACGACATTGCCTCTTCGTGATGGTGTACATTGCTGATGGTGCAAGAGCTCGACTGACAGAGACAAACCTCTCTGAATTTACATTCCGAACAATCGCAACTGACATTCACCCATCCATCTCATTCACTTTCGCTCCGCAGTCATGCCCGCTGTCGTCGTCCGCCAGCGCAAGCCTTGGAGGCGTCGTGACGGTGTCTTCCTCTATTTCGAGGACAACGCCGGTGTCATTGTCAACCCCAAGGGTGAGATGAAGGGTTCCGCCATCACTGGTCCCGTTGCCAAGGAGTGCGCCGATATCTGGCCACGAATTGCCTCCAACGCCGGTACCGTCGTCTAAGCGTCCACGCTTTCCGCGCCCCTTCTCTCTATCTATCGCATCTTGTATTTCATACCGTCGTCACTTAGCACGGACATGCGCACAGCTGTTTGCGACGGGCGAACGCATTCCTATCGTCTCGTCGGACGTGTTCTGTCGTCACGTTTCCATCGCCTGATACGACTTACTCTCACTCTCTACATCCCCCATAAACCCCCAAAAATGACAACATGCTCCTGACATGAACCAACAGACATTCGCAGTGCCGTTTTGTGCGCTTTGGGTGACTCTTGTGTTTTGCTACATTGCCAGCTCATGAGAGGAGCGAGACTTTGGATCGTGAAACGCAACCTTCAAGCGGTGAAAACCAAGCCATCTCACCTCACCTACATTGGCAAACAAGAGGCGCTGATGCCGATGCTTCGAGGCGGGTCAAAAGCTAGAGGTGTGTTGATTTGGAGTACCTGTGCTCGACAAGACTAGATGGGCAGGAGATACTCCTCGGTCTATCGAAGCGGCGAATTCTGAAGCTTTGTGGAGGTGTTACGAAATTCTAGGTCAGAAGAGGCAGACGTGGCTTCAAAGGTCATTCCTTCAATCCTTCTCCATCTTGATCATCATCCCCACCCTTTCAGAAGCGGCCGACAGTCGTTACAACGACGCAATGGAAGCTTCATTGCCATGACATGACCATCAATCTCGGGTCCTCAACTCAGGAGCGTTCTGCAAGCAGACGAGTCGTGGGCTCAGGATCGTACGCGATGTCGCCGACTGCGAACGTCAAGCACGTCAGCGGTGACGGCGGTGTCAAGACATTAGAGGAGCAACTATCGCAGCTATCGATACAAGAACCTGCTGGACAGCTACTCGAACAACTAGGAGATTTCGACTACTCCGATCTACTTCCACAGCCAGCTCTGCCACCAGAAGTACTCGAAAGGGTCGTGCGTCATCTTCATCCTGGAGCTCTGATAGGCGATCCTCTGGCGCATGTGACATTGATACGACTCAGCTGCGTCAGTCGACTGATGAGATACTGGGCGCTGGACACACTCTATTCGATCATCATCCTACCCCGTCATGTGAGGGAGTTTCGCAAATGGTACTCGAGAGCAGTCAAGGCACAACCGGCATATCAATTCGCAGGCTACACAAGGGCACTGTTTTGCTCTCTGGACGATGTTTCAGCCTTGACATCGTTCTCGGCAGGATGGGACCACGAACTGCTGCGACTGCTTCACTACTGCGGTCCGACCCTCACACATCTTTCCCTATGGCGTGCCGAGTCGATGGCTTTGCTGCGAGACCCTGGCCAAGTCAGAGAAGGCTACCGCTTTGGTTCATCTCAGCCTGTCCAAGTTTGGGGCGAGCTCGGTGAGGGCGAGCCCGACGCCGAAGCTCAGGAGGAGGTCGAAGTGGATGACACAGCCCCACCGGAAGCAGAGCACGCCGACGATCTATTCAGCAAGGAAGAGCTCGATGACATGCCAGGATGGCTCAAAGCTGAGATCCGAATGCAGGGAACCCGAGCTGTCACTAATCGCCACAAAGCTCATCTTACACCGACAAGACGCATCACACGACGACATCACGGCTGTCAGCCCACGCATCTCAGCATCATGATGAGCTTGCCCTTGCTGGAGCATGAGGATCTGAAGGTGTTTCCAAGGATGCTCATCTGGCATCGTGTTCAGGAGCTCGATGTGCACATCTCGACGCCGGGACACACTCCAAAGGCCTTAAGGCTGCTAGCGAGTTTGCGTGAATCGCCAATACGCAGGCTCAGGATCTCCACGACTTTTGCATCGCTTTGCATGATGACTCCGCCCTTTCCGCCGTCCAAAAGACAGCGAGAGGCGAGTGCAGAAGGAAGAATGCAAGACCTCAACGGCTATGCTGCGCCGACCTTCTACGGCCAAGGTACAAACAGCGACTTCATCCCAACTCTCAACGTGTGCGATGCGCTGACGAGCATATTGCAAGACAAAACGCTGCGGAAAGTGTTGGTAGACGAATTTCAGGGCAAGGCTTACAGCGCTGTCCCCAACCTTGAGCAGGTGTTGACTCGACGCTGCTTTGAAGGTCCGACTAGGAAGCTCAGTAACCGCACCAGTTGTCCCGATAGCGTAGCGACACCACCACAGACGATCGCCGAAGCTCCCGTAGATGCAAAACGCCAGGCTGACTTGGGACGTAACTTCCGTCTTACTCTCACTCGCGGCAATCAGGCCATGTGGGCTAAGCTCAAGGATCGTCTCTGGGACTTTCGACAGAGAGCAGAGGGGATCAGCGATGGTTCGTGGGAGATGCTATCATAGATCGTACATGCCCTTCGCTCGAATTGTCGAGCGAGATCGCCAGCCGAACATATATCCAGTATCACGTCGCACCCAACTTTCTGTACCTTCGCAAATACAACATATCAAAGGAACATGTAGCGATTTGTGGGCGTCGAAGCAAGTGAAGGACAACGTCGAGAGCGCTACTTCATATCGAGGCATCGGGACGTTGGCAAGCCCGGTCACAGCAAGTCAGGGTCTGTGTGGGTCTTGCGTTCAGCCCGGCTTTTGGAGGACCAAGCTGCGTGCCAAGCCGTGCTTACACAGGTCGAAACGACAGGGATACACTCTATCTGAGCAGATCAGAGCCCTTTAATCTGGTCTTCTCCCGGCGCAATCAGCCTCTTCAAAGCGTACCCAACGCCGATACCAGGTATTCGATGCTTTGACTCGTGCTAACGTCGTCTCTCACTGTCGAAAGGCGACAGCTACATCTGGAGCCGAATCGTCTTGCCGGTGAAGTATAGAGAAATGCGGAAAAAAGTGACTCTCACTCGGACAGGGTTCATATTTTGTTTGGGTGGGACTAAGGTCTTGCAGCGGTAGTGTGGCGCGCGGTCCAGAGCAGACACCGCAACCGCGTTCAGGTACGAAAGCGTCGGTGAGAGCTAAAGTCCCGTCTCCGCAATCCGAGAAAAAATCGACTACGTCACCAACACCACAGCACGCCAAGCACGCTTCGGCTGAATCGAGTGGTCGTCGTTGTCTGTCTTGTCTCTGCTACCATCCCATGCTTGAGTTCGCAGGCTCCAGCTCCCCAAATAGCTAGCCACAAGGCATAAGCGGGGGTTGTGACGCTACTCAGCAACACGGCAAACTCGCACTCATCTTCAGCAGTCTTATCGAAAGCTTATCAGAACGGATCATCATCCTTGACGCCACGGACTCGAGATCCACGACACACCGTCATTGTATACCGACCACGGAATACGCGGTTCAGGATTGCTTGGCTCACGAGCCAGTGGCATCCTTCGGCCGCCCACGATGCAACCCACTCAGCATATGTCCATGAACATGGGGCAAGCTCCAGGAGGCATGGACTCATCGTCACATCAGGGCACCCATGCGAACAATGCACTCTTTCCGAATGGCATCTCTCATACTTCGATGCAGGCAGACTCGCTCACATCTGCACTAAACCTTCTGACACCGGACCTTCTGCAAGCACATCCTCAGATGCATCAGTCTTTTGCTCAACTTGCTGCGTCTCAGCCTAGAGGCTCGGCTTCTCTGCTTTCGCAAGTGCAAAACCAGCTACAGCCTGCAGCTCAGCCATTACTGCCACAGCAGCCTCGCGGTCCAAATAGCATTTCTCATCATCAACCACTAGACCAACAAACACATCAGCAGCGCTCGCATTCACGTCAGCAGCAGCATCGTCCGCGGTCGCAGCAACAACAGCAGCAGCAGCAGCCACAATCGCATCACCAATCTCACCCACTTCCTGGCCAGCAAGCTCAACACCAACAACAGCCATTACATCGTCTGAATTCCCAACAGCATGCACCCAACTCGCAGCAGCAGCCGCAACAACAACAGCAACAACCCAATCTAGCCCAGCTGCTTGCAGCGAATCCTAATGCCCTCAACACCCAATCTTCGCTGCTGCAACAACATGCCTCCATTTTGTCAGATAGCCGCGCATCCGTGTCTAGCTTCTCGCACTCTCTGCACGAAGCGAAGCAGGCAACGCCATCTGATCGAGCCGATATTCGAAACGTTGTCTCTATCCTCGAGCGCGCGTCGAAGACACTCGTCTCCGAGCTTGAACAGGGAGTAGTGAAGCTGCGAGCGCTTGCGAGTTCGCAAGCGTTCAACAACATGGCCAGTCTCTTCAACGGTAGTGTCGGTGCGAATCAGCTTGGGCAAGACGGAGGCGGAGGACAGGATCTCTTCGGTGCGCTTAATGGCTTCGGCATGCCCGGGCCAGGCTTGCAACAACAGCAGCACAATGCAGGGGGCCTGCCTTTTGACCTTGGGCTTGCCTTCCAGCAGAATCCTCAAGCCAGGGGCATCTTTGGAACTGGCAGCACCAATGTGCCTGGCGGCGCATTCAGTGGCTCGTTCAACAACGATGGTCGATCTCCGGGCACAGGCCCGCAAGGTGCCAACGCCGCCCAGAATTCGCCATTCGTATCGGCGTTGCTCGCACAGTATCTCTCGCAGCCAACGGATCCAGCGAGCCGTCAAGGTGCGCTTTCGCTCTTTCAGTCTCTTGCCAATGGAAGCAACAATGGATCTTTGCCCAACTCGATGCAGGGTCTCGAAGCACTTCTCAACCAAGGCTTGCCTCAGCAACAGCAGTCGCGGGTAGGAATGCCCGGTATGGACGGAGGCAAAGCTAATCAGCCGGCAGCGCCGCTAGCGAACGGTGCACCGCTCACCAACGCTGCTGCTTTGGCTGCTTTGACATCATTAGGCATCATGCCCGCCATGCTCGAGGCTTTGGGTCTTGGATCTGTGGCACAGCAGATGCTCGAGGCTCCAGTGGACAGTGATGCCAAGCAGGACGCATCTAGCAAGATGGTCGGACCAAGTGTATCTCCTGCTCGACGAGACGACAGTCCGGATTTGGATCCAAGCGACCCATCTTCCGAGCCGGCAAGAAAGAAGCGCAAGCAGGTTCGAGGGAAAGCGATTAGCTCGTCATCCCATGTGAATGCCGATGCAAGCTCCTCCAAGCTGCCTCCCCACGTCATCGGCGTCGATGCAAAGAGCACAGCAGTCGCACCTTCTGGCCAGCCTGTTCCGACGCAGAGTATCTCGTCGAAACCTGCCATCACAGCTCGTCAAATCGATCGCAACGCAGTTTCCATACCTAATATGCCGGGATCAGCAGCTTCATCGGACTCTTCTAGAAAGATTCCAACACTCGGCGTGGGTCTACGGCAAGAAGGCGACAAGCGCTACCGCAACCGTAAACTGCTTCGCGATCTTCGCGAGCATCTCTACCGCTGGCTGGGGACGGACGAGTTCCGAAAGCTGCGAAATACATACAAAGTGGCTGAATGGGTGCCCAACCCGAATCTCACCGAAGAGGAAAAGCAGATACTTGCCTCGCTTCCTCCAGGTGCAGTGGCGCAGCCGCCAATCACAAAGCACATCTTCCACGTCGACTTCACCAGTCGTGATTTCTACCGCACCAATCAGTCGCTCATCGATGCCATTGTGGCGGAGGGCTCAAAGAAGGTTGAAGCAAAGCCCGAAGCGTATGCGATCGTACCCGGTACGATTGATCGGGATCATTTGGAAGATGTTGCCAAGGACCTGATGGATTCGGCACGATCTGGTTTCCGCATGTCTCTGCGTACAGGCTTGCAAGCGGAGAAGGAGGACAAGGAAAAACACGAGAAGTATCGAGGTGTCGAACGAGCCAAGACCAAATGTCGAAATCGTGAGATCGGTGCAGGCCGCTTACGACATGCTATTCCCAAACAGCTGCTCATCCCCGGTGCATACTCCGACGACGCTGCCAGTGACGAAGATCTACACGGCCTCACTAAGTCCGAATGGAAACGACAACGATTGCGCAAGCTTCGTATCGCTAAAGGATGGGAAGCGGTCACTCCCAAGTGGCGCAACAAGCATCTCACTCGTGCATACCACAAAGCAGACATCGTCAGTAAGAGCAAGCAGATGGCTCGTTGGCGTCGAGACGATCCGGTGGATCTGCCGATCCCAATCAAGTTGTACGGCAAGTTATTGCCCAAGCAGCTATTCGATCCTGACTGGCTGGCAGAGCACAGGAAGAAGTTGGAAGACGAGCCGTACTGTATCAGAATCAATGACAATGACATTGAAGGTTGGGATGAATCGCATCATCCACTAGGTGAGGACACTAGCGATGAGATGGAATGGAGCGATGCAAAGGAGAGTTCAATGCGCGGAAGAGGGTTGATAGGCTCAAGTGGAAGGGAGAGGGGGAGCACCACGCAGTCACCTGTACCTGGGCCATCTGGGTCAAGCAGTGCAGCAAGGACAGATGCAGCGGTGGGCGATGACAGTAAGCCTGGTTCCGCTACGCCTGCGCTGGCCAGCACTACCAAAGAGTCTCCTGATGCTGGCAGTATCGCTGCAGTTGGTGCTACGGCGGAGGATGTTTTGAGCAAGAAGCCGCCACCTGTCGATGGCAATGCAGGATCGGAAGGCTCAGGAACAAGCAGCGTATCAGGCAGCTCACGATCAGGTCATCCTGATGCGGGTGATTCTGGTGGCAGCGATTCAGATTCCGACGTCTCCATCGCTCCACCTCCAGTCTCTGCCAGCGAGGATGACAAGGTGAAGGCTGATCCCTCGAAGAGTCCATCAACCGAAGCTGGTGCCACTAATAAGGCTTCCTCTACTGAGCCCTCTGCCGCTGCTCACGGAGCATCGCCAAGCGATTCTTAGCTCCAATCCACACTTCTCAATTCTGAACTCACTGGATGCTCGCTGCCTAGAAATCCAAACACGCTTTCTTCTCTTGGCTTCATCACAACTTTTGTCTGGGTCGTCTGCACTTCTTCCAGCACTGAGACTGTCAATCCCATCGCAAGGGAAGAATTACCGTGAGCGACTTACTAAAAACGAATGGAGGTACTGTTACAAATCACGGCCAAAAATGCAGCAGAGAAAAGCATTTTATATATGTATATATCAGGCTTTAAAAGGCCCAGTAGATTGCAATGCCACGACGAAGTGAACAGGATACAACAAAACAAACAAAGGAGGGAGGGGGATGAAAAATGCCCCTAAGGCCATGTTCGAACTTCTCTCTGTGACAAGGGGAGGCAGAGTTGGGTCCTCAGAGAGGTGGTTTCTGCTAAAGATAACGATCCAGCAGGAAGCTAAATTGACGAAGGATTGGGCAAAATCGATCTGGAATGCTATTGGGGAAAGTAGATCTGATTGTAGATCAGATCGAGCCAATGCAGCATGAATTGTGGACAACTGGGTCCCACTTATTGACACACTTCAACATTAGATGGTGTGCTCCCACTTGAGTTCATGTATCACTACTGTATATAGACATTCAGTGGAGAGCTCAAGGCTACCACTATGTTCTTCTCTCACATCAATATAGTATAGTGTTTAGCTCAACAGCCTGAACACTGTGCTTGAATTGACATCACCCGATAATCATTGATAAGAGTCCAATCTTTCAACAGGTTATAAGCTCATTAAGCCAATATGCTACTGTCACAGGACCTGTGCAGGAGATTGGGTCGGTGCAGGAAGATCCAAGATGAAGATGAAGATGTGGTGCACCCAGAAAAAGGCACACAAAATGTGACATCAACCATAAGACAGGTTTCCAGTTGATTTCAGGGAAATCAACCATGTTGGGGGTTTCTGATCAGTTTTGCTGAAATCGAGCAGAACATGCTTATTGGGTTGATTTCACCAAAACATGTCACACAAAGCCCCATCAGTACAGAATGGACCAATGGGACACAAGGAGGCAATGGGAGACTTGGTAGGAAAGGCCTCCATTGTCAAAGGTAGGATAGGGCACAAGGAAGGGTCTCATGTGCTAAAGGGGGTCTGAGTTTAGCCAAGAAGAGGACCAAGCTCAGGAGCAAGCAGCAGGTTACCACATAGGGGGATGTGCTCTTGATTGCATAAGAGTCAGTCACAAGGTAGACCACATGGATGAGAACAGGACAAGAAGGATGGTCACATGGTCAGAGAGGGCCATCAGATAGGGGCCAAGGAATGGCCATGGATTGAGAGGAGAGGGAGTTGGACTGAGAGGATCAGCATTGGTACCATGAGGAGGATGGGCAGTGTCAAGAAGATTCAACACATAGCCCAAGGAGAGGAGGGGTATGAGGAGGACAGGAACACTCCTCCAGAGGAGTAGGAGTGGTGCCACAGGTGGCACCTCTAAACACATAAATACTACTACTACTTCACCATAACAAATGAGTGGATCCTCATCCACTCTACTCTTTACCTTACTTACTCTTACTTAGTTACATATCATTGCAATAGCAAGAAGCCTTTGCAACAACATCTCGAATGTGTGTGTTGTATCACCATTGGACATCAAACTGTAGGCCATGTTCTCTCAACACCTGCAGTCCAGTTCATCACTGTAGGTGGTGTTGCTCAGCACCTGTGGTCCAGTCAGTTATTGTAGGCAGTGTCTAAACACCTGTGGTCCAGTAACTCCTGTCATCTGTAGGCAATAGGCTTATTGCAGTCCAGGCAACATCAAAGAGCATCAGGTGACAGTACTACAAACACTCATGCTGTATAGGAGAGTGTAACACTCTCACCCCAGGGAGTAACATACATGCTGCACAACCTCTGAATGGAGTGTTCAAGGTGGTCAGCCAAAACCTACCAGAACAAAGCTGTCTGGTTACTCTCAGTTGAAACATACTGAGTAGATCTTACTCAATCAATCTCACCAAAATCAATTGGAAACACTCAACCTGGTTTCAGGCATGTGACCGCTTACACTGAGTTCTGGTGAGTTTCGACTGACCACCTTGAACACTCTGTTTAGAGGCTATGCAGCATGTCCATAGCACCTTGATTGGGATTGCTATAAGATACAGCCTTCCATTACAGCACAAGTGTTTGTAGTGCTGTTGCTTGATGGTCTTCTTCATTACCTGGACCACAATAAGGTTATTGCCTACAGATGAACAAAGGCACTGGACCACAGGTGTTATACACCACCTTCAGTGATTTGACTGGACTGCAGGTGTTGAACAACACTGCCTACAGTGAGAGACTGGACTGCAGGTGTTAGGGAACACTTCCTACAGTTGACATCTGACAGTGATACAACATACATGTTCAAGATGTTGTTGCAAGGGCCCTGCTATTGCAATGATATGTAACTAAGTAACAAGTACAAAAGTATAGAGTAGAGTGGATGAGGATCCACTCAAATGTTATGGTGAGATGAGAGTATATATGTGTCTTGTGTAGTGTCGCTCGCGACACTGTTCCTGCTTCCTATAAGCGGTCGCATGCCTGAAACCAGATTGGGTGTGCCAGGGGTCTCGCGCCTGAAACCCAGGTCGGTCTGTCGAGATACTCGGTGACTATCAAACTGTGTGACAGCTATTGTCTTGGTATCTGTCTCGACGAGCTAGTTGTTCGGTGACTATCAAGTTGCACAGTGACAGTGGGTGGCATTCATTGTATATACTATCATAGGCTTTGGCTGACCTCTGTGGACACTCTGTTCAGGGGTAGCTCAGCACAATCAATATCAATGCATAGGTTATGATGACACCAAGGTCTGGTGTGAGTGTCAATGATGATGAGGTTGATGGTGTTGGTGATAAGGTTGGTGGCATTGGTGATAAGGTTGGTGGCATCAACACGAGTGTCCAGTGTGTTGACTGATGCTTGAGGTGATCCCTGGACTGCAGTGGACTACTGCCTTCGGTTCTATCTATATCCAGACCGCTAACCTGCTATGGGGCGCCTTCGGATGTCAGGTAGTGGTGATACAACACACACACTATGATGAGGAGCAACCTTGATAGATTGCTGCTATGCTGACTGAAAACTAATGAGTACTTATGTTTCTAAAGTATTGACTAGTTGTATGGTGAGTAGAGTGGATGAGGATCCACTCGACCTTTGATGATGAGAAAGCATGGTTATATACCTCTTCACAGCATCACCAGCAATGCTGCTCCTGCTCTCTCTCCAGAGAGTACCTTCTTCATCGAGTACTGTTCAGGGGCCTCTCCTGCTTGCTTGGCACCCCTGTGCCTCTTGAGCTGTGTCGACTCCTTCGACACTGCTCCTCCTCCTTGCTATCCTGCTGCTTGTTTGGCACCCTTGTGCCTCCTGAGTGGTGTCGACTCCTTCAACACTGCTCCTCCTCCTCAGGACCTGGTGTCAACTCCTTCGACACTGCTCCTCCTCCTCAGGACCTGCTTGCCAGTTCCCTATATACTGCTCCTTCTCCTTTGACCAGTGATGGTTCCTTTGACTCTTGTCTCTCGAGCCCCTGAGTGGTAACCATCTGCATGCTCCTTGAGCTTGGTCCTCTTCATGGCTGTGCCTGGCCCTCCTCACATATGGGCTCTGTGCTCCTTTGCATGTGAGTCCATAGAAGTCCATGGTCTCCATGGAGACTGCACTACGACCATGCTCTCAACTGGTATTGACTAGATCTCTGATACCTGTGCTCCTTCCATATGAACCAGCGACCCTCCTGCTTCCTGAGCATTCAGGCCCATGACACAGCATTGCAGGCGATGTTGCAGGAGCAGGTATATAACCATGCTCCTCGTCATGACAAGTGAGTGGATGGGCATCCACTCTACACCATAATAACTAGTATCACTTCTACACCAAGTACATTAGTTTCAGTCAGTGTAGTAGCAATCAAGTAGATTGCTCTCATTGTAGCATGTGTGTCGTATCACCACTCACTGATGTCCAAAGGCAGTTCTTCACAACCAGCAGTCCGGATAAAGATAGAACTGAAGGCAGTCATCCACTGTGGTCCAGGGATCACTCCAAGCACTTAGTCGACACACTGGACACTCATGTCAATGTCACCAGCAATCATAATTGCACCAGCCTTTGGTGTCAGTACAAGTTCACACCATTATTGATCATGCCAAGCTACCTCTGGATGGAGTGTCTACAGTGGTCAGTCAAAATCTGCAATAGCATAAGCTCAATCACAGGTTTGAGTGAGTATAGTCATAGGGATGACACTATGGCATAACTCAACAAGAATCATAATACATCACATACAATCACATATCTCGGCAGGATCTGTAATAGAAGCGGTTCTACTACAGATCTCGGGTTTCAGGCACGCGACCTCTGACACGCGCGACCACTGACAGTTGGTTACCACATAGGGGGTCATGCTCACGATCACAAGGAGCTAGCCTCAAGGGAGACTCTATGGATGGGGAGCAGGACAATAAGGGACGATCACATGACCAGAGGTCATCATATAGGAGTCAGGAGAACAGTCACCGGTTAGAAGGAAGGTGAGCTGTGTTGAAGAGACCGGCATATAGGTCATAAGGAGGAGAAGCAGTGTCAAAAAAGGTTGACATGCAGCTCCAGGAGAAAAAGAGCAAGGAGACAGGAAGCAGTGTTGACAGTGTCGATACAGGCTACTGAGAAGAAGAGCAGTGTCAAGGAAACCGACACATTGCTCAGGAGGAGAAAGAGTAGTACCACACTGTCATGGGCCTGGATGCTCAAGAAGCAGGAGGGTCATGGGTTCATATGGAAGGAGCACAGGTATCGAAGATCTAGTCGAGATCAGTAGAGAGCGTAGTGCAGTCTCCATGGAGACCATGGACTCCTATGGACTCACATGCAAAGGAGGGCCAAGCACAGCCACGAGGAGGACCAAGCTCAAGGAGCAGGCACAGCCACGAAGAGGACCAAGCTCAATGTCATGA